AGCCCCCCGTTTTATTCGCAAGCTTATGAGGTCTTACAATGGAACGCTTAGGCTGAGTTTGAGGAGACTATCTTACAAGATTTGGAGCTCCTGAACATCCGCGGGGATAAAGTGACCCACACATCAGGTTACTTTGATCAGATTTATGAATTGGCCATTCAAATGATCAAGAGCGGTAAAGCTTATGCCGATGATACCGAGCAATTACAGGTGCGGAACTTTAGTTGAGGAATCATGCATAAATGTCGACTGGGCCAAAAATTAGATGCGCGAAGAACGAGGCAAAGGTGTTGCATCTGCTCATCGAGATGACTCGATCGAAGACAACCTGAGGCACTTTGAGGAAATGAAGACCGGATCTACCGAAGGTCTGAGATGGTGTATCCGCGCGAAAATTAGCGTGGACAATCAGAACAAAGCTATGCGTGACCCCGTTATTTACCGATGTAACTTAATCTCTCATCACCGAACTGGGTATGGAGCCATCTACTCTGATTTGCACCGAATATTGATCCACCTTACAGAGATAAGTGGAAAATATATCCCACCTACGATTTTGCGTGCCCAATCGTGGACTCCCTTGAGGGAGTTACCCATGCCCTCAGAACGAACGAGTATCGTGAGCGAAATGCGCAATATCAGTGGATGATCAAAGCCCTTGGCATGCGCGGTGTTGACATCTGGGACTTCAGGTCAACCCCTCTCATCAGATCTGCATTTGAAAACTACTAACACCTCCGCAGTCGTCTCAATTTCATCTATACACTTTTGTCCAAGCGGAAGTTGCATTGGTTCGTAGACAGCGGAATAGTTGGGGGTTGGGATGACCCACGTTTCCCAACCATTCGGGGTTAGTTCTCCTGTCAAGCGTAGAGCACAAGGCTGTTCTGACGCGACTGGTACAGGGATCCGTAGACGTGGATTAACTGTGGATGCGTTGTCACAGTTCATGTTGGCTCAGGGGCCTTCGCAAGCAATTGTATCGCTCGAGTGGGATATGATCTGGGCCATCAACAAGAAAGTAATTGACCCTGTTGCTCCGCGATTCTGGGCCATTGTGAAGGAGAATAGGTGCCGTCAGCAGCAACACCAAATACCTGTCTGCAAGCTGACACACCCGTCCACAGTGTCTTCGTAACCATCAACGGTGGCCCCCTTGCACCCGAGGTGAAGACCCTACCACGGCATAAGAAGAATCCAGATGTCGGCGAGAAAAAGACCGTATTTACGTCTACCATCCTCGTCGAGCAGGAAGACGCCATTTCCTTCGATGATCAAGAGGAGGTATGTCATGCCAACGATAGCCGAGAGACAAATCTCATCCGCACTGATCGCATCAGATAACGTTGATGGACTGGGGGAACGCCATCGTCCGGTCTAAGACCACGGGTCCCTCGGGCGATGTCACTTCCCTCACAATGGACCTCCATCTTGAGGGCGATTTCCGCAAGACGAAGAAAAAAATTACTTGGCTTGCACAACCCTCCAAGGATTACCCCTTAGTTGACGTAACGCTCCTTGACTACGACTACCTGATCACGAAGAAGAAGCTCGAGGAGACGGACGACGTCAAAGATTTCGTCACGCCCGTGAGCGAGTTCCGGGAGGAGGCGTTCGCAGATGCGAACGTAAGCACGCTCACTAAAGGGGACATCATTCAGTTTGAGAGGAAGGGTTATTTCATCTTTGATGGTACTGCGGAGGATGGGAAACTCGAGTTCATCCGGATTCCGGATGGGCGCGCGGCCAACCTGGCTAGTAAGGCGGGGAAGCCTGGTGTTGTTACCGTCGAGGCTCCAGTGCCGGCCTCGGGGACTACCGTCGACGCCGATCCCGTCCCCTCCTCGACGATGTACAAGGTGAAGAAGATCTATGGCGAGGAAGCAGTGAAGCCTGTGTCCACCACAAAGATGTACGCGGTCTCGAATGTGTACGAGTGATGGTCAGGATAAGAATAGATAGAATCTAGAGGTAGTTGTAACATTTTTAGAGGTAATAACCTACCAACGAATATTGTGCTACGTAGATCTAGAGGTCGAAAGCCTTGACGGAGACCATAAAAATAAAATCGTAGTGGTGCGCAGCACCAATTCCCGACTCTCTAAGGTGGCATGTATATACATCTATGCTTCCGACATTATCCTCACAAGGCCTGAAGGTAGATTCCTTGTCATAGACCCCCGAGGGATCTCAGAAGGGTTCGAACGAGCCAGCGCCCTGATATCGAGTAAAAAAAAGTGGTAAGCAGGTTTCAAACATGCACCATCCAAGTGGAACAAATTTCCAATCTGTTACATGGTACCGCTCAGTTGTGACTGGTTGAGATGAACCTTCAAGCAAACTATCATGGTTAAATGTCTGAGGTATGAAAAGAGAAAAAAAGACTGCTACCGGCAAGTTTCGAACCTACACCATCCAGGAGCGTCAGATTTCAAATCTGGCAACCAAGCACTCAGGCTTGACCATGAGTCTTATGGTGGATGCTCGAAGACCTCTCCATGAGCTCATGCCCGAGGTGCGATCATAAACAAAACAATTTGTCAGCGGGTTTCGAACCGGCGCTATCCAAGAGGAACAGATTTTGAATCTGACAACGACTTGGCCATAAGCCCTGTGCTTGACGTCCGCAGACCTCTCCATGAGCTTATGCCTAAGGTGCGCTCATAGATAAAAACCATGGCCGGCGGGTTTTGAACCTGCACTATGGATCATGAGGAACAGATTTCGAATATGTGAATCACTTGGCTAAGACTATTTGAGATAAATCAATGGGTTGAAGCTAGACATGTCGAGCGGGAAGGCCTGGAGGTGGATTCTTTGTCATGGACAGTGATCTCACAAGGTTTCGAACCCAGCGCCCTGATGTTGAATAAAAAAAATGTCGCAGGCAGGTTTCCAATACGCACCATCCAAGCGAAACAAATTTTGAATCTGTTACATGGTACCGCCCAGTCACGAGACCGACTAAGATGGACCTTCAAGGGAACTATCATGATCGGATGTCTGAGGTGTGAAAAGAGGAAAAAGATTGCTGTCGGCGGGTTTCCAACCTGCACCATCCAAGATTTCAAATCTGTCAGCCTAGATCAACTTGGCCATGAGACCTATGGTTGACGTTCGGAGACCCCTTCATGAGCTCATGCCCAAAGTGCGATCATGGAGAAAAATCGTCGGCAGGTTTGAAACCTGCATCTTGCAGGAGGAACAGATTTCGAATCTGTTAACCACCTGGTTATAAGCCTTATGGTGGACGTTCGAAGACCTCTCATGACTCTCATGAGGTCATGCCCGAGGTGCGATCACAGAGAAAAACTATTGCCGGCAGGTTTCGAACCTGCACCATCTAGGAGGAATAGATTTCGAATCAGCCGACCACTTGGTCACGAGCCTCGTGCTCGACATTCGCAGACCTCTCCATGAGCCCATACCCAAGGTGCGATCATAGAGCAAAACAATTGTCGGCAGGTTTCGAACCTGCACCATCCAGGAGGAACAGATTTCGAATCTGTTGATCACTTGGCCATGGGACTTGTGCTTGATGCTCGCAAACCTCTCCATGGGCTCATGCCCAAGGTGCGATCACAGGGAAAAACTATTGTCTGCAAGTTTCGAACCTGCAGCTTCCAAGAGGAACAGATTTCGAATTTGTTAACCACTCGGCCATGAACCTTATGGTTGACCTTCGCAGACCTCCACATGAGCTCACGCCCAAGGTGTGGTCATAGAGAAAAACTATTATCGGTCGGTTTCGAACCTGCACCATCCAAGAGGCACAGACTTTGAATCTGTTAACCACTTTGCTAAGACTAGTTAACTTTAAGATAGATCGATGAGTTGAAGCTAGACATGCCAAACAGGTAAGGTCTCCCTGACGGGTCGGTCCGTTCCGATGAGTCTGGTTGCGGAGGCGGACACGACATTAGGTGGAATATGATGATAAACTACTTGTCTTCAGCTGGTGACGAGTGAGCGAGAACCTGAGGCCGGGTAACAATTCCGAGCCAAGCCTCAAAGTCTCCGAGCCGCTGAGAAGCATCCATGACGATATCTACATTTGTGAACTACACGACTCAGTGTATCCGGAGGGGCCCGGCATATGTAAACCGAAGTGGAAGCTGTTTGCCTGTGTGGATGTAGAATGCTTGAACGGATCTGGGTGATCATCCGGCGTCATCATGATGAGGGGAAAACTCATGAACTTCTGATGAATATGTGCTGATGTGTACATTTCTAACCGAGAAAGGCGCTTCGTGGAAGTCGGGGATTGGTTGACTATCGGGAGCGTTATGAACGCAATCGGCATAGATAGCGACCTTCTATCGAATATCGCCCTATCTTGCAGCTTATGGAAAACCCTGGTATCATGACCATGAAAATTAAGCACCGCTTGTAACGGGAGAAGCGTCAGGGACACTTCAGATTTAGTCTAGACGAGCATCCTCTGTAAGCACATTGCTTAATTTCGGGACGGTGAAGAAAGAAGCTCACCATTTATATCGCAGTCTTTGTTCCCTCATTGGTGATTGCAAAGGATGAACCGAAAACAGACATGCAGAGAAATTTCGATTTGACGTCCGCTCCCATGCTTGGGAAGTTAGGCGAATTGTCAACATGTAATATCTAGCACAGAAGCAAGAAGAGACAACACGCGTCAAGGTTTCATGTTGAAGAGCTAAAAGTACACAAGACGATTGTAACAATAATGAGCAACAAGCCTATCAGGTATAAATACAGTACCTGAGTCTCGTGCTGATGGAAGGCATCCTTCTCAGCACCGGTACCGTATTACATTGAAAGGGCAATTAAGCGCCAGAGAGTAGTAATGCACGAGATTGAACGAAATGAGATAGGACTGATAGAGCTACACAGGAACGAGCGACGTTAGCGAAAGCAATCACCAGCAGAGTATAAATATACAGTGGTATCAAGAGATGCAGGGAATAAAGCACATAGATGCAACAAAAAAGCGATGAAAAATCTAGATCATCAAGTCGAACAGATCAAATAGATCTGCGTCGTAATCGTCGGCCCCAATTGGCGAGCGGTGTACTCCGCCAGAGCTTCGAACGATCTGATGAGTCTGTATGGAGATTGAAGCGACTTCGGCGGAGAACTTCCATCAGGATGAATGAAACTTCGAAGTGATATCAGATGATGACGCTAGCTGAAAACAGTAAGAAAGATGTACCGAGGAGTTCCTCTGTTGATGCGAGGGGATGCGTTTCAAAATCCAGATAGTCGTGTCCTAGACCGGATATCGGAGCGGCAATGAAGTGTTCGCCCACACGCATACTATTGGTGTGAAAAGAACCTTTCGTCTGATTTGAATCATAGTCAAGAAGCTGCATAATGTTCAGTAGTGATATTAGGCTTGAGGGAAAGCACAAACTGTTAGTGCATCTGGTGCTGCCATCCAAAAGTATTCCGTGTCGAAGCGTGTAGGTATGCCGAGGACATTGCGACTTCGTGGTGTTGAGGACGTGAGGATATGAATGTGGATAAGGAGAACGCACGATAATATGGCACTCGAGCACCCAAACATCCCTTTCGCTCCGATGATTTTTTCCTTGCCGATGACAATCTCTATTGGCTGCTTGCCCTTCCACCCGATCTCAGCAGTGACCTCCCTAGTTTATTATATATGATCGTCCTGCGAGTCTCCCCATTGTCGTCTTCGCTTTCTGTGTCTGAATCCTTACCACTGTCGCGAATAAAATGAGACCTGGTAAGGATGGTATATCCAAGAGCACCGGTCTCAGGATAGACGAGAGCTGAATTCAGGATATCCGACTTTGAAAATTTAAGGAGCATCCTGCTGTTGACTCAACGTAAGATGGGGAGAAAAACGACGAGCAAGGGGGAGCGAAATTCTGTCTTCAAGAACAGCGAGATTTTATATATAAGGACATATGTGTGCGGCGGTAAGGAGGCCACTGCCAGTTGAGTACACCAAGCTCGATTCAGCTGTCCCTTTGATCGGCGGCCGGACTCGGGTGTCAAACAATTTCTAAAACTCCCATTAAGAAACTCCCATCTAGTATGCGCGGAAGCCATCTTGCTAATCACTTACCGCCTGTCTGCTATGCCATCTAATCACATTCTCCCGTATTCTGATCCATCAGAGTGCCAGCAGAACATGTTATGCGGTCGACTGCCCATGGCACTGGTGAATACAGTGGATGCTATATTTGGACATAAAGCCCACGCCACCAGTTGTTTGGTTTTATTGACGTTGTGGCAGGGGTTGAAACTGTGTTAGAACCAGTGATTTCAACACCGACGACGACGACGACGACAACGACGACAGCTGAAACGACCAAGAGGTCCTTTGACCGATTCTCATTCGCACTTGCACCTTAATTCCTTCAACAAACTGGATATTCAACGACCTCCTCTAAAGGGTTGGTGACAATAGATCCAATAGACTGGACCAGTTCAAATTGTTGCTGTGGACATGGTTCAACGCCGTTCACCACATAGAGTCTCCTTTCCTCAAAACAGCAATAATCTGGCGCGTAGACAGTATTCGCTCCGCCAAACTTCCGCTGCCAGACGCGCTCTTGCTTTCGTGAATAGATTCCAGCGTTCCTCGGCTAATTCCCACGCAGTGGGCGCGTCTCCACCATCATCTTCAGACACTACCAGTTGATTCGCGTCCCATACTGGCTACATTACAGCCTAATTTGCGACGGCTGCCATCCCGTCAGTATCTATTGATGAAGAACAGCGTTCGAGATGTGAGCCAAAATCATGACGTTCCTATTGGTTCGAAAAGGAAACGCGTCGCGTCGGTTAATGAAAACATTTCTGGCGGTCGGCCCGCGCGTGGGGCTCCAAAACTGAAGAAGTTAAAAACTTCACCGATCCGGGACTCATCCAGTGAAGAAGAACTCAGTGATATGGAAGTTGATGTTCCCGGTCGCTGGAATGTGTCTGACGCTTCTGAAATTGACTGCGACGAAGAAGCGTGTGAGTCCTTGTGCATTATGATCGTTGATGCTCTGATTTAAAAAAAATCTTCTATCAGCCGATGAGTTTCTGATAAATGAAGCGTCCTTGGGCCTGCTCAAACGTCGTCGAAAAGACGAACTTCTTCAATTGTACACTGCAGCGGGTCTATCGGACGATGCCCACAACCTCACAAAGCTGGAACTTGCAGAAGCAATTATTGCAGTGCGAGACGATATCGTATCGTTACCTCCCTCATCTCCTCCTGGACGGGACGCGAGTGATTGTTCCTCGGACGAGGGAAATGCAGCAGGCGGTGAGGAAACGGACGCTGGAACCAGATATCGAGTTCCCCCGGGTCTACGGCGCCGTGCTACAGTTCACTTGGCTACAAACCAGGCGAATTCGCGCTTCTTGAAAACACGTAGTTTATCTGTTGGCCATATCAACGCCAGTCACTCATACCCCGACGAGCTACCGGTTACCTCTAAGACCAATGGTGCTGTCGCCCTGACGTGAGTTGAATTTTCTGAATTGAATTCGGTGCCCTAATATATCACTCAGACGACGGACAACCAGGTCCACATCCAGCCGATCTTCACCCACACCAAGTTTCTCCAATCAGCTCCCATCCCCTCCTGCTACGAGATTGCGTGCTCGTAAAGTATCCGCCGAGGTTGTCGTTCCTCGCGCCTCCACTAGGAGCAAGGGTAAGGCCAAACAAGTCGAATTCAGCGAAGATGTCAAGATCGCTGAATCTGCTGCATTGGGCGAGGAGAGCGAGCTTACCGATCTCACTGAGCTGGAAGAGAAGTTTGCATTGGGCTCACCCAGTCCTCGTCGGCTGCGAAGTCGGGAGAAACGCGGTGGAATTAGCGATGATCAGGAATCTGACACGCCGAAGCAACGGGGAAGGGCTAGACGGCAGACTTCGAGAGGGGAGGAGGCAGAAAATTGTTTGGAGGACGAGGAAGAGGTCGATGAACTTATTTCATCTCCATCTCCTACTCCGCCGCCCATGCGAGATCGAGCGACGCCTACGAAAAGACGTCTTCGCCCTCGCAGACTACAAACACATACTCCCCCAAGCGACGGAGGGGAAGGTGATGACGAAGAAGAAGCCGATGAGGAACGTGTCGAAGAGGACGTGGAGGTGAACGAGGATGGCTCGAGCATGGATGACGAGGATTCAGAACAGTCGGAGGATAGCCAAGATGCGGACGGAGATGATGATGTAGATGTGGAGGGAAGTACGTCACCTCCGCCAACAACTACTCCACGGAAGCTCCGCAATGGGAAGGTGGTTGGGGAAGAATGCCAAGAGGAAGTGCCTGGCGAAGACGAGGAGCAAGATGGCAACGAGTCGATTGATCTAGAGGCCGAGGATATTGACATCGACGCTGAAGGGGAGGATGAGGAGATTGATGAAGCCATGGATGGAGATGACTGTTGGTTTGTTTTTTCTTGGTTTCTTATGTTGCTCACACAAGTCTCGCAGTCGATCTTGCTGTGGCCACCAAGAAGACCCTTCTCCGTATGCGTCGTGATAACCTTGTACGAATGTGTGAGACTCGGGATTTGGATGTTGCTGGTACGAAACCTCAACTCGCGCGTTCACTCCTTCAGTGGCGAGATCAACGAACGAGCGAGTTCTCTTCCCCCTCTTCCGCAGGCACCATTCGCCCACCATCAACTGTTCATCACCGTGCCAATGGCCGGAGAAAGACCAAGAGCCGCAGCCAAAGCAATACCCCTCCAGTCCTCCTGCGCCCCCATCGAATTCATCAAGACGAACCGCGTACTCCTCCTTTGTCTGACGAGAACACGACTCAGCCAGAGCCAGAGCTAGAATTGGATCTCGAAAGCCTGGGTTTAGAAGATCGAGAAATTCCGCCCGATAAACTCACGAAGCTGGAGAAGATTGGAAGTGGGGGCTTCAAGGATGTATTCATCGGTAAGTTCAAGGGCAGACGGGTTGCCATTGCAGAATTTCGAGATCAGCTCAATTCAAGTACGTCGCACTTTCTATCCACGAGGTTTTCACGTTGTGAACATGTGCTGTAGTGGATATCAAAGAACTCAAGCTTCTCGGTGGCTTTGATCATCCGAATATAGTTCGCTTCGTAGGTATCTCCATGGAGACAGTGTTGAAGTCGTGGTTTACACTGTACTCTACAGCTTGGTGTCAGCATACCGGAGAACACCCGCGAGACACCCGTCATGATAGTCAGCGAACTTTGTTCAAATGGCGACCTCTTCGACTATATTCGCAATGTTCCAGCTCCGTCCCTGAAAAAAGTTGTACGTACGCTTGACATTCCATTTCTCTTCTTGCCTATGCATCTTCCTCACAGTTGAACATTATGCTGGATATTGCGCGTGGCATGGAATACCTTCATATGCGCAAGCCTTCTGTCATCCACAGAGACTGTAAATCATCCAACATCCTCATTACTTCTCGTGGCACGGCGAAGATTGCAGACTTTGGTTTGGCCAAAGTGAAACAGTCCACGCGGTCCATGGTTCGCAGTCTGGTTGGCACTGTTAACTGGCAAGCGCCCGAACTTTGGCATGCGCACCCCAAGTACAACCACAAAGTTGATGTCTTTTCGTGCGCCATGGTGTACTGGGAAATGTTCCAATGGCACGTACCCAGCAAGAAGTTCCCTTGGGAGGTGAGTATATCACCATTCTTTTCCTGTTTCAGCACTAAGTCTTTTTAAGGGAATGAACGAGCATGCTATTTACGATATCGTTGGAGCCAAACGCCAGAGGTGAATTGTCACCTTGCAGTCCAATTATCTCGCACACTGACGAGATATTTAGACCGTCTATCACAGGCCTGCGGAAACAATGGTGTCCAGACATCATCGACCTCCTCGAGCGGATGTGGGCTCATGATCCTAATGACCGCCCAACTATGTCTGAAGTCGTCAAAGAGTTGGAACGCATCGCCGCCTGACGATCTCTGGCACTCTCAAGCGGACTCAAATCTTTATTCAATTATTGTCAGTTTTGAACCTGACGTTGTCGCTAACGGAGATTCCTTGGTTTGCATCGGGGATGATTGTTTATTCTGTGTCATTGGTTCTCTATACACTATCATCTTCGTCATTATCATTTGCCCTCAACTTATATCCCGCATTGTACCCTACCGTAGCAATCCAAATCCGTGCTTGATGTGTAACCGGGAGGCGTTCACCACCCTGAAATCGGTGCATTAAAGTGCAATTATTACGGGTACTTGATACATGTCAGAGAAGGCAAGGAAAACTAATGCGTTGTTGAGGTTTGAAGTTCGAGGGACAAACTGTTACTCAGTCAGATGCGAATCTTCTATGAATAACCAGAATTGGATGACTCAGTATATACATGCTGCCATTGTGGCAAGTCATGTTTATATGTAATCGCTCCTCATTGTCACCGTCACCCAACTCAGGTTCGAATCACTGCTTTATCTTGTGCCCCTACCTACACAGGCTGAGTCCTGACCTAGTGGGTATTTCAAGAGCGACGCTCCGAGCCCTAAAATGTATCAACTCACTCGGGTCTGCAAGCCAAGCAGGGCTAGACTCGTTCACGTAGGGATTGGAATACGACCACCTCTTCTCAGACCTCCTCCGAGTCGGCTACTGGCGACAGATGCACTGGAACCACCAAAACCCTCAAGGTCAAGGCCTCAGATACCAACTGAGCCTCTTCCAAGGTCGCGTTTACTTAGCCGTATTCTACTGGTAGCAAAATATGCTGGACTTGCGGCATTCTCTTCGACATTCGGGATTCTGTTACTGGGCGCAGGGATATTCATTCATGACGCTTTTACTTATACGAATAAGGATGTCCATCGCGTACCGGTTTTACCTCTCGCACTTCATCCCGAGCAGGGGGGACCAAAGAACCTCCCAATTGTAAGAGCACTTGTGGACGACGTAGAGGATGATGAGGCAAAGAAACTTTTGGAGAAACCGAAGTTGGTGATTGTAGGAGGAGGCTGGGGGGTAATGACTGAATTTTCATGCACCGGTGCTATTGCTGACATGAACATTCGACCAGGCTGTTTCTATCCTGCATACACTATCTCTTGGTGACTGGCACGTGACCGTCGTGTCGCCAGAAACCTTCACCACATTTACCCCGCTTTTACCTTGTGAGTAAGTGTTAAATTGGCATTTCACAAGTTTAGCTAAACCTGCTCATGGTATGTAGCGGCCGCGGTTGGTACAGTCCAAGTTCGCAGTTTGGTTGAGCCCCTACGCAAGATCGTAGCGCGCCTTCGCGGCCACTTCGTAGATGCCAAGGCTATTGATCTTGTGATGTCTGAGCGGTTACTGGAACTGGAAACGCTGACTTCGACTGGCGAACCTCAACGTGTCTATCTTCCGTGAGTCACCACTGTCAAAACACTCATGTTACTTGACATCATTAATGGCCATTTATAGCTATGATAAACTAATCATTGCATGCGGGTCAACTTCCAGTACGCACGGCATCCAGGGTCTAGAACATTGTTTCCAACTCAAGACCATATCGGATGCACAAGCCATCCGACGACGAATCCTCGGTGAGACCTTTGCGGTTTGCGCCTCTATCATTCATTCATGGCTTTTCAGACAACTTTGAAACGGCCAGTCTCCCTACCACGACCCCTGAAGAACGCAAGCGTTTATTGTCATTCGTTGTCTGCGGAGGTGGCCCCACAGGCGTCGAGACAGCAGCCGTATGTCTATCTCTATCAAAATGTGTTCATATCCAATAAAAATGAATCTTGCGAATACAGGAAATTTATGATTTCTGTCAAGAAGATATTGTAAATTACGTATGTTTTGCAGTCGTTTTATCTTGAGTTGTACCTGACTTGTGCTGTATAGTACCCCAAGATATGCCGCGAGGAAGTCTCGATTCATGTAATCCAGTCACGCGAGCATATTCTCAACACGGTGCGTGAAAATGCTTAAGAAAAAATCAAGGTGTAAACCTTACTTTGAGCGCAGTATTCGGAAGCCATCTCAAAATATGCCGAGGTATGCATGACTTGTCGAGAGCGCTTCAAAGTACTCTAACCGAGTAACCCCATCAGGAAAAGTTTCGTCGTGATAGCGTCGACCTAGTAACTTCTGCTAGGATCAGTGCTGTCCACCCTGATCACGTCGTGTACACTGTGCGGTCCCCGGATGGGACGATTACTACTACATGAGATCCCGACGAATTTTGTCCTGTGGTCAACTGGCATTGCGATGAACCCCTTTACACGTCGTGTCTCTGCCTTATTGCCCAATCAAGTACACAAGAAAGCGATCGAAGTTGATGCCCATCTTCGTGTAAAGGGTGCGCCGTTGGGCGATGTGTATGCTATTGGAGATTGTGCAACTGTGCGTCTATTTATACTGTTTTCTGGTGCTTGGCGTGGACTCCGTGGCGTCTAGATCGAGACGTCTGTTGTGAGTCACCTGCTGGAGTTGGTTGATGAGGCCGACAAGAACAAAGATGGCAAGATCGACTTTGATGAATTTGATTTTATGGGTATGTCGGTGGCCTTCTTCAGAAAACGTTGTTTTGACGGCTACTAGTTGCAAGGATCAAACACCGGATACCCATGGCTGAGTCGCAGTTGCAGAAGGTCGGTTTTCGTGCACGTTCTGAGAGGGCCTCATCGAATCCATCCTTTCACTCAGGTCCGAACTTTATTCGATCTGTATGACTCAGACGCAGACAACAGTCTTTCTCTAAATGAACTGTGCAAGCTGTTGGAAGAAATTGGAAATAAGATAACAGCACTTCCTGCCGTACGTGCTCAGTGGTTTAAACGTCGTATTACGATTGCCTTAACTTTGGTATTGTCCTGGTCCAGACCGCTCAAGTAGCTTCTCAGCAAGGAAAATATCTTGGCAAGAAGCTAAATCAATTAGCGAAGAAACGAGAAATCCTCGAGGTGAACGGCATACAAGACCTGGATGAGGCTGTATCCGCACCATTCCGCTATACTCATCTCGGCAGTCTCGCGTATATTGGCAACGCCGCAGTCTTCGATTTGGGTAATCTGTCGTTCATGGGCGGCCTCATTGCCATGTACGCGTGGCGAAGCGTTTACTGGAGCGAGCAGGTTTCGGCCAGGACACGATTTCTCTTAATGATGGACTGGATTATTCGGTGCGGGCTTTGCATTCTTTATTTATGCCAACGCTGATGGTTGATGGTTGCATTCGCAGTGGCGTATGGGGTCGGGACTTATCCAGGCTTTGATCAGACAGGATACTCTATTACAATATCATCCTTCATCACATTCATTACCCTATTCTTCTCTCTACGATGTGTACCGTGTACGCATAATTTCGCTGGACTCCATGTAGAACATTTTAAACCCACAGACCATGGTCCCACGTAGTCTTGTTCATTTCTGTAGACCACATGATCTTAAAATGGCTGTCTTGCCGGCAAATGATCCTTGGCTATGTGGAGCACCGTCGTCATCTTTTGGTTGGGAGCCTAACATTCATTAGTACAGAGTGAGCACGGGAAGAATACGGTGCAGCGACGGCAAAAGAAAGCTGAACCACGTAGCAAAGGCGCAAGAGTTCAATCCGTACCCAGTATTCGGGACTTCTGGAAGCCAACTCCGCCTCGAATTTAGATGTTCCTTCAGGTGTTGCTGGTGTAATGATCCGCAAGTTCAAGGGAAGTCGTCTTTTGTCATCAGAAAAGCGGGCGAAGCTCAGTTACTGGCAAAGCAAGTTTGGTAGCTAGTAACTCATGTTTGAATAGGTTGTCAAAACTCATACTCATCATGCTCCAATCTGAAATTAGAACTGTTAGGAACTGTAGAGATTGTGACGTTCCTTGTGGAAACAATAGTTCAGCTCTTTATCTTGCAAGGACTCATGTTGTGTACAGTTACGCTAAAGTGATGGAGTAAAAGCTGTGCCCTGCAAATTCCCTGCAAATTCCCTCGCAGATCTAGGGCACCTTAGATGTACTGCTCAAGTCCCCTCAGTCATTTGTCTGGTCAAGGACACCATGTACAAGAATTCTCGAAGGATAATCCCATGAAATTTTTCGTTCGACTTTATTCCTGCCAATCAAAGGACCCCAGAAGGGCTGTCTTGCCCGCAAGTGATCCTTGGTTGGGCGCGAGTATTGTCATTTTCCGGTTGGGAGCATCGATGCTGGTACTAAATGGACAAGGCAAGAGTGAGCAATGCACGCTATAGCAGCTACAAGAGAAAGGAAGAAAATTCCGAACTACGCAGTGAAGTGCAAAAAGACGTACACAACAAGGAAGCCGACCACGCTCAGGTCCAAAATCTCTTCGTCATAGCGCTCGGACTCATCCGGGTTGAAGGGTGCAAGCAAGGCGAGAATGGAATTAAGTAGGCCCGAACTGCTGGACGCAGGATCAACGAGCACGGGCTGCATCTCCGACAGCATGCGTGCAGCACCAATGGGCAATGCGGAAGAGGGAGCCATGTTCTCTACGGCGGACGGTCCCGAAGATCAGCCACGTGTTGATGCGTGCAGAAACATTGCCTACCGGCACCAATGCGGTAGATTGCCAAATCCTCAAATTTGAGGACACATGAGGATGGCGAAAGGACGAGGTCTGCCACCGCTTCGCCTCCAACAATTGCGGAGGCTATGCCAGGAGGTGGGTCTATTTTTTGGCCGTACATGTAAGTATGCAGCTGGTACTTGCGCACGCGTTCCCGATAACTATGGTCCAATTCAACCACCTGGTCGGGTGTTGTGAGGCGCAGAGTAAACAGGATCGATTGATAAGAGCACATACACCTCCTGACTTTGGTATCTTGACCACTGTAAACCGGTTGCCAAACAGCCGTTGCATTTCAACGGTCAACTTTTCGTGCCCGACCACGAGAATTACATTGACTATTATAGAGTCAGGTGAAGTATCAATGCATTCAATAAATCGCACTTCTGAAAGCATCGACACATGCTTTTATGAGTGTATGCCTGTTGTCTGGCGCGCTGCCGGAACTCGATGCAAAAGATGATGGGGTGTCGACAATTAAACCCGATACGCGCGCTAGGAATCCACGATCATTAATTGTTCTGCGCTTGAGACAGAAATTGATTCTCCGCACCCTCCGGGTCATCGTCATCCCTTTCTCTGATATTCTCTCCCAGATTTCGGATAAGTCGGTCTAGCAGGACTGGGTTCCGTTTAGTTTCTGAATGTCCATACCAATAGCTTAGCGGTATCAACGCGTTCGAAGAGAGGGCGGTAGGAGCTGACGTAACAGCAGAGCCAAGAGGATTAGCAGGTGATGCTGTAGCTATGGGACTGCGAATTGGGGCGGCCGAGATGGCTCCAGGAACTGCCCAACCACCCTGATTCTTGACTCAACACAAGAAAGATAGATCTATTTCTCGCATGCTCACCTCACTCGGATCGACATTTACCAACACCGGGGACCAGTTTTGCCCTGCCCTAACAGTGTAATTTGTCAGGATTTTGCATACTGTTGTCTTTCCTGAGTTCTCGGGACCAAGAACAAGGACTCTTGGTGGCTCTGCGTTGGCATTCGCATCATCGTCTGAGGCAGGAGATCCATGTACAATACGGAGTGCTCTGACACGCATTTGTTCGAACGCAATGTGCACATTTGCATATGCCGCCATAGGAGTTTCCTCAGATACATATTCGGTGGAGGGACGGCCAGTAATGTGCTGAAGGAAATAGATCAGCAACACAAGTTGTGAGTAACGAGGAAGGTGTAGCACTTATCTCCAAGGTACAACCCTGCCAGGTGAAAACCGCGGCCCTGCACTCGGTCCCGAAAAGATATGTCTTGCCTTCCGCAAGTTCTGCTCCGAAGACCTCGGCCTGTCCATGAGCCAGCTGAGGAGTGAGTTCAGAAGGTGTGGGGCTGCCTAGAATGAATTTGCCTCGTGGTTGCGTACCGACGTACCTTGATTGCTAGGGAGGTACCGGGATCGAGCTCGAACCTATACTCTGTCTCTGGCTCAAGAACCCATTCTTTCATGTCAGGCTGCGTTCCATCAAAATGTGAATCAGACATCATAGACCACTAAGTGATGTCTCTCAAGACAGAAACTAGTATTGGTGGTAAGATTCAAGATTCTTCTACAGACGGAATGAGATTGAATGCGGTCTCCTTCGCAGCTTCGTGAGCTCAGATCAATCGGCGTTGTTCCACGACACACGCGGCGACGACGTATTTGCGGAAGGTTCTGATTGCGACGGAAGGAAGTGAATGGCAAAGAAGCAAAGCCTGTAATTTCGTTGGTTTTTGCGCCAAATTCAAAGTTTCGATGGGATTGTTTGGATGGCCTTCTCTGCTTCTAAATTCTATTCTCAAGACCGTTCAATCTGAACTTCTGCTTTTGATTCCTGAAACCCGACGTGTCCAAGGTGCCGCTAACAACGGATGCTAATGTTACTTTGATGGTTTCGTGATGAAAGGCATCCGCCGGCATTCACTAACTTAATAGTCACTTCAATGACCTACTACGTGATCTCCACTGCGCTTTGACGGTGATCAGGAATGCCGTAAAGGCGCGGCAGAGGCTAGAGCTTATAAAGTCTAAGCTTACTCTCGTCTTTCCCTGTTCCCAATTAGCCATTAAGCATGGACTCGGCCAGCGACAATTCCGAGAAAAAGGAGGACCATCCACATGTGTCTAGTACCGTACACAGCTACGACGTCGATGTCGGTGCTCAGCTGATTGCTGAGACAGACAGTCCCCTCACTCCACAGGAGACTTCTCGCCTAAGGTATGTTGTTTCATCGCAAGCACTACCTAGACCTTCCATTCATGGGTTCTCATAGGGCTAAAATCGATTGGCATATTATGCCACTCATGTGTAGTAAGTCTTTGAGACCCTTGAAGCTGTTCGCTTGACGAAGACCCATTGACTCGGACAGGCATGTACTTGTAAGCGTCCTACCGCCATTTGCTACGTTTCTTCTCATCGGTCTCTGTAGAATCACGTTCATGGATAAAACCACTCTGGGAGAGGCAGCGGTGCTGGGCATACTGTGCGTGTTGCCCACATATTGTCACGTTTGCATGCGTTAAACTCTCGCTATGTTAGCGAGGATGCACATCTAACTGCTAACCAGTACGACTGGCTTGGCACGATATTTTATCTAAGCTACCTCGTTTTTCAATACCCTCAGAACTTGGCATTGCAGCGTTTCCCTGTTGGAAAATGGATGAGGTGCGCTAAGAGTCATTCGCATCCAATATGTTTCATATTCTGATGGGCATTCAGCATCAATATCTTTCTGTGGGCTGTGGTTCTACTATGTCATGCTGCTTGCAAATCTTTCGGATCATTGTTAGCGGTGCGCTTCTTGTTGGGGATGTGCGAAGGTGCTATCACCCCCGGCTTCATGATTGTCACATCCATGTTCTATACTAATGCCGAGAAAACGAGGCGTGTCGGTTATTGGTGTAAGCTCTGGTTCATTTGTTCATTCTCTGTCTCATTTTTTCTCAGTTTTGATGAATGGTTTTGCTGTGATTATTTTGGGTTTCATCAGTTTTGGCCTCCTTCACACACATACAACCTCCTTCATGCCCTGGCAATGGTGAGTCACACAATCTTACATGATGCGGGGGCCGCAGTACCTTACTGATTGCACGAGGCTCATGATTATCACTGGTACCGTTACACTGATCACCTCCGTGCTCTTCTGGTGCGTAAGTATGATCATCATGTAGATTATTTATTCATCCCTTTCGATCGAACAAGGTTGTTCTTCCCTGATTCGCCCACAACCGCTCGGTTCCTAACTCCCGAAGAGAGAGTCGCGGCGATTCGCAGAATACAAGAGAATCAAAGTGGCGTAGAGAACAAACGTTTCAAGAAGGAACAGTGAGTTTTAATATCCATTGTTTGTGACGTATCACGTTATCCTCCTTTCTGCAGGTTCCTCGAAACTATCAAGGATCCAAAGACGTGGTTAATGGCATTCTTCGCAGGGTCTGCGTACGTCCTTGAACCATTACATTTCCGTGTCTAAGCATTCACGTGTTTTATTAGAAACATCGTGAATTCTGTAAGATGTTGTTTAATAACTCGAGCTTACATACTAAGTACTGACACATATCAGCTCACTAATCAACGTCAGTTAATTGTCGCACAATTCGGCTTCAATGGTATCCAGACAACTCTCCTTGGCTGTGTCGATGGTGTGGTCGAAAGTGTGTTTCTCTCAAGTGTGCTGTACGATAACTTGCTCATCTCATCGTATGCAGTTCTCACCATTTGGCTGGGAGTAGTTCTTGCTTCAGAACCATCCATCGGCAGGTCATATGCTGGTGTACTAATGTACATTCCTGCGATACTCGGCTCGATACTTGTTAGTACACTTCCGTTCTCCAACAAAATAGGTTTACTATTCTCGTACTGGATCTCACGTACGTATCATGACTTCATTCGGCAAGGCGTAAGGCACTGAAGGGCCTTATTCATTTCATCGTCCAGTCTTTGCGATTGCGCCATTTACCATCTTCCTTGGTTGGGTCAGTTCGATAACATCCGGACACACGAAACGTATGGGCCGTTTATTTTTGTCGCATTTGTCACAAGCTCAATGATGTCTGTACAGGGATAACCACCAATGGTATCGTCCTGTGCTCATATGCGATTGGCAATGCTGTCAGTCAGTTTATGTGGAAGGCACAATATCAACCCAGGTGTGTCACGAATTCGTTCTCCGGCACCACCGATCATCACGGGTTATACTAAATTTGATGTAGGAACCACGTTCCATGGGCTGTAATCACGTCTTGCAATTTTGCTGCCGGTATCGCCTTGGTGGTTCTTCGTTTCATGCTCGCTAGTGAAAACACAAAACGGGAGCGTGAAACCCCCGACAACAAGCATGATGCGGTGTACATACTGGACAGATCGGGTGCGGAGAGGAAGGTGGACAAGGCCTTCCTCGATCTTACGGACAAACAAAATCGCGACTTCCGCTATGTTCTATAGGTGTTACCTTAGTGGTCATGCGCGATTCCTCGCCAAAAACATCTCAGATTTCTAGTTTTTCGTCCTCAAGTGTTTTGATAGATATTGTATCTTTCGTACCTTACATCCTTGTTACATCTTGTCCATACCTTTGTTTGGTACTCCAGTGTTTGCTATAATTTCCGGGCTGATATATTGTACAAAATAAAGGTCTATTACTGTGCTATGGTGATACAACAACTTTGGGTTTGATCAGAGAAACGATGAAACCTTCGTCGGCCGACGAACAGCCGCCGAGTTTCCTTCCAGATGTTTATATGCAATGCGAAAATCAGGGACTACCTTTTTCGACGTTGATGACCTCCTTGAATCTTTCTTAATAGCGATCGGCCTTCCAAAGAAGTCCACAGGTGGCTAGTTGGCGAATTCAGCAGATGATCTGCAAAATACAAAATCATCCTGACCTTGTCTGCGATGTCCAATTTCTCGGACGTGCGTGCTCGTTTGTTTTCGGGGCCTGGCTCAGAGGAGGCATTCAAGCGGCGCAGTTCATCGTTACCTCCTATAACTTCCATGGGCTCGGGAGCTTCGTCGTTTTCCGTGACGCCCTTCCTCGATCTAATGGTCAAATGAGCGATGCAAATACCGAATGAACAGATAGACAGACGTTTTGAAGAAGTTGGCTTTTGCATGTTCCTTTCCTTTCTCCACTGCGTCTGCTTGCTTTGCGACGAGTGCGGCGTCAATCTTGGGTCGAGTTAGAAAGGTAGTCTCATATTCATCCAAAATCACAAACCTCAGTGGCGACTAACTGTCGAACAGCAAACCGAGAGACTGCGATATCTTCGGCGCGCTTGCCGTCGTAGGTAACAAAAACATCAATTGGACTGCGTGGACGAATGACATCAGTCGGCGAGGGGATCCGTCGTGCAGAACTCACGGGTCAAGCCTATACACATTTTGGCCATCCTCAGCCTTCTCTTGCACAAAGCGAAGTTCAAAAGACACCATAATCTCCACCAAGCGCAAGAGCAGGGCTCTTTCTTGTGGTTTTATTACTTGACTGTTGACCTGGGAAATATATATCTTGAGATGGCAAGCAGTTGTGGCACGATCCACTTACTGGTCGCAAAGGAGGTGAAATTATACGATTGACGAATGGCGCAAATTCGAGTTGCAAGGACTTCACCTGTGACGAGGTGTCTGTTGGCCCCTGCAGTCCGACCGGTAGAGCGGATACCGTTTGCTAATGATTTGTAAATTTCTTCATTTGCGCGCGTCAGCTGCAAGTTCTACTAGGAATGAATATCTTGCAACCACACAGAAAGTAAACACTTACGTCCCAGTCCGAACTATCTCGTTCTACCCGCTTTTCGCCTCGCTCTCGGAATAGCGGATGAAAAGGGACCAGGAAATATGACAAGTATGTATGCAGCGCGAAGTCCCCGTCCGTATACATAACCGATGAGAAGGAGTCAAAGGTCGTCAACCACTCGCCAGCCTTCTCGTAGTGGTTCAAGTTCGCATCGTGCCGGTGACAATTGATATAATGCGCAAAACACCCTATACTTGGGTAAATAAATGGAATGGATGTCGTAGATTTTGCACTGACCATTTGCTATACTTGCAGGATTGTTCAATCCTTCAATTGTATGGCTTAGGCGGTTCACGTATCGTGCCTCTTCTTCTTCGCCCATGCCAAGCTCTTTAAGACGTTTTCGGGATAAAGGTGCAAATATTTCGTTAATTACGGAAGTTACGGTAGTGTCCCCCTCCTTCATGCCCACTGTAGCACGGCGAATGAGAGGTTCGGTTACCTCGTCATTGCGAGACTTGATGAACTATGAAGATTGAGTTTTTATAAGTGCGCTGTGTACACCAAGTAAGTACACACCTGTAGAGTATTGAGACAGCCTCGGAGATCGCCTTTGGCCACGCCAACCAAGGCACTCAGAGCCCTGGTATCAGCTCGTAGCCCCTCCAACTCGCAAATCTCGCGGAGACGCTTGACAATATGACTATCAGCAAGTCTCGTGTACCGGATTTGCCGAGCGTGAGGACGGAGTTTGGCAAGTGCATTCGCATTTTGGTCATTACAAATGCATATTATCGGGCGAAGAAGAGGACGCTTGTCTTTCTGGTCGTTCTTTTTCCCTGCCAAAAAAACTCGGGGGAGTGTCATCATTCCGAGTGGAAAACTTACGTTTGTTCTTTGGCTTGTCAAAGGTGAGCGAAACCAGCTTGTTCACAAATCCACTTGACTAGTCAAATGTGTCAGTGATCATAGTCGGGATCATAATTCATAACGCATACGTTGTCCCCGCCTCCTGTGGCCCCATCTATCTCATCGATGATGAGTAACATAGGTTTCACTGCTTCCGACTGCAGACCCTGATTCCAGCGCCGGCCGTATTCGCTCGTCGATAACCTGTGCAGAACGCGCATCACTGTGCAGAGTGAGCACCAGACCAAAAATTCCATTGGAGAAGCAGACCTCGCATTTATCTCCATTACTTCATATCCCGCCTGCTTCGCAATAACATGAGCTAATGTCGTCTTACCAAGCCCAGGGGGACCGGATATTAGTAGTAACTGTTAAAGGCCACAGATAAACAATGTGCGTAATCTGTTGCATAATATGAAGGATTACCTTTTCTCGTGGTCGGTGGTATTCATCGTCAGGGTTATAGTTCTCATCATCTTCCAGCAGCCTCTTCTTGCTCTTCTTCTTGCCGAATACACACCAGTCCCATTGCTTCAGCCAAGCCATTGTTTCACGAGCAACACGCTCATTACCTAACAACTCTGTGAATTTCCGAGGGCGATATCGATCAACCCAAAGTGTGTCCTCTGGCACTGGACTTGAAGGTTTGTGTGGTTCAGACGCTCTGGCAGTAGTTTTCCTACCAAAGTATATGAGGTTGTGTTCCCAATGGAGTCGAAAGAGACGCACGAAAGAGACGACTTCAAAGCAGTAGCAGCCGATAACTCATCTCTGAGTCTATGTATAGGCACATCCAATAGGTTGCTTAATTGTGTTGGAGCAGAAGAAGTCTGAATACAATGAGTATAGACTAGGAATGGAATGGGTGCGTATCTTGCCTTCTGTGTTGTGCCTACGTACCGCTTTCGCCCTATGTGTATTGTATTCCCGTCATATGTTGTAGCGCGGAGCGGAGCACGTATGTGCGTGGGGATAAATGATCTAGAGGATGAAGACACGGTGTTGCGGGAACTCTTTGGGATGAGACCCAGGATGTCTGATATGGGAGGGAAATGATCGTCTGGAGGACCGTAATAGTCAATGAGCAGTCTTAGAACACGGAAATACACTACCTTGTGATCCATGTGATATTCCACTTGATGGAAAAGTATCGGTTTGAGCTGATAGACCGAGAGTCGGTAGCAAGCCACAGGAGTGGATGTCTACTCACATCCGTTCGCATCCTGTGATCCCAACAAACCGTTTGGTTGAAAAGCGTTCATCGTCTCCGCTTGCTCACTTGCACTCGGCTCATCTACGCCTTCAAGCTCCTGCACTCGTTCTTCTGGTTGTGCATGAGTTGGGGCAACACACAAACCGCCCAAAAGGCCATTCGATAGGAAGACGGAGGTGAGCCTATCTGTGGTGGATGAGGATCCTAGCAACGAGGTCGATGGACCGGGCCCGAGCAGTCCAGTAGCTACAAATGTATCTGCCATGACAGTGAGTGACGAGTGACTTTGAGCGTAAAGTCGCGTCGAAACACGCATCACCGTGGGAAACTGACGCGACGCGTCTGTGGCTGGCTGCAAAGGGCCGGTTTCTCTTCAAAATTTAAGGACTCAAGCGTACCCTGATGCACAGCCTGAAAATATCAAAGTCCCTTCCGAGCGTAGTGACTATTCCCGCTGGAATTTACAATGTCGATCCTATTAGGAGACGCTGGAAATCAACCATCGGAGTTCTATCACCAGATGAATCTGCAGCGTGGGGCGAGACCGTGACCCTGTAAAGTCCCATGTAGACTTTTGAACGCGATTTTGAGGACCGACCTTCTGTTTATAGAATCACCCAAATTCTCACTGGTCATATCATGGGCATCCTTCGAGCTCAATCGAATGCTAGGCAATGGGGAAGTCGTCGGAAAACTAGAAATGGCACGGTATGAGTTACTCGATCACGGAGATGAACTCTTCAGTGAGTAACCTGCTTCTTATTCATGCACATCTACTAGTACTAACATCTCGCAGTTCTGTCTTTCCCACGCGTTTGTGGTGCCCGCCCTTCCCTCACCCTAAAGGCCACTGTTTTAGTTTTACATGCTGGCGACAATCAGGACGGTGCATTGTTTGATGTAAGTCATGTCGGCCTTTGCCTTTGTTGTTGGCTTTTGCTGACCAAATGACAACTGCAGTCTATCGTCGACTGCGAGATTGCTTGGGACACAGATGCAGGCCACGCACGATTTGCCAAATATGTGACCTGTAAATCGGAGAGGGTCTTTCACCTGAACAATGCTGTCAAGCATTTTCGGTTGGTTCTTGACCAGTGTCCAGTCAGCCAACCTGGCCTGCCAGCGGCTCTCACCAACCTCGCGTGGGTTCGCCTTGAAGGCTACATTCAAAACGATTTTCAAAACATCGACTCTATCGCTTCTCTCTTCTGCGAAGCCCCTGCGTTGCGTCCGCAGGGCCACCCCGATCATCTGTTATATCTCTTTCACCTCCTTAAAGCATTGATCTGGCGCTACGACAAGGAGAACTTCACCACCATCTATATCCAAGAATCCGCGCAACCGTCCTGCAAGCTATTACCCTCTGCCTAGAGGGCACCTACCTTCGTAGCATTGTGGCAGGAGCAAATGGTGTCGATTTTGTGATCCGCGAATGCAACGAACTTCTAATAGACGCATCCGATGAATGGACCCACCTTCAACGAATCGTGCTCGAGTTCTGTCCTCTGGACAATGAATACCGCCCAGAATCACTGAACATACTTGCATATGCTCTCATATCACATTTTAAACAATGCGGCGATCTAGATGAGTGCATACAACATCGTCGTGAAGCCGTTTCTCAGTGCCCCGAGGGACATTGTGGACGTGATACATACCTGAATAACTTGGCCTACTCACTATATTACCGCTTCGAACACCAAGACAACTCTCCTGACCTTGCCGAGGCCATCTCTTTGGTTGAAGAAACGCTGCGCCTGCGTCCTGTTGGGCACGAATCTCGTGACATGCCATTGGAAAACCTAGGAAGCGCCCTCTGCTCCCGTTTCAACCGTTGTAGTGGCGTTAACGACATCATCAGAGCTATCAGCCTCCAGCGCGAGGCACTGATGTTGCGTCCGCCTGGGAATCCATGTCGTGATTCCGTGCTCAACAACCTTGGCCTCGCATTCAAAATCAGATATGGCAAATTGGATACCAGTGAGGATCTCGACGAGGCCATCAACTTATACTAGGATTCACGCGGCTTGACGATCCAGAGCGCCACGTAAATCTCCACAATTTGAGTTCAGCGCTCCGTTCTTGTTTCACTCAAACTTAGAAGAATGAAGATATCAAGGAGGCCATTCAACTTTGCCAAGAGTCGTCTTTGGCGGCTCTACCTTCACTGCACCCGGATAGATGTATCAGCTACATGCGTTTGCAGGAAGCCTACCTGTCTCGTTACAGAGTGCAACGCAAGTCTGCTGATTTGTTGCTCCCTGTGGAGAACTTCAGACTGGCATCACGACATCCCACGCATGGAATTCCGCTACGCATCGACAGGGCGATTGATTGGACTTTTGCAGCGGAGAGGCACAGCCATGCCTCCGCACTGAAAGCCTACAAAACATTTTTCGAGCTTCTTGACAGATATTTGGCAACACAGTCTTCGATTGTTGCACGGCACGAAGCTACTGCCGCTTTTCGTCGTGCTAATACATTGCCTATGGATGCGGCATCATGTGCCATGCGCCTTGACAACATACGAGACGCAATCGAACTTGTGGAGCAGGGGCGCGGCCATCAGTGGTCGCTGGCCTCTTGCCTGAGAAGTCCACTTGAAGACCCCGAATTGACAAATCCCAACCTAGCTCACAAGTTCTCGGAGCTCGGCACGCATCTTTCTGACGTGCAAAGTTCCGCAGTCAGCACTGACCGAGCCGCCGCCGACCGCACAGAAACACAGTACAGGAAACTTCAGGAGCAGTGGGGAGTAGTAGTAGCAGAAATTCGAAATCTTCAAGGTTTCTCGCGGTTCCTGCTCCAACCTTCATACGAAGCCTTGCAAGCGGCAGCACGTCATGGCCCAGTCATCATTCTCATTGCAAGTAAGACATTGTGCAGCGCCATCATTGTCCCGACATCAGGAGAGCCACACCATGTTCGCTTCCAGCGCATCACTCTCGCACATCTGGAGAAGCTCAAGAATGATGCCAGGGAGATACGGCACGCATCTTTTATGCGCCCAGAGGAGACGAGGAAGGATTTGCAAGTTCTCTTGCGAACAGTATGGGATGAGATCATGCTACCCATCGTCATCGTCCTCCAGCGTGATCTCAAAGTAACGGGCCGCTCTCGAATCTGGCTGTGTCCGACTGCAGCCTTCACTTTCATTCCTCTCCACGCAGCTCACCCCTTTCGAACGAAGGCAGACGGACGTAGTCGGGAACTATGCCTGGAGGACGTCTACATCTGTTCTTACACGCCGACACTTTCAGCTCTGATCAGATCTAGACAGATGATGAAGACACGTGTGACTCCGTCCTTCGCTGCAATTGGACAAAGTGAACCGGACGCGGGGGCAAGGCGAGGCGCTCTTGACTATCGACAGCGAGCTCGAGCTCGTCCGCAGGCTCATCCCCACGACGGCCAACCCTACCACTCTTTCTGGCGACAACGTCACGCAAGCAGGTGCACTCGACGCTTTGCGACGCAACACCTGGGTGCACCTCGCTTGTCATGGAAAGCAGGACCGCGAGCAGCATTAAAATTCAAATTTTGCCATGAGAGACAAACCTCTGATGCTGCTTGATATTATGGAGAATGACACTCCGCACGCCGAGTTCGCGTTCTTGTTGGCGTGTCATACTGCTGTTGGAGATGAGGAGACACCCGACGAAGTCATCCACCTCGCAGCAGGACTCCAGTTTTTGGGATTCAAAAGCGTCATTGGTACTCTGTGGGTGGTCGACGACGCTGTCGCACAACACGTCGTCGAAGCTTTCTATGAGAATATGTTCAAGGATTTTGAGGATAGTGGTGTCATGGGCTGTACGAAGGCGGCCTGGGCACTCAACCGTGCTACAAACGCCATGAAGACGAAAGTGCCGCTTGAGCAGAGGATGGTGTTCATTCATATTGGTGTGTAGTTCTACGTATTGCTGTCGTCTGGCATAGATTTTCAAGTTGTTAATTTTCGATCTTATTTCATCCCGGTCACTGTAGGACCCGTCGTTTGTAAGACTGCCTTCCATGTCGATCATACTGTTGTTTTGCGTCCAGCCCAAATCTGAAGCGTCCCTGACGTGTGCGCCTGCCGTTTCTCCCATGACATGCGGTGGTTGATTTTCATGGTCATGCCTCGCTCGCTCGTCACCAGCCGAAGACAAGTAGCTCATGACCATATTCCAGCTACTGTCGTTTTCGCCTACACAGCCAGCCACATCGGAACGGACCAACCCGTCAGGCAGACCTTACCCACTTGGATGGTGCAGGTTCAAAACCTGCCGACAATAGTTTTTCTCTACGATCGCACCTTGGGCATGAGTTCATTTTCTGTAACATTGTGCTGGTCAATTTTTTCAGTATCTAGGTCTTTGTCGTTGTTGTTGATTGAGTCGTGCCGCGCCGATTCTGAGACGTCTGACAGTAAGTAGCACAATGGTGGCGGGCCTTTGATTTCGTACATGCAGATTGAAAGTGATCTTGCTATCTGTATACGGACAAGATTGTCTTCTCTTCACTCAAGTCCCAGGCCATTCCGGGGACTGCCCGGAACTGATGCGAACCCTAGCACTTCGTGACCTTGCTCACGAAGTATCGTTTAGCCACCAAGGTTCAAGTAAATTTACTTGGTGCTCTTCGCATATACTAATACACAATTGTCAGGTTCGACTGAATAGTCTTCATGATCAAGCTTTCTATGCAATACGTAGTAATTTGGATGCCGGAAATGTTCTGAGAACTTCATACAAGTTGGTCATTTTTTAATCATGGCACAGCATAGTGTTAACCAGCTTCGCGGTGTCAGATATCACGCAACCCTGCAAATGAATGTAGAAGAGAATCCCACTCCAGCATATCATGTCCGTTCTTGTCATACATAATATCCCTTCGTTGCTCAGGTGGATCGCTGACTCGCAATTGGACATTGCCATTGATTTGTGCCAGAAAATTTGGCTGCAATACCATCCTCAGGCGCTTACACTTGCAAATATATTGACAGAGAAAATACCGCTGCCTCAGTGTGCTACTGGTGCCTTGGGGGCCGGGGGAAATAAGGGTAAGAAGAAATGGTAGAATCTGGTGTAAATTGCATTGTATGCATTGTGTCTGTGAATCTCGCTGTTCACTGGAGACCTAAGTTCTCAACGTTCCTGCCCCCTAGAGTGGAACCCATACAATACCCCCGGAGTCCGTGGCAGACTTACCCCTAGAGTGCCCATTAGCCTCACTTTCTGCCGTTGATAGACCCACTGCAAAGTTTCAAACACCGTCAGGAGTCCTTTGACTTCACATTGTTCTTTAGAATTAACTGCACACCTCTTCAATTGCAAGTTGTTTGTTTGAAACGGCTCTGATATATCCCATCGCTGTTCGCTCTCTGGCAGACATGTTTCCTGAACTGGCCCAGATCCCCGTTTTGGTAAACCATAGGATCACTGAAGGCACAGTTATTGGAGACCCCCTTGATGAAAATGCTGCATACAGTGGAGAAAGGACGGTGCATGAACTCGAATTCCTTAGGCGTAAGTCTAACACCTTAGTTTGAGCTCGTGTGATGGATATTTGCACCTTTGTCAATTCAAAATTAGGTATAATTCCGGAGCTTACTCACGCTCATGTTGAAGGTGCAAAAAATCGCGCACACATGCTTCGCACAATTCGTGAGTGAATTATTTCCTTGTTTTGGCAGCTGCCGTAGTGAAAATCTTAGACGCAACTAGTGCTGTTGGGGGTGGCAACGTCCCAAGCAGCAGTACAACAGGCTCAAGCAGCAGTGCAACCGATCCAGCAAGTAATGTAACAACAACACGCAATGCTGCAAAGGAATGAGGCCATGATCACCAATATTCGTCTGGCGAATCAAAATAACATGGTACCCCGTGACCGAGACGAGTACACTCCACTCCAGAAAACTGTGAGTCACAGTCGATATTTGCTCTTCCCGATTCTAATGCATCTACTACCACAGGCAAGCGGACACGGCCGTAGCCTAGCAATACAAGCGTCCCGGCCAGAACATGTTGATTTGATCACTCCTGTTGCTGCTATCCAAGTTGCTGAAGTAGGCACTTGCCCTCCGCTATGGAGTCCTGTTGTCGACGACTATACAATGAGGAACATATTACATTTGATCATATTCTATAACGATGATTTCGGAATCCAACCGGCTGACGACATCGATGATAGAAAGTCTAAATTCCGCCGCCGGCTGCGTTCTTAATTCGCAACACTGCTGTCTAGTAAGTGGTCCTGTTTCGTTTTGTACGTGACGTTCATTGTAGCTCACTACCGGCTGCAAGGTGTTTCCATCATCCTCACGTCATGGACTATGTAACTAGCTGATGTCGAACGTCAAATCGTTATTGTCGTCATTGGTTATTGTTCGTCATGATCATTGCATAGTAGAATTTCCTTTTTCCGTTTATCATGTGTATGTTCGCTCTCTACTTATACTTTCATACGCCAGGCCTCAATATTCAATCGTCACGGTGGTCTCTAGTTCGTCGTCGTCCCGCCGTCTCTTACAATAATTTTCTCAGCGTGTTTGTGTCTTAGGTATTGTATTTGTACAGTCGTTGTCTTGAAACACTGAGCGTGTTCGTGTCTTAGCTTGAAGAGGCTATGAGCCCCAATTTCTAAACGAAATCACAAACTCAAGCTACACGCGGGTTGAATACTGCGCTCACTTACTACGGCTCGCTATAAATATGGTCCGTCCTTCGACATACATGGAGAAATGCGATCACATTCTAGTGTTGACGGGTATAGACACTTCGCGTTTCTACGCGAAGTATCACATACTCTCGGCCCTGGAGCCTCAGCCTGGCCCCAAGACGGATCCTGACGACATTGTCGGAGCTGCCTCACATAAGCCTACGCCAGTCAATCTCAGTGGCATCAACTCCGACAGTGAGCACGGTTCCATGCTGACTCTAAGAGGAACTCGGATAAAGCCTAATTTGACAAGATCACTTCGTTGTGCTGAATGTTGGCCCGGTCACATTGGCACTAGTCAGCTCGGTGTCGAATCATATCTCTAACTTAGTAGGGGGCGACGACGACGATCTGCGGGTTTTATATCAACACACATTTTTGGCGTGTATGCCCACTGTGTTGAAGCCAAAACTCCTCTTTTGTGCTGTCAGCAGGGGGTCTGCCTTATTCGATGGACATTGTTGGTGAAGGAGAACGTTTCCCACCATCGAAGTTATAATTGGTTGCATTTTCACCGAAAGATTCCGCAGTGTTCATCACAGAAGAGGGTGGATTCGAAAACACTGGGGATTGTGCAAACTTGTACCTTTCGTTTGGTCGTGACTATCGCGCGTGCGCCTGAACAACGCGCTCACGATTACTAGGTATTGTCGCAAGGCGTTATTGCGTATTGGTGGACGAAGCCTGTTGTAGGCTAGTTACCACTCTTCTATCCTCTCGCGTTTCTCAACCAGACTTTAAGGATGCTCTTGACGTCGAGCCTGCTCATTACACCGACAAGAACGGGCTTACCACAGCCGAACCTGAAATCGGTGGGCTAATCACTTACAAGTCCCCCACTCTGGATGGGAGACAACGTCACACATGGTGATCACGACGGTTATTGCAAACAAAGTCATTCCTCTCCTCCTAGATCTCTCCTAGTACCTTCGGTGTCGGAATCGGAAATCCTTCGAGAACTTTCATTTCTGAGTATCCTCGTCAACTCACATAAATGTTTTCCGGATTTCACTGCTGGACGGTGTTAGAGTCCGAGTCAGCGTTTCCATCAAGCACAATGAATTTCATGAACAAGTGTGACAAACTGAGCTTTTACAGCTCCTTCATAATTGGCCACTCATATATATGAGGCTTGAGCCTTGTGCGGGAATTAGATATATATTCGCTCATCGCGAATAGTGGCTTGGAATCAATGAACTTGACATGAGGTTGAATCGGTAATTATCGGATGGTGTAATTTCGTAAGTTGCCGCGGGTATTTCTTGGACTAAATCTTACATTCCGTTTGTCGTCGTCTTCGTCCTCATCGTCGTTCCCCGCAATGCTTACAACTCGCGGCGTCACCCGCATCTCACGGAGAGCAGTCAACAGTGCAAAGAACTCTCGGTTCATTGCAACAGCAGCTCCTTCATTATTGCGTGTCGCTGTCCCTTCCGCGTCAAAACAAAATTCAGCTGTTCGTCCTTCCCGTAGTTCAGCACCCCAACCCGGTGAGCTGGCAGCCTGCGACTGATTATTTCTCTCACTGACCGTGTCTTATTTGCTTTTTCGCGTCTTTTGTTCCATCCGGGCCAACCTAACTCGGGTTGTAGCTCGTACATATGCAACTGAGGCGAAGGGTGCCATTGGCACTGTAAAAACTGTTATTGGTGCAGTCGTCGACGTTCAGTTTGAGACCGATGCTCTCCCACCCATTCTCAATGCCCTGGAGGTTCAGGACTTCCACGGTGGCCGCCTCGTCCTCGAGGTTGCATCACATCTTGGCGAGAACTCCGTTCGTACCATTGCTATGGACGGTACCGAGGGTCTCGTCCGTGGTCAAAGAGTTGTCGACACCGGTGCTCCCATCCAAATTCCTGTGGGTGCCGCAACTCTCGGTCGTATCATGAACGTCATCGGTGAACCCATCGACGAGCGTGGTCCCATCAAGGGTGTCAAGCTCTCCCCAATTCATGCCGATCCTCCTCCTTTCGTTGATCAGTCAACCACTGCTGAGGTCTTGGAGACTGGTATTAAGGTCGTTGACCTTCTTGCTCCCTACGCCCGTGGTGGCAAGATTGGCCTATTCGGTGGTGCTGGTGTCGGCAAGACTGTCTTGATTCAGGAACTTATCAACAACGTTGCCAAAGCTCATGGTGGTTTCTCCATTTTCTGCGGTTAGCTAGCCTTCGAACTTCGCGTCGTATCATGACCTCACTATCTTTTTTTGGATAGGTGTCGGTGAGCGTACTCGTGAGGGTAACGATTTGTACCACGAAATGATTGAAACTGGTGTCATCAACCTCGAGGGTGACTCTAAGGTAGCTCTTGTCTTCGGTCAAATGAATGAGCCCCCTGGTGCTCGTGCCCGTGTGGCTCTTACTGGCCTCACCATTGCCGAGTACTTCCGTGACGAAGAAGGCCAGGATGTGCTACTCTTTATCGACAACATTTTCCGGTTTACCCAGGCTGGTTCCGAGGTGTCTGCTTTACTTGGTCGTATCCCCTCTGCCGTCGGTTACCAACCCACGCTCTCCACTGACATGGGTGGCATGTATGTCCATTTTTGTGCTCACCGTCACATCAATTTAACCTTGAGGATAGGCAAGAACGTATCACTACTACTAAGAAGGGTTCTATCACTTCCGTGCAGGCAGTCTACGTGCCTGCTGATGACTTGACTGACCCTGCTCCTGCTACCACCTTCGCTCACTTGGACGCTACCACTGTGTTGTCACGTGGTATTGCTGAGCTTGGTATTTATCCCGCTGTCGACCCCCTCGATTCCAAGTCCCGTATGCTCGACCCCCGTATCGTTGGTCAGGAGCACTACGACGTTGCTACTGCTGTCCAGAAGATTCTTCAAGACTACAAGTCTCTCCAGGATATTATTGCCATTCTGGGTATGGACGAGCTATCGGAAGAGGACAAGCTAACGGTTAGTGCACATACAAACTAATGTAGAACTGGGCGCTGACAATATATCAGGTCGAGCGTGCTCGTAAGATCCAACGTTTCATGTCGCAACCCTTCCAGGTCGCACAGGTCTTCACTGGTTACGAAGGCAAGCTTGTGCCTTTGAAGGATACTATCCGCTCCTTCAAGGAGATTCTTGCCGGTACACATGATAACCTCCCTGAGTCCGCATTCTACATGGTACGTGCAACATGTTCAAGTCCGTTATGATATCGGCTGATGTGTTGAAACAGGCTGGTACGATCGAGGACGTCAAGTCCAAGGCCGAACAGCTCGCCAAGGAAATAGGTGGTAACTAGGCGCTTCGCACTCATCGTACTTTCTCCATACTGCTACTCATGTAGAATCGAGCAAGGACATGCACCCAAAATCATCACTGTCTGGATATTCTTTTGTCAACATTAGTCCATGAGTCTGGAAATCATTGTCAGTTATTAGCGTTTCGAGTCCCGTATCAACTGTGCTGCGTGCTGGTGGTAAGCCACATTCTCATCTGGTTTGCCTTTCACTAGCGATCAAGCTGGAGTTTGTTTAACGTTAATGAGATCCAGTAGTAGGAGCAATAGATATTAAGCACAGAAAATAACTTGAAGTCGTGTTCGACTTCATTCCGCCTGCCTCTGGCGTCTACAATAGCTCAGGATAAACGAAGATAAGAGATACTCTTGGATGAAGGCAGAACGGATAATGATAAGGCGCTATGGCCGAGTGGTTATGGCGACAGATTAGAAATCTGTTTCGGTTTCCGAGCGCAGGTTCAAATCCTGCTGGCGTCGTATACTTTTTGTTCCTCCTCAGCATGGTCCGACAGCCCAGTGTTGCCGCCGTCGCTTGCATCAATGCGCAATAACATCACCAAATCACATTATTTAGACACAATTCTTGCTGGTATGTTTTCATGGCATATATGTATAAAGGACCGGCATTCACGCGGCCACGCTATTGCGATCTTGCACGCTTGTTAATAGAGGTCGAGGAGTACCGGAGCCATGTCTGTGGCTGCGGCATACTATACACAATCATATCATCACTGCCCTCGTGACTAGCGAGTTCGATGACTCACTCGTTCCACTCCACCTCGCCGATATTCCCGTCTCACAGCTCAGTACTCTTGGTGGTGCACTGTGTGAATGATGATAGCCTAGGCGCCACCAAACCTCAGTCTACTCAAACTACAACAAGACACTCTGACCCATTTTACGGCTATGAGCAGGCTTCGTGGCTATGTGCTCTTCATCACTCATCTGTTTACTTGTCCAGAGTGCCTCCCCTTCTTCTAACTCATAAGTAAAGCTCCCCCACTTTATCGAATATTCACTTCATCGCACGAGACTCCATTCTTCCGTAACTTTCGCTGCTCTCGTCCCGCTCCAGAACTCAAGGTGCGCTTTATTCGGATGCGCGCACTTGTAAAAGACTATCCATCATATAGTTGTATTCATTGATGTGCAACATGCTAGGATACATCCTAACGAAGTTTAACTGCAACATTAACCTGAAGCGAAGATGCCGAGCAGAGTCTGGGGTCTTGACGTGAGGGCGTCCGGTCTTTTTTCGTTCAGGGCTCGAAGTCGTTCGAAGGGACTGAGAAAGGTCTGAACGATAACAGGTTACCAGACACCGCCAGACACCGAAAGATAAGGCTGCTGAGGAGCGCTCGTCCAATTACCCTGGTATAAATAAAGTTAAAACCGTTTTTGGGACCGATTCAAGTGACGATGATAGGTTGATCAAGGCCATATTTTAATTCATTCACCACTGGCTACAACACACGCTCTGATTTCATTATATACAGCAGTACATGTATTAGAAAGCAATGGTCAATCGCGATTTTTTTAGGATGCGTTGTTGCATTGTGAGACGTGCTCGAAATCTTACTGTACGAGTACAACTGGGTGACTTCCCGCAGCGTTTAGATATGCATTCCAAACCTTGTGTGCCGAGGAGCCGCTGTAAAACGTGGGCAATTTCAAACTCCGCACGTCAAACGCATCGACATTTCAATGTCCGCGACGACCATTTAGTGCGTACCGCTCACACAAAGTCTAGTATATTCCATTTAGCCGAACCTCCGAATTTTAAGGACGAAATCTAGAATTCTAAATGCTGCGGGAAGTCAGCTGCTTGCTGCACGAATTCTAATCCTACAGGTGCACTCAAGCGCGTACGGCGCTTCGAAATCTAAGCCTGTGCCGGACCTTCAATCTCACCGTGATCTTCGTGGTAGAATACCAAAACAGAAAGATTTTTGATTGGTGTATCTTGAGTTCTCGAACTTCCATCAGAACTCAAGACTTACTATCCATAGGTGGACTGCCATCCTGCCTTCAGGGTGGTGCCAATGAGAATCTGGTTGTTCTCCGTAGGACCGAGCTACAGTTTTTGGCGCTTGTTCTTACTTATATTGAGAATCAGATGTAGGGTCTACTATGCGTGCCCTTCCAGCTTTCAGTATTTTCGATGAGCACTCTGCACGATCACATTCCTGAACGAATGTCCTTCCAAGTTTATTGCCTGAATCCACCCTCAGATTCTTGTGAATTTGGGCCGTGCCCAAACATCGATGTCACTGGCATAGGACAGCAAATTGCACGTAAGGTTCCCTCTGTTACTGCTTGGCGAAAAGGAGCTAACCGCACTCTAGTTGGATTCGCAGCGACTACCTTTGGTGAGTTTGTGGGGATCTAATTCTGAATTTTGCGTTAACCCTTCCCAGCGATCACAGTTCTTTTCAACACCAATGAGGTTCGCCTGGCGTATTACAGCTACCTTGCCAACATTTATTCCCTCCTCATCTCTGCAATCATCTCGATGTCTAAAGGGCAGCTCACGCGGAATGACGCCGTTTTTGTTGTCGTGGCCATCATCTCGCCTGGCACCCTCTATCTTTGGATCATAGCCTTTATGGACCTAGTAAAACGCCCGCCAAGGCGCATCAAGAATAAGATCGCGGTTCACGAGTGGAAATTCTTCGTTTTCTTATCCATTTTCTCATTCATGTTTTGGGTCATTATACTCGGGTTGGTCGTTTCCCCCCCCAACACAGTTGTGTTCAGTCAGCCAGCCTGTAGTCAAGAGTACGGCCCATCTGAAATCTTCAATTTGTCTTGGTCCGTAGAATTCCTTGTTAAAGCGGTCTTTGCAACTTGGGTGCTGCTCAGGTCACGGATATACGAGCAGAAGAATCGCAGTTCCAACGATGGGTTAGTCATTTGTGATTATCTTATTTGCGCAAATTGACCTTACAGGGAGCCAGTCTCAACCTAATAACGTGGACTTCGCACTTCCTAAGGACATCCAAGTTTGCAGGATACGCGGGCTCTCCGCCCTTTTTTGCTAGCATCCTTTTGATTATGCAACTTTCAAACATACCAAATTCCCCAATCATGATTGAAGGTGATACGAGATGGGTATTTCAGTTCTTGAATTGGTGGGAAGTCCAATCGTGCCTACTCGGCGCTATCCTGATGTTACCGGTCGTGTGCCTTATGCTGGCCCCTATGCGGACAAAAGCATATTTGCCTCTGATAGTGCTGTTCGGTGTTGGTCTTGCAATCTCAAATCCACTCTTGGGGATATCATCTTTGGACCTCGTAAACAGTGCTTGCTGGCTACTCATCGCGAGGATCTATCATGTTTCAGCTGGAAAGTGGTTGTGAGTCCTATGTCTTCTTTGCTGAATTCTGGAAAAGCAGATAACTTATTGATTTCAGCGTATGCCTTTTCATCACTATTACCGCAATTCTCAACGTGTCAATGGGATGGTACTTTTCTGTCTCGGTGCTATTCCCGCAAACGGGGTGGTTCCTTCTCTGGCGAGTCTACTCATTCAAGCAGTCTGGTTCAATCTGGGATACACTGACACAGCTGTGGTGCGCACCTTTCATTTTGTCCCTTGCTGACAACCTTCATCTTCTCATTTGAATGAAAATAGGTCTCGGACGATTGAAAGCGCTCCCGTCTTTAAATTTTACCTCCTAATTCTAGCACCTACGCTAGCATGGGCTCAGTCTATTGTGGCTTCTAATCCCACAAACTCCTATTCTATGACATTCGGCCAGGTAAGCAGTGAATAATTATACACCATGAGGCGATATCTGGTCTAACCCTACCCTTCAGATATTCGCTCTAAGCATAGCCACCCTGCCTACCTCGTCGCTTGCTGTGACCTGTTTGCGAAACCGGCGAGAGATCTTGAGGGCCATATGGATGACTGACATCAGAGATCTGGATTCGACGGGTATACCTATGCATGTTTGTCCACCGAACATAAGTAGGGGCGCTTTGAAGTTTAGATATCTCTTTGGAGGTTCCTCACGATCGGAGTCTCCAGCCGTTCATCCTGCATCTGGCTCATCTGAAACACGCAGTCAACGCATAACGAACGGAGTGGCATGAGGAGTAAATCTGCTTGCTTGCAGACAATGCAGAATATTTCGTCAATCATTTGCTTTACGTACTCCCACGTCTCATGTAGTCCCGATCCTTCTTTTTTTGTGGTATTCTTGTTTATTATCCGTTGGGGCGGAGCCCTGTAGTAGAGAATACCTAGCTACGATATGTAACACATTTGGTGTACCTTGCTTGATACATGGTGGCAACTCCTTTTGATGTACAAGTCTTGATCCTTTATCGTAAGTACTGTCTTCCTGAATGAGAGTCTTTTGGATATTTTCAACATGTCTCATTAGTACTCAGCACTGAAGGAATCGATCAGATCCTCACTGAGGCTCTAGAATGAGAATCAAGGGCGGCGGGGGTCCATAGGTGGCTCGACAACGATACTTAAAATTTGAGCAGCATTTTCTAGTAAGAGTTGACCCAGTCATATAACCGATTCAGGTGGCGAAGTTGGTCCCCCTTTTGCGACTGCACTGGAGTGGTTGGGTGTTCAAGCATCGAGAATCACTGCGGAGCTTGAGGGAAGTAAGAAAGAAGTCAGCGAAGTAATGCTTGGAAGTTTATAAAGTCTAGTTGTATGAAGCCGAAACCCAGTCTCTTTCTCCTGGGCGGGGGAACCATGCAGTTCCGATTAACTTGAAGATCCTGACTCTCAAACTTCTCGAACCCCTTTCGACATTGGCGAGCGCCACTTATCAACACCAAGACTATGTATTATCACATCTTGGACATTGTACAGCCCAGTCAGTCGCCCTTGAAGCTCGACGGTCTATAATTTAGTAGAAACATGTTATATCTCACCCAAATTTACTGCCGTGACCCTCCCCACCTCGCGAATGTTCCGCACTTACTTAGCAAGCAAACCAAGTGTGGATGTGCAGGTGACAAGGTACACAAATGAGCAACACTCAAATATCTTTGTTTCAAAATGTACAAGCATTTGCTTGGGGGGATACATTTGCAGTATAGAGCGGGCTTTGTTCTTACTTGGGAGCTGAGTGGTGCACGGTTAAGGACTGTAGCATAAGTGACATCATCGGAGCTTACCACTGAACCAAGTCCGTAAGCTGGCTTTTGTAGTCTCATCACTCTTTTCCATGACAGAGTGGTAAAATTCGAGAGCTTCTCCGTGTCTACCAGCCCGAAGAAGCGCAAGACACCGTTGCTGAATTGTGGTTTGCCGCAATGACTCGAGGTCCCACCCGAAAAGCTGCCAAACAACGCGGTTGAGCATGAATGTAGTGAATTTCAGCTGGATTGATTGACGTACCTCGGTAAACACCTCATACTTGGAATGAATTTCCATGTTCACAAAAAAATTGCTGGCGTTGACAGCGGCAGTGAGGTGGTCAACAGCTTCGTTGTAACGCATCAGCGTCAACGCAGTGGCTCCAACTTGGAGCCGTAGATATGCCTGATATGCGAAATACAGTGTCAGTACACGAACCAAGCGCTATTTGAATGCACAATACTCACTTCAACGATACGACAAGGAATGATATCAACATTGGAAAAACCAGCGCAAGCTAGCTCTTTGATGCGTGTTATTGCATCCTTATGTTCATTTGCACTAAAAAGTGCAATGGACTGAAGACCGTAAGAAAGACAGAATATTTAAAAAGAATATGACCTGCCTTGATCAAGAAAAGTAGGTGATTCGTCTTTGAATCTCCGTTTGTGAACGTGGATGCAATGTCGAAAGACGTCATCGCCTCTCGGACCACTTCTTTCCGCAGAGGGCAATGCCCTTGGAGATAAAGCCTGTCAACGAGGGCTGTATGGTGACGGACTACGTCAGGATCAGTAGCCTACTTGGGGGTCATAGTGGGTCAGTGTTCCTGACCTTTATTGCATCACGAAGTGCGGAATCCCAGTCAAGTTTTCAGGCCATGATAAAAGAACGATTGGCATGGGATGTGTACTTGTTGGGATTAGCAATGATATCTCTTGTGAGGCGCGCTTCAGCGTCACGCAAGTCCCCTTTGCGGCATGCCTCATGAATTATCGTGTCTATAACGAGAATCTGCAAGAGTCAACGAGACACGCTCAATTTCATAACATAGGTCAATTGTAGTCATGTACATTGGGTTTAGTGTCTCGATCCTTCAAAAAGACGCGAGATGAGATAATGGAGGGACGATTAAATAAATGCGAACTTACCTGGTGTGGCGCCTGTTCGTCCTTCAGCACGAAGCATTTAGGGACTTCCCACTCTGAGATCTTCTTATCTACACCCCCACTGAGGATGTGCTTGCTATCCACGGAGAACGTGACGCAGAATACGGCGCCGGAGTGCTTGAATATGGCGACGGTTGATTTTTCTAAGAGCTCCCAGAGGCGAACACATGTGTCATCAGATGAGGAGGCGACAAGAGTGCCAGCAGTATTGATGGCAATCTCGCTGATGCGAGCATTATCATGGCCCTTCCAGGAGTCACCGATCTGCTGCCAGGTGGATGAATCCCACTCCCGTATAGTTGGATCGATGTGGGAGCCCCCTGAGAGAAGGCGTCCCCCATCCGGTGTCCATTGAAGTGTGTTATTGTACGCCATTTCCCCGTCTCCTTTGAGAGCGATTGCTGCGTGAGCCTTGAACGTTGTAATGCATGACCTAGTGCTTATATCCCATATTTGGATATCATTCTCTGTCGCGATGGCGAGATGTTCGCCAGACGGCGAGTACCGAACGCAGTAAACAACTGTTTACTTGTAGGGAGCAGCGCAACAATTTATTGGCTCCTCCCCAAGCTGCCATGATTCCGTGCTCCAAAGCTTAGTCTTTTCGTCCCATGAACTGGTTGCAAGTGTTGTACCATCTGGAGAAAAGTCCAAACTGAACATACGTGACTCGTGAGCATTGGCAATGGTGTGCCTGAAAGATCCGTCGCTGCCTCCATGCCAGGCGATGAATTGCCCATCTCGTGATACCGCTAATGCCCACACCTCACTGCGATGCCCCTCGATCTTCTTCAGCAAATCACCTTTCATTAAATCCCACAAACAAAGCGTCTTATCGTACGAGGTCGTCACCATACGCCGTCTATCGGGGAAAACTGCGACTGCGACTACGTCTTTTTCATGGCCTTCGAACGTTCGAACGGGTCGAACTTGCAACTGAAGAGGACCAAGACAGACCCTTCTAGCAGACCCGCCCATTTTACTGAAGGTTGATGGGAGGAATTGTGGACGTGCTTTTTTGCAACAAGAAACAGTACCTTGGTTCCACCGACTTCTTCGGACGGGTCATATTCGCTGCGTTCAAGTTGCAGACTCCCTCAAGAGGAGTCTGGACATATACACAAAACCGGTCAGTCACTTTAGTCATGATTGCCAATGATGCTTGACTCGCCTGTTTAAGCTTTAAACATCTCGTTCAACACCGAGATTTCAATTTTCCTACCAAAAACTCTCTCTCGGCCAATTACATAAAGCAGTGGAAAGCAGTGCGCTTCAAGTACAACTTAGTGCACATTGCTGAACTTGTTTCGCGAGTGCATTGCATGTTTTTCGATCAGAGAGCTTGTTGTGAAGTGCGGCGTAAATCGACGAATACACGTCTGGATGTCGGTGCGGTTCCGGACTCAGCTTCTCTAAATGGCGAGCAACATCATCAACAGATGCCGAAATCAATGAAGACATGGCTTTAGCCTAGGCTCGTGTAGCCGCTTCAATAGCAAGAGATGCGCTGATAACAGGAGGAGTACGTAGAACAGTGGCCACCTCAGGGCCATACAAGTTCTGAAACTCAGCAGCAAGTAAAGACCCGTGCTCTTGTGCAAGCAGGTAGGACAAGTGCTGTCAAGAGACTCTTGAAGAGGATGACATGCATGCAAGCTCTATGCGTTAAAAAAAGTGAAATGAGACATGATTATACCTTGACACCGTTACGTTCCTTACTTCGCGCATCTGATTTTTTACGCAATGCAACACCATGCAGAACAAGCGCTCAGCGCTCAGTGACAAAGCAGACAAATTCTCTGCATAGCAAGCATTTGTGTAAGGAAGCCATGAAGGATCATCTTTTAGTCTGGACGTAATGCATGAGGCAGCAGTTGGGAGGGGAGTACCTTGTTGGGCAGCTTCTTGATAAAACTAAAAGCGTTTGAATACACCGAGAAACCGAAAAGGCAGACAGAAGCTTCGCTGTAGAGACGACAGCGTCGGACTATAGATCCATTGACCAACATAATGACTATCACGCATTCATTTATTTATCAATTTTACGGTTTTTCGAGAGAGTTCCCACGTACAGGTGCCTGGGGATTTGGATAACAACAAAACTCTTCCCACCAATGTGGGAGTTGGGAATCTTTCCAGTGCTGATGATCATGGTACTACGTTTTCTCTGAATCCACGCTTGATTGCAGGTTGAGCGCTGAATACGTGAATTTTGATAACATAGGATACTCGGGCTCAGGGTAGTCTTGACACCAGCCTCCTTGTCGCCGAGCAGTGGTAGATCGTCGGACAAGGCGTCACGACCCGTATATGCGCCTTGTTACCGTCGTGTAAGGCGGTTGGTCACGAGTCTCTCTCGAGCAGGGACTGGCAGGTGCCACAATATTGCAGTGCCTTGCAATCTCTTGCGGTTGTACAGGTAACGTGGCACAGCCAATCACGGATCCGTGCCTCGCAGTCTAACTTGTCTTTGTCATTTTAGAAATTAATGGTTGACTCACATAAAATCTATGTGTGATACCAAATCACTCACCCTCACAAGTCCGCGTTAACATTGCAGCGCAATGATCTACATACTCATTATTGTGACGTTGTTGTTTCCACTAAAGGGAGCACTGATAAGATGGCGGGCAAACTTCACTCCCAAAGTTCAACCTGTTCCAGAATTGCCCTTGGTCGATGATGCCTCCCAGCCTCGGTCATTGCTAGGCATGTTACAACGAGTCAATGCAGAAGAGGTGTGTGCAAATTTACATGTGGGTGCTCGGACGCAGACTATGATACCGCCCTTCCTTGTTGCTTAGGGAATTGACGGGTTGTACAAAGGAATCCGTGAGTTCTCCGAGCACTCATTTCCTTAAGACTTCTAATCATCTCTCCATAACACAGTCCCAACTCTCGGTTTCGTGCTATTCTGGAAACAAGTGATGCCTCTCCCATCCATTGCGGTTATCGGATATCTTCACTTCGGGGTGTACGACCAGAATGCTGTTCTCATCATTGCTATTGCTTCTCCCATCAAAATTATCGCAACTGTGATCGAGGCCGTCTTTGTCAATCGGTGCGTTCTCTGGGGGACTGGCTAACTTTCATGGGCTGAAAAGGCAACCAAGGGCTGTAACAACTCGGGAAGACATTCCTTCATTCTCATTACGACGAGCGCTCGATGCATTGCTCTCTTCGACTGAAAGAAGGCACCCTTATCGCATATTTATCATCCTAGGCTTGCTCGCGGCCTGCACTTCATGGGTTTTATACATCGTAGGCACTATTGGAGCACGCCACTTTTTGTTCGTCAAACAGTTTTCGAGTACATTTGGGGACTGGGAGAACGTGAAGCCCCTCCTTCCTCTCTTGGTCGGGGCCGTTATTTTCTCGTTCATTCTTAATGCTCTGGTGCTTACTCCACTGGAAGTTATAATGGTTCGATTGTCTATCCAAGCAAAGGCGACGCCGGTTACACTTCTTCTGGATACACCGCCGGCTGAAGCTGTCGGGCCTATCAGGTAAGTTCTCTCATTAATGTTTTCCGGGGCCATCCTGAGATCAGTCATTGCCCCTCAGACTCAGGATTGATAAAGATGAATATACTGGACTTATCAGTTGCGCAAGGCTGGTCATTCAGGAGGAAGGTTGGGGTGCGCTTTATCGGGGGTGGTGGTGGACAGGTTTCCGTGGTCTACTCTTTATTTGAGTTTTCAATAGCTAGTGATTGTAGCGTGTTACCTTGTACCACAAGGTCAATATCAGTCCAAACTCTGGCTGTACGATCCCTCCGTGAGAATTAACAGCTATTAGCAACCAGCCCAGCCCTGACTCGCTTATTCCTGGTATGTTTTGAATCCATCACTTTTCATTTCATTTTGCGTTTGCTAATCCTATGTGATTTTACTGTCAATGCATGGTCTTCTTCGACTCGTACTGCAGACATTCATCTTGAGTAGTCTTAGCCAAGTAGTAAGCGTGATCTGTTGCAGGTTCGAAACCAGCTCAACAATCTTTTTTCCTTTGATCACGCCTTGAACATTCACTCATGCATCATCGGATCCTTCAAGGCCGATCTTGAATAGTCGCAGGTCAACTGGCACCAGAACCGATTAGAAATCTTGGGTGGTGCGGATTCAAAACCTGCCGACAAATGTCTCATCACACCTTGATATTCACTCATGGACAGTTGGTCACTGCTCACATAGAACGAGTCTTACTCGACACTGCAGATCACGTAGTATCATCGATAGTGATTCGTGGGAGGCATTATCTCCCTTCGATCTTGCCAGAGTGTACTCTATAAGCGACTTTATCGACACGTTGTCCTGACGGCAGTCCTTGCCTGAAAAATACCAAACAAGAGACAAATGAAACTCATGTTGTGCAGACCAATATGTAAAACACTCAAGAATGCATCAGCTACTTTCCTCTCCATCAGTCTTGGCCGTGGTCCCTATATCAGGCTGTCAGAATCTTCGTGGTCGGCTTGATTTTTTGACATGCATATGTTGCCAAGCGGTACTTTATCCCCTACTGCACTTCCACCTGGGGCCTGCAGCACATTGACATTGTACACTGGGACAGTGCAAGAGAAACTCTTACCAGTATTGATCCGTGATGTGACAGGCTTAACATCGTTGGAAGTCTCGGGCGAGTTGCTTGCAGTGGCAGATGAAACCAAGATCAAGATACGTAAAACGTGTCTAACTTGTCCCCGAAACTAAGGCATCTGCTGCTGCTTTGCTTTTTTCTTCAATCTCGCCTTTGTAGTCTTGGACAGTCGTCGTGTCTGTGGTGTCTGGTACCTGCAAGTTTGTCAGGTCGGACAACAATCTGCATGAACGTCACTCACGTCACCTCTTTTTTCTCATGCATTCCTGGAAGAGCCGTCCTGCACAGCGTGACTTTCATATAAGGCGCAAGCGTAAGCTTAGGACTGTCTCTTCGTCAGCCTGAGTACCATCTTCCATACACAAAACACGCACTATTTTTCACCTTCCAAAGCTCTTGCTATGGTACTCGCTCGATCCTCCCCTTCTGCAGCGATCTCGCCACGTTGCTCCCATTGTAGTTCATTGTACTGATGCAGCCCCGTCAGCTGTCCTGCACAAAAATCCAACGTTTTCAGATATTCGCGCTTCAGGATCTCCACAACTGAAATCAACCGAGGGATCGTAGATTGTGCAACATCGGCCGGGGAAGTGTGCAGCGTCAATGGCTTGTCAGGATTTTCCTGAGCCCATGTTCTGTCATATGAACAGTCGATGAAAGAGCCACGGAACGACCTGGAAAAAGTCTAATCCGTGCTTGACCCAGAATCTGATTTTGCCCTGCCTTGTTATTCGTATCGAGTCCGATGGCGGTGCCGCAGGTTGTGAATCGGTTGTGACCGTCTCGTTGTTCATGACTGGAGGCGTGAGAAACTCGCGCCCTAGATTCAAATTCTCCGGGTACCTTGAAGTGACAAATATTCACTCATGGATGGTTTCCTGAGGTCAACGAAGTTCAACCTTAACTGGTCTTATAGTCTGCAGGTAGTTTCCACAACGGAATCAAAATCTGTTAAACCTGCCAACGACAAGCCTATCGGAACACACTTCGACATTCACTCACAGATGGTTTCGTCAGATATTCGTCTCAACTGGTCTTAGCCAAGTGGTTTCTGCAACAGAATCAAAATCTGTTTCTCTTCGACTGCGCAGGTTCGAAACCTGCTGAATGAGAGGTCTTTTTCTATCGGAACACACCTTGACATTGACTCATGGATGGTTTCCATCTAACTGGTCTTGGCCGCAACAGAGTCAAAATATATTTCTCTTGGAGTTGGTTCGAAACCTACTGTCAATATTTGTGCGGTGTATAGACCCTCTGAGGTCCATCTTAACTGCTAGTTGGCCCAGCCATTGCGAGATAGTCTGTTCATGAAGATGATTCAACGAGAATGCGATGCCGAGAACTCAAACACCATTCATACGCTGTAAGTGTTAGGCTACCTCCTCAGTACCCGCAAAGTTATCACCGAGTCCCCCTCCGCTGTCTGCGGTTCCTCCACAGCGGCTAGTAAACTCACGGGTGTCCGACGGAAGTTGCTACAAGGGACAAACTCTCGACAGGACTCTCGAGCGGATTCAGCGGATGAACCTGCCACGTCTGGCCTTCCGGAGAAGTCGGGAACCGGTGGCCTCGAGCGCGCAGGAGCGTCAAGTATTGATATAAAGGGTTCCGTGGTACCTCCTCCGGCGATAGTTTCTACTCTTCCATTTTCCAGCATGAACATGAAACCAATCGTGCGAGATTAGCCAAGGATGCTCAGCGGTGGATTAACGAAGGTGGAACTACCAGGAAGGATCTGTTGATTCCATCAAGCTTGTTTACTGTTTATTCGATACAAGTTATTCTTGTTCATCACTCTTAATGCACTCACAATCTCATCTGACCAAGTGAAACCAACCTTCGCGAGTCGATAACATGCATTGCCTAAGCTTTCTGGTTCACTAAAATGATGTAAACTTGGCCCTTCATCGGATAAACCTCTCAAAGGAAAGGAATGTCACGGCGCTCAAGCATCTTCTGACTACTAGTAAATCCAACCCTCTGAGTTGTGCTTTCTGAAAGTTATATTCATCTCAATCATTTGTCGGAGCCCGTCTATTGAAATCTTCTTATTCTCATCACACATGTTGCGTATTGTCCGACGGCAAATTTTCCGCAGCTTTTCTCGATTGTTGCCAGGCCTGGCTCGCTACTTTCCAAAGTATGATACTGCTGATGATGTACATTTATTGTACCTTTGATGCATTCTCCAAATGATAGTACACGACATTAGTACTTGTAGGACAAGGTTGCTGTTGGCGAAGCTCGGCCTTGAGCTTTATCTCGTAAAAATATTCGTGCAGATAATATTTGACTTGACGTTTGTTGACTATGACAACATTTTGGGCCACCGAACGGCACCGTCGGACGGTAGTAGACCCTATACTTAGCCACAAGGCAGAATCCGAGATATCGATACGAATCAGCGACAAGTAGCACTGCCAGCTCTCAAAGGGCTTGCATTTCGTGCTTGGGCTTCGGTTGTGATCTCTACGTTATTTTCCTGCTAAATTTCCAACAATGGTCCCATCCATTGACGAAGTCGAGGAATACTTTCAGTCTCTCGAACGCTTTCTGACAAATTCCGTGGCGGCCGCCTCGCCTGGTCTTCCAAACATCCGAGAGGCCGTTCACCGTCTTTGGGTTGACATCTCTCGCTTTGGGCCACCTGGTTTTTCTTCATTCCCTGACATCCATGTCCCTGGTCTTGGGGCATTCGAGGTTCCTCCACCCCCACCTCCACCTCCACCCCCGAGGACTCTCGTAGAGAAGGCTGGTGATTGGATTATAGAACACCCATGGAAGAGCTCTAGCATAGCAGTAACAGCTCTTGGAGCTGGCCTACTTGCTGGCTATACTACCTTCCATATGACGCACACCCATAAGAGAAGAGTTCGGTCGACTACTGTCACTCCTGAGAAACGGCAGGTTGTTGGTAAGCACTTCTACTACTCGCTTGGATTGCCTTTTCATTGCTGATATCTTCTTAGTTGTCTTGGGTGGCGATCACCCTTTGGGTCTCCCTCTTATCATCGAACTTGAGCAGAAGGGATACATCGTTATTACTAGCGTCTCCACGCCGGAAGCTGTTAGCAGCATTGAAAACAAAGGACATGGCTTTGTCCGAGCTCTTGTTCTTGACCCTAATGAGGTGTGCAATTGCTGATCCCTGTTCCCCAAGTTCATCTAACCGAAGATCATTTAGCCTGGCACCATCCCAATCTTCCTTCGGTCGCTCGCATCCACTTTGTCCCGACGGTTTCCAATTACAGCCGCTGGTGACCCATATGCAGCCACCCCTTATCATCCCCTTCTCCACTCCATAATATCTCTTCTTACACTACCGATTCCATCCATTCATACGGCACCAACCCCCATTGAACAGCTATCTTTACGGAGTACTTATCTTCCACATCTTCTCTCCACGCACTTTGCCCCTCTCCAGGCACTTCAAGCACTCCTACCATTACTCCGCGCGGACGCCCGGCGTGTGTGTGGACGCAAGTCCATCATCGTGTGTCTCCCTGCCGCTGATGCACGTGTTGGACTGCCTTTCAGTGGAGTTAGTGCTATGAGCGCAGCGGCCACTCTTCGTGCGTTGGATGTGTTACGCCGTGAGGTTGCTGTTGGACAAGGCATGAGTTCCATCCGTATTGTTGCTGTTGATGTGGGTGTCGTTGGCGAAACCCCCGTCTCCAGTCTTGCAAATTCACATGCGATGGACGACTGGACTGCCTCAGAGAAAGCAACTTACGGTCAAGCATTCGCTGCGCTCGGAGAAACTAGCATGGGACAGTCTCGCAGACCGGAGGACATCTCTGTCCTAGTAAATAACATAGTTGGCGTCGTCAGTGCCGGAACAAAGACCAAGATGGCAAGTAAAACGATCTGCGGTATCCGTGTTGGTGTTGGGTACGAGAAAATTAGAGATTGGATTCGTGGTGACCGATTTGCTGTTGGTGCTGGCGGTTCGTTGTTTTTCCGTTTTTCACGCATGTATGAGAGTTAACGATTGTTGTCCATACAGCAGGGACATACACGTTTGCGTCATTCCTCCCTGGCATGCTGCTAGATGCATTGCTGAGTCTACCCCACATATTGGTTGGTGTCCGTAATCGGCTGTTGCCTGTGCCTCCTGCCCAGCCACACACGGTCCCAAAGGTGGCTCGCAATGTTCCATCCTCTACCGCGGCTTCTGTAGTTCTTCCATCATCTTCCTTGACAGTGAGCAGAACACACTCAGCTCCACGTCCGTCACCTCCAGAGGCAGCTGCTCCAGCGCACGAGCAGACCGAGCCTCTTTCCGAGCCTGAAGACATAAGTGAACATGAGACAGGCTCTGAGGCTGACTTCGAGAGTAATTCTGGCGATGGCGATACATCTACGGTGGAAAGTAGCTGGGTGAGCTTGGGATCTCGTGGGCCCACTGATGAGGTTTAGGTTTCGCAATGATTGACTGCTTTGTGTAATGCTAATCCGCTAATTGACAAGGATCTGATCACTGATGCTTTGTTTGTGTACTTCATGTATATTCTGTGTCGAACAAATATCACTCGTGCCACTTAGCACGTTACAACGTGCAACCTATTTTCTGCGGACACTCCTTTGTTCTGAAAATTGAGGACGTGATACTTGATCATCGTCTAGCTACTGGGAGTCTGATGGCAACTGCTCGGGAAGGTGGCACTGATTTAGGAGTTATCTTCTGCTCTTCTCTTTTCTACTAGCTCTTCATCAATCTGCCAGGTACACTTCATCGATACCATTTTGGATCCAGATGGGTACGTGCATACCAGTCATTGTTGCGGTTTAACAAAACCAGGCTACGTCGCAGGTCTCTCGCTGTGGCTGATGCCCAATCCCACCCAATTGCAACTTATCCAAAAGGTGTTGCCAAAGCAGCCCAAGACACGTCCAGTGTCCGCTGCTTCCTATCCGGAGATAACCCCTCATATCACACTAGCAAGCTCGACAAAGGCAACGCAGGATGTAATTCTACGAGCCATACCATCTACTTTGTATCCAATCCCAGTCGAGTTCCAGAAGCTTGAAGTCGGCGATCATTATTTTAGGTCTGTCTTCATATCTGTGAAGAAGACGACCGAACTCGTCGCGCTGCATGAACATATTATGGTCGCGCTTGACAAGGATGGAGCATCGCCTTCAGCCCCAGTATTTCCGCACATGTCCATCAGTTATATTGCAGATGAAGATGGGGTTGCAGAGCGGAAGAAGGCCGCTGATGAGCTGCGGGCCACCACAGTCGTTGAGGGTCCAGAGACGGGCCTAGATGGTGCAGAATCAGTTGTTCTTTGCTGCGGGGACTCCGAGGAAGAACGTGTGTACCTAGCGAGCTTTGAAGGCACAGAAGTGTGGATCGTTCGGTGCGAGGACCAGTGCAACACTGGCAAGTGTTACATAAAATAACAGTGACACCAGACGTTGCCTAGGATCAAGGACTAGGATCATGGTGACAATAGCGACAAGACTTCATTACTGCAGTGTAGGTTTGTTACATGATGTACGGAACAAGGAGTCGTGGTGATACAATTCTTCTTTGAGATTGGTTGCGAGGTGCGAGGAACGATTGGTATGCGGACTAGATCAACGCAAGTGAAAGCAGGAAACAAGCAAATCTGCCAGATCAGCAGAACGAAAGAGGACAAAAGAGCAGTACGACAATGGATCAAAAGAAAGGAAAGTGTAGTGGACTGAACGTCTTAAATATTACATGATAATATTAGTGTCTTCGGTTTTGGAGTGCGAGTGTTAGTGTATATGCAAATCAGAAAATTATTATGAGATTGATTTTGATCATCGTCATTGTGATCAAGAGTGAATGAAGATGATGTTGAAGCTGATGGCGGAGGCTCATAAAGTGGAAGAGGAGTTGAGTAATCGATCTTGCGCTCTCCATTCGAGTAGAAGAGTTGAGAGTATGCAGGAAGACTCTGGCTGTATGGAACGCTTTTTGGGAACTCCATTGCACCCACAATAGTGCGATCAGCAGCGGACGGATTAATTTGTGGGACAGCCACCCGCACATGCTGCATGGGCAGTGAAAAGTGGAGGCGTTCACACACAACCTCACCGTCTGGTTGTTCGTAGACGCACCGGAGCGTAATGTGCATCAGGTGGCACACACTGAAAAGAGGGCTATTTTCAGATATGCGACGGCTGCGGAGCCCAGCCCAATCTATTTGGTGGGGCTCTGGTGCCAAAGGCACATTTGCCTCGAGCACATACCAGTTCTCTGACGGAGAAGGAGTGGTCGCATTGCCCTTTAGAGAGTCATGCACAAAGACGCGGCCGTCACCAGAAATAATGTACTTTCCAGAATTCGAAGGATCGAAAAGGGAAAACGAACGGGTCGAGGTAGATTTGGAGGGATACGGAGTTGTGAGAAGGCCGACCTCATAGAGTGTATGTACAGAGTGTGCATTCCGAAGGGGCAAAGAAGGAGGTTGTTGCGTCCTAGGCGGGACCATAAATCGAGCTAAGCAATCAAGAGAAGTAGTGCTCCTGGATAGACGTGTCGTTAGCACCACGAACAATAGATGGAAAATAACGCAACACACCTGTACGTTTCGATCTGTTCAACATCAACAGTGAAATCAGTTATCTGAAGGCGCTGTCGCTGAAAGCCGTCTAGTTCATTGCCTTGTAAGCGCAAGATGAGAGGAACAGATGTCTCATCCAAAGTCACTGCATTTGGAATGGACGCGACGACCTGAATCTTCTTCAGGATTTCAGGTGGAATAGACGTTTTGTCTGTTTTTGTGTCATCTTGCCCTGATTGCGCATCGACGATGAACAATGCCATCGGGAAGACGGAGGTAGAGGACAAGGAGGAGGGGCCAGAAGGGACCTCGGCAAAACGAGCGAGACTAACTGGACATCTTGGCGCATTGACTGTGTGAGTACGACAGCCAAAAGGTGAACAAAAGCTGCTGAATATGGAGGAGTTGCCATCCTCGAGATAGATAAAAGTTGCAGTGGCATACAAGGCGTAGCGCGTCCCAACTTCAACTGCACTGCGATCTCCGTACGTAGACGTAGTCGGCAACCAGCCAGGAACAGGGATGTCAAAAATAACATTCCAAGAGCAGGGCTTATTGGAATCTTCGTGCCCATCGTTGGAAAGGTCGACGGATTCACCATTTACAAGCTCGCGAGTGATGGAGCAGAGTCGCAGAGGGGCATACCCAATGTCTGGGGTGATTATTTCGGATTGTCCCTCAAATGTGACGGTGAGCGACTGCATCAAAGCACGTGTTGTGCTTCGCCGGCGCTGGAACATGGACGAAGGTGAACTGAGCGAGATCGACACATGGCCTGCCAGAGAGAAGGCAGATCTAGCGAGGTCTATCAGCACAAGTGAGATGTTTGACTTCAGTTCTAGCTCACGAAAAGTCTGGTTCACCATACAATTCTAAAGAATCCGAAAACGGGATGATGTCTATTGACACAGGCATATCAGCTGTCTATAGGAGACTGGGGATATCAGCGACTGCAGCCAGGAGAATGACTTTCCATTAAGCGACAAACACGAGTCGTTATATAGGATATATTCGCGCTCGGTTACATCCACCCACGCATAGTCCAATCTGCACTTCTAAGGCAGAACAAAAGGCGCGTGGCTCACCGTCTGGAACGGCTGAGCTTCGGTATCAGCTAAAATTTGTCAAGGCACGCTATCCTGGTCAGGCGGGAACGTTTGCCGAGCCAAAAATTCCTTTTGTTTCGTTAAACCGGTTGTTGCCTTTGTGAGCGCACAAAGCAAACATAGGTTTGGTGGCTGTGCACCTCTTGAAGTGCGAGACAATGGAGAAGCGCTACTGCCAGAGCGCTAGAGCACAAAGCAAGCCGTATGAAGAAAACGCTCCAAAAGCAGGAAGAACAGATGCGTCTGTCACGTAAACGTTGAGCAGATGGATACAGGTCATCGCAAAGGCGAGAAAACGTGTATAACGCTACAAAAGCACGTAGATAATCATCCAGAAATACCATATAAGCACGCCAAGTTGGTGTGCTTACCGCTCGGTACGATTACACGTTAATGACACGCGTAGGCGTCTACGCGAACACCTTGGATACTGCCAGTGCATCTTCGTCCCTCTTACGAAGTACTTTTCTCTTCAATGTCTCCTCCTGAGCTTCTTTCCGTTGACGGTATTTGTCACCTCTGGCATGCCTGATTACTGAGCGCACGGAAGCAGGCGTAACGAATTCTATTTGTGAAGTGAGTTCTTGAGTAAGAAACAAGTTTGCTTCAGTGTACGAACCAGGATTGGAATAAATGGTTGCGCCACCAAAGGCTCCTTCAAAAATACGGATGGGCGTCAGCACAAATCGGGGGCCAATCTCAACGAGAGACGTTTGAGGCGGGCCGTTTGGCTGCAATGGATCCTTTTCCATTATCTACGGAGAGGAAACCGAGTCAACGCTTGGCAATAAACCGAAAGAACCAGCATACCTGGAAATTCCGGAACCAGATTTTGTTATCGAGAATAGAAAAGGTTAAGACATGGTCGATAAACGGTTTGGCTTTCCGAGCTAGTGGGGGAACGCCAAAGATCTACGTGGAGGAACGGAATATAACCACGTGTCAGCATTCTACCTTGATCATGGCCCATGAACGTACATGCGTGAAAACCTCTTTGGTAAGCTTGCCCCACTCCGTTTCATCAAACGCTTTGTCAAAGCTGAGAATTCCTCTGCTTCCTTTTAGACAGTTTCCGGTCATCTTCAGCTCATCCATCGTATGCACGTTTTGAACGTGCAATTTTATGCTGGGCCCATTTGGTGTTTTCGTAGCCCACATGTACAGGTCTTCATGTCTCCTTGCCTCAAAGTAGAGCGTGTTATTGCAATTGTTCAGGTCTGCTATCTCGGGCAGGAGATGTAACTGTGATTTCGAATCAAGTTTGGAATCTGAGATAGATCCCATTAAGAACTGATGAATCTGTCCACAAAAGCATTACCTTACCTTTCTTTACATGAGGTAGCAGAGTCTCGAGATCGTTCATGAGATGTCTCATGCGGTGGGTGATACCCCGAGAGGAGAGTAGCAAGACGCGTTGTTTGTTCCTCTTCTGTTTAGGTTGCTGGACGTCGTCACCGTCGACATCAATATCATCCATTTTTCGTTTGCCTTTGGCATCGAGCTTCGCGGCGTATGCTTTTTGAGCTGTAAGGAGTGGGGCCATCTGGTTGTCTACAGCTAGTGTGGATTCAAAGACAAAATTTTCGGTCATGGTTTACGTAACTATCGCACCATAAATACCAGAAAGCGGGACAACAGGGCAAAAAAAAACACATTAAAAAATGTAAATACTTGTTAGGTCATACCAACACCAGCGGCAAGCAGAAAAAATTGCTTGACCAAGGACCAAAGACAGGCAAGGCAACTAATGTACATATCTGCATTGTGAAAGCGTTGATCTTTTCACAGCCATAACATCAAAAAGGAAAAGAAAGCACAGCAAGCATGCTTGAAGATTTGTCGACAAATGAAAACAAAGTAACAGCGCATGAGTCCAAGGGCCGCAGTGCGAGCTCAAGAAGAAGATGAAGTGGATGTTCGTAGCTGCTTTTGCTTCTCTTGTTCCAACCGCTGAAACAGCTCACGCGTGAGGAAATTCTCAACGTCATTCAAACGGGAGGAACGTACGTGATACAGCAGTTGTACTGCCATCTGAATGTTCGCAGGCTGTCCAGTTATGACAACCAAACGCTCGTTTTCGTTACCTGGAGGTGCTGGAGCGCCGTTAAGCCCGGCACCTGGTTCCATGATTTTGATCTGACTAGCGCTCATATGGCGGATTTCATTGATTTTACTACCCCCCTTCCCAATAATACAGCCCACCAAATCATTGGGGATGTATATTTGTTGTGTTTGCAGCTGCTGTGGTGGATTAGGGGGCGGTGGGGCACCGTAAGGCTGCGACGCGCTCGCATACCCTGGCACATATGATGAGCCAGTATACGGGGGTCGTCGAGAATAGCTGGAAGGGCGGTAACTAGAATGACTAGAGGACGCAGAAGGCATGCGTTCTTGCGCTTCGATGAGGATATTGCCGATGTAGTAGGTTGCTATATGGATAGCATCTGCAACACCTGCAACGCTTAGGACTCGCTACATTCCCACAAAACAATTAGTTGCCGCCTTACAATGAAGTCTTGTACTATACCTCAGTCGAACCGGGGAGCATACCCTCACTTGCGTTCAGTCGTGCTCCGCTGGCATCTTGAATTTCCTTGATTTTTGAACCTTGTTTCCCTATCACAGAACCCATGCGCGAGTTTGGAATCATGAACTTGATAGTTACTGCACGACTTCCAGGAACTGAAGGTACATCGAAAGGTTCGTCATTGATCCGTCGTACAATAAGACCAAAAGCCTATAGGTTTATTATGATGAACAAAAAGAAATGCCAAAAAGATGTCTGGAGCTTACCTTGGATACAGCATCAAGCGGCCCGCTGACATTGAGAATTCTCTCAGGGTTACCGGGAATACTCTCAGAGACCATAACACGAGCCCCACTCTTGTCTCTGATCTCATTGACATGCGAACCACCCTTTCCAATGATGATTGACGCGTCCTGTGTAACGATCAAACAACGCATATGAATCATGGCTGAGGGAGGGGCGGGAGCCGAGGACGAGGAAGGTGGAGCAGACATGGAAGTTGATTTTCCGGCCTCTTCAGAGCGAGTGCGAGACTCGTCGCGTCGACTGCTGGATGGAGTTTCCTTGGGAGAAGGAGTAGACGCAGTAGTATCTGCTACGGATGCGGAAGTTTCCGTCATGTTCACATCGCGAGTCATAGACGTAGCGGTTGTTGAACCAGAACCCTGGTGTTTGTCAACTCGTGAGTCATCCGCGTGAGCCGTAGCGCCTGTGTTAGCACGCTTATGATGCTTCTTCTCGTCAGAGTCAGAAGGAGAGCGCGACCTCTTGCGATTGTAGTCTGCTTCTGCCATTTTCGAAATTCAGCTCAAAAATCTTTTTTGGTTAGGAGGACGGGATTCTGGAGTGATGGGCTTGATAGTGTGGTATCGTATGGTAGTGTGGTTTGAAATGTCTGATGGGGGACGAGTGGATGTGGTGAGGAAGACGGATTGCGAGTTGGATACGGATTGAATAGTACTGAAATTGACTTACCTCCTTTACAAGTTTTATACAACGAATAACCGTTGTTTACTTGAAACTAGGTTCTCCTGTAGCCCAAATAGTTTCTACGACACAAGAAACGACAGTCCAGTATACGTTGACTTGGGTTTCTTCAACGACAAACATACCAATACACCACAGCCACAACACCCAACCAACTTCTGCTACTTAATGCAAACCATCTAGATATCGATATTTTTTTTTGACCAAGGATCAATCCAAAGTGAGGTCAGTTTATTCATAATGGCTGAAGCACGCGGAAAAGCATGGCCTCTTGCAGATGAGGGCCTAACAAACTCCGTAAGTCTTCTCGAGAGCTCATCACTAACAACTGACATCATGGTATCGTAGATCTTGGACTTGGTACAACAGGCCGGTCAGTACAAACAACTAAAAAAAGGTGCCAATGAAGGTGGGCAACATCCAATCTCTTTTCCGTTCCCTGCATCTGATAGGCCACCTTCACAGCGACCAAGACCCTCAACCGTGGTGTGGCGGAGTTCATCGTCCTCACCGCAGATACCGAGCCTCTCGAAATTCTTTTGCACCTTCCCCTTCTTTGCGAGGAAAAGGTGTGCTCTCTCTCGAGCTTATTTGCACCGTTAATCGCTGACTGCTGATTATACAGAATGTTCCATACGTGTTCATTCCTTCCAAGGCAGCCCTTGGACGTGCATGCAATGTGTCCAGGCCTGTCATCGCTGCCAGCGTCACGACCAGCGAGGCCAGGGAGCTGCAAAGCCAGATCCGCAATGTCAAGATTGCGATCGAAAAGTTGATGTTCTGATATTCTCATTGCGGAGCAAGACAGATAACTGCTGGTATTACGGTTGTTACATCATTTTTGGTATATCTCCTGTATGATATACAGCAACTAGATGTCATCTTTTAAAGGCCACCTTTCCCGATTTTCCAGTAAATGACGCGTGCTTATGCAAATATTGTGACTTACTCTATGTTTTCCAGGAATGTCAAATAAGATCCATAGAGCCAGATGGAACAATATAGTAGTTCGACGGACACAGCTCGTGACTGTAAGCACGCTGGCTTACTAGAGTTCCCATAGTCTACATAAATACTGTCTGCGATACTGAAACACAAGCTTTCAGTATCACTGGCTTTTGGCATAACAGTTAAGGGACGACAGTCTTGACTCAGTTACAGTGACCAGCCTGAGCCCCAATATTACTACGGATGCTTAAGTGGTCACCGACCATTCCAAGACCATTCCATCTGATACTTACAGCTCGTTCCTTTATGGACTGGTCACCAGGTAATTGATCCGCAACCTAAATGCAGTTATCGAGCGCAAAGGGACCTAGATATATAGAGCGACTTGGGCTATGTAGTTGCGAGATCTAGTTCCGCATGATTACAGTTTCGTGCGATTGCTATGGGTACTGATGAACAGCTACATGCTTCCTGCACAAAATCATCGGTTTGCCAAACCTATTCTCGAACACCAAGGATGAGGCGTGGTCCTAGCACTATCTATACACGCCGGGCGACCTGATAAAAATCCGAACTCTTCAAAAAGATAAGTTCTATATAGAGATGATGAGAAGTGGCCATATTGATACAGACAGTAGATCGGGATACTGAGATCTTTGGATCCGAGACAACAAGCCGAAGGTGAAGCAAGCAAAACTAGCACGAGCAGAACTTTAGCGAGATGAAACAGTCTATCCTACTGTTAATCGTTGCAGTTCACGAAAATGTTTTACAGCAATCCAGATTGTAAGACCCAGTGCGAGAACTTCCCATAATATATAGATATGGTGTCTAGTATCCAGGTCGCGGCATATATACAAGTTGAACCAACAACTTGAAAGAAGCCAAGAATCACTCACTCCTGTGTACTAAGAAGACTGGAATGATAGCACACACGGGGTGTAGTATTCCAACCTACTAGCGTACCATGTCGAAGTCAGCACAACTGTTCTGCTAACTGAGATTATAACCCAAGTAGTACGTACACCGGTTTATAGAATAGTCATGAGAGACCAGCGTCGCCTCTGCACGAAATACTTGATTTCGCTGGTCTTCTCCGGGAGACATGAGATTGTGACTTTGCTCACCCAGACTACTTCACAACTTAAAAAGCCATTATCAGCGAGATGGTTGCTCTGGTTATAGTATCAACCTACCTCCCATCCAAATGTCAGTACTAACATCATAGAGTCATCCACGATTCCCTCGATACGTATTATATATCTTGCTCGCCCCAACCATATTCCACCGCAATGAAGGCTGCATCTGCAAAATCAAAGTTGAAATAGAGCGAAACTCCACCAGCGTTATCATCCTACTTACTTTCCAGTGCTGTCTCCACGAACTTACAAAAAAGCTGAAAGTACAGGCCCGAGCAAAATCGATCAACGCCACCAACTGGAATCACTCGAGACTATAGATATCGGTTAGTGGTGAATTTGACGGACGTATAGCGATGACGTCCGCACTAGATATGCTACCACCTTGACCGCTGAAATACATATCATGAAGCTCCTGGATCATGATATGAGGCGGGCGAAACGGCAGGGGTTTAATCTGACACTGACACCGTTCGTAACGGTAGTGTCGTGAATAGTCCCCGCACTAGGTCGAGGCACATAGGAATGTGGCCGATAAGTTGCTATCATTGGACAGCAATTACACAAGTTTGATGATTTCACGTATCTCTACAACATCCTGAGCTCTATATTTCGGTATTTCTGTGAGTGAGAGCCAAAGGTTCACGGACTCAACGTCGCAACTTCTTCTATGAACTTGGCCGGTGACCGTCTTTCCCATGCATCCATGACTGAGCACTTGCCCCGTTCATCGAGCACGAAAAACTACCCATGGAACATTACACAATGCAAGGGACAAAACACAAGGACACGACTCACAGTGAAATCCGGGAGCCAAAGTTTCATGGACTCATCGCCGCAACTTCTTCTACGAATTTGGTCCACCGTCTTTCCCACGCATCCATAGCCGTGTGCTTGCTCCGTTCATCGAGCATGGAATACTACCCAGGGAACATCGCACAATGCCAGAGACGAGGGTAATGACATAACTCACAGTAATGCTATCACGGGCCATCTGGCTAAGAGTAAGGAGTCCTGTAACTTCACTTGCTACTAGTACCTTTAAGCGATTGATGAGTCTTGTTCTACTAAGGGAGAAACAAAGAAGAGATCACCTGGAAGAAATCAAAGGATAACCCCATACTATTGAACATTGCAGGATCGTCGGAAGACAGTACCACCGGAATGCCTTGGTTCATGATTATCGGGAGGGGGTGCATAGGCATTGATGAGGTGAGACGCTATCATTTGTTAAGTCAACGTGGGTTCGGAGGCAGTACACAGAAAATCCTACTAGCACTTCATTTCTGTTAGAAGGTTAAGATAAACTGGAGGCGTCTACTTACACTAGTCACTCACGATATAGGGCAAACTTCAATTGCTATTTTCTTCTCTCGACAGATCTGCATTAATTTGGGATGCTTGGCTAGTGAAAAGCTATGCAAGATGAGTTAGCGAGCGCTTTGTGCCATACAATGCACCTAACCCGTGTCCGATACGCTTTGTTCCAAGTAGAATAGCATCATACAGGTTCATATCCGCTGCAGTGCCATCGCCTAGAGTTTCGCCGGCATGAAAGATGAATGGAATGTCCGGATGCTGCTCCGCGAAACGTAGAAGCGGCTCTGCATAATAGATTAGTGGTTTACACTCCGCGCCATCTTCGTGGCCCACGAGATCAAATCCTGGAGAGTAGAACACTTAGATCCGGGTCCGCTAACATTAAAAAAACCCGCGAGACTTGCCAGCAATAAGGTCTGGAAATTCCCGTTTGAATCTACAGCACTGATCCAGTTCTGCTTCCAATTCCTCGGGGGAGATAATTCTCATGGTAGCATAGATAATCTAAGAAAAAGATTAGTCTGAGCTCAAGTAGCTTCAACCGAGACTGAGCTGACCTTCAACCCGGCGAAATCGTTTTCCCGGCCTTTCGCCTTCATTTCCGCCTTCATTTCGTTCGTGACCTCTCGAATCATCAAGAGTAGTTCACTTATTTCAAGTTTGGTTTTCGCGTCCTCTGCAAGTATATATCTGACGAAATGTCGGGCATCTCAAGCAGTCGTATACCTTTCCGACTCACTTGTTAAAGAAACTAGATCGCATCTCAATGTACGAGATGCCATCGTCTATCGACGAGCGGATGAACATCCGCAAGTATTCCTTTTGAATCGGCACGAATCGAATGATTGGCTAAGGTTCATCAGTACAGGCTTATATCTTGACTTCCAGCATGCCACATGCTCACATCAGTCACGGCAAAGGTACTCCCAAACTTCAGCCAGATCTGCGAGTCCCTCACATTAAGGACATGTTCAGCAGGTTGCACGTTAATTAGAACTCACTTTCATCGGCGTGTTGTACGTCTTAAACGCATCACTGGGATTGATCACAAAGGCGCTAAGTACCCACTTATCAAATCCAGCAGGGCCGCCTAGTGCAGGATCGAAGAGCTCTCGCGCCTTCTTGATAGGAACCCAGCCGCCAGTGTATAAAAGATCCGTGATACCAATTGCGTCGGCGGCAGAATACTGTTCCACGGGAATCGGCTGGATCTTTGGCAGTACAGTTTCGAGAGAAGCCGCGTCCAACGGACCCGGAACACGGATATGTATTGCGGGATGACCTAGTGCCAGATCAAGCAGCGTTCTGGCCTCTACCGAGGCGTTCTGGTGCAAATGCAACAGTCCGCCCTTTGGCATCTACAAGGAAACCGCGGTCGAGATGGTCGGTGACGGGAAGCGCGGTGATTTTCTATGCTTACTTTGGAGACTATCTTACTGTAGAGATCTGTCTTTACAATAATTTCTTTGGCTGTACGCGAATGTGAGAGGAAGTGCTAAGCGCGAGTCGAGCCTCATACCATTCAGGAACTCCATTCCAGGGTATGGGTGAAGGACGTTCTCGTGATCAACTCCCCAAAAAGAGACAGCTTCTTTAGCACGGATGGAGCGCACGACTTCGTCTGCCTTGAGCTCGGCCGCGGAATAATTTGCGCGAACACGGTCTATTCGCAATGCGCGATCCTCTGCGATAAGTTTATCACGTCTCTGTAAGTAGTCGGCGAGCATTGGTGAAGGCATTGGCAGAGAGGAGGAAGATGATGATTTCCATGAATTCAATAGTGTTATAAACGATTCACATTGTGGCGGGTGTGGACCCAAGTACAAACTTTCGCTTGGGCACATTCGCATGACCCTCAGAGATTGCTGTGGGACGCTGTGGTGACTGACACGAGATAAACGACAATTGATCACAAAAGAATGCATGCTATACCTATGATCAAGGGCGTCTACGAAAGAACCTGAGCAATCCAGTAAAGGATACGTAGAAGAATAGCACAGACCTGCCAGAATTGCGTTTATCCAGTATCGCACTAATTGGTGTTCCGTGTACTTGGAACGGGAGATCGATCACAGGAAGACAAGACTATCGTCTGTACTGCACATGGTAAGCGATTGTGGGCAGTGCATGGTTAGGTAAGGTCAAAATGTACCGCCCAGTCACGGTAACAATTATTATTCATTGTCATGGCAGGAATCCTAAACAACTCAGCATATAAATGACTCGTACGGCGACATACAGTGAGGAAGTAGAGCAGTGGTGATCAGCGCTCATCTCGTGCAGGCCGATACCATCCGATAGCAGGCCAGTGAGGCCAGTGACGCATATACAAGAACAAGGCGCTTAATGAGTCCGGGCCCCGGACTCCAGGAATGGAAAATACTTAGGGAAGCGACGTCGACCAATGCTGGCAGGTCTGGGAATCGAGTGGAATCCGAATCGTGATGCATTGTCCCAGTACTTATTTTATAATAGCAGTGCGTCGATACAGGGGCCAGAAAAGAACCGCCAGATCGGTTGTTGATAAAGTGCTGCACAGCTCTAATTAATAAGCGCCTGGACATAGCAAGTTGCTTGACCAGCTGCTGCGAGAACTTTTAGTGCTTTAATCGATCCCCATCTTCCATGCTATAGTACTACACCACATTGGATCGATTATCAGTTCAATGAATTCTGATTTTCCACGAATTTGTCGAAACTGTAAAGTCTTACTAGCTAGGCTTGTACTCAGAACCCTTGTAGTCCAAGCCTCCAGCAAGGTCCGCACGAGGCCACTGACGCGCTTACATGAAAGTGCAATGATCATTGCGAATGTATGGTAAGTGCAGGTCGCCATAACTTAGCCAATATCTTCCATCTCAGGACGAACAGTCGGATATCCATCTCCATCAGTAATTCCTGAATGCAACAGGTGTCCTGACCGATCACCATTCGGAATTCGTCTTTGGGTTTAATCGTAGCAACTGGTAGCGCAATTTATCATTGCTTGTCGCGAATAAAACCAGAAGGCGCCCCAGTCCATTTCATTACGCCGATATTCGCTAGATTTTCATTCGCATGAGTGAAAGCAATATTAGACTACGACTCACCTGGCCGTCTCTCCCATCCTCGCGCTTTTGCTTTAGCAGACGCCAATCGACCTTTAATAGCAAGGCTTTGATTGATAAATTTGCGTATTTTTTGTGATGGGATGGTGTGAGCTGTTGAATGAACTTTGGACGCAAGTGAATCGGGTAGGGTACGGATAGTACGAGTTCTGTAGTGGACTAGTCAGAGAGCTCACAGCACAACAACCGAGACACGCACCCGACAAGAATGTCTTTGGCGCGTGCGAGTGGCCGTCGCTGCCGTTTTCTCGATGGTTGCACTTTTTGTAGTGACTTGGTTGCAGTAGTATCTGCCATTGCATGCGCACTTTGCGAAGCAAATGCAGACGTGAAAAGCGTATCTTCCAGATATTTTCCCTTGGTCAATGACTTCGTTAACGGAGGCTGGTCTTCGTCTCCTGATTCGTCATCACTTCCACTCGACGTCTCCTCATCCTCTTCTAGTCCGCTTTCACCATCGAACTCTGCCATCTCTTCATCTATTACACTGTCACCTGATCCTCCATCCGTCAGATTTTCTAGCTCGCCGTCGCCACTCTCATCATCTCCATCATCCATTTCAGCAGCAGCGTCCTCCATAGCGCGGCGCATTCGCACCTCCAACGTGTTATCCTCAAGAACCTCGTCCTCTTGACCGGAGGACTCATCACTTCCGCCATTAAATTCCCTTGGGGCTTTCCGCTTGCCCTTCCGCACCACGTTATCTGAAAGCTTCCCCAGACGCGTAACAACTGCCCGCTCCTTCAATTTCCGGTCCCTTTCCCGGTTTTGTGCCTTCTTCCGCGCGTTTTCTTCTGCCTCAAAGTCACGAAGGGTTTTCTTCTCCCGCTTAGCATTCCGTTTGGAAATAGAGTGAGAAACTGCTTCCGGCGCGTCATCGTCGCTTGAAACAGGATCAAGACGGGCCATATTGCAGCTATGGGATCAATTTTCCTACTGACGGTGAGTTTCTTGAATGTGCACAAGATTTTGAAACTCCGCGATATTATCTGTGCTCTGGCCTCTAGCTTATGGGCGCCTTGTGCGTCAGTCACTATTCCACAATGTGTTGAATACTACGTTCTGTAATAGCCTTGAACCTGCAAGTTGGTCATGGTCAGCGTACAGGGAGTCCCGCGTCCTGGCCAACCTGAAAGACTATCTGGCATCCACAAGGTCGAGAGTTTTCATCATGATTGGCCGTCCGTGGACCATCACCTATCCTTGTGGACAACCATGACATCTATTTGGTTAGAAAGGCAAGGTGACTGAGAAGGACTGGTTTTGTATGGGTTCCCTTCCCTTGTATTAGAAATGGGTATGAATGCACTGAATGATCTTACGGCAACGCACGTCAAATGACTTGCGCCCTCGGTGGTCATAACCAGGGATCTATGATAGATAAACCAATGTAATGACAGAGTACAACGCCGGTGTATCATGTATGTACCGTATACATAGTGGGTATCGCCGTGGGTGATGTGGGGCGTACATAAACCAAACGGTTCGGACTCGGAAACATCGATGCATCTGTGAACTCGTGGCTCACCCACCGTATAGGCATTAAAGATCGTCCACATCAACGATTTCTTCTCCCCTCTCCTCATGTTCGTCAGCTGCACTTCCCGACTTCTCACTCTCAAAGGCAGCCTCCATCTGGCGCGTCAGGCTCCCCAAAAATAGCGCAGCCTGTTTGTGCGGGAACGTAAACCCACTCGCTAGGAAGCCAAGGCGCTCCTTGAAATCATAACTCAGTTTGTCAAGCTCGAGAGGAGTATATTTGACGCGCCGGTCCGCTTCCGAGACTTCCGAATCTGACAGCTCAGTGTAGGCACGGAGGGAGAAGGATATTGCTGATTTTCGGAGATCAATTAAGTAGGCACGCATGGAAGGAGGGAAAAAAGGGGAACAAAACTCACACCTCTCAACATGCTCCCACCCGTCAGTTTCATCCTTCACCGTCGCGACATACGTATACACACAGGTATGCACGATGTCGTCTTCCATGCCCTCGCGCGGCTCCCATTTGATGTTCAGGACCAGGAGGTTTGAAAAATCCTCGTAGAATTGGATGGTTGCAGAATGTTTTGGGTCTGCATCTGTAGAGAAGGTCTTGGTGTGGGGGTGTGGTTGTCGTGCGAGAAGTTGCTTTGAGCGCGCAATCTCGGCATCAAGTTCAACACGAATATCTTTCACTGCACATGCACAAATGATTCAGCATCACTATGGGAAGAACCTACCAGACCCAGCAAAAAAGGCGTACCACTTTGCTCAAGCTCGGCAATTCGCCGTTCACGCTCCTCGATAACTGCGTCCTTAGCTGTGAGTTCGTCCCGCATGTGTGCGAGCTTATCGTGCAGGGTGCGCTGTTCAGCATCAGCTGTAGCACGAGTGAGGAAGTGAGGAATGGCTAAAGTGCTCGAATTGGGGGGTGGGTGTGTCGACCTGGACGGAGGATTGGGCTCAGGTTCAGATGTCCAGAAGAAGGGCGATTGGGAGGCGAGTTGTGTGTGGAGGGCTGATATGATGGATTCTTGTGCTGAAGGGATGATGATAGCACAGAGGTACAGGACTTAATTTAGCTAGAATGCCGTCAAGTTGGTGGCACTCACCTTTTGAACGACTATCATATAGAGCCGTAAGGTCATCAAGAGCTTGTTCAGCATCTGTTTTGCGGACCTGGAAGAGCTCCTCTAGTTGCTGCGAAAGTTTGTCACGTTGATGCTCCAACTAATGGAACCATGAGCGTTACTCGTCCGAACGATGGAGGTTATGAAACGTACATCTTTTGACTTTACCTTCCATCGCTCAAGCTCCTTGTGAATACGTGGGCTCAGGGGTGGTTTCTCGGGCTCGTGCTCTGGTTCACTATGATTTGAGGGATCTTCAGTAATGAGAGCTGGGAAGGGAAGCTTCTTAGCATCGGGCTTGACGGGTTTTGGTTTGACGTGAGTGTCTTTTGCCTTTGCTCGACTCTCTGGTGCTTTCCCCTTTGCTTGACTCTCTGGCGCTTTTCCCTTTGTCTGACTTTCCGAGACCTTCCCGTTAGGGCGACTTTCGGACGCCTTGGCCAGCCCTTTCTTTCTCTGTGGACGGGCCGTACTCGCGGGTATATTAGGTGGCGGATCGATGACCTCGATATCGTCTGAGGAAGGGGAGGAAGAGGAAGATTCTGTTATTGGTTTGTGATTACTTTGTTGCTTAGATGTTGACGGCTGCGGGGACACTGTGCGCTGTTTCTTACGAGGTTTTGGACGCGTCGTAGTCTTCAATGCGTCTGCATTCACGTGCGTTCATCAGTCAAGTTGACCTGGGATATGAAGGTCAGACCTACCCATTTCATCGCCCGAGGACATTATGATGGCGAATAGATAGAATGTTGTTGAGTGGTTATAGGGCTGCTCACGGCGTCGTCCAGGACTTGATTGCAGAATCACTTTGTGCAGTTCCGAAACTAAGCATTGTCGACTCACGTGATCCATAATCGCTTACATGACCTAAGTGCTACATTGCAACCATTATCTTGACGTTGCATATTGATGATCGGTTGCGATGACTCTCCTCGACGAGTACTACCGCAAACGAACACAGCTCATTGCAGATGATCGGGCCCTTCGTGTCGATGCGGTCAATGGAGATCGCTTCTCTGAAAAATCGCGACAAGCAGATGTGATCTTACGTCGCATTCGCGAGGAGGAGGCAAAGTCGATTTGGGCAGTAGAGCATGAAGAGGTTCCTCACCCGTTCCCGGGAATGGAGTTCCTCACAGGTATGCTCGAGCTCTCAAAACATAGAGTGTTAACTGATATCTTATCACGTAGGAAAGGACATCATCCTCAAGACTCAACTCTTCAATATCATCACCAAGGTTTGTCCATGTCTAAGTTCTCAGAGGTCTCAGTCACAGCTAGTTGCATGACTTTTATGACGTGTCAAACTACAAAGATGCCCAAAGGCGCGCTGCTGCACGTACATCTTGATCTCACTGTCAATGGCAATACCCTGCTGGCGCTCGCCTTACAGTACGCCTCAATCCATATCCGCGCATCAACACGGGTCACGCCTGATTCCATCAAATCTGTCGAGCTCGAATTTCGTCCTCTCCCACCCAGCTTCGTTCCACAGTGCATCTCGCTGTGTCTACCCACCTATAAACCAGGACAGTGGATACCCCTTCGCCGTGCGCGTGAGCAGTTCGATGCTGCCCTGGGTGGCACACAAGCCTTTGACCGCTGGGTCGCAAGCTGCCTCACAATCAATCCAAGCGATGCATATATCACACATAATAATAACATCAGGGTGTGCCACTTTATATCTTGTCGGGCAAAAGAATACATTCATAATCTCCGCAAAGATATGGGACAAATTCCGTGCAGCTGCTACACTCACACGCGTAAGTACTCATATTTAGGGGTTAGTGGACACCATACTCATCGAGGTGTACAGAACTTGGTGTACTTTGCCCCAGTTTGGCGCGCATATATCCGGCAATTCCTCGAGGAAACCTTTACAGATGGCGTATCTTATGTAGAGGCGCGTATCAACTTCAGCCCAAAGTAAGGCTTGTTCTGTTGTGCTTTTCGTTTTTGATTTGGATATTGGTAGGTACATGATTGGTTCTGACGGGGAAGAAAATGTCCCACACAAAGAGTGGCTGAGCATGTTCCAGGACGTCCTGGTTGAATTCAACGGGAGCCTACGAGCACAAGGAAGAGATGACGAGTTTATCGGTGCTAAGGTGCTTATTATCCTTTGTTTCGGGTCTGAAGCCTATAAAACAATAGATCATATACACGGTGATCCGGAACTGCGAGCCTGAGGAGTTGGAGTGGTATCTCAACGACTGTATAGAGATGAAAAAGCTTTTCCCTGGTATAATTGCCGGTATGTTTTTAAACGCTTTTACATTTCTTTCGCATCATAACACCGCCGACAACGAACTCCTCAAGGTTTTGACCTCGTCGGGGACGAAAATATTCTTCGGCCACTCAAAGACTACCTCCCGCAGCTTCTTTCTTTCAGCACCCTGCAAACCTCTCAAGGACTCCCCGAACACCATCATATCCCGTTCATATTTCATGCGGGTGAAACCACTGGTGACGGATCCATAGCAGATGACAATCTATACGACGCACTACTGTTGGGGACGAAGCGGATCGGACATGGGTTCTCGCTTGTGAAACACCCAAAGCTGATGTCGATGTGCAGGGAACGCGGGGTAGCGCTAGAAGTCTGCCCAATTTCAAATGAGATCTTGGTGCGTTGGCCCCCTTCTATCTCATCCTATCTGGACACTGATTGCAGGGGCGAGTAGAGATTGACGGCATCGATGCCAATGCATCCTCTCCCAATCTTGATCAATCATGGTGTACCAGTGGCACTGAGCTCAGACGACCCATCGCTGTTCCAGAACATGGGTTTGAGCTTTGACTTTTTCCAGGTTTGGTCCATTTCATCCCCCTCTCACATCCCCATTCAGACATGCGCAACTACAGGTACTTGCAGCCAGCAACGTCACTGGCTTGCTCACGCTGGGGCATATCGCACGAGACAGTATCCAGGTACGCATTTCTCCATTTCTGTTCCGCTTCAGGCAATAACTGGATGTGTTCGGGCGCAGTACTCGATGCTCACGGCCGATGAAAAGGCGCGTGCGACGCTGAAATGGGAGGAACGCTGGGAGCGTTTCGTGGATGAGATTGTTGAATTTGACGGGGTGAAACGGAACTAATTTATAACAGCGACTTGGATACCTTCCAGTAAACACCGCGATGGGGACGATGGGTTGCGGTTACACCTGTAATTGTGGATGCAAGAACATCTTGCTGTACTTCAATTTATGTCATTCTTATGTTTTCGTTACAGTCTTAGCTGGTTTGGCGCCTTTAGCCCTGCGCTCCTGTCCGCGCCTTCGCGGGCTTCCCATCGATTAATGCACACCGACGATCGTTCCCGACAACGCGTAATCAAGTTTCAATTACCGCCAGACCACCGTATGCGTCGGACAATTGCATGTGCTATCATGACCAACCGACTGTGTGATGAATGTACCCTGCCGCAGGCCCGTTTCAATTTTTCGCATGTGAGCGACCCAGGGAACTTTCTCAGATCACAGTGAAGTATATGGACTTGACCCTGACATCAAGATCACGATCCAATATGTCAGACACGGAGTCTTGGCCCATTATATTTACTAAATCTTCTTTCTATTCAGTCTGTGTGGGGGAGGCTACTTATGTACAAGCAGTGGACATAAGGTCGGCACCCCTGCCTTCAGATCCAAGACTCGTATCTCCAAACGTCATTTTAGTAAATAGCTGTTCAAACGGCCAAATTGGCTTCTATTTGTAAGTCTACTGTCTCCAAGAATATCAAACCAGTGCAACTTATAACAGCATGTGAGCGCTTTGCCGAGCAGGGGTGCACCGTGTATGCCACATCTCGTAGGTTGGAGACGATGGACGGCTTCAAGCATCTGGTGGAAAAGTGTGCCATGGATGTGACCAGCGATGATGATGTAAAACTTATCGTACCTTCACTGATGTTCTGACCATGGAATGTAGGCCCTCCGGTGTTAAGGTGATGTTGGTAGCACCAAGCCAAGCCCGGTCGAATATCACTGCTAGCCAGGCAGCCACTCTGGAATTACCCCCCACATCCATCTACGAGCCTTACCTCGATCGGATGTGCGACCGCATGCATGGCAGTCAAGCCAAAGGGAACATGTCTACCAATGAATTTACACGCCATGTAGTTGCAAAAGTGCCGAGTCCCAACCCTCCAAGTTATGTCACTTGGGGGCAAGTCGGGTCTTTTCGAATTCTTTTGCTGGCTTCCTCGTTGGTTTGTCCTCTGGATTTTTGGATCGTGAATGGTGTGGAAGAAGACTGGGCCATTTGTTTAGCCACTGCGCACTATCTCACTTGCCATAGAAAGGAAGATATGATAGGAGGTGAGGGTCATTTATATGACTGACTGTGATAATGAAGGCACGTTCTTCAGGATAACTCCCGAGAATCATTCACATGACAACCACATCCCCTTTCGACTCCCTTCCGGTATTAGCAACTTGTGATATGCATGATGTCCGTATCACGGAATTCTGATTTACCGAATTACATATACAAGTTGTGGGATGTCGGGTAGAGTCGTCTGATACAAAGGAGCGACTTGTCTTTCTTGAATTGGGTCTGTCTGGGAAGACTAACCTCGTCTGAGAATCATGTCTGGAAAAGTCGTTCTAGTGACTGGCTGTTCAAAAGGCGGGATCGGCTTCTATTTGTATGTCTTCTGTCTTCAAGAATCTCGGGCACTCTAACTCATTATAACAGATGTGAACGCTTTTCTGAGCAGGGATGTATCGTGTATGCCACATCTCGCAGGCTGGAGACGATGGACGGCTTCAAACATCCAGTGCAAAAGCGCGTCGTGGATGTGACTAGCGATGATGATGTAAAACTCGTCGTAAGTCTATATCTGGAAGAACAGGGGAAGATCGACATCGTCGTGAACAATGCTGGTGCTATTGCAATCGGTTTGTTAGGTTGACTCTAGCCATGAACCGATTGTGATGTTTGATTTCTCGCAGGACCATTGCTTGATGTGTCCTTGGATCAGGCTAGAAAAGCCTTTGAGACCAACACGTATTCAGTCTTGCGGGTTGCACAGGCAGTTGCACCTTCCATGGTGGAACGCAAGCAAGGGCTTATCGTCAACATTGGTTCAGTTGCAGGAAACATGTGAGCATGGTGCAATAATACGATCTTTCAGCTGACCTTGTCTGACTCTGCATAGCGCTACGCCATGGAATGGATTATACTCTGCAGCCAAGGCAGCAGTTCGCGCGCTCAGTGATGTTTTGGCCATGGAATGCAAGCCCTTCGGTGTTAAAGTGATGTTGGTAGCACCAGGTCAAGTTCGGTCAAATATCACAGCTAACCAGGCAGCCACCTTGGAATTATCCCCCACGTCCATCTATAAGCCCTACTTCGATCGGGTGTACGAACGCCTGAATGGCAGTCAAGCCGAAGGGAGCATGGATACCGATGAATTTGCACGCCGTGTGGTTGCAAAAGTGCTCAGTCCCAATCCCCCAAGTTACATGACACTGGGGGGCAAGTCTCGTATTTTCGGATTCTTCCATTGGCTCCCTCATTGGCTTGTCCTCTGGATTGTGGGATCGATGATGGTACAGAGGAAGATCTGAACTATCTACGTAGCCACCGTATACCATCTCATTTGCCATGGAAGAACCAATGGGCGGTCGCAGATGTCCATGAAGGCATGTTCTGTAGGATGATACGAGCTAATCATGTGGCAATTGCTAGACTGCACCAGCTCTCTCTCTATTTCCCCCTTTCTTCTTTTTTCGGGATTTGCCCTCGACATTAGCAATCTCTCGTATTTTTTTGTTGACATGTCCGTTTACCGTAGATTCGAGACCAACTTCGTCACAAGTCCGCTTCTTGCTTCCCCCTAATTGAGGTAGCGTTAGGGTAGGGTTCGGAGGTGATCGACTCGATGTTTGTGAGACATTCACGTTGTCACGTATGTTCTCGCCATCTCTGGTCTGCTGGGTGGGAGGCACCACCTGAGCAGCTTCTGGAACCACCAACCTAGGTTCTGATAGGACGGCTCGATAGATTTTGCGTGCCTCTATCAGGTTTCCACGAGGAAGAGGAGGATCAGACTGCTGATGAATTTTTTTTAATGAAGTAGCTTACGTGCACGCAAGATGAGCGATTTGGGCACAGCAACTGATGCATCGTGAGCCAAATTTTGTGCCAGGTCCAGCAGCGTGAGCCTGAAAGGAAGGTAACCAAAACACGAAAAAGATTAACAAGTAACATTGATAGACTCACAAATTTGCGATATCCTTGGGTCCTCTGTAGTCTGCCTCAGAGGCAACTCCACCACTCACAATAATGCCTTTGCCCTTTGTCACCCGCACCACTTCCCGTGCAGCAGCCCACCAATTCCGTTTGCCACTTACACCAGTATCACTGACACCAAAAGTCGATAGACTGGCGTCACTTTCACCACCAATAGCTCCTGCGTAGTTGATTTCGAATACCGTGCCGTTCTTTATGGCAGTTCTGACCAACGTGTGCTTCAACTGAAAAGGCAGTCGGGGGAGCGTCAAAGGAAGAGCAATGATGTGTGCAGTGAGTGGCGAAGGGAGGCTATGCGTGAGGCAAGCAAGTGAAAATGTCGCGGATGTCGTAGGCAGGAGAGCAATTACATCGTAGGGCTCAACAAGCGAGGTGTTTGCGTTCGTCTTGCATTCAAGAAGGTTACGCTAACGATGACCACGGGGGGTAGGTACTCACCAAGCCAAAGCCTTTCTCGCTGTCATTATCGAGAACAATTGTAAGTCGCTTCAAGAACACCGTCCCTGGCCTCGCCCTCAGCTGTTTAAGGAGTTCATCCAGAATGTTGACATGGGTTTTTGGGTCAATTTTCTTGTTCACCGATTGATTGAACGCAATCACAGTGTATCCTACTGTGATGCGATTAGCATTTGCCTTACATGGTGCGAAATAAACAGACAATGTTCAAGAAGGTCCAGACGAGCTTCGATTCCCTTTATTTGGGCAGGAGTGAAAGCTGTCGACGAGGATTGCTGGGGTTGTTTGCCTTTATTCTTCTTTGGTTGAGAAGTGGATCCAGATGCAGTGACCGGGAAATTAAGGTCAAAGTGCATCTTGAACGTTGATACAAAGCTGCAGCTGGGAGTTGTTTGGTAGGGCTACTGACGTCAACTAGAATAAGGTTCATGTTCTGATCTAGGGTTACGTTTGACTTTCTTGCCAACGTAGCTAGCTTGAAACATGATAATTTCATGCGAGAGACACGCGTGAATTCACAGTGTACTGGAACACTTAGATGTTTCAAGCATTGTTGGCGTTTCATGAAAATGAGTACTGTATTTGAATACATCCCCTATTAGAGCACCGCCAAGTGAGAATCAACGTAAGTAGACCAACTCATTCAAGTCATCAAAGCGGGGATCTTAAACTGTTAGGTGACCTAGTGGGGTTGAAGAAACAAAAGAGGAAGGGACCGCATCAAGTACGCGGACATGTCGTTGTACTCCCCAAAAATGTGACTCGCAAGCCGAATACCACCATCACATACAATAACTTGACGGCAGTGTATGTATAAGGCCTTGAGGACCCATCGCTACATAGTACGGGCGTGAGGATAAGATACCCGACCGACGGTGGAGTTAAGACATTTACTGCAGTCAGCCGCAATGGGGGTAAGGCGAGTTTGATACTGCGGCCATACTGAGCCCCACCGAAAATATGTTCAGTGACTTTGCCCTTGAGTGAGAAGATTCCGTTACAGAGTTTTACAATGTACGCACGACTGATAACCAGACAGGCCAGTGGGAGAGCAAAAATATGGTCGGTGCTCTCAAACTCATCACAACCAGTGATACCACGGCGTATCGCGAAATCGACCATTCATATTTCGAATGTGCTGCGCCTGCTCAGTACTAGTATCAAGTTGTTGTTTTACTTTTTACGCCTCGATGAGTCACGGTAAAACGGCAAGAAGCAAGGATAAATATACACTGTCACGTGATTGGTTACTGGTCGATCTCGATCAAGCCAGCATAGATCATGATAAAAGGACAGCAGTGACTCGTTTCAAGTACGTTTCAGCTTCCTTCACCACAGATCATGGACGCTCTCAAAGCCGTATTCGAAGCCAAAAAGGTGGAGGTGACTTGAATTTCTTTGAAATTTGTGCTTGAATTGAAGACTCGAATAGGGAATCCCAGCATTAGTGACCTTCGTCACTGCTGGATACCCAAGGACACGAGACACTGTGCCTATCTTGCTGGCCATGCAAGCTGGAGGGGCAGACATAATCGAACTTGGCGTGCCCTTCTCCGACCCCAGTTGCAGATGGCCCAGCTATCCAAGAGACCAATACCGTATGTCTGACTTTCAATGTGATCACTTAAATACCGACGCGAGATAGGTTGCACTTAAAAATGATATTGAATATGCCACCGTACTTGGAATGTTGCGAGAAGCAAGAAGCCAAGGACTGAAGGCACCGGTCCTTCTTATGGGTATGCTGTATCCAACTCTGTGTATACCTTTTAGACTGACTGTCGTCTCCACCAGGGTATTACAATCCAATGCTTGCATATGGAGAGGACAAAGCAATCCAAGACGCTCGTGAAGCTGGTGCAAACGGATTTATCATGGTTGATCTTCCACCTGAAGAGGCCCTCAACTTCCGTGACAAGTGCACAAAGGCAGAGTAGGTTAATCGAGATCGTCTTGGCTTCTACTGACCTATTCCGTTCCTCAGCTTGTCGTATGTTCCCCTCATCGCACCATCAACATCCTTGCATCGAATCCAATTTCTCTCGTCCATTGCTGACTCTTTCATCTATGTAGTGTCAAAGGTATGCAAACCCGCTTAATGATAACTTATGTATATCTGACCATCCTGAAGATGGGAACAACTGGTTCTTCTATCCTAGGGACGATGAATGCTGCCCTTCCGGACATCATTGCTCGCATCCGAGAATACACGGCTGTCCCACTGGCGGTCGGCTTCGGTGTTGCGACACGTGCTCATTTTGACGTTGTCGCTAATGCTGGGGCAGATGGTGTTGTTGTTGGTAGCCGTCTCGTGAGCATCATCAAGGAGGCACCTCTCGACTCGATACCTCAAAACGTCGAGAATTACTGCCTGCAGATTAGCTTGAAGGGGCAGCCTACTCGCATTCGGTCGCTGCCGACTTCAAACACTTCAACGCCTTCCAATGGTGCTTTGAAATCACCCACAGTAGCCCTACTTCCCGCACGTTTTGGTCAGTTCGGTGGACAGTACGTCCCGGAGGCACTCTTCGATTGCTTGGTGGAACTCGAGGAAGCTCACAACTCGGCTATCAATGACCCTAAGTTCTGGGAGGAGTTTCAAGGCTATTATGGATACATGAATCGCCCGTCAAAACTTTACTTTGCAGAAAGCTTGACGAAGCATGCTGGCGGCGCCCAGATTTGGCTGAAGCGTGAGGACCTGTGAGTCACCTGCCTAAAAGTTCTACGATATACTAACAGACTATAGGAATCATACGGGTTCTCACAAAATCAACAACGCCATTGGGCAGGTAGGATTGCATATTCGTGCCTTGCTTGTGTAGTGACATTTCGTCAGATCTTGCTTGCTCGTCGTCTTGGCAAGACACGCATCATCGCCGAGACCGGTGCTGGACAACACGGTGTCGCAACTGCTACCGTGTGTGCACGATTCGACATGGAATGTGTCGTCTACATGGGTGCAGAGGATGTTCGTCGCCAAGCCTTGAATGTCTTCCGAATGAACATGCTTGGTGCCAAAGTCTGTTGTTTTGTCCTGCGCTGTCTTGTGTATATTGACCGCCATCTAGGTTATACCCGTTGAGTCAGGTTCTCGTACTTTGAAGGATGCCGTCAATGAAGCCATGCGCGACTGGGTCACAAACCTTTCCACAACACACTATCTTGTCGGCTCTTGCATCGGTCCACACCCATTCCCGACGATTGTGCGCGACTTCCAAAAGGTGATTGGACAAGAGATCAAATCACAACTAAAAGAGGCCAAGGGGAAACTCCCAGACGTCATCGTCGCGTGCGTCGGTGGTGGAAGCAATGCCATTGGGACGTTTTATGACTTCATTCCCGACAAGAATGTGAAGCTCGTGGGTGTGGAGGCTGGCGGTGAAGGTTTGGATGGCGACCGGCATAGTGCAACCCTCTCGAAAGGACAGCCTGGTGTATTGCATGGTGTGAGAACATACATCCTCCAGTCGAAGGCTGGCCAGATCATCGAGACACACTCGGTCAGCGCGGGTCTTGATTACCCTGGCGTTGGGCCAGAGCATTCCTGGCTCAAGGACTCTGGCAGAGCAGAGTATGTTGCCGCGACAGACGAGGAGGCTCTCAGAGGCTTCCGACTTTGTACCCAGCTAGAGGGTATCATTCCTGCTCTTGAGTCATCGCATGCTGTTTGGGAAGGTGTCCGTCGTGCCAAAACACTGCCAAAAGATACTGATCTCGTCATTGTACGTATCCAATTTTCTCCATTTGCGCGGTGCTCATAGAGTATTATACAGTGTCTTTCGGGGAGAGGCGATAAGGATGTAGAACAGATATCGGAATTGCTCCCTGGAAAATGGGCTGACAAGCTTGACTGGCACATCTGAGAACCAGGCTTGCTGATGGGCTCTCACAAGGGATTACTATCTGCGCCCATGGTTGATAGCCGTACGAACGAATAACGATAAGGCGGCTATGTAGCTTCTTCCAAGTCGCGGTAAAATTATAGATGATGTACGAACGATGTACTTATGTAGTACTACTTGTAACATGCTACTTTCGGCAAGCATGACTCGACTCTGCTGTTGTGGCTGCAAATATCATGCAAGCCTTTTCTAGTGCATCCAGTGACCAATCCCAGATACCTGCACCGTCTGACCACAAAGAACGGAACTAGAAGCTATGGCTACTGACCCATCGAGTGTCGCAAACCAGCGAGTTGTTGAAACCCTTGCATCTAGATTGCGGAGACGGTGAGTTTAAACCCCCAATCATACCCCCTACATCACATATCATGACAGGCAAGTTGTAGGTTCCCGCGAAACTGCGCTCGAGACCGTCCTTGTCCTGAGACAGGTCATCTCAAAAGTACGATTCTCTAATATCGACCAACTTGTCGAAATCATCCGATCCGTTGGACGAAAACTCGTGGAAGCACAACCTAAAGGTTCTCCAATTCTGTTCCACATGGTTTGGCATCTCATCATATTGTATCATCGTCAGAACATACGGTTGGGAACACCGTACGGAAAGTGCTACATCATATCCGGGAGGAATACCACACTGCTTCGCAAGGGACTGCGGTTGTGTCGACATCGAAGGATACATTGTCGATCGCAAAGTTCGTGTTGCAGGGACAACCACGGAAACAGAACGTTCCACAAAAGACGACTTTGAACAAGTCGCAAGTCATGTTGAAGGAGAACGACGAGGATGATCCTGATGCATTTGCTCGAACGCTTAAACCTGTTCTTATGGAAGCCATCCAGGACGTACTGGATGAGCTGGAAACAGTATATGATAATATCTCAAAAAATGCAAAGGATCATATACATTCCGAGTGAGTTTATTGTGTTCTGAGGTCGCTTGATTTGTTGCTGAGTTCAGATAGCGAGATAATCCTGATCATCGGAAAGTCAAGTACCGTTGAAGCATTTCTTAAAGCTGCAGCGCCCTATAGGAAATACACTGTTATCGTTGCAGACACTGCACCATCGTTCGTACCTGATATTTCCTGCTATGATCTCTAGTCCTCATCGTACATCAGATATAGTGGACATGATATGGCTCAATCTCTATCATCCGCCGGCATTTCAACAGTTCTCGTTCCCGATTCATCCATCTACGCACTCATGTCTCGCATCAACAAAGTCATGCTTGGCGCCCATGCGATACTAGCCAACGGTGGCATGTTTGCAATAACAGGATCTCTGCTTGCTGCCACGGCAGCTAGAGCGCATAGCACCCCCGTTGTTGTTTGTGCTGGACAATTTAAACTCACCCCGCAATGGAATCTGTATCACGAATATGGCGCGCTCGACTTTGCAGATCCAAGTAGTGTGCTAGGTTTCGAAGAGGGTAACCTTGTCGATAAGGTTGATGTGGTCAACCCCTTCTATGATTATGTCCGACCAGAGTTGATCGATGCATTTATTACAAACGAGTGAGTAATTATTGTATGCGGGTTTTATTCTCTCCTCAACGTGCCATATAGCGGAGATCACCCTCCATCGTCGGTCTATCGCCTTATCAAGGAGGCATATGACGATGAGGATTACGAACTGTAGCAGAGTCATGTAGACCAAGAGCGCTGCAGACGCAATGTATTTGCACCACTTGGGCACACTGCTCGCCGATCATTTGCTCTTGGTGCTCAATATATCGAAGAAAGCGTCTTGGGGGAGGTCAACAGATCCAATGCGCTTCATCTTCCGCTTGCTCTCCTTTTGATTTTCCAGATGTTTCATTTTGCGCTCGTAGTGGCCTATATAAGGAATTTCATGAGCGGCAGGGAATATCGGAGATCTGTTTATGTATGTACCTCCGTAGAGTCCCAGCGGTGACGTCTGCACGCATTGCTGATAAAGTCTCGCGAGCAATAATTTTCTTGCCGATCGCAGCCTGTATTGGAACTTCGAATAGCTGACGAGGGATTACTTTATCTGCGATGATTTTCAACATCAGCACGTTTGAAGGGAAAACGTCATCACGCACGAAGTTTCTTGACCCACTTTCGGCCAACTTCGTGTTGAGCCGACCGATGGACTACAAGAGCGAGTGCGTCCACTGGTTTCCCATTCAAAAGGAAGACCATCTACATGATGTCAGGGGAATGTGTAATGTAGATACTTTCACCACGCACCTTCGCGAGGTCGCTGGCTTTATACCCGCCATCTTCATAGCTACGGATATTTCAGCATTCGTCCCTGTTTATATCGCCAGTACTCACTCAAAACTGGCATAGCCTGAGCTCCGGCTCTTTAGTTGATCAAAGAAATCTGTGACAATTTCACTGAGGGGAAGTGTGCACGTCAAGATGGCTCGTGCAGACGCTTCTGAGGTGCTTCCTGAATCCAGGTATCGGTGATCAAGGTTCTCGGCACGGTGCGCAAAGCAAAGGTTCATCATCTCCCCCATATATTCTGATATTTCAGAGATCAGCGAGATCGCTTTCGCCAACTTTTCGGAGTGCTGACCTTCAGGCACAATGATAGAAGCGTTTACAACGGGTTCTTGTACTTGGTTCACTTTGCTAGATGTGTCTGATGTGTCCGGGAACTCCGTAGGATTGCTGATTATAACCGTTTTGTCTTTGTATATGACTTTTGATCTTCAGTGATTGCTCGAATACAAAGCTAGAGTTGTCACATACTTTTATATGGAACAGTTGGAGCAGTTATTATTATGTTTGCATCATATTCATCTTCCAGACGCTGTCGAAAAACATCCATGTGCAGTGTCCCGAGGAAACCAAGGCGACACCCTTGCCCCAGCGCGGTAGAGGACTCGCGTTGGATAGTCACGCTCCTGTCCGTCAAGGTAAGCTACGAAAGTGTAAGAGTAGGGCAGGAATTTGAATATCAAAACATGCCCTCTTGATGGATTCTTCGAGCTTGATGAAGTCATTGCTATCCACTGGGAATACGCCGGCATAGACCTAGATAAATAAGGAACCGATCGTGAAGATTTGATGTTGGAAACAAACCATAGCCTTAGACGGCTGGAACCCAGGCATAGGATCAACCAGCACACCGGCGCGATGGAGTGTGTCTCCAATATGAGCTAAGAGCAATAATCAGGATATGACCAACAGAAAATAGTGGCTGTTATTCTACCTTCGGAAGATTCTTTCATGTTGCACGCTATGTAGCCAACTTGTCCAGGCTGTAGACTCGATGTTGGGACCTCTTCAGGGTGCATCACGCCGACTTCAGTGATCTCATATTTCTTTCGGGTATGACACGACGCAATCCTGTCCCCTACATGCCACTAAGTGATGAGGGCAACGCGCGAAGAGTACATAAACCAACCTTTTTGAATGATACCATCCTGAATGCTGACGAGGGAAATGACACCCCTGTAACGGTCATATCTAAGGCATTACTTGAACCACAGAAGGGGAAGTACAGATAGACATATACGGACAGTGAGTCAAACATAAAGGCCTTGAGAGGGGAGTGTATATTTCCAGAAGGAGGTGGTATGCGGTCCACGATAGCTTTCAGAACTGCTTCTACTCCTTGGCCAGTTTTTGCAGATATGTGGAGAATTTCACTCGGATCAATGCCAAAAGTTGACTGAAGCTGAGCGGCCATTCGTTCCGGCTGTGATGCGGGCAAGTCAATCTGCAAAGTCGGTTGGCTGACATCATATTCAATAGTCAAGTGAGATCTAACCTTGGTCAAAACTGGGATGATCTTTAGCCCTCGTTCCTTGGCGATGTGAAAGACGGAAATCGACTGCGCCTGAACGCCCTGCGAGGCAGTCTACCAGTAGTAGAGCGCCTTGACACGCAGCCAAGGATCGTGAAACCTCCCAAGCAAAGTCAACATGGCCCTGTGAAACAAATGGTGCTAAGTCCCTCGTCAAGACCAAGTATGAAATTTCATTACAGGGGTGTCGATGAGATTCAGCAGGTGCCGTTTTCCATGAGCCATGTGTATCATGCTGAGCTTCATCAGTCAACCATTTTGAGAAGAGAATGTGACGCAAACCTTGCTGTCTGTGCCTTGACTTCGCGAAGTTAATCATCTTCAACGGAAGTAGATCTATAACTATAGATGGCCCACCGGTAATACCCCGCTCGCGTTCCACCTTTAGCTTGTCTAGGACCTGCTGGTTAATTCCCGTCGACTTCATTTGAATGGTGCCAGTGAGCTGAGTAATTTAAACATGAAAACCAAGGTTTATGCACGAAGCGACAGACCTCTAACAATCTACAGTGTTATATCTCGTCAGTAGAGAAACTTAATTACTTTGCATAGAAACTCACCTATCTGCCAAGGTTGATTTACCATGGTCTGTGAGCAAAATTCAGAAGAGACCATGCAGACCAAACAATAAAACTACCAATGTGCGCGATAATAGAAAAGTTTCTAGCGCGGTTTAACACGTATAAGCTTCAACTCTGGACGTATACTGACGCTTCATCATCGTACCTAATGACTTCGCAAGGAAACTCTTCCATCCTCAGGGACTTTGGTGTAACAGCCAGACATACTGCAGTAGAACTCAGGTGCCTTGAAATTGACCAACGGACAGGTTGACGGCGTAGCAACACCTTGAGACATGCATGCCGCCAGCCAGGGAGCATTTCCCGAGTGCGAAAGCCTGAATTTCGAAAACGTCAAAATAGCCAGTCACGCTGACTAAGCATATAAGTATTAAACGTCTTCTCCACCATAATGTCACTGCAGGAGGCCTCAGATGCTCGAAAAGCGCGTTTGATCGCCCTGAGAAACCGCAAAGAAGGCATATCGACTGTATCAAATGGGTTCGTGATGATAAAATTTCAATGCTGCATAATCTTAACCAGCCACAGAGATTCTGTGCTTCTCAGCAGGAATTATGATCCTGAGACAAGGACATTGAAGAAGCACTCAAAAAACGACGTTCTGACCACAGATACCGTCGAGAAGGCTATTGAAGGAGTAGCTGAAAAGATCATTGCCGAGGATGAACGGCAGCGTGCCCAAGAACTTGTATGCCGATTAATACCACGGTGAACCCCCGCGTTTGCAGCTGCTCATGTTCTCTAGGACGTATTCAACATCGCCCCGAAACGGCCAAACTGGGACTTGAAGCGCGAGATGGAAAAGAAACTTGCGAAACTAGAGCGAAAGACTCAAGAAGCTGTCCATACTCTCATCCGTCAGCTTGGTATTTCACCCCGTCTTTATTTTCAATTGCTCACACTATGTCAATAGGTCAGAGACTTGCTTCTCAAAAAGGGCAGTCGGACGACATTCTAGGGGCAATGAACGCGCAAGAGAAAGCATTAGATGTCGAAGACCAGCCGTCAGACGAGGATGATTGAACAGGTTCTTTCTCTATCCCGTCCATCGCACCACCTCATGGTCATGGATCTCAGTTCTTCCTCTGTATGTGAGCTGAATATTACCATAGTGCTGCGGCTTCCATGCGAGCAGTTTCGTGCCACAATTGGCACAAACACGTCCAGGCGTAGCTACCTTGCTTTTGTTGATCACACTCCCTTGATAACAGAGAGTTCCGCAATTAATTGAAGCAGTCAAAATGGCGGGCATGTTCCTTGTACCATGTACATTACCTTTGCAAATCGAAGGAGGGCAGCTATCCAAAATCGGTACCCTCACCAAACACATGAGGTCCTGAAGCGGTTTGCACTTGGAACAAGATATACTGTGAACTTGACGTAATCCCTTGGTTGTCTATCTGGAAGACTTTCTCTCTACTTTAACTGTCTCTGATGTCAACCGAGGCCCAGAAGCCAGTCTCGTCGTTTGTCCACGTCGGCCACATGTTGCCAGCGTGTGAGTCTGTTGTCGTACTGACAAGATCGTTGTATTCAGTCCTCTCTACAGATTGTGCGTGCCGAAGATATTGAATATCATCCTCTGAGACTTAGGTTATTGCTCCAGTTATAAGCAATCTGGGAGACAGTGCTATACGGTATGATATGATTAATTCGGTGCTGGGCTCTGTGAGTGGCCTTCTGCGTCCGGAAGCATCATCATCGTCTCATCTCATTTCATGCCGCCTTGATTCCTGGTCCCACCGCCTGAACCTTCTGCAAAATCATTTTCCTTCGCATCTGTCCAGTGAGTGAGCTTGCAGCATGATACTCTAATATCGTGTATGCGCAGTTTTTTCGTCATTGCCAGAATTTTACGCCATCTATATCCAATTAGCATCTACTAAATACATATCCCTCTAACTCTAACACCCTACATAGCGATACTTAGCAAGTTACTCTTCTTAGTGACGAAATTATAGAACAGGAGATAATGATAGAGGTTCTACTTACGCAAGAAAGCAACTGCATGTCAGCTGATATTCCAGGTGTTGTGCAATCCAACTGTGTCGTCCGCACGATTGATTGGACCGCTAGACGCCACCATGGTCTCCCGATCGTGGAATCCATTGACCATATCGCCCTCACCTTTGCCTTCCAATGAGTTTGCGGCCAACTTGTTTTTGACGTTATCCGCACGGAGCAATTCCAGTTGATGCAAATACTCCTCACTGACACCACCAGTGACATATTCCCCTGTGAATACGGAGCAATCGAAAGTTGGAATGGACGGGTTGAATTGTCGCACAGATGCGACGAGATCAGGAAGAGTCTGGAACACGACAAGGTCTGCACCGATGGCCTCAGCTATTTCCTGGGTGGTGCGCCCGTATGCAACAAGTTCTGTCCTTGAAGGCATATCAATACCATAGACATTAGAGTACCTAGCAAATGTTCGTCAGCAATGCGACGGTGGTTGGTAGAAGGAATTACCTTATGGGTGGAGCACAGCTTGCGACGATGACCTTCTTTGCGCCAACATCCTTCGCCATCTGGATAATCTCTTTTGAGGTGGTGCCACGAACGATGGAATCTGAAGCCGTGTGTCAAGGTAAGACTAGATGATTTTTCAGTCGTTCCACAACTCACCATCAACAAGAAGAACATTCTTCCCAGAAAACTCCAAGGCCATGGCATTCAGTTTCCGTCTGACATTTTTTCGTCTTTGAAAAGTACCATCAATATTGTGGATTCATGAAAGTAAATATATCTGACCTCATTTGCTGACCTGGCATAATGAACGTCCTACCAACATAGCGATTCTTGATGAAGCCTTCTCGGTAGGGCAAATTGAGCTTCTGAGCAAGATTCAAAGCTGCAACACGAGATGTGTCAGGAACCTGAAACCATATCAGAACAAAATCGTGGAACGAGGGGAACCACTGACAGGAATGACGACATCCACTGTGATGCCGCATGCTTTCAAAACCTTGTCAACTTCGACCGCAAGCGCATCGCCCATGGCCATTCGACTGCGGTAGACACTGATACCATCAAGCACTGAATCGGGGCGAGCAAAGTAGACAAATTCGAATATATCAGGTGCGAAGGTCGCATGCTCTGCAACATGTTTCCTTGAAACTCCTGACCGAGTGATGATCACTGCTTCACCTACCAGTCACCGACATCAGTAACTGCGGCTAATGGTAGAAATAGGGACTGACCAGGCTTCACATCCTCCCATTCGCTAAACCCCAGAGCATCAGCAACAATACTCTCGCTTGCAAAAAGGTAGTCTTTTCCAGAGTTGCTACGTCTGGAAGCCATCCCAACGGGTCGTATGCCATTCGGATCTCTGAACGCAATGATCCCGAAGCCAGCAAGCATTGCAACACATGCATATGCTCCCGTGCACTGCTTCATAAGGCCTCCAATGGCATTGAAGATGTCGTCTTCGTTTATGCGAAATTTGCCAGTTTGCTGGAGATTGTTGGCAAAAAGGTTGAGTAGGAGCTCGGAATCGGATGAAGTATTTATATGTCTGTGTGCAGTAGCGTCCATATATTGCAGGAGTGAAGGGCCATCTATGAGGTTCCCATTCTAATCACCTTCAGTCTTGAGTGACAAATCTCGAAAACAAACTCACATGCGCAAATACAATACCATAGGGTGAGTTAACGTAGAACGGTTGAGCTTCAGCGTGGTTCGAACTTCCAGCAGTTGGATAACGAACTGCAATGCGCTATATCAGATAATCGTCGGCAATACCAGTTTACTCCCGAGTGCTCACCATGGCCAACACCCATCCCTCCAATCAATTTGGAAATGGCCTTCTCATCAAAGACATCACGAACCATACCGTTGGCTTTGCATTGAAAGAATCGGCCTTTTGGGCCACAGGTCACGATGCCACACGCATCCTGTCCCCTGTGTTGCAGTAAAGAGAGACCTTCACATATATCTGGTGCTGCATCCACCGATGGATCATGAAGCAGGAGCCCTAAAATACCACACACTAAATCGGAGATCCGTCAGAGGATCTGGTACTTGACGATCAAGAAGCAAACTCACTCGCGTTGCAGGGGTGAAATGAAAGAGAACGTGCAAGCTGGGGCGATGCCCGTTCGCGTGATAAACGTGCAAGTACTACTATCGGTCACAGACCGAAAACTGCCTGAAGAAAAACTGGCATGGTGTTTTATCGCTCTGCCGCAACTTTGCCGTGATAATCTTTTCCTTGATAATTATTATGTAATCTGACCTCGGTCCGTACATGTACGAATTCAAACCACACACGTGGGTCGCAATTTTTTGGTCCTGGGTAGTGTTGTGGGCAGAAGAGTCTGCCATTCTGCCAGCTGGTTTGGCAGAACTGGTTCTGCTTGGCAGATGACAGAACTCTGCTGGCAGAATCCGGCAGAATGTCAAACTACAGGGGATCACAGCGAAATTTAAAGGTATTCCAATAGCCACAGCACAAACGCGTGAATTACGATGCGGCTGTGAAGTATGAGACATTCTCCGGTCCAGAAATTTGCCAACAATCACACGCTTTACTCCCATTATAACTACATTTTCCTCAAGAATATCCCCATAATTCCCAGTTAACCCTCTTCACCTTATAAGGCATGTATATAGTCGATCGACTCAGAGCAACTGGACTTCCCGTAGAGTAGGAATTTTTTCAGTAATACAGCCTGTTTGTTGATAACCTCAAAGCATATAACCTGTGCCGCGCACCATTTTCACGCGGACAAGCTGACGGATTGGCATGGTGGGAAAGCCTCGCCACAGTCAGTGCCGACAGACATCCTCTGAAGGCACTAGCAATCACCCTCTTATATATTGTTCCCCATGCTGCCGACGTCGAATGCCTCTTCTCGGATGTGGGTAGCGCTCAGTCTCCGAAGCGCTGCAATCTCACGGTAGACACATTTGAAGCACTGGCAAAGATTCAAGCAAATCTTCGTTACCAAAGGCCGTGGCTAATGGCAGGCCGATTCGTCGACGTCATGCGCACATGCACACCAGCGCCCAGCTAGGAATCAACATCGATGTAGCTGCCGATCTAGAAGCCAATTTTGCGTGGGCACCACCACTTGCGCCTCTGACTCAGAACATCGATGACGATCTTGCAGGTTCTGAATCCATATCACTTGACGAGATCGATGCAGCATTTGCACTATTGGAACATGAGAAAGAAGCCATGGAACGAGCACTGGATGATGGAAACGAAGTGTTGGAAGGCCAAGTTTATGGTTTTGCAGAATTAAAGCATGTTGACCGAGGTCTTCTACCGAAATCTGTTGACGATGAGATCATGGTAGTTGATCACACCTCACACGACGATGGACAGTGGGATGTGGACATGCTGATGTCTTCTAATTATGTTTCCTAGTGGTACACACAGCCCTGTAGCGCCTTGATAATTTTGCCAAGTGGCAGAAGTGGCGGTTCTGCCACTTCTGCCAATTGTGCTGGCACAATTGCTCGCAAATGATTATGCCCCCAGCACTAGTCCTGGGACCTGAAACAGCTTGCAACAATATCAATAGTCAACCGGTTGAACCCTAAGTTAGGTCTCATATCTTGCTTCTTTGTCCCTTCGTAATAGTTACTCGCACTTCGAATCGAGATTTGCAGAGCAACTTCAAGCCTGGTTCACAATCACTTCTAAAATCACTGTAAAATACGCGGTTGAACGCGATTGTATTCTTCCGTACTACGAGGTGATATAGTGGATATAGGTAGGGCATCAACATGCAACGTTGTTGGAATCCTGGCAGAGTCGCCGGTAATGGTCGTGATAATAGGCAGCGTATTGGCTGCGGAGTAGAAAGCGATGGCGTGCAATAGTCTACAGAAAAGGTGCGTGCGATGATGGATGATAAATTAGGGAAGGATGAACTTCCTATGCTAGATGAAGAGATATTCGACCCAGTGAGACAAAAGAGTGGTTACAGCTTAAGCTGTTTGGGTTTCTCCCAGGTGTATGCGGGGTTACCTGTATAAGATTAGTTTTTGCAATACACCTAACAACGTGAAGAACATACCGAAGTGACCGTAAGATGCGGTCCTCAAGTAGTGGGGCTTCTGGAGGTCAAGTTCGCGCACTAAAAAGTATTGATCAATTGTCCTTCTCCAGGCAGAGGAAGGAGACTTACCCATGACACCAGGGCGGAGGTCCCAGTTCTTGTGAATAATGTCAACGAGCTGCTCGTTCGTCTTCTTGCCGGTGCCGTAAGTGTCAACGTAGATAGACAAGGGTTCGGCGACACCAATAGCATATGAGAGCTGAACAAGGCAGCGGCGAGCAAGGCCAGCAGCAACGAGAGACTTGGCTGTGCGAAATTTCAGATATCGTACAATCGATCTAAGACCAATGAACATACCAATCCAACGAGCAGTGTATGCCGCAGAACGGTCAACCTTGGAGAAGTCCTTGCCTGAGAAGGCTCCTCCACCGTGTGCACCCCAACCACCGTAGGTGTCTACGATAATCTTGCGGCCAGTCAGACCGGCATCACCCTGAGGGCCACCAATGACGAAGCGGCCAGACGGTTGAATCTAATCCAACTCGTGAGTTGCAAGCATCACTAGGAAGTAAAAATTCACGTACGTGGTAAACGATGCGGTCATCGAGAAGGTTGGCGGGGATGACCTGTGCGACGATCTTGCTCAAAATTTCCTTGCGAAGCTCCTCGGTGGAGATTTCCTCTGCGTGCTGGGTCGAAATAACGACCGTGTCCACGCGCAGGGGGATCATCACACCACCATCGTTCTTGTACTCAACAGTGACTTGAGTCTTTGAGTCAGGGCGCAACCAGGGCAGAAGACCTGACCGGCGAGCATCGGCCATGGCACGGTTGAGCTTGTGCGCAAGCATGATGGTCAAAGGCATAAATTCTGGAGTCTCATCGGTAGCATAACCGAACATGATACCCTGGTCACCAGCACCGTGGTCTTCCAGAGAGCCATGGTCTAGACCTTGAGCAATATCAGGAGACTGCTGCTCAATGGCAACAAGAATGTTGCAAGTCTTGTAGTCGAAACCCTTGGAAGAATCATCGTAACCAATTTGTTTGATTGTGTTGCGGATGATTTTTTGATAGTCGAGCTGAGCTTTGGTGGTGATCTCCCCAAAGACCATGATCATGCCGGTCTTCGATGCGGTCTCACAAGCGACCTTTGACCAAGGGTCTTGCTCAAGGCAAGCATCGAGCTGTGATGCTGATTAGATTGTTTTCCGCAATGATTGATATCAAGTGGGTACTCACAATAGCATCCGAAACCTGGTCGCAAATCTTGTCTGTTACAGATTAGTTTCTTTGCAAAGTTTTGACCACGACGAAACTAACCGGGATGACCTTCACCTACAGACTCAGAGGTGAACAATAAATGCCCAGGTGCAAGGGCAGGACGCGAGTGACCATTAGCAGTCATGATAAGACAAAGACGTTGAAAAAAAGAACGAGGAAAGAGTTGGGAAGGAAGGAGATGTGAAACCAAACGTTTGCGCAAAACAATTAAAGGTTCAATATATGGCTTATATAAGCTGGACATTAATCACGCCATCCTCCTGCCATCCTCTTGTAACAGAGTTACGTCCTCAGAAACACGAGGGATAGCCTTAGATAGCAGATTCAGACGTGGCAATCTGATGGAGGGAAAAAGTTCAATCGAGCCTCACAATATGTGTAACGTGGGTCCTTAGACTGATAGTAGCTGATAGCCAAGCGAATTAATTATACTTATTACAAAAATCCTACACCAAGAGGATCTATATTTGTCGAGGGAGGTTGATCTTCCTGCTCTAGAACAAGACTCTCATCAGATACAACCGTGAGATAGGGTACGCCAACATCTTGGCTCTGCCCAGATATTCGGACTCCTGAAGAGTCTCCAGACTCTAGGCGACGAGGTGGATGTGCGACTGTTGGGTCAAGCGGTAATGATTTTTTCCCATCGAAGAGATCTTGTGACAAAGAAGCCTGTCTAGGCGACCTTGACCTAGTAGTACTCCAAGGGTTATCAGAGGGAATGTCATGTATAGCCTTTTGGGGTTTCGCATTATCCCAAGGGTTGTACGTTGAGCCGATGGAATGTGACTGGCTGGTTACACGATAAGCAGAGCGTTCTCCGTCTCCAAGGCGCTCACGAGGCTGGAGTTCGGAGATTTTTCCTTGGGCATCTTCGTTATCTCCTGATGGCCTCGGCAATGCTTTGAAGTCCTTTGCAACTCCATCATAAGCGTCCTGCATCGCTGAGAATGCCGCCGTAGCATTCGAGGACAATTTCCCCCACACTGATCTTACTCCAGTGTTGTACAATGTATCCGTGGAATTCGCGGTCCAAGAGCGAGTAGGATGTGAAAGATTACTCCCTGGAGATGATGGTCGAAGGGGAGGGCCAGAAGGCCGCAGTGATGTGGAGGACGGAGCTGTAGTGTTATCTGCGGTTGTTCTCTGAGGAATGTCTGGTAACGAAGACCAAAGTCCACGAAGGCCTGCAGTCAGCGCTTCGGACGTATTCCCAGCATTGGGTGATACAACAGAAGGATTCGAAAGGTTTGGCGTTCTGGCAGGTGACGGTGGAAGCGGTATTCCCGCGGGAACGCTAATCGAGTTGACGGGGTCATCCTCCAGGGAATCGATCGGGGATGTAAATTCTGGACCCTCCTTCGTCTGAGAAACAACTATTCTCCCATTCATCTCTTCCTCGGTCCTGCCATAAAGCTCGTGCCAAAAACGAATATCCTTGGCATTCGGATAAAGAACACCCATGTCAGCTGAAGGATATCTACTGGAGGGATCATCCAAAGAGGGGTCGTACGCATCATTCTTGTTCTTCTCCAGCTCTGATGTCGAGTTAAAAAAGTCCCAAATAGAAGCTGCCCGCTCTGAGGGAATAACACCATCTTCACCAGCTCGTCGTTCTCGTTCACAATTGTACAAGAAGTTGCCGAATTGACACGAATAGAGGTGGTAGAGCAGTTGGCGAAGGAAACGTTCATTAAACTCAAAGCGAGAGGGGTACTGCCGCTGCAGCTGACGAACGCATTCCAGAAATTGGTGAAAACATGGGCTCGTCTCCTTCAGGTGGCTCTGGGACGTAAATCGATTCTGGACAGAAACCAAGAAGGCCTGCGCCGCATCGGCGCCGCTACCCGTCCCCCCAGTTTCCGGTAACGAGGTAAAGAATTTGTCGGAGGAGAGGTGCCCACACCGATCAAGAAATTTGTGTCCAAAGGACACCCAATCTTTCTCGACGAGTATCTGGAAGCCTCGGATGGTGCGGTAATAGGGATCCAAACATAGCTGGGCCAAAGCAGATAACTGGGACGTTCGATCCCAGCCATCTGAGCAATGAACAAGGACATGTGACGAATTGATGTGAATATTTCGAACAATGAGAGCTGCGCCCTCCATTATATTTGACATGTGTCTGAGCCATCCAGAACGACGTAGCGCCTGTCGGTCGACTACCACAAGTTGTTGTGCTTCCCCAGGCAGGCTACCGATAACGCTCGCAGCAACGTTGTCTGCCTCGCGCAATACATCCACCACCTTTGCAAGGGACTCGCGCATGGCATGTATGTGGTCTATGCCCGAATACACCTTCTTGGCGTCCTTATAGTTATCCATGTTTTCCGTGCCTGCGCCTTTGGCTGTGTTAGCCACAGCATTGGCAGTCGGCCGTGCGTCAACTATCAAATTTGTGCTAGTGGCACCGTAAACCGGTCCAGATGGGCGTGATTCAGAGAAATGATGAGACTGAAACACAGCTTCAACGAGCTTCTCATCTTGCAGTGAGCGGTTCTGCTTGATGCCCACCATCGGCTGGCTTGATCTTGTGATGCTGCCCTGAATCGGGTAAATTTAACAGTGTACTTTATCTCAGGTGCCCTAATACTAACAAAGTTTGCCCAATGCAAGTAGGTCAGCGCAGGTATCCGACATTTGCTGCGGTATTTGGAAGCGTATCGCAACGTCGAGTCACTGATGCGAGACGGGACTACCAGCCGCGACGGGTATGTAGGCGAGAACTTTGAATTGATCTTCAGACACTGGATAATCCAACAGGGATGCTCAATACTTACCGCATAGTCCTTATTGATGTCAGTGAAACGCCAAGCTTTTGTACGAGTTCCAACGCCCATACGGCCGAATTCTTCTCTTGGAGAGTAGAGGGACCATCCACCCGTAGTATCAAAGGGCGTGTTAGGGGTGTAGAAGAATGCATACAGCTGGTTGACAGAGGCTAATAAATGTTAACAATCGATGCGACTTAAATCAAGGGATGGAATGCTCACTGCACACGGTTAGCTCTTTGACACTTTCGAATACATCTATAGCGTCCCGTTCCTTCTCAAAGGACAGCGAAAATGTTTCAAACATGCGAGTGTGAAACGTTAACGGGCTCTGTCCATGCAAGGTTTGCGGGAGCTTCAATACAAGAGATATTAGCGGGTAAGGTACCTGCAGTGCGGGTTATCAAGTGGAGCACGCCGTAGACCGGAATGTAGAACTCGCCCACATCTCCTCTTTCTCAGAATCCTCATAGCGAAAAATAAGGTGATGGGCAGTGAGGTGAAGTGATCCATAGTGAGCCCCGCCGGACTTGCCACATAATACCTTTTCCACCTGCACATGCACTGTTGAGCATATCAATCGCGCGTTTCGCGCGCAGCGCACCTTTGAAACTCTGATCGAATCCATCTATCTATCTGCAGCTGGTGGAAGTGGATGCCGTTCGACCTTAGCAGACCTCAGCCCAGGCTCAACGTCAGACGGAATCAATACTGGTATGTTTGATCCTATTTACATATCATGGACTCCGCCTGAGGACAATGGCTTATGAGTATGATGGTCGATGCCGCTACCTCATTTCCAAGCTAGAGTATTGGCTGTACCACAGTATATTATTTATCCAAACACCCACAGTTCGCTAACCGCATCTTTACCAGCCAAACCGTCTTCTGTATTTGCTGCATCTGCCAGTGGAAAGAGATCTTTCCTCAGTTCCATAGCTAACGCGGGTTCCTTTTTTATTTTACGTCTAACCTCGGTTTCAATGAGCTTCAACATTGTCACAGTAAGCGCGTGCACAAGAGTATAAAGGAGATTCTCTTACCGTTCCGTACGTATGATCGAGGAAATCCTCCATTGAATAACCAGGCTTGGTAAAAGCCTCTGAAAAAATACGTGCCATAGTTGACACTGCAGAATCATAATGATGGATATGAGAGTGAAGCTCCCATAACGAAGAATCAAGTGCGTTGGTGGAGTTAGGATTTGGCTCATCGGCGATGAACGGGTCTGACATCGTGATTAGTTAGATGGTGGCCAAGGAGCTGAATGCATACCGGTGTCGGTACCAGAATTATTGTGTATCATTACCATGAGGGCCGGATGTCGCTTGAGAATGTTATACGTGAAAGGAACGACCATGATGATAGCTGCTGGAGGAGCATTCAATGATAGCCTGGACAACCTCTTGACGAACGATGCTAATAAAGTTGCAGGCAAATGCCTGGGCTGCCTCAGTAACGATAAGTGGAAATTGTAGAGATGGATCTTACGTAGAACTCAAAAATAGCTCGGTTAAACGGAAAAACCGAGCACGATGTTTCAAGTGTAGAACATCACGATGCAGGAATGCGTATAATCGGGTGAAAAATGAAGGGTAATCTCTACGACATGAAGGTTTGTGAGACATAAAGCGTGGCACGTGAAGATTTGCACTTACAGATTGTAGTCTTGCATTAGGGTAAACAAAGCGTTAAGTGCAAGCAGTCCAACTGTTTCTCCTAGCAGAATGCTTCAATAAATTGTGGTTAATGCCAGGAATGTTTCCTCACCAAGATCCACGCATGCACTTATCCAATCCATGACAAGCACGGGCCTAGTGAGGTGTGGCAAGACACCACGATGCATTATATTCAATGCTCTTGTTGTCAGCGCTCGATTGGAGGATGTAGATATAGATGACAGCTGGGGCAGGAAGTTTAACCACGTTCGCGTGAATACAGCACGATGAGCTTGGAGGGAGTAAAGAGACTGGTGGAATGTCAGGGTATAAGCCCGGGCCTTGACACCGCTTTTTTTTGCATCTTTCACATTGGGATCCTCATCGAAAAATTTGCGCCAGTCATCCTCGTCGTTTTCATCCACTGACTCTGCGGCGTCGTCCTCTTCAGCATCTCCTTTGGCACTTTTGTGTTTTGGGGGTTTTACGCCGAGCTCTTCCACCCACCACGAGTTAAGCTCTGACGGGTCCGTTGGAAATGTTGACAACTTTTCCATAATGGAGAGTAAATTGTCGAGCAGGTGAGGGTATTTTGTAGATGAATATTTCGAGAGCACAGTTCTAAAGGCAGATTTAAGCACTGCATATAAATTTTGCACTGGGCCTTACGTTGCTTCTCGCAAAAAACACCATCGAACATCGTCGTAGACGCTAAACCATACCTCCACGAAGTTCTCTCTCACGTCCAGCATCGTTTTTGAACTATGCTTACTGCCTCTATTCGACCGATGGGATGGAGGGCACAATAGAAGCCCGTGGACAATTTGTTTGAAGTGCGCAAGGTGAAGTTGCGGTTGTGCGGTCGAGGAAGACTTTGTTAGTGAAGTTGAGAGATGCTTCAGAAGCGAAAAAAGTATCTCCAACGAGGATTTCTGGTACCAATGTGAAGAGACAAAGCACAATCAATAATGTAACACGTACCCTCAGCGCAGGCTCTTCATCTTGCAGTAAGCCAACAAGCAGTTCAACGTATGAATCCAACTTCTCCCATATCCACTTGCGGACAAGCCTAGCAGCATCGTCACCTCCGTGGACTAACATCCCACGAGATATTATCAATACAAATACGCGATAAACGCTATAGACAGCTTTGGACATTTCTCTCGCGTCTGATGAGCCATATGCCAGTATGAGCAGGTCCGCGAGTGGGTTAAGAGAGCCATTTTCTGTGACGGCGGATGTTAGCTGATCTTCCAGGGACTTGACCGAAGTGGATTCAACAGCTGTCTTGCGTCTTTTGGTCGGGGGAGGGAGTGAGCGGACCGGCATGGTAGGGATATGCGAAGTTGAGTAGATTCAGACCGATTATCTCTGGATTAATTTTATTTACTTATTTAATTATCATATATACATTACATAATATCATTTGTAAATACAATGAAGCTCTTAGTGCCGATCTATTACTATCAGTACACCATTACGGCCCGCCTGTTCGCAGAAGCCGCACACTGGGCGATGCATTATTGGCGTATTATATCGTCGAGCAAAACTGGTTGTGCCTGACACACGGCAGAACTTGTCAGGACTCCAGAGTATCTGGGGCTCGCGGAGATATCATTTAGATATCATAGATGTTTGAATAATTCAATAGAGCACAAAAACCGACTGACGGCTCCATAAAGTCTTGGTGCTGACGGCCAAGCAAACAGCCTTTCATGGTAGAAAAACCTTCCAATCAAGTCCGAAATTCACCCGCTCAAGGCCTAGTTGCTGTGATGAACCTCAATTGTAGGGCATGCAGGCGAAATAAAGGGCACATTCTGAGTTCTCTGATCTCGGCACAACACAATCTGCGCGACGTATAATCTCTCAGTCGACACATTCGAAACACTCGGAAAAAATTGTGTAAATCTTCGATACCACAGCGCCATGAAAGCCATGAAGGCTGGGAAGTTGACCTCGTATGCACACTCGTGAAGTTGCTGTCAAGATTACACAGGATCTTGAAGCATCCTTCGCAGTATCTCGCCCGACGACGTTGCCGCTGAATTTGCAGCTCTCGAAGAGTTGAAAAGGTTTGAAGAAGTTCAAAGCAAATATTGACTCTGGTGAAGTGCTCGAGGAATGCTTTTGATTTTAGCGAGTTGGATCAGGAACACCGCTCATTAGGAATGTCGTACACACAGCCTAGAGTTTTGCCAATTCTGCCGGTTAAACCGGCAGAACTGACCCTTGACAAGTAGTTCTGCCCCCTACCATACACTACATGGTATCGCCAGCGCAGCTGTGGATTTATCGGACCAACGCAAACAGCCAGGAAACAACGACCGTGGGACTGGATTCCGAATTGTTTTAATATAGCGTGTTTAACCGTGACGCTCTGTTGCCCCAATGTTATCCGTCACTTTCAAAGCTTCGACGCGGCTGCCCTTTGCGTCGACGGTGGGCCATAGTTTGAGGTCTACAGTTGGCCTGCGTCAATTTCATGGATCCATGAAGTGCCAAGAGCACTACTTGAATGCCGATGAAAAGGTAAGCACCCTTTCCTGTCTGTATCATAGCACTAGCTTGGTCAAACATAACCACAAGCGCTACATGCACCTGAATTTCTAGACGTTTGAAAAAGTCGCTCTGAACCCGTCTGCGAGTGACAAGGCCGTCTTGGTTGATTTTTATGCAGAGTACGTAGCTTCGGGTGTAATAGGCGTTTGAACATATGTGCTGATAGCTGCGTATCATAGGTGGTGCAACCCTTGCAAGATGATTTCGCCCCTGCTTGAAAAATTGACCAGCGACGAGACAGTAAAAACTGGTAGCGGCCGTTCGCTTGACCTGGTCACAGTGGACACAGACTCGGAGTTCGACCTAGCACTAAGATACCAGGTACGCATACTTTAACATGAACTTGCGTAGTTCTCATCCCCGTCATCAACACCAGGTGCGGGCGCTGCCAACAGTTATAGCATTCAAGGATGGCCAGAAGGTTGACCAGTTTGTTGGAGCCCTGAATGAAAGTGGCATTCGCGAATTCATAGCCAAGTTGTAGAAGACACGTAGCATCCTTACATGATGAACATGGTTATATATGTTCGAAACCCTCTGTTCCAAAAAATGGATCAAAACATCGAAAGCGGTGTAGAGTTTGTAAAGAGTTAATGAAAGGTTGAATATAGGTACACGTAGGAGATGAAAACAAACTATTGGGGTCAGTGAAGCAGTGGGGTCCACATCGTAATGCAGCGGTATAAACGAGAACTGTGTTGGGCGCTAACATATAGACGGGAAAGTGGGCGAATGAAGATTCGCAGAACCGTCCAGGCTATTGTATCGAACAACAACCGCCTCCAGCTTTTTGTTGGCCGTACACGTCGTCTGCCTTGGTAACTGGACCCCACACGGACGGAACCTGGGTGAATTTTCATTCGTCACAACTTCAACACAAAACTCGCACAAAGAAGAAAACATACGAGGTGGTCTTTCGTCGTCTTGCAGTAGCGAATTAAACTACGAACAAGTCAGCCTGGTTTTTAATGAGACAAACGAATGGAACTCACCTGGCGGCTGCTTCACTAACTCGGATTCTTGGCCTTGCCAAGTCTTCTCGAAGGCGCTGGTTGTGCTCCAGCAGCCGACGATACCGTAGCTCCGACATTGACTGCCTTCCGCCTCGAGAGCTCATGTTTATGGTATTCGTGTATGGTGAAAGTCCCTGATTAGTAAAAACTATGAGATATGAGAGTGTGGTCAGTTGTTGGAGACCAAAATACTCACCAGCTTTGTATAAACTGCCGTATAACTGTACTTGTCGCGCGTCGTGTCACACAGAAGTCAGGTACCACAGGATTAGACGGTAGTAATACTATGTGGTGATCACGGTGGGGAGACAAGTCTGCAACGGCACAATTACCCGGTTTGACCTCAATGAAATGATAACATCCAAATTTGGACAATTATATTTTGTTCATAAAATTCTTTTCTACGGTTCTCTCCTAACCAGCTAGCTTCAACACTTCAGCTTCAGCACTTGTCTTGAACCAGATCCGGCAAAGCCGCATGGGGATATTGGGATAACGAACTTGAAGAGCGAGTCGGCGACCGGGCAGAACTATCAAGAAACGTATTCTAGACTAGAAATGTACATCCAATTTACTATTGAGCTCCGCGACTGAAGGCTCAGCGCCAGAGCTTCTTAGTGTAATTCAGTCACTCGATTAATTATAACCAGTAACGGTAGGAGAACAGCTTGAAGGATTGGCATTTAAATAACAACGTAAGTCATACAAACAATACGAAAATTCCGTGATGAATCCACTGGCAAGAACACGCTGTATGGAGAACAGAATCAGTAAAGTGACATGATGAAAGTCCGGGCAAGGTACATGACGTGCAATAGAAGGCAAATTGTACTCAGTATCTGTCCAAGATGCCTCGCAGAAGTTTCTCCTTGGCTTTTGCATGATCTTCGGCTGCGACAGATTTCGTTGTCTGGTCAAGTTTGCATATGAGTTTCTCGACGTCCCCGGGCACCGATTTCGAATAACCTCCAAGTCGTTGGACTGCGTGGAAGGACCATTCCGTGGTTAGGCTCATAATTCAAGAAGTCCGAGATAAAATACCAAGTTCGTCGATGGCCTTTTCATAAGTATTGAGGAGCTTGTCACTTTCAGCGCATACATCTTGGAGCTGAAGAGATAAATTTTCGAGCGTTTCCTGGAAAGCCATTTCTGGATTGAACGAGGAGATAAAGGCAGCTTTCACAAACTAACTTTCACCCTAGTAAACGCCCGAACTACTTGATCGTGTTCACGCCTTGTAGCATCTTCGAGGGCTCTCGAGCTTTTGTCAAATAGGGCGACTCCACGGAGCAAAGTTGGATTGTTGTCGTGCGAAAGGGATTTGTGAGCCTCTCCTACTCGAGTGACCACCGGAACGAGAGTCTCCCTGAACTGTTCTGTTGCTTCTCGGCGATGAGCAAGGAATACTGGTGAAAGTCGATCAACGATAGCTACGCCATCAGCAAATTCAGGAGCCTCCTCCCTGAGATGATGATGAGCAGCGAAGCAATCCCTGAAGCTTGTGAATACCCGTCGTCTAAGAGAGCAATTAAAGTCGCATGCTCGTCCCAGTCAGAGTCCGAGGAACCATCTTCGTCTTCATGATTCTGGTGTCTCTGAATGGCGTCTTCCACGTCGGTAAATTCGTCTTCTTCGCGATATTCAGTGTAGCCGGGGGGTTCTTCTGATCTAGTAGGAGACTGGTAATAAGGTTCGCAGGTGCATTTATGCCGATTCCGAATCCTCTGGGAGGGTGAAACAAGTCTATTACGGGCCATTACGCGTGGTCTGTCTGTATTAATCACTGCAGTCTTGCTGTCAGTAACGTCCCTGAAGGCCGAACGTGTAGATGGCATCTGACATGACTTGAGCGCTTTCGACACAGTGGACCGTATTCGGATGTTCGACGTTGACTTCCTATCGCTTGGTGACGAAAGGCGTACCATGATGAGTGTTATACGTTGAAACTGTAAGAAGGTTCCAAGTTCTGATTGCACTGCAACGCCTATGAATTGGAACTCCGACACGGTATGTCCCACTGTTGAGCGTTCTTCGTTTCTCTCCCGAACATCTTGGCCCGGTGGGCAGGTCCGTTGTTTTTCACTTCAAGTCTACTGATTTCTTTGCTCATAAGCTGTCTGTCGTTGCAGGCGCATACTAGATTCCCTTCTTAAGATTTCCTGAGCTTCGCTAACCTCTTTGTTCTCATTTCCGCACTATTTCACTATGAACGCTCGTCCACATAAGCAATCTATGTCGGAGCTAAAGCTTCGCAGGCTCACAGAGCACAACCAACGACTGCGAGAGGATCTCGCGCGACCGCGAATGAGAGTGAGCGAAGCTAGCACAAGGTACCGTCCTATTTTCTTCCCACCATGGTCGGGCACATAAGATCTTACCCTCGACCTCCGTCTTACAGTCTAATTCGTTACTGCAAGACCACAAAAGACCATCTGGTGCGTTTGTGCTGCCAATGCTTTCAGCGCCTTGACTGGCTCCACAATTTCGTTTTGTGTGCCTATGTGATTTACGCTCATACAACCTATTTTCAGGTACCTTCTGTGTGGGGACCTGTTGGAAAGGGTGAGGACCCGTACGCACCTCCACAAACAGGCTGCACCTGTATCGTGATGTGATATGTTACTCCTTATACCCCATACCGTGACATACCCCCTTTCATTTTCTGGCTATGGAGAGACCGAAGGAGACTCCGAACACCCCTTTCCTGCGCGACACATCCACGCATCCTACGCACACTCAAACTGCCCACGCTCGTTACACATATCCTACATCTCCTCATCATTGTGACTTTCCAAAACCAGATGGACGATGCTTCATGGCTTGCACATTCTTACACTCCAGTCGTATACATATTGCTGCAAACCCTTCGCTGCTTCGAGTCATTCCAAGGTCTATCCATTTCGAGCATGTCACTCTTTGCATGATTCATTCTCTCATTTTTTGCATGGCTCCGTGTTTTATTTGTTTTTATCAGTTCTTGTCTCGGTTGGAAGTGCATCTATGTGATATATATGTGTTGAGGAAGAGACCTTCGACAATAAAGCCAATTACTATCATATTAAATTCTGAGCCAAGACCTAGTGAACTATTTGAAAATAGCTTTCGATCAACATGTGAGCTCTTTGTCCTTATTACCAGGAGTCTTGTCCTGTCAGTTTGTTCTTATATCCTAGTTTCTCGTTATAAACAACAGATGTCTCTTCGTGAATTCCTGCTGCATCTACTCGCGCCCATCTCTGAAACGCGTTCCGTTGTTCACATAACAGTTTTAGGAAGTGCACCACAAATTCGATCGTCTGTACAGTTGGTTCACACCTTCAGTTACGTACTCCTCTCTGTGCCATGATCCAAGACGTGCGCCTGCAAATTCGCGAGTTTGCTGCGCCAGCGGCGCAAAAACTGGGCATCGGCAAGATATCTGACTTTGCCGATGTTATCTTGCTCTCTTTCGTGTTCTTTACTACTGTGCACAATAGTTTCTCACCTGCAGTAAGCGGTGTGCTCTTTCCTGTCTCATATGGGAATGCAGGAAAGAGAGCGAAGAACAACTGGTGAGGGTGACTACACTACACCTCTTGGGCAGGTGATAATCCACAACTACAGGAATATACGCGTGGCATCGCTCGTCCATGCTATCTTGATCATATTCCTTGCCGGGCGCTGTCTCAATCTCCCGAGCCTTGACCAAAATCGCGCCTTTGGTTGGCATGAAGATGCAGGGTTTGTAATAGCTATCGCAACGGGGTGAGTCAACTCTGAGCGAACGCCAACACTGTTTTTTTTGAGTTCGCTCCAGTTACTTCATCTGGGACACTTTGGAATCGATCATCCATTTCAGTGACGTTGGATTCGTTTTCCATGGTACGTGTCCAACGAGTTGCTTCGCAAACTTGCTTCTAATAAACTAGCCCTAGGCATTTCGTGCCTTCTGATATATGGCCTTTCATTTGTGAGTGATACGATCATATCAGAGCCTCATGGAGAGGCCATATAACACGTTCATTTAGACGCCCTTTGTTCCTTACTATGCAGTACGCTTCTTGTTTTGGGAGCTGTAAGTGATGTATTACAGCAGACGTCTAGTTCCTTGTTCATGCTGTTCATAGGAGCACTGTATTCTTGAATATCCATTGGTAGGTCATAATTAGATATGCTCATGATGATGTAGACGAGCTTCGCTGGTAGGTTCTTGGACAAGACAGGAAAAACAGGCAGTGTCCTTCAGCTTGTCAATGGCATTGTTCTCATTACGACCTTCTTTTGTGTACGCTGCATCTGGGGCGGAATGATGGTCGGTGCCTATTTGAATCTGACGTCCTTTACACTGATGTTTTAAATGCAGTCATATGACTTCTTCGTGACTTTGAGTGGCGTGGACGACCAAATTTTGACACCATACCTCGTCATTTATGGAGGTGGCAACGTCTTGCTCCAAGGTCTCAACTGGTTCTGGTAAGACTTCCGCTGCCATTGTCTTGGAGGGCTAATTTGTGCTTATAAACCTCAGGTTCACCAAGATGATAGTTGCGCTTGTGAAAAGGTTTCAAGGAAAACCCAATGGTCACAAGGTCGTCAACGGAAAGACCAAGATATAACCAACTTTTAGATATCTTTTTGTTTTGGAGGTTGAATGCCAGCAGTAACGGATATTGTATGATTAAATCCACGGATCAGACCACTAGGCCACAGTGAACGCTGCCTCTACTTGCGTCCGTACTCTCCGCTCCCAGGCAACAAGGTTCACGCGTCGAGTGACCTCGATTCTTGTGCTGTCTATGCTATAAAAAAGACAGTGTAGGTACGCGAATGCGAGTGCATCCAAGCCAGTGGGATTTCTGCATTGTATCAATGAGTATACCTAAGTAGCAGCTTCGCGAATATTATAGTGACTTACTCTGAGCCAAGGAACCATTTGTCAGTTCCAAGTCGTTCTGAGAGTGAAGCGATGGCCTCCGCATACTGTCCTTGGATGGATGAGAGTGTAATGTTTGTTCCATACGATGGTAGTACTGAGCTCAAGCCGGTCAGAGGAGCAGGTGGTGGGCTGAGAGTGGCTGCTAGGGCCCTCCCTCCAGCGGTAGCTGTCCGGAGGAGTTGAGAGAGAGCAGGTTGTGGAGGCTCTGATAGAGTCTGGCAAGGGCAGTCAGGATGTGGTCTACATATGAGTCAGAATGCACGCACCAAAGCAGCATGTACTACTCCCTCTAGCAAGGAGACCCATGCGTGGCTCTCGTCCTTGAGTGTTTCATCACTGTAACCATTGAGAGGATCGTTCCCACCGTCAACTCGTCCATCCACCCAACCAGGGATAGAGCGTGGTGCTAACAGCTCACTGCTAGCATCTCCAAGCGCAGGAGTATGTAGACAAGGCAAACGACCATCGATTCCACCTTCTGGAGAGATGTCCCACCGTACAGCGATGTCAGTTACCCCACGCAAAGCGATATATGCCTGCCATTTCAGACACTCGGCGTCTGCGCTCAAAATATCGGAGTTAGATGTTTGGTCGGCTGCCGTTGTCCGAGGAGGTGCAATCCATAGCGTAGGCTTTTGCAAAGGACGTCTTGAGGTAACCGGAATTGGCGGGTAAGTGTGCAAGGGGAATTTGCTGAGGAACCTCTGGAGCGGTTCGGGAAGACTGAAAACCGATGCCATGCTCGAAGAACACTACATAGTACTACGATTTATTCGTTGAAGACGTTGAAGTATTTTCGTAGTAAACCTTAACTAATATAGGAAGATTACAGCCGAAGTCGAGACATTTATTACCAAAAAATCCTGTTATGGTATATATATCTTACAAAATTCGCGAGGTCCCCAAGGAACGCATCAGTAGTAACTTATGGGATTTCTTAAACTTGCTCACCGACGTTCGCGTCGACCACATTTGCTGGCAAACAACTGGCAACCTTATTAGACGTGCCGAGCTGGATTTACTCTATCTTCGTGTTTGAGCCACGTGTTCTGTGACTTCCGAATACTGAGCTTGCACACAAGCAAGCGTAGAACATGTCTGATCATGCGTCAAGTCCCTCTAGGCCAGCCACGCCAGTACCAGAAATACCACAAGTTGCACGTCCATTCCGCTTAAACTGGGATACATCCTCTCGTGTTCGAGGTCCAGGGAGCGTTTCAGAGACTACTGAAGGTCGTGGAGGTGACTATTTCGCAACACCTTTTCGCCTTGAACTGCCCAATCTGTCAACGACCAATATTGCTCTCGGCGCTTTACCACAGGAATGGAGTAGCACAACACAGGGATTCAATGGTAGGCTGCGCTGTCATTATGCGATGTGTGATGCTCATTGTTGCCAGCGATTTCAACGGTTCTCAATAATCCTCATAGACGCCAGGCACCTCCAAAAGCCCATTCCTCTCTCCCAACTGTGCTCCCAGCTAATTTACCGCGTGTGAAACGCAAGGATTTCGATCCGTATCTTCGAGCCATTGCGCCGGAATGGGAGAGGTTTGAGCGAAACATGCAGCTTGGTCGGGATGGTCAAGAACAGACGGACGCATCATTTAGTTCTCGTGATTCCACAGACACTCCGCTTACGCCACGCACGCCTCGTGCAGGAAAGCTAATAACACCACTTAGCTCCGTCCCTCAGGTGTTCTTCGACGCTCAATTTAATCTCGGCGACCCACAGATATTCAATGCAGTCATAGAACACCAGGAAGAAGATGAAGATTCCTCAGACCCTTCGTCGCTCTCGTATTCGCTCCCTCTTCTTGAGAAGCTCTCCCATCACGCAGATACTATCGAACAGCATCTCGTTCGAGAAATTTCTCTTCGGTCCACATCATTCTTTGCGGCATTAACCAACTTGCAAGACCTGCAGACCGAATCGGAAGAATGTCTTGATCGGATATCGAAGCTCCGTGGACTGCTCAAGGAGGTCGACGAAAAAGGCGCCAAACGAGGACTAGAAATTGTGAGGACAGAGTGTAAACTGCTCAATCTCAAATCTGTCTGTAGTGGTGTCAAAGAGGTCGGGGGCGTGCTGGAGATGACTGGTGTTGCAAAAGGATTAGTTGCGGCGGGACAGTGGGGCGAGGCTTTAACAGTCATTGAAGGCGTAGAAGCACTCTGGGATCCAGCAGCTGCTGAAGCACAACCTCCAGTTTCAGGCAGGGAAGCTCGCGCAGAACTTGTCCGTGTCCCTACCAATGGACGATCGTCTCCTCTTCCATCTATGCCGGAATCGCCTCCCCCAGAAAACGAAGTGACTAGGAAGGCTCCATCAATACCACTATCCTCCTTAACTGCATTCTCTTCTCTTCCTGCGCACGTTCGTGCATTGACGATGGAGATAACGTCCTCGCTTACCACGGAGCTCGTCAATGTGCTAAAGCTTGACTTACTAGATCGAGTGAATGGAGCACCTGAGCGGAATGGTAACGTGAATCTCTCTTTTAAGGATAGGTTGCGGCCCGTTCTTCAAGGCCTTTTGCGTACCAAAGGGATTCGCGAAGCCACAGTTTCATGGAGAGAAGTTGTGACAAGTGAAATGCAAGGTATTATGAAGCATGTATGTGCTGGGCACTTCAATGGTGCATGATCGTTGATTGTTCTCTATTCTCTAGCACCTTCCGTCTTTCAATACGGGTGAAGAGGAGTCCAAAGGTCCCAATGCTGCCTTAAGGTAAGCGGGGCATTGACTTTCTTGGTACCACTATCAACTGTCTTATGCTCCTTATAGTGGACTTGCAAATCTTCTTCGCTCCAAAGAGCATGGGGAGTTCCTATCGCTTCTCTCACAGCTGTATACGAGTCTTCTAAATGGTATCAAGGGTATTCAGGCCCAAAATGGCATACTAATAGAAGTGTTGCAAAGTTTGCTGTATGACCTTTTTTTCTCCTTCTCCGCCTTATCGCTCACTGTGCTTCCATACTTCCTGGTTCATATCTTACAGAGCGCCGAAACCATCAGTAGATATCATCTCATTTCAAGAAGAACTCTTGGATATTCTATCTTCAACTGCGGACCTCTCGAACAAGCTAGCGGCAATAGTTATTGGATATCGTTCCGAACAGCATGCGCAACTTGATATACCCGGCTTTCTTACCTTTTTCAATGCTTCGTGGGGCTTCGTGGTGCAATGCGAAGTGATATGCCGGCGGATGATCATGGGGCTGAGGGGAGTGGTCCTTGGTCAGGTACGTCCCTTTATCTAAGTCAATCAGATATGAAAACAATATGTTACTCCTAGGCAAAGCACTTCCTACAAGCGTTCCATCAGGCCCGAATTAGCCAATCAGCAAAACTTGTCGAAGACGAGCTTTGGAATCCGATGTCGGAAGTGCCTGCAGCACTGCAGCACATGGCAGATGTTTTGGTAGATTCCGCAGTCCGGGATTCCCCTGAGCTTATCGTAGGAGAGACAGATAGCTCGACTTCGGCCCAAAATCCGTTACTACCCCAACCTCCTTCAAGCAATCCGAATGGATCCGCGCCGTCATCCAAGTACCTTCGAATCGAAGGACCGTACTTCTGTGTTTCTGCCACAGGTGCTGTCCTCGGCCTGTTATTCGATTACCTTAAGCTTGTCGTAAATCTGCCCATGCTTAACATCGATACGATGGGTCGAGTGATAGAGTTTCTGAAGGCGTTTAACTCCAGGACCTGTCAAGTTGTTCTTGGCGCTGGAGCCATGCGGTCAGCTGGTCTGAAGAATATCACAGCAAAACATCTTGGTAGGCACTGTTCATCCTCCCTGACACTTAGGAACCACTGACGTCATCCCTTCAGCGCTGGCGTCACAGTCCTTGTCCATAATGATCGCACTCATTCCCTATGTACGAGAAACTTTCCGTCGTCACCTGAGTCCAACCCAGGCAGTGATGCTAATCGAATTTGATAAACTCAAGAGGGTGCGTCCGGAACCGCCGTACGTCATCACCGAATCTCACTCGTGTCCTAAATGTAGGACTTCCAAGAGCATCAGAGTGAAATTCATTCCAAGTTGATTTCTATTATGGGCGATCGCACTAGTGCACATGTCAAATCTTTACAGGCAAGTTTTACGCCCTCTGCCGTAATCTCTCCCGCGGCTCGGGGCCTTGAAAGCTAAACCCAGTGCAAATAGAACGTTGATTGGGATCGGCCCAAACAGGGAGAAAGTGTCAATAATTACATGGAACTTCTCGTCAAGGAGACTGTCACACTTCACAAGGTGCTCTCGAGGTACCTGACCGCACCAGTTGTGGAGGTTTGTGATACTTATGTTATACGTGCTAACCTAAGTTCGCTTACATTCGTGACCTACTGCAGTATGTGATGTCTCAGGTGTTCGCTACGATCAATCACCGCCTATCCGAAGAATACAGCAAGATCGACTTGCAAAGTCAAGAAGCGAAAGACAGGTGACTAGAATAGTTGCCCTATCTTTGCGCCTCGTGACGACTTTGACAGGATGCTCGCTGATGCGCACTACCTTTACGAGAAATTTTCCGTTCTGAAAAACGTCGGTGCGCCCACAAATATGCTCAAGAATCTGGTTGTGGAAAAGGTTTTGTCTCGGAAGTCGGCGTTCAGTAATATCCGAGCCACAGCAAGTCCCAACGAGCGCATCAAGGGGCTGCTGTCACGGAAAAACAGTGTCAAGCCGGACAAGCCACTACCCGCAGTCAATTCTTCTCCGACATCTAGTCCGCTGCCACCACCTCCTCAGGGGGCACCTACCCATGCTGCCACCGTGGAAGAATATCGAAGTGGGAGTCCAACCCTTGATGTTGTGGTGCCACCCTCACGAAGCAGTTCTCGCGCCCGCGGGATAACAGACTTCAAACAAGTAGAATCTTCTTCCGGAGATGTAGATGTGGCGGCAAAGGATGTACTTCCACCCCTTCCCGATGACGCCAATCACTCGCTACTTTCAGAAGCCGACACCTCTAACGGTGTCGCTTCTGAGATGGAAAGTAATTCCGCATCGACAGCATTCCATAGGAAGGAGGAGCGTGAGATCAGTGATAACCACGACGAAGTTCCACCTGCGGTTCCTATATTACCTTGCAATGGCGATAGTTGATAATTTTGGTTGACAATTGCAATTTAGATAGCAATTATGGGTTCTTGCAAGATTTTTAGAAAACCGGAACATTCTAGTGTTACACTTGGTGGCGTATTCCTCACAAATATCATGCCCGACAGGTCGTCCATTCCCTGATCCCATTGTTTTGGTCAGATGAACCTTTCCCGTGCTTGTCCGGTCGTTCAGATATGGAGACTGTATTTATATACCGCAACAAACAAAGGAAACTGAAGACGGGCCCCGTTTGGATGTTGGAGCCACTGAAACTTTGTCTCTCTTTGTTCCCTTACGTTGACGCGGGACCCGCACAAACGTTAACTGCACTTCGGATCCAAATGTGGGGAAACGAAAATCGAGGAAGAAATTTAGAAGAATATTAACGACTATTAATAACAGCAGACTGCTGCGCTAACTGAGCTTGATGTGTCCCACGAAGCCAAGATCGTGCTGCTGCAATGCTGCAAGTCCTGAGGCCTGAATGTTAAACTGGCTCTGTGACAGCCTCTGACAGATACATGTGTGGCCCAGCGTATCGTGTATTACGTCCGCGTGACACACTCTTGGTTATGACGCGGGATGTATCCAATATTGTATTGACCGACGGTGACCAAATGGTTCCAGACCGCCTGAGCTAGAAATGGGTGAATCTTCATTACGGTTCTACAGAAACTAGCCTTTACTGAGGGAAAGTCCAGAGCTGAGAGCCGGTACCAATGGCATCACGGGCGACTTGCGTCGACTGGTCTGGTCCTCACCCTCAAGGTCACGACTGTGCGACGGGCGGCTATTGTACCTCAAGTCCAATAATGATGCACGGTGTTAGGGTGCATGCTGCAGGAGCTGTGCGAGACTTTTGATATTATCCTCAGGTGACGAATCAGTATTTCCGTCCTCAACTTTATTACGTGCGAACGATGAATCTCACCCGTGGTAACGTCACTCGCAGACGTTCTGTCTACTACTACGTGACAGAACTGGATGAGATGAATATATCAGTGGATTGCACTCTTCTGAGGGCGAATAAACGGACCTAAGAGCTTGGCGTTCTGTGATATGCCAGGTATCACATTACTTTCACGTCTTTCACACCTTCGTGAACGGTTGCTTCCCCCAATTTCAACTAAAGCACGAGTAATGGTGTCAAGTGATACCTATGACAGCTCAATGTCGCGCAATCAAACGTGCGACGGTGCACGAACAATGGATGGAGAACGTTGCTGACAAATGATCTAATGTACAAATGTGCGAATGTGACGCTATGTGACGTGGTTCCTTGGGTCTCCGGTGAGATCACACGCTTTGATTCAAGTTGGATTTCCGGTCTTGTCTGAATTGAGTCATCTAATTCGTATTTATTATTTCTCAAATATTCCATTCATCGTACCGCCTCCCCCGTATTTAAGCCCGTGCTGTTCCTTTCCATTTTTCTCATAAGTCCCATCACTGCACTCCGACGACGCCTTCAACAGCGTGCTCTAGTTCTCCATAAACAAGCTTAGTTCTTTACGGTACCCTTTGTTGCCCAACTAGGCCTCATGTTCGAGGAGATATGCCTAACATGCTCCAAACACCTCCGCGATGATGGGTATGCACTTCCCTATGCCCAGCTACCTACTTCTGACTTCATGTATCAATATAGTCGTGCTTACTGCAGTGATGAATGCGAAAATTCGGACATGTACAATTCTCCGTCTATTTCTTCTGCCAGCAGTGCCCTTTCGTCTCCATACATCGATTTTACTCCCGGTGGCGAAGTTCCACCGCTCATGCCATCTGCATTAGGAACCGCGCTCAGCAGTAATTTCCAGAAGCGAGGCCGGTATTCCGTATCGTCTTCGTCCACCTCTTCAGCTTCGTGGTCCCTCTTCACTGACGCTGAAGAGGAAGGTTATGCTTCTGTCAGTATTGACGACGAAGCCGTCTATGAAGGAGATGGTTTAGAGTCAGGTGTATCCGGTGACGGCTTCGCACGGTCCGCAGGCTACTTACATCCGTGTAAGTCCTCAGGACTTAGCTACACTCGCCAACCATCGGCTACCAACAACCGCTCAACCATTCCCCTTCTTCACCGCCGAACATCTTCTACATCTAGCTCAGGTTTCGGACAAGTTCATTCCTCCGCTGAAGATGACGCTGACTCTATAAATGACGTTTCCTTCCACGAGAAACCTTCGGAGCGAGGGCAGGAGCATAACAAGCTTACTGTTACATCCAAGTATAAAAAGAGCCGCAATCGTGCGAGTCTCCCTGCATATTTCTCTCTTCTGCAGGTCAGCTCCCCCCAACGCAGCTCGCCGCCGCTTTCCACTAGTTCAGGAAACACAATCAATCGTGCTTCCCCTCCTACACCAAAATTAGCTTCATTGCTAGCTATTTCTGGCATTCGCCCTGTTGTCGAAGCGACGCCCCGTGGGCGGCGACGCGAACCCGATGCGAGTAGTCGCTCCAACTCCCGTTCTCGTGCACGCCAACAGACTCTGGTTCCTGGCCTTCGCGAACGTCAGGATAGCCGCAGCAGCGTCGAGCAAGTCTTTAATTGGACCTGTGCTCCGTTGACTCGGGGTCGTCCAAGTGTACGGCGCAACTCGTCACCACTTCCGAAGATGATGTCCTCGGTGCAGCAATTCGAGGAAACACCTTTCGTTAATTCCATCGATGAGACACACGAACGCAGGGGCCGCTTCAAGCGCAACGAGCTTGGCGGACCAAACTCGCGTGATGCGCCGGGTTATGGGAATGGCAGGAGCGGCTTGCGAGATCGGGTGCGAGAGCGCCAGCGCGGTGTCGATGCCGGTCTTCTGTAACCGCGCCCCCAAAATTCATTTCTCGTTGCGCATGCCGCGCCAATATGTCTTTGCACCTCAGACGTGACAAAACCAATGATCCGAGTAAGCGACTTCCTCGGCTCTGCCTACGACCATGATCGACTCCTTCTGCATCGTACTCTCGTCACATTGCACTCAAACAAAAAATAACCGCACTAGCTTGTCACTCGCTCTTCTATATCGACCATACGTAACATATCTACCTCATCAAAGTATACGGCAGAACTTCTAGTAGTCGCAGAAAATTTACGGAAATCATAGCACGCATTCTTCGTCTTCACATCACCATTCATTACTTATTCGTGGTCGTCACATTCAAAACTAGCATTCATCGTACCATTTAGCATTGACTTTCACCATTCTGTGGTCGTCACATCGGATCGAGGGGAATCATTATCAAGTACCATACATTGCCCAACGTTATTGTGCAATAATATTCGCTCTCCCTCTGTAGTCCACGTAACTGAGCACCACAAAATTATGTGAACACGACAGATCAGAGATGGGGGCGGACCGTGGCATGCACCTCGTTGCAGACGTGCAGACCTAAGCTCCATCATTCTTGAGTGACAAGAGGTGACTACAGTAGATGTCCAGTGATTAGTGGTGCCGCAAGTGGCCGTATCATATCGAAGTAATAGCTCCGATCCTTTCCATTTGCTGATACACGGCAATATAACGTGTTTCATGGTAATTCGTGAGCTAAAGATAAGCCACAAAGCCCGGTAACGTATTCCTCCAGCAAGCAAACACGATGACGAGGCTGGGCACGGGCAAGGACCAGCTAATGGCAATAATGTATTAACGTTGCAGAGTGGGCCTTGTGCTCAGAATATTGTTCGCGGCGTGTTGGTGCGAAAGGGTGCGAACCTTCGACACGCGACGGCGGACTTCCATTTCAGGAACTTACGGTACTGGCTAGACCAAGCCCTCCCAAGTCCCCTTCAACCCATCAAGGTGAAGGTTTGTCTTCGTCAGGTATTCATCCTTTACCAACTACTGCTAAATCATCCAGAAATCCTCGTAAATATTCTAGTTTTGCAATTGCACCTCTGGTGCTGCATGAACATAGCTAGCCACAGAATCATCAACTTGCCATCATTGATTCACTTACTCAGCTAAATACTGCAGAGGACAATTGTCCTACACGCCTAGGGCCGTCTCCAAGCCTGGAATCTGCAACGGTTGAGAGTCACGGCCAATCTACTACCACACAATCAAGGGCAGCTGCTGTACAAGCCCATACAACTACTTCGATACCGACTACCGGACATCGGTCACAGCTTGAGGAATCTATAGGTGGCTTGCAGTCTACTATATCAGCAGGTGCGGTTCGTTTGGGTTTCAAAGTCCAGATCATGTCTACTAACAACTCATTCCTTTATATCCAGATACTGAAGTTTCAAGGCCTCGCAAACGACAAAGAATCGATAGCACAAATACTCTGGACTCCACTTCAGCCTCCCTGACTGTCAACAATAGTCTTCGCGTCACTAATTCTCCCCTAAGCGCCATGCGAATTCCTGAGCCTGATAATCATTCCAATTTATCTTCTTCATATGATTCTGTACCAGAGGCAGGCCCGTCTTGCGTCACCTTGGACAAGGCTAGTCATTCCAATGGAATAAATAAGGAGAATGGGTACTCTGCTCCAGTGTCAAATGGCACTACTTCAAACGGATCTCCAACAATGGGGAACGGCCTCGCCAAGCACAGTTCATCCATCCCGCGAGTGTCACTGCCAGGCACCACCCTCTACGATGACCCATATCTTGATCGAGAAGAGTTCGTGAGATTAGTTATCCAAAGTCTTAGAGACGTCGGGTATATGTAAGCGATTTTTTTTTGGCTCACATGCTCTTCCCTTATTACGTTCCCTTCAGAGAATCTGCTGCCACTCTCGAAGCAGAGTCAGGGTACTCGTTAGAAGCACCTGTGGTGTCAGAGTTTCGGCAACATATTCTGCGCGGCGCCTGGGCTCATGCAGAACCTTTGCTCGTTGAACTTGGGGTGACTAATGCTGACGCTCTTCTGGTATACATATCTTCCTGTGGTGGACATACTCCTCAGTCCCTGACGGTTCTATTTTTAGGATGCGCGGTTCCTCATTGGAAAGCAGAAGTATCTCGAATTACTTGAAGCGCGGAAAACCACCGCTGCGCTGCAGGTGCTGCGGAACGATCTGGCTCCTTACAGTACCACGTCAGAACAGGGGGAACTCCACGTATTATCTAGGTGCGCTCTTTGAAATATCTCCATATTGTACATTCGTGATAATTCTCGTCCAGCTTGATGATGTGTTCAGATCCCCAAGATCTGCGCCGACGTGCATCCTGGGATGGAGCGTCGGGAATTTCACGGCGACAACTTCTTGATGATCTACAACGTTAGTATGAGATCCGAATAGAAATATCTCTCTGTACTCTTATACGTTTTGTTCAGCTATTGACATCTTGTCTCGCAGATTATATACCTTCTTCGACCATGATTCCCCAACGCCGCTTTTCTACCCTTCTTGCACAGTCGCGAGAATATCAACGATATCGCTGCCTCTACCACAACTCACTTGTGGATCCATCTTCATCTTCATTATTTAGTGACCACACATGCGACAAGGAATCTTTCCCTCGAATAACAACCACCATCCTCGAAGTCCATTCAGATGAGGTGTGGAATGTGGCCTGGAGTCATGATGGTACTCGTCTTGCAAGCGCGAGTAAAGACAAGACTGCTATTATTTGGCGCATTGGGGTTGGTTGGACTGACTCGCAACGTCTAACATGCTAATTTTCGACTCCACAGCTCGAGGCTGAACCATCATCCCGTGATTGTATAGCAGAATTCATCTTGCGCGATCACCCATATCCTGTTGGTTGTTTGGCTTGGTCACTAGACGACTCTATCTTATCTACGTCTGCGGATCACCTCATTTTGCTATGGAACACGAAGGTTAGCTTTAAATTCTCATGTTTTGCTTTGCGATACTCATGAGCTGTAGACTGGAGCTTTGATGAAGACACTCGAGAATCATGCTGAGACAGTATCTGCCTTGGTATGGCTACCCGACGGCTCAGGGTTTATGTCTGGTAGCCTCGATCGCAAGATCATACTATGGGTATGCCTATCGTGGGTTTATGTTATCGCGCCTCACCTCATTTTTAACAGGACATGGAGGGTGAACTACGGGAATCATGGAATGATATAGCCATACGTGTCACTGACGCTGCGGTGACTCCTGATGTGAGACGCCTGGTCGCTGTTGGGATGGGATACAACCCTCCCCCAACGTTGGCTCGTGCCAACATCCGAGATGCATCGCCACCCATTGTATCTAATGGCAACGGTAATGCAGTGGCACCGCGTTCGCCAGAGAATCGAATGATCATTTACGATCTCAAGACGGGACAGGTTGAGCTGTATGTTCCAAGCATGTTTGTTTCAGCATCTTTACTCATCGATCTTTGCACACAGATCTGTTCACATGGAGGGTGAACTTACTAGCGTGAAGATTTCGGAGGATTCTCGCTATGCATTAATCAATCATGCTCCAGATGTGACTACCCTCTTCCTTGCATCAAACCCAACCATATCACTAACCAGGCATCAAAGGAAATCCATTTGTGGGATTTGGAAGAGTTCAGGCTTGCACGCAAGTTCACTGGGCAACGACAGGGTCACCATGTCATCCGCAGTTGCTTTGGTGGCATCGATGGCAACTTCGTCGTTAGTGGGAGTGAAGGTATAAACGACCTTCATAGCGTCCTGCCAGTTCGCACTCACAAAACACTTCCAGATCGCAATGTTTATGTCTGGCATCGAGACACGGGTACACTTCTAGAGGTACTGGAAGGTCACGGCTTGGGAAGCGTGAATTCCGTAGCCTGGAACCCCCGCAATAAGCGCATGTTTGCATCGTGTTCGGACGATAACACGATACGTGTGTGGGAGGCACCTGCTTCTGCGGGTGAACTACTTCGAGGGTTTGGCATCTCTGCGCCCGAGCCAGAGATGATTGGGAAGGGAAAGGGCAAAGTAAAGCAACCTTGGGCCTATAACGATGGGGGGTTATAGTGAAGTGGTGCTCTTAGGGACTCAGTGGACATCAATGATCTTTCGTGAATGCTTTTGCATTTTCACTGCTACTTTTCCTTCATCGCACAACATAAAGTCTGATCAATTATCTTCCACACGACATATCATGCATAGTATAGATTGTTAAAGTAGCAACCCCGACAAGGACGAGGATAGTGTTTACATAGCTTACTCAAATTATTTTTCAAATGTCACGTGAGCGCGTCACGTCGCGTCGCATTTGTTCATCCCACCCAGATATCTCAAGGACACCACTGACCGCTTCACATTCTTTACCTCTGCTAAATCATACCCCTTTGTCTTCTTATATGATTATTTTTGCACTACTTTCGTTTCCGGTGCTTTGGGCATTCGCCTGGGGCAAGGAGTCCGCATGGAACGGTCAGACTCCTCCAGGGACAGACACACCAGGTCCATTCTGGCCCTATTACGTCCCGCCAGGAGCAAAAAGTTACGATTCATCATCTCCGCTCATTCACTTCACTGGTTCTTGGCTTGACTCCTTCAATAGCATGTACGTCGCAACGACCCTGCGTTGGACCGACGAGAAAGGAGCTGCTGCCCGGATGACGTTCGTGGGCACTGGTATCGAGTGGTTTGGTGGTCTGGACAGGAGTCATGGAATTGCCGCGGTGTTCATTGATGGGAAAAAAGTGCAGGAGATCGATACCTGGAACAACGTGTCGCGCAAACAGCAACGGATCTTCTGGACTTTTAACCTGCCGTACGGGAAACACACCATCAAGGTTATAAACCTTGGGAAGGGACGAGTTGACAGCCCAGTTATCGACATAGATGCCTTTGTTGTCACGGAAGGTCATATGACCCTTCCCATGACCCTTCCCATGACCCTTTCTCTGACCCTTGACCTGTCAAACGCAGCAACCCAGCCAGGACAGATCCAGTCCTTCGCTTCGCAGACTCAATGGACATTGGAACAAAAGGGCGTAACTGGCGTATCTGCCATGCAGCTTACCGTGATCTCCGATACTCACGCTCTTATCATTGATAAAGTTGAACATAATCCCGTGTCGATTGGGGGGCATCCAGCATGGGCTGCCTTGTTCAACCTCCGGACGCATGCCGTTAGGCCCCTCAAGGTCGAATCCAACTCCTTTTGTGCCGGCGGGACTTTTCTGAGCAACGGAACTCTGATCAACGTCGGGGGTAATCCTGTGGTCGGCGGGTATACGTCTGCGGCAGACTTCGGAGACCTCGATGGCTTGCAGGCAGTTCGCATCTTCGAGCCTTGTCCATCTGCCTCCGCTGCTCATTGCAACATCTATGAGAATCACTCCCGCATCCGCATGGCTAGCCCCCGTTGGTACAATACAGTCATTCGAATCTCGGACGGAAGCGCTATGATCGTTGGGGGATCAAAGAAGGGTGGGTGGATGAATAATGAGACAGTGAATAACCCCACTATCGAATACTGGCCTCCAAAGTCCATCCACAACTCGATTGGTCTGCCTATACATCTACCGTTCCTGGTCCGCACCCTCAACGCGAACCTTTTCCCCATTGTGTTCTCGCTTCCAGACGACAGGATCTTCATGGCCGCCAATCAAGACGCTATAATATACGACTGGCGGACGAATCAGGAACAGCATCTTCCGCGGATCCCTAACGAATGCCGAGTTACGTATCCTATGGCAGCTGCTGGCCTCCTCCTTCCTTTGTCCCCCGAAGATGGTTATACTGCAGAGATCTTGTTGTGCGGAGGTTCCACGATTGATGACAAGAAACCAGGTTACGAGATTTCTTCTCAAGATTCGGCATCTTCTCAGTGCTCTCGCCTGCTGCTTACCGACCAAGGAATTGCTGCAGGGTGGGTGGTCGAACAGATGCCCGAGGCGCGTCACATGCCGGATGCAGTCTTGCTCCCAACTGGCGAGGTTCTAATTGTCAATGGCGCGAGAACTGGAATCTCAGGCTACGGCAACGTTAGTCGATCAGGTCGGGCAGTCGAACGCAGATCATCCAGTCCTTACGCCAGTTTTATATGATCCCATCGCCTCAGCTGGGCAACGCTTTTCCTCTGAGGGAATAAGAAGTAGTACGATTCCGAGGATGTACCACTCGGTCGCGACACTGACGCCCAGTGGCGATATCATGGTGGCTGGGAGCAACCCGAACTTGGATCGGAGCGAGGTGAAGTATGGGACGGAGTATAGAGTTGAGTGGATCGGTCCTCCATACATGAAAAAGAACAGGCCGCTCGTGCACAAGCCCCCTAAGGCTCTCCTGTATGGACAGAACCTCACCCTGAGTGTCAAATTCCCACCTTCCACAGACAAAGCCCGGAATATCAAAGGTGGGTTTACTACCACCCAGCTCGAGCCGCCAACCTTACGATTATGCACTTTAGTTGCGCTGATGGATCTTGGCTTTGTAACCCATGCTGTTCACGCGAACAGCCGTCTGGTGTATCTGAGCTCTTCACTCTTCAGTGATGGACATTCGCTACAGATCACTGGTCCGCCTAGACCTGCCGTATATCCACCAGGACCAGGTTGGATATACGTCGTCGTGGATGGTGTTCCTAGTGTCGGATTTCAGGTGATGGTAGGGAACGGTGATGGACCCCCTGTAGACCACACTGCCTGGGACAAGTGCAACCGCTTTTTCCCCACTCTTTATCCGCATTACTGAAGTATCTATTGACAGTTTGCTGAAAATGACTGCGGTAGACCAATACGAAGCATCGAAGAAGACGAAAGGAAAGAAAAAAGGAAAGAATGTCGACAACACAGAGTAATATATATGCTATCCTAGCTTCCACGGTTGCTCGACCGTTTGCCTCTCATCCTGTTATCTATTTTGCTCACGGACTGACGTTTGAGCTTAACATGTATTGCCAGCAATAGATTTGTACACAACGTTTTGTATCGCTGTTTCCGATGATGAAGTATGAAAAACAAAGATGATAAATCTGTCTATACACAAAAATTACAGTGCCCGCTGCTTCATACGACTGCTAACAGTCCTAAGTCCGGCATAAACTTTTCCGGGTGGTGAGCCCAAGATTAAAGAGACGATTGCATCGCGCGCAATTTTGATGTTTTGGAAGGAGCCCATGATGTGGATTTTCCTGTGTGCCCAAGGCATCAATTATGCTGTCAAGATGAAATAAGAGAACACAGATTCACGTGTCAGCGAGCACGATACGAGTCCGGCTAGTGTTCTCGATTGTGAACTTGGTTTTGCCGTCCTGTCCCGCTATCCGTCCTGAAACGATCATAAGCGAAGTAATATATAATGCGTGCTTATATACCGACCGATTGCTCTGCTAAGATGATCGCCATGAAGTGTTTTTACGTCTTTAATCTCAAATGAGTCGAGGTAAAGATCGTCCATTCGTAGAAGTGCTATCGCGTCCTGTAATTCAATCTTAGAGATGCATAAAGATATCAGCGATCAGCACTCACGTTGACGTCAAATCCAAGAGCATATGCCTTCACAAAATCAGCTCCTTTCTGCAAAGCACCGATTTCTGTGGTAGCTTTTGATGTCTGCAGCGATGCGATAAGCATATAATCTCCAGGGACAGGCGAACGCGCACTCTAATTTCTAAACACCGCCTCTGAACATTCATTCGCACTTGTAGCCCAAGGATCTCGGTGAGAGGACTGAAAATATTTATCCAGTCCTTTTTTATGGGTGTCATGCGATGCGGAGGTATTGGTATACGCCTTGTCTCCGATTTCAGAGCAGATTGTGTCGCAGATGCAGGCAAAGCCGGAAAAGAGGGCGCCGAGCTTGCCTCTAGGGCGGGGGTAGGGTCAATTTCGATCATCAAATCGTCATCTTCGGTCGCGTGATTCGAGTTCAAAGGGGGAATAACCCCCGAAGACATCTCTTCGTCGCCGTCAACTTGTGTGGTATTGGCGGCCGTGCGTGCTTTCTTCTTACTCATGCTTCGGCGGTTTTTGGTGGCAGACGTGTTCTGCTCTAAGTGTGCGACGACCATGTCTGCTAATGATGGATGGGGAAATGAAATTGTTCCAGTATGAGACCTTGAGGATTCAGGCCTTGGGATACTTCGAGGATGTTGTGCAAAATACTAGTGCAAGTCACATGACCTCGATGTCACTGATCAAGCGAAAAATTGGTCATGGGAAGGGGAGGCTCGCCGCAGGCGAGCTGAGGAACTTGGAAGGGGTCGGCGCTCGGAAGTCGGAAAACCATCCCAGGGGGAAGTCTCTGGGAGTACCGAAACCTCGCTACTGCATCCATTGGCTTTCGGCCAAATGATTTAATACATAAGGTGAAGACAAGTGAAGACAAAGTCCCAACGAGATAGCTTATTTTTGATGTCAGATTCAGATGCCAGCGTTCGATATTACTTACCGGCACAGTTGACATTGAACACCCACCCACACCCACACTTTATTACTACACAGTTCACAGTTCCAACGGAATTCATAACGGTTCGTGTTCCTTGACTCAGACCCTAGCTAACGTGACATCTAATTTAACCCTTAGCCCATCCTAATTTTAACGGTGAGAACACTTCTTCCTTGCAGGGTTGGTTACACCCTGGATTATATTTCTCTTTAACATCGTGGTAAGGCTACTAGTACACTTTCCTGCAGGTTGGTTACACCCCGGATTATATTTCTCTAGTACACTTTCCTGCAGGTTGGTTACACCCTGGATTATAGTTCTCTTCTCTTTAACATTGTGGTAAGGCTACTAGTACACTAATTCTTGTGCTGGATACCAACATCATTCTATCTTCCTTAGGACTGTCTTCCTACTCCCATTCACCTCACACATCTGCTCACACTCAGTTTCACTACTTCTTGCGCTTGCGCTGGATACCAACATCATTCTATCTTCCTTAGGACTGTCTTCCTACTCCCCATTCACCTCACACATCTGCTTGCACTCAGCTTCCCTACTCTTGCACTGGATACCAACATCATTCTATCTTCCTTATTCACCTCACACATCCGCTCGCACTCAGCTTCACTACTTTCCTGTGCTGGATTACCAACATCATTCTATCTTCCTTACAGCTCATTACAATATGGTGTGTCATTCAATATTTCATTCATCCTCATCTTTGACATCCTTGTCCTTGTTCTTTTCCTCATTCTTGTCCTCATTCTTGCCCTTGTCATTTTCTTTTTTCTCCTCCTCCTCCTCCTCATCTTCTTTGTTGTCTTCATCCTCACCATCACTGTTTGGCATCACCTGCCTGTTTATTTTCAATACTGCACACCTCACAGCAGTGACCTGCATGGCCTTGGCAATATTTTCTGCCTGCTTGAAGGTACTTGAGTGTTTGTACACATCTCATATCATGCTTGGCTGGAAGCCTGAGTGGTTTGCGAGTCTCCCCACTTTCTCTTCAAACCTGAACTGCATGAACTGTGTGATATCTGTGGTGTGGATTTGAGGGTCTATGTGAGGAGGGACCCTGGCATTGGCCTCTGGGCTGCTGTTGGTGGTGACAGCTCTCTTGGTATTTTCAATCTTGTTTGTCTGGCCATTGCTGGCACCTGTTTCTGTGAAAGCAAACTTGGAAGTGTGCAAGTGTGGAGTCATTGAGTATATTACTGTGTACTGTAGCTCTTGTTAGCTTGAATTTGCTTCCCTGAATGAATATAGCTAGGAAATTTAAATGTTCTCAACCCACCAATTGGAAATAAAATCAATGGTGACTTGGTGCAGCAGTTAAACCAAAAATTGAATAATGCTAGCATGGTGGTTGTAGTAGTCAAAAGCAAAACAGTCCTGACCCCTAAAACACATTTTTGTTCCATCTCCTGCCACCCCAGTACACACACAATTTCACCATCACACTCATGTCAGTCTTCGAACTGAAGACAGTCCTCACTCTTCTCAAGCACTCAACAGCTGTCTCCCCTCTTGAGAAAAACACCTTTGAGAAAAATTGGAGGGCTAGCATGAGTTTCTCAAGTGGCTTGAAGCACACTTGGTACATACATTTAATCCCTCAACTAACCAAAAAAAAAGGTTGAAAAATGAGTCAGCACATGGAATGAGGCACACAGCCATATGAACAACCCACATCCACAGTTTCAGCTACAGTGGGAATCTGAGATTGTTGAGTATGTCCAGTTCCTGTGGGAGAAGACAAGAACACGGTCAAAGAGAGGTGAGCCTGGCAAGCTAGGAGTGAATGTCCCATTGCTTGGGCCTCGGTTTATGCCTGCATTGTACCTGCACATCCAAAAGCAGTCAGGTGGTGGAGCTGTTGAGCCAAAGGTACAGTACCTCAAGCCACTCAATATTGTGCACCTGTTCTACTACCCGCAGCTTGCACAGTGACACACACAAAACTTGTTTTGTACATGGTCATGACCATATTATGATTTATGCCACTTTATTTTTTTTAAACTATGAAGTCACTTGAATTTTTCTCACAACATTAATTTTATTTGGACATTTCAAAGCATGTTTCACCAAGAAATGGCTTAGCCGTCCATGTAAAATACTTATCTTTCTTGTATATGAAATAAACATGTGTCAACATTTTATGCCATTTATTTGTATCTATGTATCCAAAGCTGTGGAACCTGACAAATTGATACTATAATTAGAAAGATGATGATTGGTAAAGCACAACAACAAGGCAGTGCCAACACAGCCCTTACCAAGCATTATTACAAAGCATGGCAGTGTTATGGTCTTAACACAGCCTTTGCCAAGCATTCTTACCAAGTATTCTGTAAAATTCCAGAGCATTCTATAGTCCTTTCTCATAATGATTCATACTGACTCAGCATGACTCAAATGTGACTCCAATTTAATTTAAGTACATTAGTAATCAATAGCATAGCCACTAGTATAGTAGTATATAAGGGGCTCATTTTTCCCCTCTTGTGAAGTAATCAATTTCATTCCCAAAGTATCAATTATCCAATCAGAGTGAGACAAAGTTTAGGGAAATCAAAGGGGGATCAGTGCATACACCCCTGAAGTTTCTTTACCCCTATTATCTAAGTGAACAAATAAGTGACAACTAGGAGAAATATTAGCTTATTTACTCCATTCTTTTACCACATTCTTCACATATTATTCAGAAGTATTTGAGGCCACACACTTGAGCCATATTTGATTACACAAGTAGTATTCATTTTAGTTCTCTTTTAGACACAGGAAAAGTTCTGTGGGGAGAATCACACATATTATTCATCAATTAGGGAAGACAAATAAGACCTACAATCTGTCAATGAATATTAAGAGCTTGGCCACTTAAGACTACATCAAAGGGTGTACTCTGTTCTGGACTGCATCATACTCATAGTGAGTGCCTGAGCAGCAGAGAGTTGGTTTCGAGGCCATGTATTGGGATGATTTCACTAGTGAATTTGATCTCCATTGCTGAAGATAAGTAAGAAATATCCACAGGGATATATTATAGCTCTAGTCATTGCATACAGCTGCAACATATTATTCTGAAGGTCATAGCACTGCATCACACCAGTTACTGACTTTACTTGAGATCATAGCACTGCCTCAAGCCAGTTATTGATTTCCACACTTCTTTGCCCATTTTACATCACTAGCATTCGCTTGAAAAGTTCAATAGAAAACCCTGTCCCCCATGAATGACTACGTTATCAACTGTTGGTATTTGTCTGAACCATTGTCTTAATAACTGAGGGTCTTATATAAATGTGTGTAAAATGTAATGACACCACAATTACACTAGGATAAGACTTCTTGCCAGTCCTCGATTAACACAGTCTACAACTTTTCTTCTTTCATGGTAGATAACGTGTGAGTTCTTGGGAGGCTTGCTAAACCAATCTATGTGATTAACTTAGCTGGAGCTTTTGTGTTATATCCCAACTTATAAACTTGTCTAGGATAAACCGTCTAGACACTGGAACGTGGTTCCTTGTTAAGATAATCCTCTGTAGAGACTACAGTCTCAAATATGAATACATTGACCAAAGACTGGTTGGTCAAATAGGCACAAAGTGGTGAGAAACTGGTCTCATGAATGAACAGATTGACCAAAGCTCACGTTGGTCAATATCAGATAACTAGGTGAGAAGCTGGTCTCACAAATGAACAGATTGACCAAAGCTCGTGTTGGTCAATATCAGAAACTAGGTGAGAAGCTGGTCTCACAAATGAACAGATTGACCAAAGCTCATGTTGGTCAATATCAGAAACTAGGTGAGAAGCTGGTCTCAAATAAACTAAGTTTCTATTGTAAGAAACTTATGTAATCTCAAGGGAATGTCTTTTCCCTGCACTTGGTACTTCAAAGGGGCTTTCTTTGTAAGCAACAATCTTCACAGTGAGTAGCTCAAACTGAGATTCAAATGATTGCAAGTGGGAGATCCTATTTTTTGGGGGGAGAATGGGCCCTCCTTATATACATTTTGTGTGGGAATATTATGTAAGTAAAAAAGCGGAGCAATGACATCAGAAGTGGAGCAGAATATTCCAGAAAGTGGAGCAGAACATTCCAGAAAATTCCATAGGTGGAGTAATGACATCAGAGGTGAGTCATTGTGGAGCAGAACATTCCAGAACAAATGACATCATAACTTTCAACAGAATACTTGCAGGAGTATCTGTGGAGCCATATGACATCATTATGACATCATACCCTGTAGGTACAATTTTGTGAAGTATCTGATGGGTCAGAGCATCCCCATAGAAAAATAAATCAAGGAAATACTAGAGAAAACAACTCAGAAATAATAATACAATAACAAGACACAAAACATAGGCTTTTTAGATAGGTTTTTGTTAGGCTTTGAACTTTTCTCTATGGTTTTCTCTAGCCAAAGTGAATAAGCCAAAGGCAAGGCAATACCTTAACCTTCTTGCTTCACAATATCAACTAGGTCATTGTGTGATTCCCATCTCACAAATGACTTTTCTTCAAGATATAATAAATTCATGAATCACAGAGGGGAAACTGAACTATATGACCAAGGTTTGAAACCAAGGTATGGGTTGACTAGCCTGATGCCTAAGCTAACAGACTTTGTCTTTTAGGGGGGCTACCTAGTAGTCATGTCCATGCATGATTCCCAAATCATGCAGGACAGCACAGTCTGTTGTAGAGTTTTGCAATGTGGTTAGAGAGCCGGATGTGGTGGGAGCCATGGGTGAATTTGACAAAGAGCATCATTTGACACCTACTGGAAGTGACCCGAATGTTTTGATGGAGGACAAAGTCATGACTGAGTGCAGACAACATCACAATCCCACTTGGTTGGGCGCGCTGCAATGAGTTCCAGCCTTTGTGTGTGCCCTTGACACAGCTGCTGTCAGACCTGAGGTCTTGATCTGAGCACTTGAGACACCATTTTTGGACATGTTTGAGTTGCTCTTGATGGACCTAGCAGAATATGATTGGTGTGAGACTCAATTTCCACTCCTAATGAAGCAGACAGACTTACTTTCTGAGCTGCTGCTGACCACACACCTTTCTTGGCCCATTTATCAAAAGCTGCAAGAAGGCACTGCTCTTGTTCACCACAATCCCAATACTCTGCTCCATGTCCATGTTCTGCATGTTTCTTGAGGATCGCACCTGAAATATCAGCAGCAATGGCACTATGGAATGGGCTTTTGCTTGTGTTCAAGATTGCAGCAATGTATCTGCATTTGGTGAGGGTTCCTGTTAGCCAGGAGAGTAGTATAGCTCATGCCAAAGTTACATACATGGCACTGAAATGCCAGACATCCAGCTTGGCCTCTGTCTCAGGCATGGCAGAAGCCACTGCACTGTGAATATGACAACAGTTGTTGGCAACCATCATCTTTGGTTGTGGGAGGTTGAGGACATTGTGGTGCCACTTGAGGCCATGCAGTAGCTCCATGATCTCAGCATTTGCACATGTCTGACAGAACCGCTTTCAAACAGGGCGATACTATCTATCAGCCTTCAGCTTTTCAAAGTCAGATGGAAGCACTCACCCAAGCAATGATCTCGTTGCTTTCATTCATGTTAAGGTCACGTGCTCAAGGGGGTCAGATCACAAGGGCTTGGCCTCAGCTCATATGCTGTGCCCCTTTCCCGAGTATGTGCCCTTAATTTCCGGGGGCTAGAACAGTCATCTGGAGTTTCCAGGATTTGACTAGGGTGGATAACGGATGTCTGGATGTTACCTGGGCAAGCGGATAAGACTAATCCAGACGAAGTCCAGACTAGAAACTAACAGAGGATGGACTACCCTTAAGGTAGAGTTGGAAATGTAGTCTAGGATGCAATCCTAAGACTTGGAATATGACAAGAGACTTATCTTGAGTCCAGAGGACACAGGAATGAGCAGGAACTAAGATGATATTTGAACTGGAGTATTTCCGAGAGTTACAGGAGGTTTATATACTGTAGGTATCATATAGGAATCAGTCAGCAAACATAAAGGCCATGTATGAAGCATATGCAGAGTCTATTAGTAAGTAGGACAGATCACAAATAATGAACACCAGAAATGAAATGTATGTAATGGATCAATAATCAAAAGGGAAACATGGTTAACCAGAGTCCAGAGACAGGGGCAGTCTAAATGGGGTTGGGCACTGATATAGGATTTGGATTCCGGAAGGGAGATAAAGATAGATCAGATCATTTGAGATCCAGATCTCAGATCCGGATATCTGGAGAAGCGGATTTAGAGTTGAGAGTCCAGAATGGCATATGACAATTCAACACAGTGAGTATCCCACCCTTGATCTCCCTTGCCTTTTGCCCATCCTTGTTTGTCAGTGTTGCCTTGTTTGCTGCCTTGAAGGTGTTATCGAGAGAACTGCATATTGCTGACAAAGAAACAGTGAGTAAGTCTATGTATGTGCTATTTGGCCTTGTAGTACTTACCAGATAGTGACTTTAAGTATAGCATGCTCTCATTCTGCCTGGTGTGAGTCATGAAATCAAGAAAGACCTTGGTGATGATCTCATGCGAGATTGACTTGTTATCATAGCTGAGCTGGTCGTCTGGTTCTGAGAATACTTGAAGCCCAAGTTGTCTTCCCACGGTCATGCCACCAGCAGTGCCATTGAAGTAATGTCCAAGTGTGAGTGAGTTTGAGCTGTTTGATGACTCATAAGTGCTGAATGCCTCAAGATATTCCAGCATTCAGCACTTATACTCAAACAGATGCAGCTCTGATTGTAGGTGTGTTTAGTTAACACATCAACGACAGCACATGGATACTTATGTCGGATATGTTCGTCAAGACCAGCAGATGTCAGAGATGGCTGCAGCTCAACAAGGAGATCAAACAAGTCCTGCATCAACGCACACCGATAGAAAAAGATTGGTATGCCCCCTGCTGCAAGGCCCAAATATGTCAGTTCAATTACTTTTGCCATGCACACAAGACTCATGCAGTATTCTCCAGTGCTCCCAGGACTTCCAATACATTGTGCTCATTGTGGTGAAGCAATAGCCCTTGATGCTGGATTCTGAGTCTGAACTGTGAGTGGTGCTGTTCCTGGCTTTTGGCCTTGACTTTGACGTCTCCTTGCAGCAGTTGCAATGCAGTTGAGCACCAAGAGCCATCTCTTTGCAGAAGATACCATGCAGCTCTCAAGGTCCTTTGCTTGTCCATCCTTCCCAAGTTGTGTCCTTGTCAGACCCACATCTCAGACACTGTTGTCTTGCTAGGATGTGAAAGGCAGAAAAGTCACCAAGTTCACTATCCTTCTATGGTCAACAGTGTCCTGCATGATTTGGGAATCATGCATGGACATGACTACTAGGTAGCCCCCCTAAAAGACAAAGTCTGTTAGCTTAGGCATCAGGCTAGTCAACCCATACCTTGGTTTCAAACCTTGGTCATATAGTTCAGTTTCCCCTCTGTGATTCATGAATTTATTATATCTTGAAGAAAAGTCATTTGTGAGATGGGAATCACACAATGACCTAGTTGATATTGTGAAGCAAGAAGGTTAAGGTATTGCCTTGCCTTTGGCTTATTCACTTTGGCTAGAGAAAACCATAGAGAAAAGTTCAAAGCCTAACAAAAACCTATCTAAAAAGCCTATGTTTTGTGTCTTGTTATTGTATTATTATTTCTGAGTTGTTTTCTCTAGTATTTCCTTGATTTATTTTTCTATGGGGATGCTCTGACCCATCAGATACTTCACAAAATTGTACCTACAGGGTATGATGTCATAATGATGTCATATGGCTCCACAGATACTCCTGCAAGTATTCTGTTGAAAGTTATGATGTCATTTGTTCTGGAATGTTCTGCTCCACAATGACTCACCTCTGATGTCATTACTCCACCTATGGAATTTTCTGGAATGTTCTGCTCCACTTTCTGGAATATTCTGCTCCACTTCTGATGTCATTGCTCCGCTTTTTTACTTACATAATATTCCCACACAAAATGTATATAAGGAGGGCCCATTCTCCCCCCAAAAAATAGGATCTCCCACTTGCAATCATTTGAATCTCAGTTTGAGCTACTCACTGTGAAGATTGTTGCTTACAAAGAAAGCCCCTTTGAAGTACCAAGTGCAGGGAAAAGACATTCCCTTGAGATTACATAAGTTTCTTACAATAGAAACTTAGTTTATTTGAGACCAGCTTCTCACCTAGTTTCTGATATTGACCAACATGAGCTTTGGTCAATCTGTTCATTTGTGAGACCAGCTTCTCACCTAGTTTCTGATATTGACCAACACGAGCTTTGGTCAATCTGTTCATTTGTGAGACCAGCTTCTCACCTAGTTATCTGATATTGACCAACGTGAGCTTTGGTCAATCTGTTCATTCATGAGACCAGTTTCTCACCACTTTGTGCCTATTTGACCAACCAGTCTTTGGTCAATGTATTCATATTTGAGACTGTAGTCTCTACAGAGGATTATCTTAACAAGGAACCACGTTCCAGTGTCTAGACGGTTTATCCTAGACAAGTTTATAAGTTGGGATATAACACAAAAGCTCCAGCTAAGTTAATCACATAGATTGGTTTAGCAAGCCTCCCAAGAACTCACACGTTATCTACCATGAAAGAAGAAAAGTTGTAGACTGTGTTAATCGAGGACTGGCAAGAAGTCTTATCCTAGTGTAATTGTGGTGTCATTACATTTTACACACATTTATATAAGACCCTCAGTTATGAAGACAGTGCAAGAAGGACACATGGCTGCTTCCTCTACCAGAACTTCCAGATGTCAACTCTGGTGAGACCTTTGGACTGGTCATATCGGATAACGCAATCACATTTGGTGGTTTGCTCATCAAGGAAGAGACTCTGGACGCCGAACTCATGCACGACTTTGAGGTTCACACAGATAGCTTCACTGGTGGGACTGTAGATTTTGTGACTGAAGCCAGCTGCAGCATCATGATTGAGGACTGGCAGATTAATCCAGTGCTCCTTGATCAACCTGCTGCACAGCTGCTGCACACTGCCAATGGCTCCAGTACCAAGCCCCCAATGAACAGTATGGTGAGTGGGGGCATCCACCCATTTTTCATTTGTTTAACTGACAAACTTTTCTAGACAGCTTCCAACAATAGCGTTCTTGCTGCCAAAGTCGCACCTCCCTCTCTGATCAAATGCAAGGCCATTTGCATCTCGCCTAACTCCAATGACAAGTCCAACAGCAGGTCCACTACTACAAAACAACCTCAGGCTCTGGGTCCAGCCAGCACCAAGACACTTGACAGCTACTTTGCTTCAGGCCATCTTCTAACATGGCATGGAGAGCCTCAGGCTCCCACTGGCGGTACTGCCACAGAGGTATGTCAGTTCTCACCCCTGATCAATGATATACATCCTACCACAGAAGTATGTCAATTCTCACCCCCAATCAACAATATACATCCTGAATTCTCACAGGCTGCCAGCATTGGCTTTGACAACTCACCAAAGTTCTCACCCCCAATCAATGATATACAGTGGCTCAAAAAACTGTCCACATGTTTTGACATTTTTCACTATCTATGATATTGTGTGAGAACTCACAAATGCCTCAAGGACATGGTTATAGCACATTGTAGTATGGCTTCAGGGCTTTCATTTGAGCCCTACACCGTGGGAATCGGTGGAGATATGGTGGAGATACAAGGCTCACAAAATGGTGACTCATGCGGACAGTTTTTTGAGCACATATTAAAACTATATAAATCATCATTTATGACACCATAACAATCATGCCACCATTAAATAAATCATAAAGTGGTGTCATTATGTCATTTTAAAACCATATCTAACTATACAAACCAAAAATTTCCACATGTCATGGTTATATTCACCATGAAAGCCACCCCCCCTGCTCAAAGGGATAATATCCTCTCTCTTTCCTATTCTGGCCTCTCTGCTTGTCAAATTTCCTCTAGAACTGGAGTATCCAAGTCCACTGTGGCCAAGTTTATCAAAGAAAGTCACACAGACAAGGAAAACTTCTGTGAAGGGCGTCCATCCAAGCTCACCTCTACTGATAGGAGGGCTATTATTCAACATATCACTACAGGAAAGGCTGATAATGCTGTCCAGGTCACCTATTACATCAATTCCACCATCACATTCCCTGTCTCTTCACACACTGTGAGAAACATTCTCAAGACAGCTCATCTCAGGTCAGTAACAAGGAAGAAAAGGCTCTCCTCTCTATCACACATATGCAGAGATGACTAACCTTTGCCTTAGCCCATCAGAATTGGATTACATGAACTGGAAGCATGTTATATGATCATATAAGACCACAATAAATAGGAGTGGGTCAGATGGCAAGGTATATATGTGAAAAAAGAAGGGTGCTAGTCCTCTCTGCATATGTGTGATAGAGAGGAGAGCCTTTTCTTCCTTGTTACTGACCTGAGATGAGCTGTCTTGAGAATGTTTCTCACAGTGTGTGAAGAGACAGGGAATGTGATGGTGGAATTGATGTAATAGGTGACCTGGACAGCATTATCAGCCTTTCCTGTAGTGATATGTTGAATAATAGCCCTCCTATCAGTAGAGGTGAGCTTGGATGGACGCCCTTCACAGAAGTTTTCCTTGTCTGTGTGACTTTCTTTGATAAACTTGGCCACAGTGGACTTGGATACTCCAGTTCTAGAGGAAATTTGACAAGCAGAGAGGCCAGAATAGGAAAGAGAGAGGATATTATCCCTTTGAGCAGGGGGGGTGGCTTTCATGGTGAATATAACCATGACATGTGGAAATTTTTGGTTTGTATAGTTAGATATGGTTTTAAAATGACATAATGACACCACTTTATGATTTATTTAATGGTGGCATGATTGTTATGGTGTCATAAATGATGATTTATATAGTTTTAATATGTGCTCAAAAAACTGTCCGCATGAGTCACCATTTTGTGAGCCTTGTATCTCCACCATATCTCCACCGATTCCCACGGTGTAGGGCTCAAATGAAAGCCCTGAAGCCATACTACAATGTGCTATAACCATGTCCTTGAGGCATTTGTGAGTTCTCACACAATATCATAGATAGTGAAAAATGTCAAAACATGTGGACAGTTTTTTGAGCCACTGTACATCCTGAATTCTTGCAGGCTGCCAATGTTGGCTTCGATGACTCACCAATCACCTCCGATCAATGATATACAGGCATTGACAAAGCAGGCCAGACCCGGTCCCAGCGCTTGTTCTCCATCTCCACAGGTATTGATCCTCACTCACTCACCTTCCAAAATTCAGACGAGTTCAAGTGGCTGTCATACCAAATGACTTTGAAGCGCTGGGCACTGGCAATGGAGGAGTACAATCGCCATCTCATCAAGAAAACGGGCCAGTCAGTCATCCAGAAGAACCCGCAGGCCCTCCTGCATGCACTGGGTGACATTGAGCCCAAACTGATGAACTGCATCATCAAAGATGAGTATACCTGTGAGTTACTGAGTCCTTGCATTCACTCTGTTTTCTGACATCTAGATTACAGCAAAGAGGAACAATGAGACATTTTGGTGCCATCATTGGCCTGTCATGCCCCTCATCAAGGAAGAGTGAGGGAAAAAGGTCAGTCCCAGTCCAAGCCCTTTCACAGTGTGTTCACAATGCTGCTGAACTTGCTTATTTAGCTCTGAAAAGTGCAGACATGCTCACGCTGCCAAACAATCATGTACCCTGGCCCTGAAAACTCACCACTCAACCACAAGTGGAGCTACTGCACTGATGGTGTCAAGCAGGTATCAAAGAGCGGCAAGGATCTCCCTCCCTGGCCTCAGCCTCAAGGCTTGTTCTCCGAAGGCTGCACATTTCACCTGCACGCGTTTTTGTTGGCTGTTCAGTGCATCTACAAGTGCATCTTCATCATGCAGGGACCAGGAGAGATGGACTTGCTTGAAACTGAGGCCTTTGTGAAGCTGCTTGCCTCACGCACTGAGATCCGCAAGGATGGCGCAGTGCTTTTCCAGCTGTTTGCAGACTTCGTCATTGACCCATCGACCCCCCACAACCACATCATCACCCACAATGACAAGCAGTGGCTCAGGATCAACTTCCTCCAGCAGCAGCAGCAGCTGTAGAGAGTCGAGATTCGTGTTTGCCTTGCCATCTAATTTTTTTGCTGTCTAATTTTTCCCCTTCTCCTTCCCACTAATAGTTTACTTGTTTCACATCCACTCCAATGCAGTCTTTCCCCCCCCCCCCCAGTCAATTCACACGGTTCTTGTGTTTTATTGGGCTAATTCAGAAGAGGCTCTTATCTTAAGAATAAGAAAGAAAGGGGTAGGTATGTTCCTGTTTCATTGACTCGTTGCTCGGTCGTCCCGCTAAGTTGTCGCCGTTTGCCTTCGTCGCCTGGGGCAAAATTGTTGAAGTGGTCACGTGATCTCAAACTCACGTGCTTTTTGAATCGGTCGAAACGGTCTCTGTCGGTCTTTGAAAAACGGTCAGACCGTTTGTAAGCCTCCCCTTCCCATGGCGCAGCTGCCGATCAAGCTGACTTTTAGCGTTCCCCGTTAGCCCTTGACATCATAACTGACTAAATGTCGGGTCACACGAAGGACATGAATGACAGCCATACTGAGGGTAATTACAACTTCAATAACTCTGATGTGCTCAGAAAGAGAGCTTTTCAGCCCTGCAGGCCCTGTTTAATTCGCTGATACTCAATGGACCGGATACGAGTCCGTCCTCAAAGCTAACACCTTCACAACTCAAACATCTCGCTCTTAAAATAGATGAGATCCTCGGAGGTGCGAGTGACGGTGAAGGCTTGCAACGGAATGAGAAGGGCGAAGTGCGTCTTTAAACCTATGTCCACTATATGTATTGAATTTTTGATCTGTATTAAAAGCTTCTTAACGACGAGGGTCTCCCGATCATAGACATCACTGAACCTGCTGCGGATATCAGTGATGTTCACTCTCCAGCGGCTCCATTTCATGAGCCGGATCTCACATCAGAATCATCTCTATCTGCTTCAGAGAGGGAACAGCGTCGTCGCACACGAGATCATATTTTGGACATGCTTGAAGAAGAGGAACGGTTGCAATTGGAAAGAGACGAAGCAGAGGAAAGGGAGAAGCGGATGGAGGATATACATAAGCGCAAGGAGGCCGCGAAAACATTTGCTAATCCCAGCTCGCCGGATGAATCCTTGCCACACGAGTCTTACACTTCGGGCAGTGACTCCGATGACGAATCAGATGAGGACCAGCTCGAAGAGGAATTTGATTGGGATTCTGCACAGCACCACCGAGAAGTGGCCCTGGAGTATTATAAGAAGCGTCATGTTATTGGTGCAGAGGCCGCCCAAGCGATGACTTCGCACACGCACGATGATGAAGAATGGAACCAAGGGGTCAGTATATTTCTTCTTGTTCAACCCCGAAATTTCAAAAAGTCGATTACAGGACATTACCCCAAATCAGCGCCAAAAACCTAGCGTGTCGCGTTTCAGGGCTGATCGTATGGCCATGGCATATGACAAATCTACCTCTACTTCGCTTGGTCCATCAGTTATCCCGGCCTCTCGACAAAAATCCTTGCAAGAAGCTATTCGATTGGGAAAAATTGAAAACAACCATCTTGTTGGCGGCGAGGAGGGGGAAAGCGGAAGCGAGGATGAGGCCGTCCGAGAGGTCTTGGAGCTTCTGAGCAATGGCCGCATCCATAATGCTGGTCCCGTGGGCAATGGCCGCATCCAGAATGCTGGTCTTGGTGTCATGCGCTCGACTGTGACAGAATTAAGCGCAGGTCCTGCGAGGAGCGCGGCAGATGCAGCTACCAGCGTTCCGGGAGGAAAGATATCTAGGTTCAAAGCAGAGAGGATGTAGGATGCACCTCAGCGTGCAGGTAGGATGGACGATGAACGATTATAATTGGCTTACTACTCTACAGAAGTAACAATCACACTCTAATTCAAGAAGTCGCGCCGCAGTTGGTACAAACGCATCGTTGAGAACTCGTTTTGTAATTTCGCGGATCCCTATATCTTCGATGGCCAACAAACCACGAACGACGCGCGGGCCTGCTATCTGACTCGTCGAATGGAGATGAAAAATGGCAGAATAATTAGAAAGCCCACGAGTAGCTCAGTGTATCTTGCATCAAAGCTCAGCATTTTGATAAGTGGAGGTATATTCAACGCAGGGTAGATAATACTCCGAAGGGGTAGACCAACCCACTCCCGTGTGAGGTGTCCATATCCAAAGACGTAGTGGTGGGTGGGTTCTAATGCCTGGAAGTATTTATCTAGCTGGAAGAAACCTTGAATGCTAAGAGCGGCCATCAAAGATGTAATATCAACCCATATATTGACTAGCTATATGTAATGCAGATAATACTATCGTTGGGCCAGAGTTGCAAAATGGTAGAGAGTTACAAAACACCTCATAGCATACACCACAACACATTCTGGACCTCCTACTCTTGTATATGAGACCTTTTATCACTGATCTATAGTACTTTATTTTATTTTTCAAATAGAAAACATAATGAATGCCCTCGGCATCAAATTTATCGCCTCAGGTCATCTGTTTTCATGTAAAGCAATTAGAGGAAGTGTAGATCCCAGCCAAAAAAATTTAGCTTTTTTTTGAGAGGTTCTCTATACCGATCCTCACCTCCTCCACATTTTTATAGCGAGAGCAAAGCAGAGTTACTGTTGTTATCGACGATGCAATCAAGACAGTTAGAGAATGCTCAAGCGTGACAATTGTGAGCGGAGTATCAACTCTGATTACCCAACGCTACCGAGGATTTGGGTGTGCTGTTCGTCGGAGTTCAAACGTGCCGCTGTGACAAAGTGTGACACCTCCGCCAACACGCTCATGGGAAGTTTTGCAACTCTCTACTGTTCCTAACATTTTGAGTCGGCATCCTTCTGGCAGTGTCATTTCAGCACATCTGTTTATTCTGTAAGCTGGAGCTCCCTTATTACACATGTAGCCACGGTTTTGTATAATTTTCTCATCTTAATGTGTAGCAAACAATGAGATATGAAATGAGGTCGTCAGATTTTGCAACTCTGGCCCAACGATAGTAACTGTAGTCTGTCACAATATGGCAGTTGGTTAGGTAGGTTGTGTACGAAGCATGCTGAGTGTAGCTTGTTAATCACTGGCATGCCACATGGAGAGTTCATAAAATAGATACATAAAACAATAGAACAAAATATACACTGTAACTCTGTGAGGAGATATGAATACAATCTGGACATACAGTGGATATGAGATGGTCACTTGAGAGAACTGAGGGACTCGCCCCCTAAACGATATTAATGTTGACTATGTTTAATTTCGAAATCAGAATGTCCTTGTCTAAATACCATTGATTTCCCACGTCAATAATATATTTGGTCGACTAAGTAATTAAATCTACCCAAGAACGCGCTTCGTCTCACTTATGAGCAGCGTCTATGGCATCGTTAGCGTTGGTCCTTCGCGTCGTAATCGCTCTTAGCACCCAAGGATTCTTCCAGCCAGATGAATACTTTCAGGCGTTAGAACCTGCCCACCATTACGTCTTTGGATATGGCCACCTCACATGGGAGTGGGTTAGTCCAGCACCCCTTCGGAGCATCATCTACCCTGCGTTGAATATACCTCCCTTTTGGCTCATTAAAACGCTGGGCCTTGATGAAAGATACCCTGAGCTACTCGTGAGCATTCTATTTCTTCTGTAATTCTTCACCTTCATTCGACGAGTCAGATAGTAGGCCCACGCATCATCCATGGTTTGTTGGCTGCCATCACAGATATAGGGGTCCGTGAAGTCACAAGACAAGTTCTCAACGATGCGTTTGTACCAACGGCGGTGCGATTTCTTGGATTCGAGTGTAATTGACGACTGAAGTTGATCTCTTGCAGTACTTTGTCTCTCTGACATCTCTATTCCATTCGTTGTCACTTTCACGTTCCATGTCGAATTCCCTTGAGACATCGTTGACAACAATTGCACTAAGCTACTACCCCTGGGACAATGCACGGTCCATGCAGGTGCAGTTGTCAGTCACCCAAACTGGCTGTCATTGTGACAAGACATCTCATATGTAAGGAACAGGACTAGAATGCGCTTGTGTATTGTGTTCGCTGCGCTGGCGTGCGCAATCAGACCCACCAATGCTATCATCTGGGTTTACATGTTTGGCCTTCTCGTCCTGCGTCTTGGGCTCCGCCTGAGTCAGGGGTCCATTTTCATTCGCGATTGTTGTGTCATCGGGTTAGTTGCATTCGTCCATTTGCGCGAAGCAATTGGCAACTCAGAATTTTCACAGAGTTATGACTATCCTTGCAGTCTTTGCGCTCGATTCAGCCTTTTATGGCAGGCCCACGCTGAGTTTGTACAATTTTCTGCGTGTCAATGCATCGCCCGTGTCTTTGTTCTACGGCTCCAGCTCTTGGCATTATTACCTGTCTCAGGCCCTTCCAATTCTCAGTTCTACATCCTTGCCATTCGTGCTGCATGGTATGCACCTTGCAGTCAAGAACGACGAGAAAAAACTGAAGACAATGCTCGGCTGTATCGTTTTGACATTGACGGTATTCTCATTTGTTGGACATAAAGAATGGCGTTTTCTCCACCCACTCCTGCCGATGTTACACATCTTTGCGTCAAGGTCCCTAGTGGAACTGTATCGTCGCAGCGCGAAAGCAGAGGTCAAAGTTTCCCGGGGGAAGAGAGAGAACGCGATACCTAAAACCTTCTCACTCTCAATTCGCACTCGAGATCTATGCCTTCTCCTACTGGCCGTCCCAGCCTCAATATATGTGGTATTCTTCCATTGCGTAGGACAAATCAAAGTCATGTCGTATTTGCGGAGCTTGCCTCCCGAGAGCCTGACGTCCGTGGGGTTCTTGACACCTTGCCATTCGACCCCATGGCAGGCCTACCTTCACCGGCCCGAGCTCGCGGCACCCGGGAGAATGTGGGCTCTCGGGTGTGAGCCACCACTGGGGTAAATTATCATCATTGTCATAATTTTCACTTGGGTTTGATATTTTGCCCTCAGGCTTCAACATCCTAGCGACTATAAGGACCAGACAGATATCTTTTTCGAAGCGCCTCTAGAATATATGCGAACGCATTTTCCATCGCGTGTGGACATTTCGTACCCTCCTTCACCCTTCGCTTCATCGGTACCAAACGTCACATTCATGGAAACACTTCAGGTTATTGAACAAAGTTCACGATCCTGGGATTTAGGCTGGCGGCATGAGTGGCCACAATATATAGTGCTATTTGGCGCGCTTCTACGGGAGCCGGGCGTGTTGGACCTATTCCGGGATCAGGGCTATGAAGAGGTATGGAAGGGTGGGTTTGAGTGGGAAGGAGAGGGCCAGAGAAGGGGCGCTGTTCGGGTCTGGAAACATATCCATTGAATTCATCCTCAGCCGCAAAAAATCAAAAATCATCTAACGTATATGATTGAACATGAAAATAATTTGATTGGGCGAGGGTGGAATTTGAGGGATGTAAAATATGTATCTGAGAAATTAATAGGCTACATCACATGCCAGGTGGCCAAATGTTCAATGGAGATCATCTACTTTGCATTCTGACGTTGCATGCGTGTGAGCTGCGAGGACAAGATGTGTTAGTAAGGAAGTTGATCCGAAGAGGGATGACTGACTCTGCGACGCTTCTTCAACCTAGATAGGAGAGAAATCAGTCAGTCTATCATCCCATCACATTGGAATATGAAACATACTTGTGCTTCTTCATCTTCTTTCGCTTCTTACGCTTTGTGCTATCAGCGTAGATAGTGACCCACTCCTGTGCAGACTCTTTCGCGTTAACCGCGCTATCTTCTGCAGTCTCCCCACCCAAACCAAGTTTTGCCAAGGTGTTTTGCCAGGACACTATTCCACCCACGCGGTTCATGACCAGTGCATGACCTAGCTGCCTCGCGGCATCAGCATCGGTCTCGAACGAGGATTCTGGCGGCTCGTCGAGGGTAGGAAATTGCGCCGACTGCAATTGAGTCTTTGGCATCTCTTCCGGTAACTGAAAAAGAGGCGCATCCTGGGGCGCAGACTCAAAGATGGTAGATGGCGGCTGAGATAAGAGCAGAAGTGGTCGGTGCAACGAGAAAAATTGGTGGAGATTGAAATCCTGTGACGATATTGTGGGATGAACTTGGTGATGAAATTGGCTTGAAAACGCTGAAGGGGATGTAAATGGCAAGGAAGGATTACTTCGTGTTGCGTCGACTGCGTTCGAGGCTGGAGTTGAAGGATTTTCATCTGCGCTTCCGACCTTCATCTTGCCGCTCCCATTCCCAGAGCTGCTACTGCTCGTTCCGTCACTGGATACGACGCTGGTGTTTCCATTATCAACCTTTGCTCTGCCAGAAGAAATGACAGGCTTGGGAGGTTTAGCAGAATTGAAGTATCGACCTCCGCCTGGTTTAGACGAGAAAAAAGAGGAATATGCTCTACAATTCGCCGCTGGCGATTTGAAAAGACGTGGTAGGAAAGACATAAGTGTCTTCCTTCTGGCGTCTGGCCAGTAACAGTGATTCGGAGGACTTGCTGTTGTGTACAATTCAAGAGAAGTGTTCGACCAAAATGGGTCAACATTGCTGTGGCGCATGAATCGGCCGAAATATCTAACTTGCAAGCGGCGGCCCTTCCTGCCTCTCACTCACATGCTCTCTACATGTTGAACACTGGATATTTAATTATTTGGTACACGATACACCACCATTCTCCAATTTTTTGAAATCCGCTCAGCGCTGATTCACCGGAACGCCGTCGGAAACCGGAAGACCCACAGTTGTGAGAAAATGTGGGGATACTAGCAGTGTACTTGTACCACCACCACCACCACATACCTGGATCATTGGCGCAGGGCGCCCGCCACACCAGTTCTATTAATTGATTAATCTCGATATGTCCGTCTCCCCTCCTGTATTCAATGTCCATACGCCCACATCTTCTTTCGCGCTCATCCACTCTCGTAAGCATTTCAACAATAATATGATGAAGCTGACCGTATGTCTATCAGTCAAAGATGATACTATACAGCAATTGTATGACAAGCTTTCGAGGAAATCAAATACAGGCTTTCATGGAAAGCGCGTTGGTCCTGGTTGGATCAAGTACAATTGGAATGACGCAGTGTGGAATATGGATGATGGTATTAGTCCCTATGCATCCACCCGCCCTTTCCTTACTAAAATGCCTGATGCAGAAAGTGACTACACCATTTTTGTGTGGAGGCAGAAAGCACCGTCTTCATCCGAACAGCCTATATCCGACATAACACCAACCCTCCACGTCCACGATCCCACAGCCCAACTCCCAGAGCCACCTGCGTATTGCAACCCATCCTTTTACCTATTCAGCTCTACACGTGTAGCTTCGCCGCGCCCTCGGTCAGCGCGGAGCGCCAAGTCTCACAAGTCTAGGGCAATTCATCCTAATCCACCAGATGCCGAAGGGATCTCAGGGGCTGCGAAGCACAGAAGAGATTTTGAGAGATTTCATAGCGAAAACGGTGTACGTACTGTTTTGGGCACTATCGGCCCAGTTGACAATGGTAGGCAGGCGCTTGTTTGGTCTTACATGCACACTGAAATTCAAGATCTTTATAGTTCGCATGCTCTTAAAGAACGGTTACCGCCATGTCTACATCTCACGCAAGTTTGCGTTAAGGCACGGGTTTATTCCAGGAGACGCAGCACCAGGGCACTATGGCTACAGCGGCCTCGTCAACCTTGGCAAATGGCCGATCACCTTGAAGACAGCTGCGGATTTCACTGATGGCACACATACTAACGGCGTCTCAAATGCACCGCAGAGTTTGAATCACTCGCGACCCAGCAAGTCAAAGACCGTTTCTGTCCCCGTCTTCTTATCCGAGGAGCCGCACTTTGACGTCGTGCTTGGCCGTTCGTTCTTTGAGAAACGCCAAATAAAGACTTCATCCATAGATCCTACCGAGGTCATCTGTCTTGACACTGGGGACAAAATCGAGTGTGAATTGGTCATACTCAAAGATGGTAGGGGTCAGATTGTCACTGTTACATAGCACATCGGTAAAATGGACATATGATATTGAGCATTTGCTGTACACGGAATAATGCATAGGATACGTCACAAGTATGGATTTTGCTCTGACCAGATAGGTCCGCTGTCCCACGACAGTGTGATAGGATCTGGGATAGAATCTATCTCTTTCACATAATGGGTTCCTTCTCGAACACTAAAAATGCCATGCCTATGGATATGAATGTTCGCCACCAACCCGATCATGAGACAATATGTATCACTTACTGTTCCTCGATGTGGCAAGTCATGTTTCGTAGAAGCCTACCAGCACCTACACTTCGTCGACATAGAAGGCATCGATATGTTCTTGGCGGCCTCACAGATAGGAGCTGCGATTGCAGTCGTGACTTGCTACCTTCAAAAACTTGATCTCGATTGTTGTGTAAATGGTTGTGTTCGAGCTGCAAAGGTTTCAGATACCAAGAGTGAAATCAAGAACACAGAACATACGCCCTTCCTCCAATGCATGATAGTCTTGCCATCAGGATGACATGCGAAGCAGTAAAATGGGCCGCTTGTGTTGTCCATATGTGCAAGCGTAGCGGTCCGAGGATCCTGATAGCAACTGCGAATGACATGAATGGCGAGTACTGTGGAGGACCTGAATTTCGGAGACCACGGAGAAGAGCCGAGCGAATAATATGCGATGCGGGTCACTTGTTCCTTAAAAGAATCATTCTTTTCCTTGCTTGAGCCCTTTGAAAAATCAAGGTTGCAGTTGTGCGCAACAGCATCAATCCAGAAGAAGAACTGTTCACATGAGTTGCAGACAAAGACACTGGTTGCAAGTTGGTGGATATCTCCAGCTGGCACGTATTCCTTTGGGTACCCATTCGTGATGATTGCAGCGAGCTGTTGATCAACCTGTCTCCGCCAGTTCCTCACCAGGTTAGGAAGAGCAACAAAAGCCGGTAAAAAGGTATCACGCTCTACTACGACATGGGCGGGTGATCTGATGATGTCGTCGAAAGGTTTGAACCGCGCAACGTCAGCGACATGAGGTAATACGTCGACGTCAGTGTTCGGAAATGATGCAGGTTCACTCAAGAAATCGATCCATGCCTGGAGGAGAATCCTCCGTCGGGAATTATAGAGCGTTTCTTCCATGCGAATGGTTCGCATTTCTGACATATATTCCGTTAGAATTGGGCGGATGCGGCTCCAAACTGTGAGATTAAATTATTTACAGAGCTTCAAAAAAAATCATTACACGAACTTCGAGTAGTAAGAGGCCGTGAATCTTTGATGGCACGATGTTTGGATATTTTCCACCAAGTATGATAATCAATCTCAGGTTTCCACCCTTCTGTTTCCAACCACTCCTTGATGCTAGAACCGGATGTCAGCGAACATAAAAGCTAGCTTACGATTGAACTTACACTCGTTTTCGCGACTCTCGTATTTGATGTAACTCATCAGATCGGGCCCTGTTGACTCCAGAGAGCCATGCTTTGCAAGCATCAGCGTGCTTCAAGGCCACATCATTTATAATTATGAAACCCGCGAGTGAAATGTGGCATACCTCGCGAATAGCACGCACGGCCTTCTTTGTTTCTTCGATGACCAGTGTTTGCTCGGCACAGTCTAAACCGTTGAGCCGAAGACTGAGAGCCTCGTACTGCGATGTTTGGATCATCTCCGTGAACCCTATCCGTTATCAATGTCAACCGGGCCGGTGCATGAGAGATGGTACTCATACGTAAGCGCAAGTCACGGAATATATATGTTGGGAGAAGTTCAGTTAAGTTTGGACAGAGCCGAGTGATCACAGGTTTTGAATATGCTGGTTCCATACTGAAAACAATATTCATTTAGAGCAAGAACGTGCAAGGGAACTTCGTACTTTGTATGGATTCTCAGACACGGCCCACAATATTTTACTCGAAACTGCCAGATGATGTTGAACCCGATTCCATTGCAGTTCTGTACGTTTCTTGTTGGAGGATGCCTTTATGAAAATGATGGAAGACGACCCACGTGACAGTGTGGATCAAATGTAAGGTAAGCATACTGTGGCTCACTCAGATCTAGTGGACATTCGGGGAGGTTCGGAACAAGTGACCGCGAGGCTCTCCAAATGAAAGCGTTCGATTTTCGCATAAGCAAATTCCTAAATGCCTTAGACGTGCGAGCTAGACTGAGGAGGTCAAGCGGTTTCAAAAACCCGAAAATCTATTGCGATAGATAATGATTGAGCTGGATGTATACTACATAGGAAGTGAAGCTTACTTCGAAAAGAACATCCAAGCTCATGGTGGGTAATAGGGAGAGCCCTCCCCTCCTAGCTCTCGACCTAACTGGCTTAGTGTCCTGATCTTCTACTAGTGAAGATTCAGAGCCTTGGGCATCTTCATATTTGGGTCTCTTCATTAGGTCTGCAACATAAAGAACGTCAGCAAAAGGCAGACGTGGTCAGTAGTGCCAACTCACGCAAGTGATGTCGCTTTGGGGACGTCATTGAAAAGGGTGTCACAGGGCCGTAGACCGCCGGGGGACAGGGCGTCCTCGGAATAGCACTCAGGGAACTCTACAGGGTAGAGTACCGAACAAGGATGAGAACGGTCTTTTCAAGAAAACGATTGAAGCGAGTTGAGTACTATCTGAGTACGGCGGGAAATGTTTAAGTATTGGAGAGAAAGCATGGAATACGCGCTGCATGATTATATGGTGCTGATTATCATTAACGCGTGCCCTTTGTTAACTTTAGCTTAAACAGCACCGAGCTTATTAAGCAAGACTTAATCCGCCGCCTGCCACCACCTATTTGACATCTTCGTGGTGATAGTGGCAGATATTACTACCAAACAAGGATGCTCGGCTCGAATGAGAAACTTTTACTTCAGATTATTATACGTGCGCGTGTGGCTAAGTCCAGGAGGGTAGCTGTTCCGCGGACCTCGCCCCAATAGTAAGTACTAGATGTAGGCAATTTCCTTTTGGGATGAAACATATTTACAAGCTCTTATAGCTGCTAAGCGACATAGTCTCCAACATGCCGGCTCTCTTCCTTCATTTGGCTACAGCAAGAACGCCCCCACCAGTTCCCGAACATGGCGAGTGCTATCACCTGTGACACGAATAGCCACACTCATACGTGGGTGACAATTCTTTATGATCCATGGCTAGTATGCCCTCAGCGCCTTCATAACATATCGGCTATGCGGCCGCATCGCTGTTTAAGGTACCAATCCCATTGCAATTATTAATGCCATTCGCGGCTGAGTGCTGAAGAGCATGACGTGTGAGAATATCAGAACCTCGAGGTTCACGGCTACTAGCTGCCGAGCTCATCGAAGGCCCGGAGCTCAATCGATGACTCGTTTTCTTCAACTGTTGAATACATCTTGTGATGAGGATACCAAGCGGATCAGCTTTGTGCCATCGCAACAAGGCATAACAGCGACTGTTTCAATACTGTACAAATCTCTTGGACGATCCCCTGGAAAGGGTCACACGATCATCGTCCGAATGTTTTCCACCAGCATCAGAAGGAGTGAGAACTCTTGGGAAACAAACTCGACTGTGGGGCGTTTTCATAATGCTGTCAATGTTGATAACATCAAAATGATTAAATACCGTCATCATATGGGGGCGCCCGGCGTTTCGCCTTCGCTTCTTCAGAGCAATGCAGAGACTCCGAGTTGCTCCAGGCCCAGGAACTTCCACCTAGGGGGAATGGTGTGGCATCTTCCATGCGGGAAGCACGTTATATCCAATACGGTGGCATAGGGAAACATAAGAATCGTCAACACATTGAGAGACACGACTTTGTACTTCGGTCTGAATTACATGCCATGTGATAAGGCTACGATGGTTTAGAAATCTTAGACCGGTTAGCATGATCTATCTCAGGTAGCTATGCTCTACTATTAAAAACTCACCAGCAACGTGCCTCGTAGATTTACGCATGCCTCTTTGCGGCCTGCGCAAACGCCATCCAATAATAAATTCGCTTCTGCGGGTGTCGAGGGTGGATCGTGCGCCCACTGGTCTCTGTACAGATCAGAGTGCTGATTCCACGTGTCGATTGAACTTTCAGCATCTTATCGTAATCGACCATTTCCGAGTCACAACGGGCTCTTGGACTGTTTTGCATTTGTGAAGATTGCAATCAGAAGTGCCATCACGGCGTGTGTAAGGTCGTTATTTTCTGCCTAGACCAAGGGTTAATATTACCATTACTTACAGACTTAGTGGATCCTGGAACCGAACCTGATTGAACACCGTAAGGTTCACGATTACTAAAAGCACTGGATGACTAAGCAGATCACGCCCTTCAGAATCCTTTCGCTCTTTCCAAGATGTTCCTTTGGGAAACTGTTTATTGTGACTCATTGTCACCTTGACGGTTGTCCATACCTTAATTCTCGCCTAGCATGTCTGGAATCTGTAGACCACGTCTTGCCGAGGAGCGCAAGCAATGGAGAAAGGACCATCCCTTCGTAAGCCCCCCGCTTCTTCCATGCGTTTGAAGCGCTTTCATTTGGACTCGCTATCTTGTGCCACTTGCTCAATTCAAATATTCCTCTCGATATTTTAGGGATTCTACGCAAAGCCAGTGAAAGGTGCAGATGGCTCCATGAACCTCATGGAGTGGGAAGTGGGTATTCCTGGAAAGGCTGGTGTAAGTCTCAATCACAATATGCGCGCCATTTACTCATAACTACTCCCGCAGACGCCTTGGGAAGGTGGTCTATTCAAGCTTACCATGACCTTCCCTGAAGGTGATTCACTTTTTGTATTTCTGGACTGCCGCCACTGACTAATCGTAACGTGTAGATTATCCGTCTAAACCACCGAAGTGTACGTACAACCGAACCTGACATTCGCTTAAATATGAGTGTATGGCGTACAGGTAAATTCACGCCTCCTCTCTTTCATCCAAATGTCTATCCGTCAGGAACCGTCTGTCTTTCCATCCTTGACGAAGAAAAGTCATGGAAGCCAGCAATTACCATAAAACAAGTCCGTGAAGTATTAATATCCATGCTATCAATCTGATTTTCATGTCATTAGATTCTCCTAGGCATCCAAGATCTTTTGGATGATCCGAATGTAAACGATCCGGCGCAAAGCGACGCCTACACTATGTTCAAGTACGTATTTTTTCACCGGTCTATATGGCATGGGAATATCAGGGTTTATCTCTCTCAAAGAAACGACAAGGTTGCCTACGAGTAAGTTGTCGCAAGACATCTGGAACACCGGCTGACCATTCGTAGGCGAAGAATCCGGCAGCAAGCCCGGGAGAATATACCGAAATAAATTAACAACCGTGTGTCTGTAGTTATCTCCGCAATGAGAACATCAGAATCTCAAGTGGCAATGTTCACATTATGGATCTGACTCTTCTGCTTCCTAACCTTACTGGCCGTGAATGATGCACTTTTTAAGATGGCGGATCTATTACATGTGTGTCCAAGGAATGCCTTTGAAGAAATGGACACGTACGTCGCATTCTGTACAGTCAATGGTGTAGGTGGCTTGAAAGCGAGCACGTAAGGGGCACCCCTGGTTTATATTTGTTGCTCCAGCTTCCAAGAGATCGTCAGGTTCTGTATTCTTCTTGAGTCATTAGTCCCTTCCCACTTGCCATCTGTTATGGATTATCGGTCGTGTGCCTCCGAGGCTGCAAAATGACCTATGCCTCGAATGTTTAACCAAGTTGATGAATGGGTAATTAGTTGGTGACCGGTGGATTTCGAATTACCACACGACTCGCAAGACATTGATATTGTATTCACCGATTGACGTGTGGTTATGATAGTCACCTGTTCTGTTAGCTATATTCACCGGTCGAAAATAACTGCCAAATTCGTCGACGGTTTTTATCACCGTGTACTTTCACGCTCAAACTTGCAGCTGTGAGTCGCACTGTTACTAGGTTGTACCCCTTCAAATCGCGCTTCTTTGATTTTCGGTGTGCGGCGTCGACGTCAGCCCCTCTACATAATTACTTATTCCCACAACCAGCCTCTGCCGTCAAACGGTAATCCAACTTGAAGAACATTTTTCTCTCATCTCGCAGCTTCCCTGGCTCTCGATCGATTGATTCCAAACATACACCCCCACCCAATGTAGACTGCGGACGTCAGATTGATTAACCACCGTGAATGCATCACTGACTACACATCACGTGCACGTTTCTCGCAAGTTTAAGACTCTTCAAGCAATCTTCAAGATCCCTGTCAATCCAAACGACCCTCTTGAATATCGTAACCACGAACTCTACAACGCCCGAATACCTTGCGTTCCTTCCTATCCAGGGTAAGTAAATGGAAATATCTACCTGTGTTCGCATCATTTGATCTGGACTTCAAGGTGTCGTGCTTACAAGCAGCCTCACGTCATGCCGTAGCAACTGCAGGCACTCGAAACAATAAGCGGAGTCGATCTAATGACTCTGACGGAGATGAAGTGGGAGCTCAAGGAGGCGTGAGGGTGTGAGGGTGAGATGGCAGATATCGATGACGTCAACGAAGAGTTTGGCGCTTGAGTGGGTTTTGTGCGGATGGCATGCAAGATGGATAAACGTCGATCATGGTGCCGCCAGCGCACGCGGTATGACACAGCTAGTGGTGGTTGGCGGTATCAGCATTCTCGCTAGCTTTACAAACCACGTTGGAGTCTAATGATGTTAGTTTTGGTTACTCAAGCAATAAATCGAACTGCAAGCTTGAGATTCAGGTGGGAGCAAACCTAGTGGAAGTACTTGCAATTGATCGAGTTTAACGTGAGGCTGGCCCGGGTGATGGGTGAAATTCACCAATAATTGTGGCACTGTCCACAGTCTAGCTACCTTCCTCGCGAGTCTCCTCCCACGGATTTCCTAACAGTCAATAAATCTACTAACTACTCCCAGTCTCTAAGCGACTCAGATGGCTCCCGCAGATTCCACAACAGTCATACCAAATACTCTTGAAATACTCCCACTTGCATGAGTCAACACCTTAACCAGGACGAGCCACAAACGACTCGGAGCCGTGCGGTAAGTCTCTGCGTTCTTTTTATATATGTCACTCCCATATCTTGATACCGATTGTGCTCACTTTTGTGATTACCGGCCGTCTTGATCTCTACAACTGCCGTATCTATTGTCCATGGAAATACTGCCAAGTACTTCGCTTCCCTCAATTTTGTTTAGTGCTTAATCGCTTCTGTTTAAGGTGTTCCCCTACACTTGCCGCGACATGATTCGCAGTGTGAGAAGCGGATATGTATCATTGGAGCGGGACCGGGAGGCCTTGCTGCTCTGAAAGTCATATCAGAGTCCGCTTACTTCAAGTCAGGGAAATGGTCGGTCATCGCGTATGAGACCCGGGAAAACGTCGGGGGAATATGGTGAGTCCACACTGCTCCAAAAAAAAACGTGAACAGTTGCTGAGCACCATCCCGTCCAGGCTGCCTGCCCCGCCGGTTGTTGACGCCTACAATGCACCCATGACGCCTCTTTACGATTCATTAACTACGAATTTGCCTCATCCTATAATGGCATATACCAGTTACTCCTTTCCGCCAGAGACTTCGTTGTTTCCGTCAGCACACGTGGTGCAAACGTATCTCGAGTCGTATGCTGCATACTTCAGTCTTATGTCCCTCATCAAGTTCGACACCACGGTGTTAGATGCACGATGGGAATCAACGCAGTGGACAGTAACCCTTTCGGATGGACGAACACTTTGCATATGACCACTTGATCGTCGCAAATGGACATTATCACTTACCCCGTATACCAGAAGTGCCAGGGTTGACAGATTGGATGAAGAATGGTAGAGCCTCTCACTCTGCATGGTATAGAAAACCTGATTTTCTGGGGGACAAAATACTTGTTGTTGGAGGCGGACCCAGCGGTCAGGACATTGCTGCCGAGATGTGCATAGTTTCTTCAGTTGTTGTCCATTCAGTCGATGCCCCTGGCGCAATGACGAATGACGCTGTAAACCCTATCCAGAGAGGTCGGCTTATCGAATTCAAGGCTAACGGACAAGTAGTTTTTGACGATGGCACGACGGAAGATAATATCGACCATTGTATTCTAGCGACCGGATTCCATATGCATTTCCCTTTCTTGGAGGGGGCATCCATGATCAACCAGAACATACCACCGGACTTCCCTCCATTACCTCCCGGCGAGCTTTTCAACTCAACATACCACGTGTTTCCCCTTGCAAAGCATTTATTCCCGCTTCAAGCTCGATATCCTATCTCCTCCATCGCCTTCATGGGCCTCGTCATAAGGGTCGCGCCGTTTCCACTTATGGAGGCTCAAGCGTATGCGATTGTGCGAGCGTTTTCCGACCCTTCATCTCTAAATCCTATCGCGGAAACTGTCGATATCATTACTCGCACTGACAAACTTAGACACGCTGGTGCTTCAAGACCTCTAGACATCGCCAAAGCCTGGTTCCGATTCGATAGGGAAGATCAATGGAATTATCGAGATGCGTTGTATCAGTTTGCACAGGGCATGGGGTCTGGGACTCCGCTCATCAAAGTCACAGAGTGGGAGAAAGAATTATACGATTTGAAAACGGAAGTGAGGTCGGGATGGGAAGATTTGGAGAAGTCGGGGGATTCGAGTGAGTGGTTGAGAGACGTTGGGAAGAATGGGGTGCAGGATTGGGTAGGGTTGATGTATCGTGTGGCGGATTATGCCAGGAGTCGAAAGAACTTGTTGGAAAGATCGTGATTACAGCGCAGTGTGACACGCCTCTCGTGTGCAAACCGACATATTACTACGTAGTATTAGCTCAACATACTGGTATTGTCGTAAAGGAATTAATGTATCCCACAAGAGATCGCATAACCTCCGGCCCGCCCCCTATCGGAATATTAATATCACTTGACCTAATGTCTGTCTTAGAGTGGGTCACTTTCCTACACTCATATATATGCTATCATCTTATCGTCAGAAATTTGCTCACGGACATCTCATCACTACTAGGTAAATAGCATGAGTCCCCAAAGCCCAACATGCCAACTCAGCGGTACACAACTCGTCCATGGAGACCACGGACCAGGAAGTGAAGTGGCTCCTTCTATCTCTGTCACCTCGAGTGAGTTCGCCGGTACTTGCTAGGACAGCAGCTTATCATCTATGTAGCGTTCCGGGCTGTGCCTCATGGCGACCCCGAGGGGCTTGGAGCAATGAATCCCGAGAAACATGTCTACGCCCGCTATTCGCAAAATGTCACATCGAGGGTGGAACAGATCTTGAGCAAGGTTAATGTAGGTCTCATTGCAAGAATGGTTGGAGCATGCCTTATCTGCGTAGCAAGGACATGCAATCACCTATGCATCAGGATTAGCTGCTGCGTTTTCTGTGAGTTGGCGTAATTATGTATTGATGTAACATGCAGGTGGTTGACCAGAATGACCCCGTGGTCTGGTAGGCTCTTGTCCACTTCAAACCCAAACGCATTGCGATTTCCGGAGGATATATGGGTTGTCACGGCGCCATAGCCACTTACATCAAAGGGAGGTTTACTGATACCCCGATCATTGGCCTAGACGATGAATTCCAAGAGGGAGATCTCTGCTGGCTTGAGAGCCCCCTGAACCCTACGGGCGAATCGAGGCAAGTCTTTGAGCTGTTTTGGTTTTAAAAATCGATGATCTGGATCCCTATCAGAAACATTCAATATTATGCGGACAAGGTATGTTTCAAAAGAACACAGATTATCAGCAGGGGTGCTCATGTGTCGTCACTGAGATCCATGCTGTCGGAGGGAAGTTACTGATAGATTCAACCTTCGGTCCTCCGCCCCTTCAATATCCATTTAAATGGGGTGCAGACTGCGTATTTCACTCCGGTATAGTACTTTTCATCCCAAGCACGACATGATAACATCTTGACCTGTCACAGGAACCAAGTATTTTGGAGGTCACTCAGATTTGCTCTGCGGAATTATTATCGTCAGGACCGAGGCTGAACGTGAACAGGTACGCGTTATAGAATTCCCAAACCAATCGAAGCCCATTTTTGTCAGTTCTGGCACGACCGTGTATACATGGGAAATATGATGGGGTCACTGGAATCTTGGCTTTTATTACGATCCCTTCGAACGATGCATCTGCGCATCCCAAGGCAGTCGGCAAGTGGCACGGAAATCGCACAATGGCTTAGCAGAGCCGTTGTTTCAGAGGGTCAGGAGTACGATGGTATTCCCGGTGGGGTGATCACCAAAGTTTGGCACTCTAGCCTTCAGGAGACTGATGCCAATGGGTTTAACCCTTCGGTACAAATGGAAGGTGGATTCAATGCCTGTTTCTCGATCTTGGTGCGTAGACACGTGCACAATGCATAATTCTGTCCTCATTCGAATGAAAGCTTTCAAAAAAAGAGTACGCGGAGAAACTTCCGCACTCACTGGAGTATTTTGTGGTAAGACACTTCCACTAGGAGGTGAGTGCGTTGATGACTGATGTACCTTAGCCAGCAACCAGTCTTGGTGGTGTCGAGTCTTTGGTAGAGCACCGCATCAGGGCGGATCCGAAGGAAAATCCCCTTCTCGTACGCCTAAGCATTGGTGTAGAAGAGGTAGCAGTGAGTCTCAGCGTGGTTTACCGATTTTCTTTTGGTTGAACGTTCGCATCTTTAGGACTTGAAGGACGATTTGCGAAGGGCACTCGTGGAAATATCGAAAGGAATTTAGAATGAACAGCACATGGGTGTCATACCATTTGTGAAACCTAGTCACCCAAGGTGACAAGTCTGGAAGCTGGAAATTGGCTAGAAACGTGGAAGTAGTACAAACTAGTCTAGTCGGAAATGAATTTGGCTGTATTACTTTCAGAAGGCTTTGCCAAACAGGAGTACACAGAATCCATCATTTGGACGCGTCACAATCATAAGCCGCGTCAGCTACCCTATTATATCTCACGTCCAACTACCATGAACTCCATCTTACAGCGTTATTCGGGGCCAAGCGCAAGAGGTCTTTCTAAATCAGCGATCGATGAGGACAACGATTTCTCTGATGCTACGTGGGGTTCTCAGGCTGGCTTCGGCACCTTGGCAAAGGGAGTGCCAGGCTTCGTTGTCCCATCTGTTCCAGACGTGGGTCTACCATTATTGTCCTCAGCACAATTAAAAACTCTCGCAGCCTGCCGCATTCTTGAGGTTACACACCGATGATCACGCAGATCCGTCATGCAGAATCAAAATCCAGCACGGAACAACCACGCTTGCATTTAGATTCCAAGGCGGCGTAATTGTGGCTGTCGACTCGCGTGCTACCGCTGGAAGCTATGTCGGTATGTATATATCAGGTTGCATTGTTACTTTTCTAACACGGCCTTTAGCATCTGGAACAGTCAAGAAGGTCATTGAGATCAACCCTTACTTGTTGGGTACGATGGCCGGTGGTGCTGGTATGAAATTGACTTTCTGTGTTTATTAGCCTTGACGCATCCTCTTCAGCTGATTGCCAGTTCTGGGAAACATACCTTGGCATGCATTGTCGATTGCATGAACTCAGAAATCGAGAACGGATATCAGTATCAGCTGCTAGCAAGTACTTGAGCAACCTTGTGTATAGCTATAAGGGAATGGGTTTGAGCATGGTCAGTCTTCATATGCCATGTCTCTCGCCTAGTCCATTAACAGTTTTTAGGGTACGATGATCTGTGGCTGGGACAAGACCGTTAGTGCCAGTGTAAATATATAGATAACCCACAACTGATTCGTGCTGAAGGGTCCAGCAGTGTTCTACGTTGACTCTGACGGTACGCGGTTAAAAGGCGATCTGTTCTCAGTGGGCTCGGGAAGCACGTTTGCCTATGGTGTCTTGGATCAGGGATATCGGTGGGATCTTACGGATGAGGAAGCACAAGAATTAGGACGGCGAAGTATTTATGCCGCTGGACACCGAGATGCATTCTCAGGTAACACTTGCAACCTCTACCACGTGAAGGAGGATGGCTGGAAGTTCATCGGTACGTTACAAGTTATTTCTTTATGTCCACTGTGATTTACTTCCATGTTTAGGAAACTATGATATCACGAAGTTGCACTACGAAGGGCCAGGAAACGTTGCCGGCTCACCTGGTCATGGTTACGGTTATGACTTGCGTGTAGAAGGACGCAGTTCAGCCAACCCTCCTGAAACGCCAGCACAGGCGTGATGTTTTACTGTATGGATGTGTATCTGTAGTAGTAAAAGTCGAACGCAGTGTTTCCAAGCGTCATAGTGTACCTTTAAATTCGCTAAGGTGTTTTTTTTGGGGGGGCCAGGAATCAATTTACAATCTGACAATATGTACTTCTTGTCGTGACTTCTCATTTGGCTACAACTCCGTGCACCTTTACAACCGTGACATGACGACTCAAATTTAGAAGGGTGAGTCGATATAGTCACGGTAGGCACGGTGGAGTCAGGTGGACCTGACGTAGTCCTTTAGTACAACAACGGCGTGCACGACAGAAAACTTATGCAATCATGAAACGTCTGTTCTCCAAGTCATCCAAGAACGCGACGAGATCGAGCTCTGCCAAAACTTCTGCTCCCAGCGAGCTGCCAATGGCTGGTCGTACAACAGCACTCCCCGCGGCCACGACTGGTCTGCAACCGAACTATGTCGTTCCTCCAGTCCCACACCCCAATCCTCACGAGCATATTGCGTTGCTCGCATCAGAGGATGGTCTGCTCATGCGTCCGCATCACGCGGGACTACCTCACCCCACGTCATATGTCCGCATTTCATGGGGCAAGACAGCAAACATAGCAGAGCTGCCCAGTGATGGCGGAAGCCCTTCTGTTGATTGGAAAGAGAGCGTAGTCATCTATGGAATTGTCGGTTTGATGACCTTGTTCAATGGTAACAAGATTTCGCCTTCTGCTCACCCGTGGTGAAATCAAGACTGAATACACTCCGGCCAGCCTCATACCTCTTGGTCATAACGTCTCGATCTGACGTCGGGCAATGTGAGCGACCTCTAGTCCTCAAACATAGTAAGACTCACACGGGGCTCAGTGTTTGATGCCTCACACTTGATTTATGGCGTGAAAAGCGTTGTATCCATACCCCTTGTCAAGGACCGTGCCAAATCAATCCTTTCACGCATATCATCTCGTAACACGTCCGTAAACAGACCCTCACTTCTTGTGAGCGATGTAGATGATATCCAGTTCCTTGATGAAGGGACCTCGGGGGGGCCTCACGTGAAATTCGCAGACGAGGAGGAAGTGAAGATCCTGACCCCACGCGATCAAGTGAAATTCTCCGTTAACAGTGCCGATCGACCTGCCTCACCTGTATCATCCGGTGCTTCAACTCCTGCTTCCGATGTGTCGATGACCCATTCTCCCGTATCGACGATTGCAAATCACATGTCGTTCTGGAGCCATCTATCGAAGCGCGCATCAAGCGTATCCGAGGGAGCAGATATAGAGGAGTCTCTCCTCGATGAACAAGAATTACTTAATTCCATAATACATGATGCTGAGGGAGTACCTGACAAGGTGATCAGTTCTATCATAGCTGCAACTGCGCCACCACCGGATAGCTCAGGGGAGCGTAACTCTGAGCTAGAGAAACGCATTTTACGCGGATGTCTCAGAGAATTCACGAAAGGCGACATGTACTTTGCTCTACATTTCGGTGAGTGCACGCATCATAGCTTGCCAGACATACAAGTCATTATTTTCCTCAGACATCACAAGATCTTTGCAGAACAAACATGAGCAATTTATCAAGCTGCATGCTCAAAACAGGCTACTTTCAGAGCTGGATGCTCTTCCGAAAGATACGACTGTTAACCCACTGGACGACACAGTGGACGCTCTCTTCGAGCCGTCTGCTACAATGCCATTGTGGAGACGGGTCGACCCTCACTTTTGGTGGAATGAATGGTTATCCAAGCCATTTATGGACGCTGGTGTAAGCACCTTGAATCAAACATTCGTTTAGCATTAACTGATCGATCTAATCCTCAGCTTCACTCTTACGTGACACCAATAATGCAGGGATACATTCAGATTTCCTCGGTTGATTTACCCAAAGATACATCCGCTACGCAAGATAATTCAGCGGGGCCCGTTGATTATATTGTTATCTCGCGACGTTCCAGAGATAGGGCTGGTTTGCGATATCAGCGTAGGGGTGTGGACGACGAAGCTCATGTAGCTAATTTTGTGGAAACGGAAGCAATCATGAGGGTTCAGGTGAGCAGCTCAGTTTGCACTGTTCCGCCGAGTTTGAGTCTCCTCAGAGGAATGGAATAAGCAACGTTTTTAGCTATGTGCAAATCCGAGGCTCAAGTAAGCAGTTGTCTGATAAATACGCGGTGCATTGCATGACCCAATTCAAGTTCCGCTATTCTGGACGCAATCGGGTTACAGTATGAAGCCACCTCCTGTCCTTGCACCCGACAGAACCCCTGCACAGAATTTGGACGCTATCAAACGCTATTTCCGTCGCGCTATCCCTGTTTACGGTCCACACGTAGGGCTCACGACAACGTCTAATACGATCACGCCATTCACCTTTACTTAGACCATTGTCAATCTTGCAGAACAACATGGGAAGGAGGGAATGATCGCAAATGCATATCGTGAATATGCAACTAAACTGGATGCTAAGGATGTTCGGTAAGTTCACGATGATGAACTCTGATGACATGACTTGAATGTTGTTACAGATACTGCGAGTTCGATTTCCACCGCGAAACGAGGGGAATGAAGTTAGTATCATCTGCCTACGGACAACGCGTTCCTGATCATTAGCAGGTACGAAAATATTTCCAGGCTCGTCAATCAACTCGAACGTGTGTTTGAAAGCCAAGGGTATGGATTTTCTGTCATCCCACTTTCTTCGATATTGCGAACTCGATATGATAGGTTCTTCTGGGTTTCGAACAACATGCTCCTATCAAAACAGAAGGGTGTATTCAGGGTTAATTGCATTGACTGCCTGGACCGCACTAATGTTGTCCAAGTGAGCTGCAGGTCCCGCTGCTGTCCCCCTTTCTCACATCAGCCAGTCTGCCTTTGCAAGGCATGTGATGAGCATGCAGCTTGAGGCTGTAGGGCTTCTGAGTCCTCCCCAAAGCGGGAAGTCGGGAGTGGAGGTTATCTTTAATGATGGTCAGTGGTTGTTGTTCCTTTTGATGACGGTATTATGAGAATTACACAGTCTGGGCCAACAATGGTGATGCGATCAGTCGTGCATAGTAGGTGTAGAACGACCTGTCGGAAAGCTTGCTCTTACCTTAGTCTTCCCTCGAAGTGCTGGCACATCTGCCTTGAAGGTAAGTGTTTGATCCACTTCTAAAACCTAACCAGAATGAACCGACTGTCTGTCGGTAGGGTGATTTTACTAGGTCAGCTAATGCTTCCTTGCATCTTTTTACTATTAACTTGATAAGTCAGAACTGGGAGGCGAGACTTGAGGGGTATGCTCAACGATGGTGTAAACTCCCTTGCTAGAATGTATAGCGCAACCTTCAGCGACTGGTTTTGCCAAGCTGTCATCGACTTTATGCTTGGCTACAGGACTCTCTCTGTTTTCGAAGAATTTCTCATCAAGCTACAGTCGACCGACCCTAGAGAACTCATTCGCCTGTCAAAGATCAGGGCAGAAGCTATAGCAACTTCTGTCGCTCGCGTATTGTCTGAGGGTGAAACTTTGATATCCGGGTGGACGATCTTTAGCCCGGAGCAATTAAATGTTAAATTCGACGATCGATTCGAGGAGAAAGTGTTGCTATTGGTGAGCATCAACCATGATCTGTTCACCATTATTCTGACCATGAACTAGAGTGCCCGCGCTCTGTACATTGTCGTACGTCGTCCAATGGCGCATTATTGACTTACAGCAACATCTGACTGCCCCGAAGAGCTATGACTATAGCTTGGAGAAGGCCAAGATGTATATCTGCATCCCTCTTAGTGCGATCGCACGACTTGAGAAAGGTCGCATTGGTTTTCGTTGACGGGTCAAGTAGCTAAACTATCAAACAGGCGCTTATATCATCTCTCCTCTGGAAGAGGCGAGCAGGGATCCCGTGCAGAACGCTGGCTTTTCGGTTTACTGGCATGCCAGCGATAAAATTAGCATGCGCATGACGAGTTATTCAATCAGAAACTGTCCAGAAGACACCCCGACGAGGTCGCCGCCAGCAGTCTCGGTCAGTAGCTCCAGTCAGTTCAAGCCAATGCTGCCACGTCGCGAGCCAACGAAGACCGCCAACCTGTCGGGTATCATGTCTAAAGTTGTGGAAAACGCAGCTGGTTCGACCAATGTCTGTTTTGCGGCTTTCAAAGCGCTCCCAGTGGACCCTGCTCGAGTTAGAAGTGGATCCAGCACTGGATATGCAGAGCCTGCAGATGACCTCGCAGGAGCGACTAATTGCAAACAAGTCGTTGACATGATGGTAGACAGCATCAAGCGAGCTTGTGAAGACGCAGGGAATTCCCCTGTTATCATATATCGCGATGTAGTCAGGTGGGCGACACAGTGAGAATGCTTTTATCACACAATACTCATTTCGGGGGCAGTCTTACTGAAGCTCAGAAGATGACCAGTATCTATGCCAAAATGGAGTATGGCGTCAAGAGGTTAATTTGGCTGGGAGGTTTGGTGTAGTAATGCGAGGTCTGATTCTATGCAATGACTTACTTCTTTGACTCTTTGCTATCACAATAGGCAACACGATGGCGATAGGCTGAGACCAGTCTCCCGTCACTACATAGACAGACTCCTGTTTTTGAATCCTTGGTTCTTGTCCAATGGGTCCAAACCCTATGATGGACACTACCTACAATAGACAGACCCTTGATCCAATAGTAACACAATGACGGCAGACTGGCTGAGACCGATCCACTCGGGAGTCAGGACAAAGTCATAATAGATGTAGTTATTTAATAACTTATATAATTTCTCTCCATTAAATAATGATAGGAAACTTATATAAGCGTTACGAAGGACTTACAAGTCCCCCAATATTGTGAAGTTCTACGAGTGTACCGTCTTCTTTGCTACCACAGTCACCACTTCACCAGCTCTATTAACATGGTCCATCTCGTTACTTCCGATAATGTGGAGTTCGTAGTCGACAAGGAGGTTGTTGAGCGCAGTGTTCTCATCAAGAACATGCTTGAAGGTACTCTTCTTTCTATCGTTGCCACCCATAGGAGTAATTTTGATCTTGCTCAGATGTTGGAGAGTCCGATCAATCCATACCTCTGGCCAACGTTTCGTCGGCGGTACTGAGGAAGGTTAGCATCATAGATATTTATCGATCAACATTTTTCTTTGCTCTACAGACAACCACGTGCTCACACTCCACTATTGCACAGGTCATAGAGTACTGTGAACACCATAGGGGCGAACCCTTGCCTAGCGCAGACGCCGACCAGAATCAGGATGAGACCCGCAAGCGGACAACCGATATCAGCGAATGGGACCAGAAGTTCATAACTGTTGACCAAGAGATGTTGTTCGAAATCATCCTCGCTGCAAATTATCTCGATATCAAGTCGCTGCTGTGAGTCACGAAGATGATGGTTACACGGCTTGCACTTATCACCTTATAGCGATGTTGGATGCAAAACGGTTGCCAACATGATCAAGGGAAAGACCCCTGATGAAATCCGTCGTCTCTTTAACATCGTCAATGACTTCACTCCAGAGGAAGAGGTATGTTTTGTTCGTCTTCCTTACTGTCATCACCAGCTAAATTTTGATCCAAGGCGCAAATCAAAAAAGAGAACGTAAGTTTCAACCATTTAACTCTTTCTTATAAATCATCTCAAATCTTCTTCAGGAATGGGCAGAAGATCGATGAGGGATCAGTTTATAGAGTCTACTGTACCAGCTATTTTTCTATCTTCGTGTCATTGCCAGTTTCCTTAGTATTACAGTCCGATTTGCACTCGTGGTTTTCTTGTGGAACAGCGGTCGTTCGCTGCGCGGCACAGCTTGGCACGTGCTTACATAAAGTCAGCAGCTGTATTACTTGCACATTCTCAAGCAAAGTTCAAACGTACATACTTCGGTTAATTTTTGTTCTCCTTTCTGTCTCGTTTATGCCACGAATCCCAACTATACCAGGAGCTGTCATTCCGCCACGCTCTGAGCAAGACCGGTGGCTGAAGAGTTATGTAGCGAGACTTTGCCGGCTGGATCATGAGCGGTACAGTACCTAACTCAAACCGACATACCGGGTCGAGAAGCTTATGTCCTTGCTTGTTCTTAGGTTTCCTGGTGGTCAACCAATCAGTTTTGCCTCGGAACATCTACAGAAGCTAGAAGATCGTGAGTGAGTAGCAGACTTTGTCAGTGTGAAAATCAGTCTGCCGACGCCTCATTCGTTCTGGCTAGTTACTGGGTGTGTGAGAAGTCTGATGGCGTTCGCGTACTTTTCTTCCTTCAAACCGACCTCACGTCAGGCAGTCAAGCAGTTTACCTTGTGCGCGTCCTCCTTCGCCTCTGTACACTCCTTGACGTCACCTAGATCGACAGACACAATGCTTATTACGAGGTTCCAGGATTCTGGTTTCCTCATCACGAACGAAGGAAGTTGCCTTTGGGGGATACCATTGTCGATGGAGAGCTTGTCATCGATGTAGACCCTCGCACCAAAAAAGTAAACAAGATTTGCAAAACCGTTGGACGCTTTTGTTAAAATGTCACATTCTCCCCAGGAGACACTGCGGTTTCTCGCATTTGACTGCCTTGTGGTTAATGGACAGAATGTCATGTCGCGAACACTGGACAAACGATATGGTGTATGTACTTTTCATCATCGTCCCGGAGATATAGGTACTAATTGAGTTTGTAGCGTCTCAAAGAATGGTTTTTCAAACCCTTCTCAATGATGCTGCAAGAACTCCCTCATATGGCTGCTGGTCAGGCCTTCGAGTGAGTGATCTGACTTGGACATATGGTCATTTATGACACATCTATTAGCATCAAGGTTAAGAAAATCAGCTTCTCCTATGGTGTTGAAGAAGTGTTTCAGGTGGTCATTCCAACACTACAACACGGCAATGACGGCCTCATCTATACCTGCGTAGAGACGCCGTATACGTCAGGTACTGATCCAAACATGTGAGTTTATTAACCATGGCTAGAGGACGATGCTGATTCCAATTCCAAGACTGAAGTGGAAACCTCCTTCCGAGAACTCCATTGATTTCAAGCTCGTGTTGCGTTTCCCTCCATTAAAAAGTGATATATCAAAGCCAGACTATCACGCGAAACCGTTCTTCGGACTTTATGTGTACTGTGGCGATGAACAAGGACGACCGAAATACGAATCTTACGATGAACTCTTTGTTGACGATGATGAGTGGGAGATGTAAGGGCTTTTATCCAGTACTTTTTGCAGTTGACGAATAAACCTGCTAGGATGAAGTCATCAGGTGAACAGATTGATGACAGGATTGTCGAGGTTTACTGGGATCCTGTTGTTTCCCATTGGCGCAAGATGCGCTTTAGGGATGATAAACCCCACGGCAACTATCGGACGGTAGTTGAGAATATCATCCAAAGCATTGCTGATGGAGTCGAAAAGGATGCGGTATGTCATTCATGCGCTGTTCAGGAATCATGTGCTTGATTTCAATTTAGCTCCTCGAGCGCTCTGCGGTAATAAGGAACGCCTGGAAAGCGCGCGCTCGGCTACAGCAGCCCTCTCAAAGAGGGCCAGACACTGCAACACGAACGCCATCAACCGGACCCTCAGTAGGGCATGGCCCACCACCAAATGTACCATTAAGATATGGCCCTCTTGCCACTTCGCGGTGGAGCAGAGTGTCCGGGCCCCCAGTGTTTGCTGGCATGCATCGCTGATCCAGCTATCACGTCACGCATCGGATCGTTTTCATGATAGGCAACCGGAATTACAAACGATTTGTGCGTCCATCGGGCTGTTATCGCCTGTCGCACCCACCACTATCAGATCGCCCGTGAAGCAACTGAGTGATGTCTCGGTTCTTGTTCCGGGGATGCATCTCGCCGGATATGGACATGTGGAAGAATCGGGTCCACACAATAGCTGTCCTCGCTTGACACCCAAAGAATGGAACGCCTTTCGATCCGATGCTATCGATTTGTTTCACTTGATACATTCACACAATAGGTTGTAGGCAGGGTCTTGTTTTAATATCAAAAACATCAAGTGTACAAAGTCTGGGGTGACTGCAAGTACACTAAGTCGTGAGGAGAAACGTCGTGACGCGTCGTAAAAGCACAGCCAATATGGATTCGGATGGAAAGCATTTTGGGAACAAGATCGGTGGAAAGCAGGGCACGGATGCATGTCTAGTCGTTACAGATGATGACGGAGATAGGGAGGCAACAAGTACGTAGCGCTTTTGAGTTTGACGCCATTATTAGCGCGAGAATGGAGAGAATATGCGGGAGCGTAAAAGGCGTTGCTTAGGCGTAAATTGTAAAGCTCTGTAACAACAGGCAAGAAACAGCTTTTTGATGGAGAGGCAAAGCCTCATGTGCCCAGTCTGAAAAGCTTTGGAGATGTACGCGTGAAATTACAAACTGTGAATGGTATGCAAAAGATGCGATAAAATGAGGTTAAAATGGATGAAATGGAGAGTTATGGGGTGGCGTCTGCCGGCGGCGGCGAGGAAGTGGATCTGAAGCGGATGGAGTTTGAGAACGAGGAACTGACAGGAGCTCATTGAAAGATGTTCTGATTGGGGGAGAAGGAGGAAGCTCCGTCGGAAAAGTGATGAACATCCTCTCCGAAGTCAAGACACTCTGCGAAAGTGTAGGTGCGCGGTCCGAAGAGCGCGAATGAAGGCCGCGAGTTGACGCCTATAGGAGGTAGCGCAATTCGGAAGGAAGTTCGAGGTCATGAGAGCCAGCATCTGCATCAATCATACTGAAGCGGATGCTCTCCAGAGGAGCTTCGGGGATCTCAGGAGTGGACTCGAGGGATGAAACCGAGGAGTCGCGACCGTGTCTCCTGCCGGTAGGAGAGTGAGGGGCTATAGAGAGTGCGGCAAATTGACTCATAGGGATAGACTAGATGGTGACGTCAAGGGTCAGGCACGACCACTATCAATGAATAGTATCAAGGTCTTACCTGGGCGAAGTCTATGGGGGGAAGGTCGTGTAACATCAGCGGGGGCGTCTGTGGACTATCCGAGAAGCCCGACAGAGTAATGGCGCCGCCCGCGGAGACATATACGCCGTCTTGTACATCCTGATCTCGTTCAGCCTGGTCCTGGGCTACATCAAGGTCACGCTGCCCATCAGAAACCCGCCACCACTCAATGTCCGCAAGGACCCTACGTTCGGTCAATTCCGAGTCGGAAGAACGACGAGAGCCATGACCAGCAACACGCGTACGAGCGTTACTTGCACTACCATTTAATAGTGAAGTCGGGTATGGGTTCGAACGAACTGACAAGGACGAGAAAGAACGACGAAGGGAAGGCATTGAATGGGTGCACTGATGTAACTACGGGTTGAGGGACCTTCCAACCAAAGATTTTAGGACCAGGAGCTGCCTACCGCAGAGCCCACTGGACGATAGCGAGGATGAGGAAGACAAGGAATGTGGGAAACTAAATATCCAGGTTTTATAATTTCGGATAAATCATTTCAATGTGACCAGGAGACGATGTGAAGAGCGCTGAACTTTTGTGAATGTCTGAAGGGGTTTACAAGAAGACGCTCACCCAACCGCTGGCACTGCCTGGCAGGCCGTCACATCAAGGCACTTTTTATTATAACGATAGGTTACATACTGCTAGCTAGACTAGTTCTGGGACGATGAAACAGCCAAGCTAGATGGTAGTGGACTGCGCTTCGATTCGAAGAACCGAAGGACAGACTAAAGACGACAACGTTGTTAAGAAAAGATCATGTTATGGCGCTCACGGCTGTCAGTCTCACACAGCCTACCATCAACGCCCACGTCCATTAAGAAATATCATGTGCTTAGTACCCTGAACTGATCCAAAATCCTTTGATAAGACTAGATACCATCGATTAGTCGGGAGACCTGCAGGTACCTGGCTCAAATGGAGGTAAGCTAAATATCGTAGTACCTGACTTCGGTCTCAAGACTTGAGTACTCGGCTCCCTGTACAGCGCTACGGGACCCGTCGGAAACGCTATTAGGCCGGAGATTGCTGTCAAATATGATAATACGCATGTCCGGCAATCGAAGACTCGTGCACGTCTTCTCTTCGTACTACGTCAATATACTGCAGGCTCTTCGGCACAAGGCCATCATGCACTTGTAATAACGAGGTGTGCTAGTACGAACCGTACCTTGTGGAACCGGTAGGGCAGTAATTCGCGACCGTAAAATGATGGTCGGATCTCAAGTGTCTTCGGTACTTATATTTTAGCGGCTCGTGTTGCACACCCCACGATCCTCTACCCACTCATACTGCTAACCATAACGATGTGCACCGTCTACTATGGTCCAGTCATTAACCCACAATCAGTCACAGACTACCTTGCTCTTCCCCAATGTTTAATTTGTGTATCTCCACAGGGTGACATCGAATGGATCGTCGAGGACGTAGAGAGCACAAAGCTCAATGATGTCCTCACTCAGCACGATTGCGCCCCTTCTGACATCACTCTCGTTCGCTTGGACGACGGGGAATTCCTCATGCCCGGCCTGGTGGATACCCATACAGTCCGTCCAGTATCTCATTAGAGCATTCATATCTTGACCATCTTCTGTATCTGTAGCATGCTTGTCAAGTTCCCAACCTCGGCGTGTAAGTATTCTGACTCAAGTATATTAGTCCTCTCCTAACGCGCGTCTTCCAGTGGTGGGGAGATGGAGCTCCTGCAATGGCTCGATAATTACACATTCCCGACGGAAGCCAGGTTCAAGGACGTCAAATATGCCGAACGCGCTTATCCTGATGTCGTACGGCGCATAGTCAACTCGGGTGTAAGCGATCAATTTAACGTCCATATTCTGGATCATCATGTTTGACGCTGAATTAGACAACAACATGCTGTTATTATGGTAGTTTACATCTAGAAGCGACCAAGGTTCTAGCCAGTCTCGTTCACGCCGCAGGTAAGTTTACCCTCGTCGCATCCGAACTACCAGCTGACACGATGGAACAGGTCAAAGAGCATTTGTCGGGGTACGTATCCTTCTGGAAAGGTATACCAAATTCTAATCGTTTGACTTGCACATCAGAAATGCAACATGAATTGGAATTGTCCACCTAATTATATCGAGCCGTCTGTCAAGGAATCTGTCGATACCACCTTGGCTTTATTCAAGTACATCGAAGAGCTACCGAAAGCTACTTGCGGCGAGTCATTGCTACATCCCATCCTCACCCCGCGTTTCGCTATCTCATGTACCGAGGAACTCTTGACGCGTCTCAGCGAAATTGCACAGAAAAATCCAAAGCTTGCTATCCAGACGCACATCTCAGAGAATAAATCCGAGGTCGAACTGGCTAAAAGCCTATTCAAGACTAACAGTTACGCAGAGGTCTATGACAAATTTCATTTACTTCGCGATAACACCGTTTTGGCACATGGCGTCCATCTCACCGAGGATGAAATGATGCTTCTTGCTAAACGTGGTTCGGGGGTGGCTCATTGCCCGACGAGCAACTTCTATTTGAGCAGTGGCATGGCGAGAGTCGGTATGCTCCTAGATCACGGCGTGAAGGTTGGTCCTCCGTTTCAAGATAGCTAATTGCTATAACTAACGTTCTTCTTCGATCAGGTCGGATTGGGTACAGATGTCGCTGGCGGCTACTCCCCGTCCATACTCACCGAGGTCCAACACGCTAGCATCGCATCCAAGATGCTCGCTATACAAGCCACCGATAACAAGAAATGCAAGTGCAGCGGGGGCCACTCGGAGTTATCATCATCGGGCGAAGAAGACAGTCATTCGCGCGGTCGTCATGGTCACAAGCACCACGAATGCCAATGTGACTGCGAGTGCAATGAGAAGCAGCCCGGACGGTTCACCAATCAAAAACTATCTATTGCTACTCTCTTGTACCTCGCCACCCTCGGTGGAGCGGGAGTCTGCTGTCTACAGGACCGCATTGGCTCGTTTGAGCAGAAGAGGGCGTTCGATGCTCTCCTTGTAAGCGTTCGAGAAGACGATACGGGGAACCCTGCGGTGTGGGGCTACAACCCTGGTCGCGACTTGACTCAAGGTGTCACTGCGCAGAGCGCGGACAAGAGCTTGATAGAATGGTTGGAACGCTTTTTGTTCTGCGGAGATGACAGGAATATCAAGAAGGTGATCGTGCAAGGAAGGACGATTGGTGGACGGGATTACCATCCGGCACGGTAAATACCCATTGGAAGCATGTACGATTTGGATGTATACCTACATGGTTATGGCAGTAATATACGATAGTCCCTGACAGACTCTCTTGTGCTCCCACCAGTGGCGATCCCTGATATGCAAGAATACAAAATTATGATAGATACAGCGGCTGGTAATATATTATCCGTCCTTGTCCTTCTTGTAATCTCCGAATTCCCATTTAAAACAGTCCTATGAACAAGGTGTCAGAGGAATGAAATATAACGAAAGCACTCTCAAAATACTAACCACGCAGTCCTCTTCTTCATGGGCGACAGGTACATCCCACTCATTCCCGTCTTCATCCGGCCAGCGGTCCTCCAGGTCCAAGACTTCTAAAATGACTTCCTTAATGACATGCTTACGCAAATCAACATGCCACCCCAGTTTCCCGACAGTATCGTACACGACGCTCTTTCCCAGATGACATCTCGTTTCAAGAGCATACCCAGCCTGAGCGCAAGGCGATGCAACACCAGTACATGCTCCCTGAGGTACCGGGTCGGCATTATGGTATACATGCGTAATAGGCACCGGAGGTCGCGAAGAATCTCCGACGGGAGGTGGAAGTGGGAGGCGAAGACGATTCGCTGCCATCCTTTCACCAGGAGCCTCGAACGCGACAGCTGGCAATCCAAAAGTGGAACCAAGGAGAGAAGCGAGACTTCCTCCGAGACTATGGCCGACGAGCCATATGTCTGCGAAAGGGTATAGAAACATTAGATCTTTCACGAGTTTCTGGGTGGTGTGAAGATATTAGTTTTCATGGTGGCTGATGCAGATGATGACTTACGACGCCGGTGGAATAGAAGAGGCTGTCTTGTACGAGAGCTTTGGACAAGCATGTATCGTCGCATCGTTGATGTAGGGCCGACCAGGAATAGCAGTCGCAAACTGTCGAGAACATCCATGAAAAATCGACGCGGGCACAACAGCACGAGAAGAGTAGATTGTCGTTTAGTTTATCTTTCTTTGATGTAGGTCCCTGAAGCGTGGTTCCTTTGATCGAAAGCACGATTGTAGAATTATCTCTAGAAGTGAAAACGTGGCCGCGGAATCCGTCTTCGTCGTTATCCCACCCAAATGGAAAGCTCTGAAAGGGCTGTTAGAGAGCGAGCATAAGTAGTAGGTAAACGCACTCACGGCGTTGACGTTCCAGGACGAATCGAGGTCGTACCAGTTATTGTGGCCTGGAAGCTGGTACGCGTTAGCAGTCATGCGTGCTAATTGTGAGAGGGTATGTCTGTCTTCTATGTCTGGTCCTGAGACTACCATCTGCTCCCATTCGATAGGCTCAGTCTCCGCATGAAGAAGTGACCGTAACCGAGCGTGCTCGTGAGCATCGAGAGATTTCGGGCGGTAGACAGTTGTTGGTCGGGCCTTTAGAGAGATTGCGAGAGGCTCAGACGACGGTGTATATGCAGCGGTGAAAGGAAGTTGATCGTCTGCAACAGGAAGATTGGATCGTTGGTGGAGATCGAAGTTCACCCAGTTTGGGACGACAGTTGCGGAGGCGATGGCAAGGATGTGGAGAAGAGATGTGATATACAACAGAGGGTACATGTTACCACCTGATAGCAGGACAATTGTGATAAATCATCGAGAGGGTGCTGGTAAGCACTTAAGGCAGTGACTACTCTCCTGCTCTGCCAAAGTACTGCGTAGCGAGAACTTAGGGTACACGACATAAACGGAAGGCTGTTCAAGCAATCACGTGGACCGGTAATAGGGGTGTTATAGCCGCTGGGTTGTACAACGACACTGCCGTTGAACATACTACCACAGTATACACATTGTGATACATACTGCGTGTATCAACCACCGCTGCAAGTTCGCAATCCTGACAGCCATGTCTGAGCAGGAGAGAAAAGAGATCAACACTTTCATCTCTTTTTTTCGCAACTTTTAACCTAGCCCGGCCAGTCACCACTGTCGCCGACCTCAGCGGTGAGCTTTCCGACAACTAGGTTCGCCAATTCAGCGCACTGTAGCATCTCGGATGGATGCGATACCTACACTCCCAAGGATATATCAGCGACAACGCAGGGCGGGTGTTGGATACTCTACTCGCCTGATTTTATTACTGGTCGCACGTTGTTGATTATGCAGACTCCCCTAGCATGTAGCGTAGGGCGTAGACGCAAAGGTGAGCCTCTCGTCTATTAAGCTCACAGAGATGTAACAAATTCGTGGAGACACCCCCAGATCGGCCGCCGTTTACTTGCCCATCGTACGTCCATGCCACGTTCTCTGCAATGAGATGGGCTGTGAAATGCTCGCCGCCACTGTAGATAATACGTATCTTGCAGTGCCACTTTGACAGGGCAGGTCTAAGGTGTCAAAAGGCACAGCGGTAGCCTGCTGAGCAGCTCAAAGAAGAGGACAGGAGGAGCATTGGCTAGAGTTATGTCTCCCGTATATCCGAAGGCAGCGTTTCCCCGGCTGTCAAGGCGCTCTTCGTGCCTCGCGTTCAGCTTTTCGTTCTGGCGGCTGAACCAGAGTTCAAACCAAACCTATAAAGAGAGAAGGGTACAAGCCGGTGCAAGGCCCACAGTATGCGGGAAGATTAAAGTGGAGCTGATCTGCACTCTCCGCGGTACCCATCCCTGACCGACCGACTATTTGGAGGCAGGGTTGGTAACTTTACCTGTTCGAGCAACTACGTGGACCGGTAGTATTGGCATGATCTGTGTCCTCTTGGCGGCCTGCTACAGCTAGGGTGCGGCGTTGCCGAAATTCTCCTTGCTTAACCAGTAACAGTGTTTAGTCAGTCGAAGCCAGGGACGATGTCACTACATTTCGTTGATCCTACAACTTTGGGGGTCGATATTCGATAGTAGGGTTATTCACTGTCTCGTTATTCATCTACACACACTTCTTTGATCCGCTAACGATCATAGTGCTTCCGTCGGAGATTCGAATGACTGTATTATACCAGCGATGGCTAATCATGCAGATGCGGGAGTGATTCTCGTAGATGTTACAATGAGCAGCGGAGGCAGGTGGACAAGGCTCGAAGATGCGAACTGCCTGTAAGCCACCAAGGTCTCCGAAGTCCGCTGCACTCGTGTACCCACCGACCATAGAGTTACCCCCGACATTTATCAGAATTCCGTTGCTCAGAAATGTCCCGTCGGCACAAAATGAGTTGGATTCGACCTTGAGAGGCCTAACGGCATGGGTCCGGAGGCTGAACAAGGCAGCCCATGCTGGGAGGCCCCAATCGACACGGGATTAAGTTCAATTTTGTCAATGATAAGAGCGTGAGTATCGAAGATCACGGTAAGTTGCATGGCGGATAAGCTAGTTACGCCCTTTTGTTCCAATGTCCATTGATTCTGCGAAGCTAAGGACTGGATCTGTCCTGGATGGGTTGCTGTGTTTGACAGGTCAAGGGTCAGAGGAAGGGTCATGGGAAGAGTCGTATGACCTTCCGTGACAACAAAGGTATCTATGTCAATAACCAAGCTGTCACCTTGTCCCTTCCCAAGGGTTCTGAACTTGATGGCGAGTTTCCTGTACGGCAGGTTAAAAGTCCAGAAGATCCGTTGCTGTTTACATATTGTTCCAGGTATCGATCTCCTGCACTTTTCCTATCGATGAACACCGCGGCGATTTCATGACTGTCCATACCACCAAACCATTCGATGATAGTGCCCACGAACGTCATCCGGGCAGCAGCTCCTTTCTAAATCCTTGTCGGTCCGACTCAGGGTCGTCGCAACGTGCATGTCATTAAAGGAGTTGAACAAGAACCAGTGAAGTGAAGAGCGGAGATGACGAACCGTAACTTTTTGCTCCTGGTGGGACGTAATAGGGCCGGAATGGACCTGGTGCATCTGTCTCTGAACTCCGAGTCTAAACGTTCTATGCGGACTCCCCGGGCTCCTTGCTCCAGGTGAATGCCCAAAGCGCCAGAAACAAAAGTAAAGAATGTGAAGCGGTCAGCGACCACATCCATGAGATGTCCGGCTTCAAAGCTTTAAGTGCGACGCGGCGCGAAGGATCACGTGACATTTGAAAAATAATACGATCAAGTGAACACTATCCTACGTCCTTGCTGGGGTTGCCACTTTAATAATATTGATCTATATACTATGTATGATATGTCGTGATGAAGATGATTTATCAGCGTCCGGATAACTGTATGTCGTGCGATGAGGGTAAAGTAGCAGTGAGAATGCAAAATCATTCACAAAAGATCATCGATGCTCGCTGCGTCCCCAAGAGTAGCACGAACCCTCCATCATCATAGATCCAAGGTTACTTTACTTTGCCCTTTCTCTTTCCAGTCATCTCTGGCTCGGACACAGAGATGCCGAACTCCAAGCAGTCCACCCGCGGAAACAGGTGCCTCCCACACACGTATCGTGTTATCATCCGAACACGACGCAAACATGCGCTTATTGTGTGGGTTCCAGGCTACAGAATTCACGCTTCCAAAACCGTGACCTTCCAGTACCTCTAGAAGTGTACCTGTGTTGCGATGCCAAACATAGACATTGCGATCTGGAAATGTTTAGTGAGTACGAACTAGTCGAACGCTATGAACGTCGTTTATACCTTCACTCCCACTAACGACGAAGTTGTCATCGATACCACCAAAGCAACTGCGGATGACATGGTGACCCTGTCGTTGCCCAGTGAACTTGCGTGCAAGCCTGAACTCTTCCAAGTCCCACAGGTGGATTTCCTTCGATGCATGGTCAGTGATATGGTTGGGTTTGATACAAGAAAGAGGGTAGTCACATCTGGGGTGTGATTGATTAATGCATACCGAGAATCCTCGGAAATCTTCACGCTAGTAAGTTCACCCTCCATGTGAACAGATCTGTGTGCAAAGATCGATGAGCAAAGATGCTGAAACAAACATGCTTGAAACATACAGCTCAACCTGTCCCGTCTTGAGATCGTAAATGATCATTCGATTCTCTGGTGAACGCGGCACCACTGCATTACCGTTGCCATTGAATGGCAATGCGTCTCGGACGTTGGCACGAGCCAACGCCGGGGGAGGGCTGTATCCCATCCCAACAGCGACCAGGCGTCTCATGTCAGGAGTCACCGCAGCGTCAGTGACACGTATGGCTATATCATTCCATGATTCCTGTAGTTCGCCCTCCATGTTCTGTTAAAGATGAGGTGAGGTGCGATAACAACATGGCATACGATAAGTATACCCATGATATAATCTTGCGATCAAGGCTACCTGACATAAGCCCTGAGCCGTCGGGTAGCCATACCAAGGTAGACACTGTCTCAGCATGGTTCTCGAGTGTCTTCATCAGAGTTCCAGTCTACAATTCATGAGTATCGCGAGGCAAAATTAAATATGAGAATTTAAAGTTAACCTTTGTGTTCCATAGCAAAATGAGGTGGTCCATAGACGTAGATAAGATAGAGTCGTCTAGCGACCAAGCTAAACAACTAACAGGATATGGGTGATCGCGCAAGATGAATTCTGCTATACGATCACAAGATGATGGTCCTGCCTCGAGCTGCAGGGTAAAATTAACATGGTAGAGGTTGCGAGTCAGTCCAACTAACCCCAATGTGCCAAATCATTGCAGCCTTGTCTTTACTTGCGCTTGCAAGACGAGTACCATCGTGACTCCAGGCCACGTTCCACACCTCGTCTGAATGGACTTCGAGGATGGTAGTTGTTTTTCGAGGGAAGGATTCCTTGTCGCATGTGTGGTCACTGAATAGCGAGGATGAAGATGGATCCACAGGTGAGCTGTGGTAGCGGCAGCGATGTCGCTGATACTCTTGCAGCTGTGTAAGGGTAGAAAAGCGGCGTTGGGGAATCATGGTCGAGGAAGGTGTGTGATCTGCGAGGCAAGACGTCAATGGCTGAACAAAACATGTAGGAGTACAAAGAGATATCTTCATCTTATACTGACGTTGTAGATCATCAAGAAGTTGTCGCTGTGAAATTCCCGACACTCCATCCCAAGATGCACGTCGGCGCAGGTCTCGTGGATCTGAACACTTCATCAAGCTGGACAAGAGTTATCACGAATGCACAGTATGAAGATGTGTTGAAGAGCGCGCCTAGATAATACGTGGAGTCCTTCCTTGGTATTTTAAGGAACCAGATCAATCCGCAGCACCTGCAGAGCAATAGTGACTATCCGCGCCTCCAGTACAGGCCCATTATCTGTAAAACTGTGATCTCACTTAGTATCAGTGGAAGAAGTTTGATGTGTTACTACATATTTACGGTTCAGTGATGCAGCTTGCCAAGATGGTGCTGCGGTCAAACTACGGAGATCAGAATCACAGATTGATCATAGATTTTTGGACAAAATACAGCTTACACCGTTGGATATCATCGGTGTGCATCTATAGTGCTACAAACCCAACCTTGCCTCTCCGCGTTCCTTCATCCTTGCCTCGAAATGTGCTGCGACAGCACGTTCCAAGGCAAGGATGACGAGCTCAGCGCGGGGATAGATCTTATCTTTGATGTAAGTGAGATGCTCCGATTGTATCGCAGCGGCTTCGGAGCATCCAAAGTCAGGTGAAAGAATAAGGAGCGAGTTTATGAACACCGATCATCAACAATCTAAATGAATTTGTGAAGTGGCGTGCGTAGAAGGAAACCTTTACCTGATTGCAACGTGTTGACCGAGGCATAGTAGGCTATGCTTGAAACGAGTCAGAACGGTTGCTTACCAAACCCGAAGACAAAGAATTTAAGATCGTCCCTAAGGCGACCCTGGTCATTAATCTAGCGCTGAGGCTTGAACGCATGAGGTTCTGGGAAGACGACTGGGTCTCAAGAGATGGACCTGATGCATTATCCGCCAGTTCCATGTTACTTTTTACCCTCAAAGACTAACCAATGATGACCGATTACCGTCACGGTAGTCCCAGCTGGAATACAATAGTTTCCTGATGGGCCAGATGATGATTCTCACAATCAGTAGGTCGAGAAATATTTGCCCAAATGACCTCCTGGGTCGTTCGGTGAGTCAACCCTGCTGTGTGAACGTTGTAAACTTCAAGTTTGGGACCGACAATATTGATGATACCCACATCGACCTGGGCTTTAGCCTGCTCCTCAGGGAAATATGCAGGTGCCATCAGCACCGTGCATATTGCGATAGTAATCTAATACCTGTGTTCAAATGGACATCTTCCGAAATAAAACACAAGGACCCTCACCTCATCCGATCCAGCTGCAAAAAAGGCGCCAGCAAGAAAGGCCATCTGCGTCTCTGTCAAGCCGTGGAGTTGGACATTTTCTAGCACACATTTTGCGAATGGAGGGCCAACCTCAATATTACTCTGCTGCGGAAGGGTTCAGACATCGCATGAGGATCGGCGAAACAATGCGTACAATTTGCCGTTTCACGCGGTTCGGTTGATCAGTGTTCCTCAAACCCCCGTTTCAAGACTTCGGCATAACAAGGAAGGTGTTCGAGCCACACGATCGTGTCAACCGAATAAGCACCAGGGCGTAGGACTATGCGAAGTATTCGCGAACATGGCTGATTTTAGGATCAGTAGTAAATGTAGGGGTGGTCTTCCCAAACGCCACTTTGGTGATCATTGTTGCAGTATACCTTCAATACACTTATCAGTAACACATCATAATACGATATGATGGCACTTACGTTGCCGCATGGTTCCAGAAATTGTGTGGATCTTCAAGGATATCGAGGACATTGTTCTTTGCGTGTGACATCTGCAGGGGCTGATATCCCTCAGCTGATTTAGGCTGGAGATGCACATAAAGTGCACTAGATCATATTGAAAAATAAGTTTGGGGCTATTGGTGCAGTATCGCGCGCATGAAACGAATCTACGCATCCGACGCCACATGCTCCTAGCGGGTGCAAGGACGGTCAGCTATCAAGCTGCCCTAATATCCACCACGACTTACTACTCAATTTTGAGCCTGGATGTAACGACATGGATTGAAGGGACTGACGTTGTGACGGCCGATAATAACAATTTTCTCAGTTCCTGATCAGATGCTGACCAGGGGACCGTGCTCGTTAATCCATTCCGCTAGAGCGATAAACGGGCTGAATGGCGATGACACATGGTAGACATCACAAAAAATGAGAGAAATGTGAAACTTTACTTGCGAGGATGTATGAAGTGCCCCCGAAGTCTCCAAGTGGGGGGGAGGGCGGAAAAAGTCCACTCTCTGATTCGGGAAGGTAAACTCAAGCTATCACTCCTGCTAGCCCAAGACAAGCCACAGCACCGAGGCCAAGCTGCATGAGATCAGAAACGCATAGGTCAGGTAGCGGCTGTAGCATGACTGATACGCGAGGATTCCAGGAGGGAACTCAGTCATGCTTTTAAGTTCTGCCGAATACTCCAATGCCTTTTATTCCGTACTCTCTGGTAGCTACTGACTCGTGGAAGAGGATTACTTACAGTATGTCATAAGGCGGATACCAGGCAGTGACATGCATATGCCGTACCATGATCACAACATCTGCATTCGTCGATGTCCGCCGAGTACTAGGTGGCAGTTACCACAAGTTCGCATAACCAATAGTTGTGCAAGGGTATGCCTGTCTTCTATATGTCTGGTCCTGACCACTGCCTTCTCCCATTCGGTGGGCTCAGTCTCCGCGTGATGAAGTGACCGTAACCGATGGATTTCGGGTTGTAGACAGCTATTGGTCGGAACTTAAGAGATATCGTAGGAGGTTCGGACGGCGGTCTATGTGCAGCGAGAAGATCGAGTTGATCGACTGCGAAAATAAGATTGAATTCAAAGTTCACCCGATTTGAAGTGACGGGTAAGGACATGGAGTAGACGTGATATGAAACACAGGGTAGATGTTACTACCTGATAGCAGGGATATTATGAGAAATCATCGAGAGTGCTGAAGGTACTTAAGCAATGGATATTGCCCTGGTAGTAGCTGTACACGATGTTCGAGAAACCACGTAACCGGGTAATCATTGGCTTGATCAGATCTGGATTCTGTATCTCTGAGTCCGGACCTAGTTGCTACAACTACATATAAGTGATACCAAAGTTATACAGCGTTCTTCACAATCCAGTCCCTAATAAATGTACTGCTCAATTTTGTCTGCTTCAACATCTCCATGTCCTCATGGACCAACTTTTCGCTTTCTGAAGAAATAACGTCGATGACGAATGTACGGAGGGGAGGCAATGACTCGACGGAGCGTTTATTGTCAACTGTATGAGAGTGTTGGTAAACAATTCCAGAAAACCGTTGAGGTACCCACTTGATGCCGCGCCGGGCAGAGTCTCCATGCTGACCACCAGCGCCTGAATATTAGGATCCCAACTAGTAGGACCATACACATCTCGTAATGGGACAATTTCATATTCAAGGTCAGGGCGAAAGAGCTGCAGGAAAGAGCGTGTTCTTTCCATGCGTACTGCCATTGACTCCAAGACATTCTTATTCGATTTGTTCCTCAACAACTCGTCGTCTCGAGGATAAATTTAGTCGCGGGAGCGACAGGGTGCAAGGCATTATCATACCTGTGACACCGACAATGACCTTGGTACTAGCTATCCAGGCTGCCATGCTGAGCAGGATTTTGTGTCCTGCATGCAAGTGATCGAAAGTGCCACCAAGAACGACGACGGGGTATGATGACGGGGAGGTATCACAGCTAGGAGTGGTGCATACGGAATGCTGCACGTGCGCTTCAATGGCTTTATCTGGAACAACGAAGACTTGGGGAAGGGTCTCGATAGAGTCAGGGAGATGGGCTACAGGGGGGTCTTAATAATTCTGCCGTGAGGAATGTGTACGAAATGAGCGAATTGGAGGGACGTACCGCCCTGAATTCGAAAGCACATATCCATACCATTCCCGAAATTATTTGGGAAACTCTCTGAAGGGTCCTTTAGCACTACTGCTAATGTCCAGTAATACCTTTCCTAAGTCCTGGGCTGTCTTGGTTGCTTTGACATAGACATATGTTAAAAGCCTCTGGACATGATCCCACTGTTGGACATGGTTGGATGTTGATTCTGCTGCATGGAATAACTGAGAAACCAAGACGATGACCAAGGCTTCTGTAGTAGCCGCGGTCACAGAAGCAATTGCTGGCCCTAGATGATGAGGAACGCCGATGTCCTGTAGATGAGCAAACAGGACAGTACGTTTAATACTGCTCATGCTAAAAATTGCACTCGCAGGATACTACGAAGCAATGCCTTCGTTGTTTCTCATTCATTGGCCAGTGATGGCGAACTCGGATGACACGATCGTGTTCACTGCTCTAAACGTGAGAAACAAATTCCTATTTTAATTAATAAAGGGATAATCCTGGGAACTAATTCCCTTTTCCAACCTTCACATTGTACACGACGCGTTGGCAGTACTCGAACAACGTTTACTCGTCAACGCTCTCAACGGTCTACTCGATTCTTACACCTTCCTTTCTCTATATCGTGCTCACCGTCTTCGCGAGTTGTTGTCCTCAGAGACATCCAATATTGACCGGAGTTGCTCCAAGTTGCACTCTGTAGGACCACCAATTAATAACAGCGGGCCAGCTTCTGGTCACTTGTTAAATAATATTTCTATGGCTTCATCACCACAGGTCTCACTTTCTTTCTCCCCGTCCTCCTCTGTCAATACTCCAAGGAAGCACCGTCCTACTCACTTACCACTACCGTCATCAAACTTCAGCGCTGCCCCTGTACAGCGCCTTCAGGACAGCGTGCAGGCTCTTCAAAGGTCTGCAAGCTTGGGTTCAACATCAGCAAGTCCACACAGTCGTTCCATATCTAATGCCGCTAGTTTCAAGCCAACTTTTTCGGCTCGTGTCACCCGAGACTATCCCTTGTCATCTCCTCCGACTGTTACCACTTTTCAGCTACCTCAAGTCCCAATTCCAAGTACAACCCATGCAGGTGGCATTCTACCCTCCTCATCATTCTTTCGCCCTTCCAGACCAGTCCATTCTCGTCCCTCATCATCCATATCCTTGACCTCTAATGATATCCTTCCTAATGTCCATTCGGTTCCTCCAGATCAACACCCTTTATCTAACTTGACTAGCCGTATCTCTCACGAATCTGACCTGAGGAGCTATGGTGATCCTGCTTCCATAAGAGACACAAATGGTCAACTATCTAAGCGGCTAAAGCAAAGTCGTGAACCTCTACTTCCCCTCAACAACAAGCATGTCGTTACAAGTGCTAGCGCTCCCGCGCGCACTTCCATGCATTTAGATCCTTCCTACAAGATAACTAGCACAAACCGAATGCGAAACAGCTTCGAACGCGTGTTCCGCGGTCTCAGCTTCGATAGCATACGGAGATCTAGTAGTAGCCTCGGTCATACTTTGAGTCCCCGCTTATCTTATGCAGAAGAGCACCCACCTTTCCACTCTGTCGATAACTTATCACCCCCTCCACACCGAATAAAATCTTCTCCTTCCCCGCAACTCATTCGCATTGCTTCTAGCGACTCTCAATCATTCTCTCCAACTCCAAACAATGTCTTTATATCAGTCCCTCCCGATAATCATGCGCCACTCTCTGCGATGCCCGTTGTTCCCATGCAACGCGTATACCAGCAACATCCATCACACAATCGATTCTTCTGCAACGGCCGGCTACTTACAGGTGGCGATTCTCCTTGGGCTTTCATTGCGTCTCTCACGCTCGTGCTTGGTCTATCTGGCGTCTGGTTTGGAACAACCTGTGTATGGTATTGGCATAATGCAAGTCCCGCTGTCGCGGCGGTGGGAGCGTACATGACCTTGTTGACTATATCCTGCATGCTGACTACGGTGTGTAATTAAGATCGTTCGCGACGCCACTGCTCACTCAATGAATTTGAAGGCCTGTCGTGATCCTGGCATCTTACCTCGTAATTTAGACCCGGATCCGCCTTTCCCTCCTACGTCGCCTTCAGATGATGCTGTCAGGCAACCTGTGCCTCGGTATCTCAAGGTACGCGATGAGAGGTGAGTAATTACCGTCTAGTAAGCCGATGTGTGATGAACACACATACTCAGTGTGCGCAGTCAAATACTGCTCAACGTGCAAAACGTATCGCCCACCTCGCTCTAGCCATTGCAAAATGGTACGTGGTTTTATGATCTTCATAATAAACTGTTACACAACTTCTGGCAGTGCAATAACTGTGTCGACGGGTGTGATCATCATTGTCAGTGGGTGAACAACTGTGTTGGACGACGCAATTACACTTTTTTCTTTGCGTTCCTGGTGTCTGCTGTAAGTACCCTAAACCTCCGCCCGAGCACAACAGTAATATTTCCTAGGTGTTGACGCTATGCCTCGTAATCTGCACATCCGCCTTACACCTCTATCTTCTTACTCGTCGAGATGGTATCAAATTCAGTAGTGCGTTGAGAGAAGGCGCAGGTAGTGCTGTGGCATTCTCGCTGGCTATCACTGTGATATGGCCAGTCACAGCCCTCCTTGTCTATCACATGAGGGTGAGCTGCAAACTTTTCCTCCCATACGCAGTGGTCCGCTCACTGACATGTTTGACGCAGCTATTATTGTTAAACATCACCACTATTGAACAAGTGGGTCGTTGACATCAACTGTCCCTTGATTAGACTGATGGTATGACCACAGATTAGAAACCAAGCGCACAAATCTCTTGTGCCAGGTCCCGCTCCTCCCAACGCATTTTCATATGGCTCATGGCGACACAACCTCATGGAAGTGTTGTGCCGACCAGCAGGACTTTCATGGCTCGATGCTCATGCTCCTGTTACGGAAGACAAGCGGCGGATAAACCCTGGTCTTGAAGATGCTAGCCCGAGGTGGGAAGAGATGGACACTAGAAGAACCGTGGAAGAAATCATCGCGATTTAAAATTGGAAGTATTCTATCCCTTTCTGCTCTTGCAATTCAAATTTTGATTTGCGCTGGAGGTGTGCTTCTATTAAGAGCCTCGTGCAGCGGGGTGTCATCGTATACCTTGAGTGTGAGCAAACTATCAATGGTACGAAAGGAGGGCGCGGAGGCCCGAAGCTCCATGCGTGCAAGCTTCCATTGTGAAATGTTGGTTGAATGAACGCGTTTCAAAATGGATTCATGTGGATTATGACAGCCTGAGAACGTGGTCGCTGCCAGCATGTACGTATACTTAACTCTAACGTTAAGACGGCAGTGTCGTGCGTTGACGCAATTGAGTCAGCGGAGGCGGCGCCGATCAGAAGAGCTTGTGAGGAGCGTGTGGATGGTCGTAGTCCCGCGCGCATGGTAAGGTACAAGAATAGCTAAAGGAGCCCTCGATCGAGAGTCTGCCATGCTGGCCGGAGACTGAAATTGTATCGGAGACTGAAAATGATGACACGGCACTCTATGCCATCACCCTCATACTCGCATCTCAAGTCGTCAACCCCTCACGCGTGTGTTTAGAAACGCAGTCAAGGTGCGGAGCCAGCAAAATTGCAGTCGAGGGATATGTCTCACTAATGGAGTTGTTCAGTTTTTCAGCCATTTAGTCACCGGCTCTGTGGTCCACTGTACGTATAACCTTCGGTTCTATGCCATTTCGGAGCAATTCAGGCTGGTTACAGGAGCAATTATTATAACCGGTTGACGAATGGAACCTACTACTGTACGGGACTCAGCAAACGACTCACAGTCAGTGCCGCAGCAGCCGAACCCGCAATCTGCAAAGCCGTCCTCGAGAAAGACACGGCAGAAGAAACAAACAAACTCTTCGGAATCTTCACGCCCCGCGCCGAACTCATCTAACTCCCGCCGACCACCAGGCCGTCGGAGCAATAATAACGCTACTAGTACAGTTGAAAATCCTCAAACAACGAGTGCTGGTACGGAATTGTTTCTTAAACATTCTTGGTCGTGTTTTTTACATGCTTTGTTGCTCCGTTAAGCAGCTCGGCCTGCTACTGAGCCGCATCAACAAGACGCTGCGCGTTTTCGAGGCATACCGATCCCTTCCTATCCAGCTCCCCTTCATTACATGATGAATCACAATTACCACCCCATAAATCCATCCCCTTTCACCCAACAACACCCTTCCGGGGGCTACGCCCCAACCAGCTCTGTTAATGGCGCCACTGGCCCTGGTATGCCTAGCCACTCCTCTTCTCAGTATTATCCTATGCACCCGACATATCCCCCCGCTCCACATGGCTATGCACCGTATTATCCTCAACAAATGATGATGTACGGTGCACCCCGCTCCACTACGTCAGTGCCAGAACAGCCACCCAGCGCACCGTCACCCGTACCAGCCTCCGCCCCTGCGGCAATTGGTAAGCGGAAAAGAAAGTTGGAGCCCTCGCGTAGCAAGGTGACCGTGGAGAAGGATTCGGATCAAGAAGGTCCGTCGGGAAGTGATGTTCCAGCAAAACGAAGCACTCCCACTGCTACGACGCCGACTGCGTCTGATTCGAAGAAGCGTACAAAAACACAAAGGGCTTGTGATAGCTGCAGAAGTCGCAAAATAAGGTGCGGTTGGGGTTTTCCCTTGGTTTTGTCGGACTCATCCACTCGCTTTTTATCTTTGTCAGATGCGACGTTCTTACGGACTCAGAACCACCACTATGTCAGCACTGCAAACAATATGGGTTTGAGTGCACATTCTTCCTGCCTATAACAGAAACACGTTTCAAAAAGAAAAAAATGGAAGAAGAGGCCGCAGAAAAAGAAAAGGAGAAGTCCACGGACACTCGACGAAATACGTTGTCTCCTCAAGCTGAATCTGGGGATCGAAGGGTTTTCGGTTCGTCTTGAATTATACTTCGTAGTTTTTTCTTTGATCTTATTTTGTTTCAGGACCGACGGCTGCTGTACATCTTCTGCATTCACAACCTATAATTTCTTCCCGGATATACGAGTCTTATGACCAACGTTATCACCACACTTGGGAAGTATCAAAAAACGGCGACGGTGTAATTTCCGTCCAAAATGTTCCAGAGGACGAGAAGCAAGTTTCGCATCCAAAGCCCATCGATTTGCGACTCGAACCTGAAGTCCTCCAAAACCTCCTTAATGCTTATTTCAAAGAGATTGCTCCTCTCTTGCCTGTTGTATCGCAAGAAGAATTCTTGGCGAATCCTTCCCCTTCCCCCATCCTCTTGTACTCGATGTGTCTGGTTGCTGCTGCAAGGAGGGAGGTGCCGCAGAGTGTCTTTGACTCCATTCGATATGCGGTTAATGGCGTGATCAAGGCTGAAGATGTTTTGTCTACGGCCTCTATCGCGAACGTGCAAGCCTTGCTTATTCTTAGTATGATGGGTGATAGCCATTCTCAATTCGTTCCGAATGCTCTTTCGGCACTCTGGATTCGGTTGGGTACGGCGATACGGATGGTAGGCTTTGTGTTGTATCGAATTGCTTTTAGTTTTGATTGAGCGTGCCAGGCTCAAGACTTGGGGCTTCACCGAGCAGAGTCGGTCAAACAGAGCGTCGAACTGCGAAGACGTTTGTGGGGTGCATGTGTCATATGTGACAGATGGTATGGAGATATCGAGATGAGTCTATCAAACGCTGACTGTTTTTGAAGGACGAGTTTGACGTATGGTCACCCGTACATGATTGATGTGCAAGACTGCGATGCTAGGCTTCCCTCATCTGGCGATCCCAATGATTTATACATGGACGAGCTCGTCAGGTTGAGCGTAATACTGGGAAGGGTGCTCAAGACCATTTACAGGTCTGTAAATATATTTTTGTTATCACTGTATGACTCACTTGCGTGACTGTCCATAGCCCGTCTGGCCTGATGTTCACCACGGATGATATGCTGTATAGCCTACTGTCCGACCTTGAGTCGTGGAAGAAAAACCTCCCAGGGAACCTACAGTATTGCGGTCCTGACACACCTCAAGATGCCGGTACGTGATCGCTTGCTCTTGAAGCTTTTCGATGAAGGTCTAATAATACCCCAGGGCTCTTGCACCTCCTCTACTGCTCGGTGTGCATGATTTTCTGGCGGGTCTTCATGCGCATATCCTATGCTTGCCCTGCACATCTGAAATTCGGGTTAACCGTCGAGACATGGACTTCTTTAGTTCGACTGACCGGCGAATCGATCGATTGGCTCGATACTCACGAACGAATGTATGACGTTTGGCTACTAGTCCCTTACGCGGCAACGTCCTGCGCACTTGTCCAGGTTTGTGCTCATGTGGTTCCTATAGTCCTGCGTTAATTATGTTGTAGTACCATACATGGGCAAGGCGGCAAGATGCTGAAGCGGCCACTAAGCTTAGAAAGCTTCGAGATTGCGTTCGAAGATGGGAAGGTTCAATCTCTCCTGACCACATGTCTGCCCGACGAAAGGTAACCCCCACTTTCCCATTACCATATTTCGGCATCGTTGATTGATTCGTATTCCAGACAGCCGAGATTATTGCTCTTCTGTATGAGGCCACTCAGGGTCCACCCCTCCCTCTTGATCAACCACCTCTGCTGAATCCCACGGGCGGCGTAAAGGGCAAACGGGCTTTGAGTGGTCTGGAGTATAAGAAAGATCCTTCGCGTCCTGGTGGAGGTTTCTTCGTTGCGCATGGTGAGGCTCGCAATTATGAGGATCTACCTCGGGGCACAATTGTGACGTCATCTGATGATGAAGTAGAAGGTTCGTCCTAACGAAGCAACTAGAATCCATAAACAGGGCTAAGCGATTGATCGCTAGCAGAGGCCACTGAGAATTCGCAGCGTGGCGGCTCATCGATGGTCACTATAACGCCACTTCCGTCTGCGCGTGGTGATGGGACTAGCTTCCCTAATATGAACCCTGCTTTGAATGGTGTCAAGAGCGACACGCCTAGTAGCGTGCAAGTCCTTAACGTGCTTGACGTTCCGCAGGCATCGAATACGCTGGAGCAATTCGCGATGGCTGATGTTGGCCTCCTAGAGGGCATCCCTGGAGGTATGTTTGACTGGGGTATGTCCTCCGTTCAACTCTAAAATACGTGATCGTGTTTAAATTGTGTGTTAGGTCAATGGGACTCGTTCTTCTCTCGGTTCAATCCATCTGTCGCTGGTGTTGAAAATGCGGGGGGACAACGACAAACAGGAGTAAACGCACCATCGATGGTTCAGTCTGGTCAATTGCAGCCCCAACAGACTCATAGTTAGCATGGACACGACATGCCTCGTGCCAATTATTATTCGGTTCCGAAGTATGCAGAAGCTTTTTATTATACTTTGATGGACTCTTCGTCTTTTACTTGTTTTTCGTTCGCTAATTAAGCTAGCGTGTGTTTTTGTAATCTGTAAAAACCTGCGAACATTGGCATGTCATACATACGCCACACTATATCTATTATGATAACATGAATGCGATGGCTTTTTTATATATTGATGTTGAATAGACCCGGACGCCGTGTGACTCGCTTGCATGTCGAATCTGAATTAACGTTCTGAACTTTAGAACACCACAGGGTGCAATCGGCGATCGTGACGGCCGCCTCATGGCCAAGTTGCTCAAGCTGGCGACGCATTTATGTTGAAACACATACTTGTATATCCTGCAGCTCAGCGCTCTTTCGGTAGGCTATCGGGTGGGATGGGGTCCGAATTTTTGACGTGGAGTGGGGAAGAGAGAGAACGTGAGCGCTGAGACCATTTTGGTGCAGAAGCAACACCCTATCCGGCGGATCACTCTCATGATATCACGTTTCAGATCTGCATGGACAGAGCATCTCTTGCAGATCCCAGGAGGGTCTAAAAAATAACTAATAGGTGGTCAAAGAGTTGGAATGAAACGCATCTTGGTCGGAGCACCAAATATCAAGCGATAGTGAGATGTCTTCTTCCAAAACTTCCATGTCATCGTTATTTAACATTGCATACTACTAGACTATCATAATAACCGCTGGTCGTTTACATCACTAGTGGTGCTTTCTTATGGCACAAATTGCCAGCGATTCTCCAAAGCAACCACCGAGAATCTCACAGTTTCTTCCTACCGTAAAATGCTCAAGCTGCTTGCAGCCAGTCCCGCTCGCGGAGCTCGGTGACCACGTATGTTCATCAGAACCTCCTCCTACCTTACTGTCGCTTCACAAACCGCCCATGTCCCCAAAATCAACAAACTCTCTTCTACCACAGAGGTTACAGAATATTCTTGTTTCTAATAGGGCTGGAGCGCTACAACAGCAGCAATCTGTGACTTCCCGCACCCCGCCCCCTCATGCTTATCCACCCAGGTCTTCTCAACATGATCCTTTTCAACGAATACCCCCAACTGTGCATTATAATCCAGGTACTACTCGCATCAACAGCCCAGCTAGTCCTCCAATACCACAATCTATCCTTCTCAACGGAGGAACATCCATTAATAAGCCCCATGTTCGTTTTCCAACCCAATCCACTTCAGAGCGCGTCACCACTCCCATTCGAATCGCAACTCCCCCCACACCCACCAGGACACGCACTCCTTCAAACACGGGAAGCACTAGTTCCAGATCGCCCCTCGCTGTGTCATCTTTCCCCAATCCTTTCGAAGATGAGCCACGTCAGTCAGGTGTATCTGAACCTGTAGTGGGTCGGTCAGGAACTACATCACTAGCTCGAAGAGACAATGTTCCCATTATACCGCAGGCGCCGCTCCCATCATCCATGACAAGGACGCCATCGAATACCCCTTCTCATACTTCTATCATTCCACCGAGTCTCACTCCGCGTCCGTCATTTGATCGCTCACGAACATCTTCTATTCTTACATCTAAGCCATCGCTGGACAAGCCCCGCCCCTCTTTTGATACTCCTACTAGACCTTCGTTTGATGCACAACGTCCTTCTTTCGACATATCTCGACCTCACCACCCTACCGATGCACGACCGCAACCTGTGTCAGTCCCGCGTCCACCCCGCAGTACTTCGACGCTCCCTCTATCAGGGGGTGTATCCTTTCTGTCGTCTGCCCTTGCGCCGCCGCCACCACCACCCGCAACCCGCTCGCCAGTGCCAGATAGTGAACGTAATATTGACACAAAATGCGGAGGCGAGGCTGGTATGGCTGGCGTTGGACGGAGAGGATTTGCAGCTGTGGCACGAGCTGCGATGGCTGCTGCATCTCATCCTCACCCTGGCTCCGGTCTACACCGGGATGCATCTCTTGCGATGGACAGTCGTCGGGCAAATGCTCCCAAGTATTTGGACCTCAACGCTACCATGAACCATGTCATGCGAGGTGAGCGCCCTTCTCTGACACTTTTTCTTATGCATCTTTCGTGTTTATATTCCCTCACCCCATATATAATTATGTGTCCATCTATCACTGTTTTGCGGCAATGGATTGTACATTAAACTTGTACCTTTCAAAAATGAATTATTTTGCATAACTGTTGGATCACATTTGTCCCTGTTTTTCTCATTTGATACTCACTGATTCTGCCTTTGCAGCCGCAATGACACCCCCACTCTCTCCACACTCGGGACACCCTCATTCCCCTGTCTCTCCTCACTCCACGTCGCCGTTGTCGCCTCTTCACAACACAACACCGACCACTGGGCAGTTTCCGAAGACGTCGTCCACACCTCCTCATGACAAGACTGGGGTGCAGTTCCTCTCATCATCCCCAAATCAGAAACTCGCTCCTCTTTCGTCATCGCCTGCTGACATCCATATTGTTACTCCATCACGATCCCCCTCGCCCATTTCGAATCCTTTCTCACGACACCTCAGCGGAGAGACCGTGAATCAATCACCGTTTGCAGCTGTTCCTGTCCGCCTACCATTTCTCGACGCGTTTGATAAGGAACTTGTAAACCGCATTTGCGATGATTCCGACGATGAGAGCGTGTATACGACACATACGGCCGAACCAGGGAGGGGTCATAGAAGCGGCATAGAACCCATGTCCCCATCGATTGATTCAGAAGCGGGGCTAGCCTATGCAGATGATTCTGACAACGACACGCCTGTGGTGATGCCACTCGATATACGCAAGTCAAACGCAGTGTCTGGGATCAACAAAGTCCAGTTCCCAAGTATCGAAGATAGGCATCAGTCTTCCACAGTTCGGAAGCGGTCATCGCGGAACGCTTCAGCCTCGTCTGCTCCTACTGCATCCACCTCGCGAACGATCGATGCTAGTCCCAGCCGTACGCGCAGCGCCTCGGCTGCCACCCACACAACAACACGATCTACTGGAGCGTTGGAACGTGCAATGGAAACGCTGATTGAGGAAGGTGCATCTGTCTCGGTCCTCGCTTCAGGTTCAGTGCTCGCCTCAATGGCTGGGCCCTCCGGGAGTCGCGCTTCGGGAAAGCCTAATCGATCGAATACAGTACCAGGCCCTGTATCACCGGAAAGCAGACCACCGAAGCTACCAGCGCGGTCCTATACGAGCCCGCACCATCCGCATATTCATTCCGAACGCGTGGGTATAACGGGTCAAGTCGCGCGAGTAGGGGAACGGTACAAGGCAAAGAAGGACCGCATTTGTGCGAGCTGTGATACGAAGGTCGACGATGGGAGGTGGATCCAGATGGATGGCGGGAATATCCTGTGTGAGCGATGCTGGAAGAACATGTACCTTCCCAAGGTATGTATCATGTGTTTGATTGCTGTTTCCATCTAATAAGTTTCATCATAGTGCCGCCGGTGTAATCTTCCCATCGAGAAGCAGGCCGTGTCGTCTTCTGACGGTCAACTGAAAGGCAAATATCACAGGGATTGTTTCAATTGTCACATCTGTCAGGTGAGTTGTGTGGTCTTTACGGCTGTGGTTGGGATTTAAATGTGTCATCTTGCAGAAACCGTTCCCGGACAAGGAATTCTACGTGTTCGATGGCAAACCACTATGTGCATACCACTACCATGAGGCGAACGACTCACTATGCGCTGCAGTCTCATGTGGCCAGCCAATAGAGGGTCCGTGCGCAGTCACTCACACAGGAAAGCGATATCATCCAGACCATCTTCTATGTGAGTTTGAGAACGGCTGCGGAGAGCGGTTGGCAGAATATTGGGAGGTAGATGGTCAGATGTTATGTGAGAAACACGTTGCATTAGCTGGAGGCAGCAGCTGTGCGTCCTCAAGAGGTGATAGTCCTGATCCACAACGCATACGTGACGAGGGACGCGCGAGGAGGCGTATGACGCGATTCATCGACCTCGGGGCTGTAGAAGACGAGAACGTTGACATCCGGTGAACATGATGGACCTTGACATATGCATTAACCTTATTCTTCATTTTTCTTTTCTTTTCTCCCGGATCATCAGCAAGTGTACTCCCACATCTTCCACAAGATATGTTACCCTTTTATTCCCTTGCAATTGATATACCACATTTCTTTTTCTTGACACCATCTCAAAGGGACTTTACAAGACATGGACAAGGCTTTTTGCATCTTCTCTATCTCTTTCGTTATACCAACGACGTCCAGCATTAGGACAGACTTAAATTGATGTTTGAGGAGCCTCCATAGTCATACGTCTAGCTGCATCACAATTCACGTACTCAGACTCGCACTGCAGATAAATGGAAGTTGAGATTTTACGATCGACGCGTGACCCTAATTTATCCTCACGCCAACATCCACTGCATTCATCCATCGGGCTTCACTCTCGACCGAGGCTCAGTCACAATATGTCCTTTTCTTTTCTTGCTCGGTGCTGTGAAACAGCAAGAAGTCCATTATCTTTACTTGGTTCGTGAACGCTTTCTTGTCAACATCCTGTTTTTTTTAACCACCATTGCACAAAGGTTCCGTGCGGACTGCCACCAAACGCGCTGGAGGAACGGTTCGAAACCATGGAGGATCGCCGGGTAAGCGTTTGGGTCTCAAGAGGTTTTCTGGTGCGTCCTTTTGCCACGCATACCCGCCTCGCCAATGCTAGAGACCTACTATGCAGACCAGCACGTCATTCCCGGCAACATCATAGTACGACAGCGAGGAACGCAATTCCACCCAGGGCAGAATGTACGCAACATTCCTACTCATTGAACTGCGATATTCATGTGTTCCTCAGGTCAGAATGGGTCGCGACCATACTATCTATGCCACCACCCCGGGCTTCGTACGATTCTACAAACAAAAATGGCTACGAGGAGACCGGAAGTTTATTGGTGTAGTTCTGCATCGCGGCGAGAAGCTTCCAAGGGATGAAACCTCGCTAGGTCGCAGTCGATACTTTGGTCTCGTCGACTTGACTGCTTTCGCCAAGAGCGGCCCATCATCACAAACTAGTGCATGAGTGGGGTTTGTCTTAGTCCCTGTGGTGGTTCTCCTGCAGTTTTAAGATGTCGGCTGTATAACCATCGTCGCATTTCTACGCCCGTTGCATTCAGCACTATATACGATTGCGTTGGTGGCCGGCAGTGCGCACTTTTCCTTTCAAATAGTACAGGATATTATTTTTAGCGCATCTTTTATATATAGATGATAAATCTCATTGGTATTGCTGCGTCTGTCCCCATCATCTGAGGTTTCTTTCCGACCATCATGTTGTCTCAACTCTCCATTGACCCCATTAGACCTGCAGGTACGTGTCGCTCTAGTGGTGAACAGTCGCTACGCCTACAAAACTCTAGAATTCCCTGATGATGAAACTATCCTTGCGCTTGGTCGTCAAGTGCTGGATACCACCGAGTCTTGGAAAGTAGGCAAGACCTTTTCAAAGGGCACCGTCCAAACACTTTCCCGCGCAAAGGGACCAGGGGACGGAGCCCCTTGGCACTGCAGAGTTTCCAAGCACACCAAGGAGGATGCGACGTTCGATGAGTTTTGGAGCAAAATTGGCGTTAACAAAGCTGAGAACGAGAAGCAGTGAGTTTCCCGTCGTCGTTCAACCACAGCATGAACGTCCCTGCGATCAAGGTTCGTCTCTGCGATCAAGAAAGTGACGCTAGTCAAGCGAATCTCTGAGACTCAGTCCATCTGGACTTTGTACTACACTTTCCCTCCCCCTGTCTCTCCGCGTGTTTTCACAGTGTTGCAAACAATACACTTCTATGAGTCGGCTCCAAGAATTGGGTATGACTACTCGAACCTTTTCGAGCGTCCTCTGATACAAAGCATCTAGTATGGTAGTTTCAATTCCAGTTGATTTGTCTGGGCCAGGTGACGAAGATCTTGCCAAGCTTGAAGAGAAAGGCACGAAGGGACGATATGTCTCTGTCGAACGGTTGCTCGAGTTAGATGACGGCACAGTAGAGTGGCGAATGGCGACCTCCAGTACACCTGGAGGAAGTATTCCGAATTTCGTTACGGAAAGCAGTATGCCAGGCCAAATATCTGCGGTGAATATCACATCGTCTTATGCACCGTGAATCAGGACTGATGACCTTACAGGATGTTCCTCACTTCTTAAAGTGGTTCCATACTATTCGCAATCAAGGAACTGCATAACTTGATAGCTGGAATTAGATCGGACAGTAGATGGGTATACATATACGCGTGTTCAAAGGCGAGAGACGCAGTTCTGCATGCATTAGCGTTGTGCGAGCTCAGCACGATCTACACAATTATGACATCAAACATCGCTGGGAATAGATTTCGAGTGAGAGGTGAGGTGTAATAAAGATATGGGAAAAAGGAAGTTCTGAGTCGATATGGGATGGTGTAACAGTACGAGTACTGTAGAGCGGCGATGAGATATCAAGTCTCGCGCTTTTCATCGCGTTCACGTTCAAGTTGCTCGATCCTACGGAGATGATCATCCCTTTGAGCTTTCACCCTATTAAGATACTCCTCGTCGGATATTCTACGACCAAACATAGCCAATATTCGGTCTGTGAGTGATTTGGGTGATTCCGGGGCAGCAACGGGCAAGGAGTATGTTGAAACAGGTACCGCGGGTGTGACAGGTACAGGCTGTGTATGCACCACTCGGGATACGTGAGTTATCCTCAGAATGTCGAACTCGTTGAACGCCCATTGGAAGAGCCCGCACATCACAGCGCCCGTCGCTAGACCAGGAACAGTTCCCGATCTTCCACCTATAATGGAATGAGAATTGTTGAGAGATATAAGAGAGCGACTCACGTTTCCAAGTGTTAAGGATGCTACCAGCCAAGGCTCCGCTAATGCTAGAGTCGAGTACTTTACGAGAGCGAATGTCACCCCACGTTAACCGGGATACGTTGGTGGGAGCCCCATCTGCGGCTTCCTCGAGTCTCTGTCTGCGCTGTTCGTACTGTTTTCCTGGCATCGACAAGACGAGTACAGGCCCAACTAGGTACTCTCGTATGCCTGGATGCATAGTCAATTATGTTGGATATCCGAGGGAATGCGCATCATACTGAAGAATGTTGCAGATGCAATGCCGCTATTCAAAGCTGAAAACAATAATAGAGGTCCTGGTGGTTGCGATTTGACGACGCCATACAACCCTGCAGTCAAACCGCAGACAGTAGCTGAGGAAGACAATTGTCAGCTTTATTAATCTGAGAATGGCCATGGTGGAAGACGGACTCGCATGTTATGAGTACGCCTTTAGCTACCGTCTGTGGGGCTGAAGGATCCATCTTCACGTTGTATGCAACGAGTCAGTTGCAGAGCAAGAGCAACTTGCTGAAAAAGTGGTTGCGACCCCCCAAACAGGGGTGAGTCTGTGAGTTAAACGGGCTTGGACTTCGCAAAATGTTCCTTGTGCGGTACTTGCATAATGTTTAAACGTACTGCTGCTCAAGCATGGCGATCTCGCCGCCTGCACTCCCATATTTCACATACGGCACAAGCAGCTAGAGCACGACCTGCTCGGTCTGTAGTAATAGCTTCTTCTGCGGCTGCTACCGCGGGCCTACTCTGGTATTCGTTTAGTACTACCATCCACAACGATGCTATCATAACACCGAAGCCAGAAGATATATCCAAGTCCGTCCAGAAATCTTCTACATCCAGCACCGGAATCACAGAAGACGACGGGAGCATATGTGCAGTCATATGGGGTTCCAACCAGTGAGCTGTACGATTCAATGTTCACTAGATGGCAAACTCATGTTCAGGTACAACGTAATCAACCCAAACGAACCCGGAGTCCAACGGGTACAGTACCCCGTAAATGCTAGTTGGCTAAAAGGCGTCGCGCTGCGCGACTTGGCACTTCATGAGCGACATGCTGCTTGTGTAGATGCAAGGGGAGATGTATACCAGTGGGGTGACGGATTCTTTGGCTCAAGTGCCACATCAGAATCAGAGCCGCAGGGACCGAAATTGACGTTACGTGGTCATGTAAGACAGTTTGCTCTCTGAAGAAGGCATTGTTACTCAGTTTATGACTTGGTTAGAACATCATCCAGCTTCAGCTCACCGAATCTCGAATATATGCTCTATCGGCCTCGGGGAAAATATATGTCATCGCGGCTAATGCAGAACAACAAAAAGCGCCCCCTCCGAAGCAACTTCCTGCTGGTACTACGTCCTTGTGGGGACCCGGCTGGATATGGGGAGCGCAAGGAAATGCCATTGACTTCATGGAGATTACACCTAAGCAAAAACTCGGTTGGGGTGAACAGTGCGTATCAATCTGCCATCCAAGACTATGAGCTCATACCAACCTAGGTTCGTATCCATTTCAGCAGGCAAAAACCACCTCTTGGCATTGACATCTTCTGGTCGGACAATGGTTCATCCCATGAACAAAAACGCAAACACACATGGTCAGCTTGGTCTACGGAAGTTTGACATTCCTACTTCAAGTTCTACCGACGTCGTCTCTCCGTCTCGCATTCCCATCGAGCTAGTTCCAAGGGTAGTGGCTGACCCATTCGCCACAGCTTCTCCTTTCTCGCGTTCCGTGGCGTCATCTGTGCCGCCTTCCACATTCACCAACACTGATGGAATAGATGATCAGCACATCAGATTTTCAGATGCCCTCTTTGAAATTCCCTCTCTCCAAGGCATCAAGGTTTCTCAAATTGCAGCTGGAGGTCGCACCAGCTTTGTAATCACAGATTCAGGTAGGGTGCTCGGCTGGGGAGCGAATGAGTTCGGGTAAAGAAACCTATTGACATGTAAAAATTCGCTAACACTTATTATTTTAGTCAGATTGGACTGGGTGGAAACATGACTCTTAACACGATTATACTGCCGACAGAAGTGGTCCTGTCGAGAAACGTACCCGGTTCTGTCCGCACTAGATGCATTGACATCTCCGCAGGCAAGTGAGAATACCAGGTCTTTTGCTGTCTATAACTAAATTCATTGCGCAGGTGGTGATCTGACATGTTTCGTCGCCGAACGCACGGACGGGGAATCCTTCGTCTATGTGGACCTTCTGACCTGTGGTAATGGACAATGGGGAGGACTTGGGAACAACCTGTACTCGAACGCCCAAGGGAACCCTGTCCGCGCAAAGAACGTCAGCGGTCTCCGGGAATGTCAGCACCTCATTATCACAACCTTATATGCACTCATAAGCCTCTCATAGACAACGAAGCTAGCCGGACCATGTCTCCCATCCTTCCCCACGCTATCTCGGTGTCTCCTACCGGCCATGTCCTGCTGACTTTGGATACACAAGCGCATGGGGGCCCGGGTGGCTTGGGTCGGGATCTGGTCGTCTGGGGAACAAATCACGACTATCAGCTTGGTACTGGTAAGAGAAGCAGTCTTCCTGTGCCTACCACCTTGGAGCGTCCTGAAGGGGGTCGATTTATCCTGGGTCAACGAAAAGCTCCGGTGATGGACCTTACTGGTAACGTATGGAAGAAGAAAGTCGAGGTCGGGCAGTGTGCAGTCGCGGGGTACGGTAATAGTATTATATATTGGAAGATCAAGTAGATAATCGAGAGTGGGGATGAATTGTAGTCTACCACTTAGTCTTAATAACATGGTTCTTGTTGCACGTGAGTTTCACATGACCGTGACGCGGTTGTGGCGCAATGTAGCTTACTCTGTTAACCACCATCACGCGATGGCGAGGGACCTTCAATCAAAAGATCCTCAGCTACAAGAATGCATGTGCGCGAACGATAACATCTCATGTTTCACGTACATTGACGCCACAATCTTGAACTCTTCAATACAGTAAATTAATCCGGGAGATGACAAGCATCATTGATCCTGCGGATGACTACCTCACAATAACCGCAGCCGAAGAGCAAATGAAGGTCAATTATGCCCGAGGAAAGAAAGAGAACGAAGAGGCGTATGCAGATTTGAAAGGTATGGTCATCTCTACCGTACTCACGACTTGCCAGTGATCACCATCCTATTCCAAAGCCTTGTCTCGCGTCTTGGAGGCTGCCAAGAAATCTTCAATGCGACCACCGAACGTGCCCTCTTTGGAAAAGCACGCATCCCATCTCAACGACCTCGACGGATCCAGGCTGTCCTTAGCCAAGGCTATCCGTGACGCGGAGGGCTCTCTAGCTAGTAAAGAGGCTGAGCTGGCAGCCTTGAAAGAGCAAGCGCGTTCATTAGAGGAATCAGATCCTGCCAAGGATCACCAGACTCAGCTAGATGGCTCTGCGTGAGTACCATGCTGCATGACATGAGAGCGGGTGATTGACCACGCTGCTTCTCTAGATTGCGCTTGAAGATCTACAGAGGGTTGGGGTTCGAACCCGTTCTTGACAAGGACGGGCGAGTGACCAAGATGCTTGTTCGTGAGTGTATTAAATTTGAGTTATCCCTTGGAGGCTTGTTCTAATATCTGGTTTAGGCAGCGAATCTAATGACATCCACTCCTTCCCGTCCGATGGAAGTAAATCAGATTTTGATGATGCTGCTCAGCTTTGGAGGCTGGCAATCTCATGATGATCTTATCTATTACTACACAAACTGTGATGGTTATGCGTATATCTATTTTATTTTGCCCCTCTTCCAATGTCAAGCTTTGATACCAATGGACTATGGAGTGCCGCTTATTTGCGGTCACTCACTCAACGAACCAATTTGATTCATAGGATATAATCTACATGAAACAAATTATTGGTTATACGCAGTCGACGGTGCAGGTTCCGGACCACTGTACGAGATAGAAGGTTCCATATGCTTCCTCCCAAAAGCGAAGTAATCAAAACCACGAACACTTAAAATGATCACAGTAGTTCAGGGATTATATCAAGAGGGAATCGACGATCATAGTTGTTGCCCTTCCCTGATAACCCATATTTTCTTCTCCTTTGACTTCTCAGCCACCTCCCGTACCTTTGCCTCGATAGCATTCTTTTTCACTTTGTGCTCACGAAGCTCCTGGTGAACGCTTTCCACGATAAATGTGAGGTTTGCTGTCGCTAAGGTCGTGATCTTGCTGATAAGAAAAGGGACGTGTGCATCGGGGAATGTGGTCTTCGGCGTGGACGCTGGGGTAGCACGCTTGTTTGCTGAAGCCTGAGCAGCAGCAGCAGCTGGTGACTCTGCAGCGCTGTTGTTTCCTAATAGTCGATTGGGTAGGGAGGGAATTGCGAACTTAGACTCATAATTTGGTTGCTGACTTTCTTCGGCAGTCTTTGCAACGAAGGTGAAGGGGTCGATCGGGTATGGCGTGTCTGTAACAGGCGATCAGAAAAGGTTCAGAGAACTCCGTGAAGAACGTACCATTAAATAGCTGTATGCGGTATGGTTTAAAAGGATCATATTCACATTGACCTATGACCGACTCCCACAGAGGACCTTTGGTATAGGGGACGAGAGGGACCACAATCTTCCGCTTCTTTTCAGGCTGCTTGCTAAGAGGCTCTGCTTTCCTCTTGGGAGGGGGAAGGGGTATGTCCAAGAGTGAAGGTGATAGGTCCCGGTCATCCGGAACAATTTCAATCTCATCATCATCCACTAGCCAGCTTTCTAGATCAGAATCACCCTCCTCGCCGTCACCCTCGTCGTCGTCGTCGTCGTCAACGTTGTCCGCATCTGCTGCGCCTTCATCTTCCCATTCCTCTCCAGAATCGTACCCGTAATCTCGGGCAAGCAAATCGCGAGCGAAAGGTGATCTGGGACCAACGATGCGCGAGTTCTTCGTCCAAGACCCATAGTAGCCAGGACGCGCATCTTCATGGAAAATCAAGACCTTCGCTGGAAGTATCTTCCTGTCCCAAAGAATGTCTGATAAGTAGCGAACTTGAGATGTATCCCCAGCTATCTCAGCATCATTAAGCTGGGAATATATATCTTTCGCGTTACATGCGCTGAAGGATTTGAAGGAGGATTTCGATCGGTTGCAGGGCTTCGTGAGCCGAAGAGGCCGCAACGACCGCATAACATCCTGGAGACGCTCTGTATATAATATCAGTGACATGATCTGGAGTGCTTCGTTGTACACACCTTGCGCATTGGCTTCGGCATGATTGAATACCGGTGTGCGATACACGAACACATCAATGTCATTCGTCCCCGAGGCTTGGGCATCATCGACGACGATAGCGTCTGCAGGGCTGAAACCCGAGGTCTGCTTCTTCCAAGTTCGTTTGCTAGGCTTTAAGAACCAGTTCACCGGCGCCATTTCTGCGTCTTTCTTCAAGATAAAAGGCTTAAACGTCTTCTGAAAATCTGATTCGCTATTGGAAGCCCCGCAAACGGGTTTTGAAGGTGACTCGCGAGGAGGGGCCTTCGCCTTGCCGAAGAAGTTAGCCATAAGAGACCGGGATTTGTCCTGGGTCGCCTTTTGCTTCTTCTCTTTCTCCGCCCTGGCTGCTTTTTTCTCTTCCTTCTCTTTGGCCTGGAATCACAAGCGTCAACTGAATAAGATTGCTACACAGGAGACTAGCGTACCTTTGCGACCTTCTCTGCATCTGTAACTTTTCGCTGTCGAGCTTTTGGAGTTCCACTCCCGGACTACCCAAGCTTCTTAGTGAGTCAGTGACATGGGCAAGGGAGAGGAGAACATACATCGATATTTTCGGGTTCGTTGGCACTTACACTCGGCTCGCGCTGGGACGACGAGTCCTTGAGCTCCGCTGCATCAGCCTGTTCGGCGGTTGCATTGCTCGGCGGATTGGGCTTATTGGTGTCTTTAGTGGGGAGCTTGTTGATACCTTTCGGATCGAGGATAGCATCCCGCTCATCCTGCGGTAGACTTTCGAAGACTGCGCGAAGGTCTGTCTTGGCCTAAAAGAGATGTCAAGGAAGAAATCTGAATTCGAGACAATACACACCTGGACACGTTCAGCTATTCTTGCCTCGGCTCTCTCCTTAGCAGACTTGGGTAACCAATCCCGATAGTCGTCTTTGACCTCCCATCGCCAGACGCACACAATAGGAGGGAGTTTGTATCCAATGGACCATCCAGGCCATAATTTGTCCTGACCATGAGCGACTGAATGGTATGTTCTACTACAATAAGAGGTAAAGCAACTGATATGCTTTCGCGTGAAGAGTCATCGTCCTCATCGAAAGACGGCAGAAGTTCGGAGCGGATATGCTTTGCAAGCGGAGTGACACCCTTCTCACTAGATATAGAAGTCAGTAACGACCTACATCGGTCGTCATGTTACAAGCTGACCTCTCTTGCGCAAGCTTCACTATCAGTGGTTTGTGTTCGTCTGGAATAGCAGTAAGTGGAGGGTTCCTGCATCTCAATTCGCTGCTCGAGCATCTCGCGGAACTTGACGATTTCTACGAAACATAGATCTTAGATCGAACGCTCTCGAAACGGTAGGAGAACAGACCTTGCATCGCTTCTGACGACTTCTCAAATGATATGGACTTCTGCTTGAAGATAACTTTTCCATTTTTAAGCTCGGCAAGAGGTTTCTTTGCTGCTATACAACAAAAAGACGCGTCTGGGTGAGTGCATCAGGGATAGAACGTTGGTCGATCGTGCTCACCGGTAGATGTTGATGCACTGAAAGAATCTGACGGAAATTTCAGTTATAAAACATATTATTTTTTGTGCAAGACATACCTTTTTTCTCTGTATCTGCCATTTGTGCAGAAAGATTAGAATCACGAAGTAGTCGGAAACTAAAAAGCGCGTGCTTTAGCCCAGTCGCGTCGTGGATGATTGTGACCTATTGTGATGTGGGAAAACATTTGCCGAGACGTGTTCGTGACGTGACAGTCACGCGTTTCTGACGCGCTTCATCTCGCTCCGCGTGCTTGAGATTTGAGGAGACAATTTCTAAAGAACATCCAAAACTTGTTCAAGGATGGAGTTTTTTCAAGCAAAGTCAACATCAACAGCGTCGAAGCATTCTGTAGACCCAGCACATCAACCGTGGGTAGAAAAATAGTCAGTGTGTTCTCTTTACTTCGTGTGAGGCTTCTCTCATTACATGCAGTCGACCAAAGACCATAGATGATGTCTCAGCACAGGAGCATACAGTCGCAGTACTGCGGAAAACACTGGTCTCGACGAATGTATGCAAGCCTTTCTCACTTATGACATGATTCTTCCTCATGCAATGTAGCTCCCTCACATGCTGTTCTATGGACCCCCCGGAACTGGTAAAACATCCACCATCCTCGCGCTTGCAAGGCAACTCTTTGGGTGCGGCTGATGTCATTTTGATTTGCCCAAACTCACTATTCTGCCAGACCCGATAACTTTCGAAACCGAGTCCTCGAGCTCAATGCATCAGACGAGAGAGGCATCAGTATAGTCAGAGAGAAAATCAAATCATTCGCCCGTCAAACACCCCGAGCACAGGCAATGGCATCAGATGGGAATGTCTATCCCTGTCCGCCATATAAAATCATCATTCTCGACGAAGCAGATTCCATGACACAAGATGCGCAAGGTGCATTACGACGTATAATGGAAACCTACTCCCGGATAACTCGTTTCTGTCTTGTTTGCAATTATGTGACAAGGTGAGAGCACTTCTGTTTCTCCTTGCAGCTACTGACTGCTACAAGAATCATCGAACCTCTCGCGTCTCGATGTTCAAAATTTCGTTTCACGCCTCTTGATTCGACATCTACTTCATCCCGACTCTCTTACATCGCAAGTGCAGAGAAAATTGACGTTGATCCCGATGTCATTTCCACCCTGATCGAGACCTCTGGTGGTGACCTACGTCGTTCTATTACATATTTGCAATCTGCATCTCGATTATCTTCCTCCACCAACCCTCCGGTGCCAATCACGCCTCACGACATCCAGGAGATAGCAGGTGTTGTCCCAACTGCTGTAATAAACGATTTTGCGAGGACTCTCGGTGTTCCCGTCGTCGAGGACATGGATGTCGATGACTTGCCCGCAAACAGGAAACTAAAGGGTTTCAATGCCGTCCAGAAAAAGGTTAAGGACATCATGCGAGAAGGATACTCAGCATCACAAACTCTTTCACAGGCTAGTGATCTATCAAAGCAGTTGAACTTGTCTAACATTGTTGTAGCTTCATGACACAATCATTCTGCACCCAACGCTGCCTGCACGACAAAAAGCAAAGTGTGCTCTCGCTTTTGCAGAAGCCGATAAGGCTCTGTGTGACGGTGCTGACGAAGAACTATGGGTACTCGAGGTCGGGTTGCGTATTCACAAAGCAGCTACCACCACATCATGACGTTCTAGTGATACACATACCATATTATCAGTTTGCCATCCCATGCCAGACATAATGTAGTATGGATACGAAGAAAAATGCATTGCGAATACAACGCCAAATTTTGGTATGCAAAACAGGAAGAATAACAGACAACATGATGGAAATACTACGCTGCTCTATCTTGCATAATACGCATCAAAATCATTATCAATCACCGGATGCCAGCAGTTGCCTTTTGAAGTGCCCGCTTGATGGCAAGCTGCGACTTTCTCAACTCATCTGCTGTTGAGTCCTCAATCTCAAGCTTTTCGAGTGCGCGGGCAAGCTCAGTCTCGACCTGGGACTTGGCACCACGCTTGAGCTTCATGCCGATCTCAGGTGAGGTGATAGTGCCCTCGACCTGGTGGATGTAAGCCTCCAGGTCGGACTTGGCCTCGTGACGTGAAGAGAACTCCTTGTCAGCCTGCTTGAATTGCTCAGCGTCCTTGATCATCTGGTCAATCTCGGCCGATGATAGACGACCAACGGAGTTGGTGATGCCTGAACAAAAGTGTTAGTTGCAGAAAAAATCTGAAGACCGCCACTGACTGATAGATGCCTTGCGGCCAGAAGCACGATCTTGTGCGGAGACCTTAAGAAGACCGTTGGCATCAACCTCGAAGGTGGTAACAAGCTCGGCCTGTCCACGAGGCATAGGAGGGATACCAGTCAGCTCGAATTCACCAAGCAGACGGTTATCACGGCACTGGGTGCGTTCACCCTCATACCTGGAGGTTAAAACGTCAGCGTAACGTTGAGATATATTAGTGTGCGCCTTACACAGGGAAGGTGACAGTTGTCTGGTTGTCCTCAACAGTCGTGAATGTCCGTGACTTGTTGGTGGGAATGGGAGTGTTACGGGGGACAACGACACCGAAGACATCGCCCTGCATAGCAACACCAAGCGAGAGAGGAGCCACGTCAAGAAGAAGAAGGTCCGCAGTCTTTTCTGAGGTCTGGCCAGTGAGAACAGCAGCCTGGACAGCGGCACCGTAGGCAACAGCCTCATCGGGGTTAATTGACTTATTCAGCTGGCGTCCACCGAAGTACTCCGATACGAGAGATTGGATCTTGGGGATACGAGTGGATCCACCGACGAGGACGATATCATCGACCTTCTCACGAGGCATTTTGGCATCCTTGAGCACCTTCTCGACGGGTTCAATGGTTGATTTGAACATAGCAGCATTGATCTCCTCGAAACGGGCACGAGTGATGTTGGCAGAGAAGTCCTCACCCTAGTTGTGGATGCATCAGATAAAATCCAGCTTCGAGTTCGCACATGACATGCTAACCTGGTACAGCGAGTCAACCTCAACGGTGGTCTGGGTGACACTCGAGAGGGTGCGCTTGGCACGCTCGCAAGCACTTCTGAGTCGTCTGAGCGCACGGGGGTCCTCAGAGATATCGTGCTTTGTCTTCCTCTTGAACTCATTCTTGAAGTGTTCCAAGAGGGTGTTGTCGAAATCCTCACCACCCAAGTGAGTGTCACCTGCGGTGGCCTTAACTGCGAAGACACCACCGCTGATGTTGAGCAACGAGACATCGAAAGTTCCACCACCAAGATCGAAGATCAAAACGTTTTTCTCCGCTTTCGATTGACGATCCAAACCGTATGCAATGGCAGCGGCAGTGGGCTCGTTAATAATACGGAGAACGTCAAGGCCAGCGATAGTTCCAGCATCTTTGGTTGCCAAACGTTGTGAGTCGTTGAAGTAGGCGGGGACGCTGTTCATTCGCATCTCGGAACAAATTCACAGATGGTACTAAAAGAATAACTCACGTGACAACGGCCTTGGCGACAGTCTTGCCGAGTTTTGCCTCCGAAATCTCTTTCATTTTAGTGAGAACCATCGACGAGATCTCCTGGGGGCTGAAAACCTTCTCCTCGCCAAGGTAGTTAACCTTAATCAAAGGTGAACCCTCCTTCTCTACGACCTCAAAGGGCCAGTGAGTCATGTCCTGGAGTGACATATTTAGCATCTCATTTCAGTTATGGATCCTCATACCAACCTTCTTGACGTCGGGATCACTAAATTTTTCGCATGTTATCAGGGCCATCGATGGACACTTCATGAGACACTCACTCAAAACGACGGCCGATGAGACGCTTGGCATCAAAGACTGTGTTGCGGGGGTTCATAGCAGCCTGATTTTTTGCAGCATCACCGATTAGACGCTCCTCCGCAGAGAATGCGACATATGAAGGAGTTGTCCGGTTACCCTCTGCAGAGCGCACACAGATAAATGTGCGAATTCGCCGTACAACACAGAAACTTACGATCGTTGGCGATAATTTCAACTCGATCATTTTGCCATACACCCACACAGCTAAGAAACGGTGTAAATAGAATGACCATGGGGAATTGTGGGTACTCACGAGTATGTAGTGCCGAGATCGATGCCAATAGCGCCGTCAAATGCGTCTTCCATTTTTTAAAGAGATAAACGAAAAGTAAGGAGAGAGATGAGCCGGATGATGGTGATGGGCAGAAGAGCAATCGAAAAAAATCGATTGCGCAGCTGAAGTAAGCAGCCTGACCAGTGGTATCAAATTTTGCACTGCCACCAGCACGATCCATTCTTCGACATGTCTACCAAGGCAGGTCTAAGACCATGGCTTTCTGCCACAAGATGTATGCGTAGAAGCCAGCTTTCGGCTCTACAGCATAGACGAATGTATTCACTTCTAGTGAACAACCATTTCCTCTGCAGTCACCAGATGATTGGCAGCTGTTGCAAGACCGCCGGATACGTTTCAAAATGCTCGGTGAGTGTCTTTCTTCGTGTGAGAGACTAATTTTTGCTTATTATCTTGTGTAGTCGATTTATTCAGCAAGCATGGCTCCAATGTGACGCGAGATAACGCTTTCCAACCCCACCACCAGTTGCACCGGCCTCTCGCTCCGTCTGAAGCAACATTATCCGCACTAATAGCTGCCGGCGCACATTTTGGGCACGCTAAATCTTTGCTCAATCCAAATTTCATGCCCTACGCGTACGGCGTTCGCGCCGGTATCACCATAATTGACCTAGACTCGACCCTCCCACTGTTGCGGAGGGCTGCGAACCTCACTCGCGCTATCGTTGCAAGGGATGGCACAGTTGTCTTCGTGGGCACTCGTCCAGATCTGCGCGCTGTTGTGCGCAAAGCTGCAGAGAGGATTGGACCGCAGGCTTTCCATGTTGGTGAAAGATGGCTGCCTGGCACACTTACGAACAAACTGCAGCTGTTTGGGTCTGACGTCGCAAAAGAGCAGCGTGTCACACCCGACCTGGTCATCTTCCTAAACCCCCTGGCAAATATCCACGCCATCCGCGAGTGCGCAATACAACATATTCCTACCATTGGCATTGTCGACTCGAACGTCGATCCTCGCGTGGTCATGTATGCCATTCCTGCGAATGACGAGAGCCCTCGAGCAGCAGAGTTAATCGCAGGTGTTCTCAGCATAGCCGGAAGAGAAGGGAGAGTTTTGCGAGACAGAGAAGAGCAGAGTAAAGAGCTACGACAATCTCGATACATGCGTGCCCAAGAACGAGGTACTACGCGATATGTAGCTGACAGAGATTAGTTTTACTACGTGCGTTCAACGTTGTTATGAATATGACGCTTGAACCTCACTCCAGTATTCTGTATCCTCCTTCAGTAAACACGACACCACAATTTAGTAACAAGACTTACTCTCTGCATCACTCAGTGCTCGTAGATTACCCCCCAGTTTGTTAATACTCTCTACATACTCCTCTTCTTCCACGCTGTCAAAAACGATGCCTCCACCTGCCTGCAAGTAGGCGACCCCATCCATGAATGTCATTGTACGAATGGCAATGCATGTGTCCATTGCATCATCGGCGAAGTCGAAACGTCCGACGCCACCGGCATAAACTCCCCTCCGTTCACCCTCTAGTTCGGCAACCAGTTCGACGGCTTTGATCTTAGGAGCTCCCGATACAGTTCCCGCGGGGAATATGGAGCGGAAAGCATCGAACCTGTTAAAAACTGTTGGCAGTTGCCGAGAACACGATCATCGGTGAAGTACCTTGTCAACCCGTCCCTCAGCATTCCCGAAACTTGGGACGTCAAATGAATGACGTGACTGAATTTCTGCACCGCCATAAGATGATCGACTTTCACGGTCTCTGCCTTGCAAACCCGATTGACGTCGTTTCTGGCGAGATCAACAAGCATGATGTGTTCCGCCCGGTCCTTTTCAGATGAAAGGAGCTGTTTGCAAAGCTTGTCGTCCTCTGCAGAAGGTGTCAAGATAGCTTTCCCAGTACAAACAATAAAACTAACCTGCTGGAGTCTTTCCTCTCTTGACGGTTCCAGCAATGGCATGGTTGTAGACCTTGTTTTCTTCCACTTTACAAAGAGTCTCCGGACTGGCGCCGACTATTTGTAGCTCTCCACAGTCCAAATAGAACATATAGGGGCTAGGGTTGACCTGGCGAAGATGTCTGTATGCATTAAAAGGGTGTAAATTTGTTGGACGGGCAAGGCGTTGAGATGGAACTGCTTGGATGATATCACCGGCAACAATGCGCTCCTTGAGCTTGGTCACAAATGACTCGTAACCTTCCTTGCCTATGTTGGACACGGCTTGATTTCCTAACGTAATTGGAGGCTGCAGTACTTCTGGAGTTGTGTTACTCAGAAGTACTTTTGCTAGCCGACGGATTTTCGACTGAGCAGTTTGATATACGAATGGAAGGTTCGTGGTGCCGGCGTCTTTGGGATAGAAGACATGAGAGACGATCTTGATGGACTGGAATAGGTGATCGTAAACGAGGAGGGTGTCGCAAAGCATAAACAAAGACTCCGGGATAGATAAAGGATCACTGAGTTCTCGAGCAGTCTTGGGCTCGAAGTACTGTATACATTCATAGGACACGTATCCAATTGCGCCTCCGGTGAAAGTTGGTATTTCAGGAATTTTCACATATTGGTGAACGGCGAGCTCCCGTTGTAGAGCAGAAAGTGGATCTCCCTGAAGTTCCTCCTTTGGTCCAGTTTTTATGACCTTCAGTGGGTCTAATGTGCGTCAATTGAAAGCTAGTAACATCGGGTGGGTACCCTACCTGCGCCGACAAAACTGTATCTGGCAATGTTCTCTCCCGCAATAACCGACTCCAGCAGGAAGCTGTACTTGGAGTCTTTGGCTATTCGGAGATACGCCATGCATGGTGTAATAAGGTCTGCAGGAAGCTGAATAAATATTGGGACGCAGTTGCCTCTCTTCTCGCGAATGATGAGCTGTTCTACAGCGGCGAGCGATGGATACGCTGTAAATTTCTACAAGCAAATAACATTAGCGTCTAAGCCTACCATGCAATGCCAAATGAAGACTACCTGAGGGTCCATTTTAGTCTCGAGGGCTATGGTGATTGGAGCATCCACCGTTCAGCCTCAGGCTGAAGTATAAGTAGTAGTATGTGGTTACTGCTTCGGTCCTACAAATGACAAGTCCGAGTCATCGCACCGTGTGGATGATTCTGAAACTTGGTTTGATTTCGTCGTTATCGCATCAAATCTGGTCTCCAGTAGTCTAAGAAAGACAGTCATTCCGTCTACTAGATCAAATCCTAGGATCGGATATATATTTACTGGGTTTTTCACGAAACCTGAACAGCCATTTCATCTCGGTCTTCAACCTAGTCAACTTCGGTCATCGCAATATGATAACCCCACGGTTTTACTGTACCCAAACACTTGAAGCAGTGGCAGTATCAATTTACTGCCCATCGGTGAGAGTACGTCTGCGCAGCACTTATGGTCCCAAGCCTGATCAATGAAATCCCCGAAGTAGGCCTCTGATGTGGAGATCAATGTTGATGAGACTTTGTTGACCGTTCACATCAACCCTTATTTTCTTCGTATAAATTTTCCTCATTCAGTCCTCGACGACGACCAATCCTCTGCAACCTATGATCCAAGCAGTGGATATTTAACGGTCACACTGACTAAAGAGACGAAGGGACAAGAATTTCCTGACTTGGATTTACTAGCAAAGCTACTGGCTCCTCGTCATGTCGAAGTTCCAAAACAACCGGCTATAGAAGTTATCGGGTCTGAGACTTCACCACAAAGCGAGCTGGAAGAACTTGTGGATTTAACTGATGCAATCTCGCTTGAACAACGGGAAATATTGGAAGGTGCGTGCGATGACTTCACACTTCAATAAATGTCGTCAAACCATCTCCCAGCTGCTGAAAACGACTGGCAGTTTCCCCAGACTATTGCAGAATCCTCTTCTCCATTACAACTATCCACGAAGAGATATTATGGGTTCTTGGATATGTACACAGGATACTTCACCCACGTTGCTCACACAGAAAATGATGTCAATGAACTTGGGAGTGATGCTGAAAGTTGCTTACCAGAAGAACGACGAGCGAAAAGATTGCAACATGAAGAAGTGAAATGGGATGAGGAGCATTATATGTAGGATCCCTGAACAACACATCAAATTGATCGCTCATCTGCCCCCTCCTTTAGGGCGGACTATGTGGATGATGAGTGCATTCAAGAACTTCTTGCCTGGGAAGACCCCGAGCTTAGAAATGCTGAATGTATATTCACCGAGAGCGAGAATATGACGATGCTCCATTTACCGCGCAAAGAATGTGAGGGATGTTTCCGCTTTATTTCATATGGACACTGAGCATATTATGACAGACCTACCTACAAAATCACAGCAGCGAAACTTGTATCTGACACTGTTAACCTTGTTATTCGCATATGCCTATGACAGGCGCACGACACAGCACGACCCCACCCCTGAAAGCGCCTGGACCATATGCTCACTCATACCTGCGTTTTCAGCGCTGGATCCCCCTTCATACGTATCTTTAGAAAGCGTTCCTCTGTCTATCCCCACGTCGGGGTTCACCGATCATGACCTCGCTTCAGCTTTGATGCCGTCTTATCGGCGTTCTCTTGCGTTCCCTCTCTATCGCTCTTTCGCAATGGCCGATGCTTGTCGGAATGACGTAGCAGCCATTTTGGCGAAGGGCAAAAGGATGGTCACGCGTTACTTATTGGAGATGAAACATGTTTTGGACCATCATGAAGTATATTACGTGTATAACAAAATCTGGATCGATGACTTCTGTGTTTGGATCCAAGCATCTGCGAGGTGCGGCGTCCTTTTAATTTTCCGATATTATGGCTAGTATTTATATGAACATCTTTACTTCTGCAGCGATGAGGTGTTGTTCGACATCGCACAGCAATTGAAAGCTCTGGCCATTACAAAATCGATGATTGGCTGGAACATCGAGAAGTTAGAAGCTGCAACCCTTCTGGACACTACTAGTGGCGACAGTGACAACGAGTCCTCTGAATGACCTTATGAGGAGTCGTCTCGTGTTCAAGTTGACACACTACCTCGTAAGCATATTTAACATCCTCCATTGGGTTCGTCTTCTTACTCAAAAGACTTTAGCAGCTTGGTAACAGCATGAACATGTTTTGCTGGCGGGTGAAACATGAACCAAATTGGTACGACTTTCAGACCCACGATGATCGCCAATTTAAAACACGTTGTGTCCGTCGATTGTATAACCTTGTAAAATGCAAATAACTTTCTTGCGACGGGATCGATGAAACTCCCAAGGGGCTCGGTTCGTACATGCTTATCGCAGTAATCAACGGGCAAGGCTATTAGGGTGATTCTACTACCCGAACGCGCGAATTAAGTACAATTCCGTGTAAACCTCCTAGGGAAGTATATATATATACTCAGTCGCTGGTTAGCGCGATTTCAGGTTCGGCGGTTTTGTACATGCGCCACCTTCACCGCACACACGCAGCGTTGATAAGTGGTTCAAGCCTCTTTTGAATGAGTGATAGAGTTTGCCAAGGTGCTTAGTAGTTCGAGTTGAATAGTGCGCTTTCTGTTCGCGCCCGTACCTTCGAGAAGCCTTGACTCCACCGTACTTATAAGTTAACGATCTGCCTCGTGTTGGTGGAAGAACCTGTCGAAGCCAACCCATATCCAGTCTACAACGTCCATCCTCTTACTGATATGAGAGAAGACGGGAAGAGTAGTCGTGCAAATTGCCGAAATTCGCCGCTTGGTTCTCGGCGCAAAAGCTCGCTATCACTACAGATGATGATCAAAAGTCGCTTCGGGGAATTGCGAGACTTGAAAGGCACGAGGCTTTCTTGACCTTGTTCCATTGTTCTGTGTATCCAATAAATGCAGCGTGACATCTGATCCCTGTCGAGGACCATATGGTGCTTGAGTTTTTGTTCACATGCGGGTCCGTGAACGGCGTCTTTAATAAACGGCGGTACGCATCAATTATGTGGCGTCCGCATCAATGCATGTACATGGATCAACGTATTATGTGTAAATATCATCTTGATGAATCCTCAAGCCTCAATCTTCTGCTGACGAGACACCTTGCGCATGAACTCTGACATCTTTCGGCAAAACATCGTAACCACTTTGACCAAGGTCAACAGGAAGAGCAGCAGTATCGTCCAGATGCTGTGACGCGAGTAAGGCCTCCCCTTCTTCCGCTTCGCCACCTACCGTCTCTTCTACAACCAAGGGCGGGTGGAGGAAAGAGGGAGGATTGACCAAACCATTGAAAAGGAACTAGAAGACCGCGTTAAACAACCACTATCATCAAAACGTTGAGTAAAGACGTACCGTGCCATACCTAGAATATGAAAGATTTATGAGCGCCACGTAACAACTATATGAAGGACTTCCTTACACCAAGAAGGAGAATCCTAGTACTTGCAGCAGCGAAATGGGGAAAAGAAGTTTCTCCCAGCCTAGCGCGAGGCTGACTAGCCAGATTGAGAGTGTTCTGCAGGTGTCGGTCAAACTTCTCGCTGTGGCGCTTACATGCCTGGTGACACTCAAGCCGAAGTAGTTAAACAAGGAGATACTAATCGCAATGGCGATCCCTGACCAAAGGACACTAGGCGTGTTCACCAATTGGTACCAACCCCTAGGAAGGTCAAAGAAAGGCGAACTAGAAGCGATTGACGGCATAGCCAGAATGGGTATGCACATGATGATGGAGAGGGTACCGAATAAACCCTCGTAGCCCACAGCAACCAAAGGTGCCACGGAGTAACGGGCCATGATCTTCTCTTCCACAACAAACTGTGTTGCCGTACTAGGTGGGAGTTATTCTTAGTCGGTGAAGTAAGGGATGATGAAATACTTACAACACCTGGGCGAAGAGAATGAAGAAGACGCCTATGTATGATGAGTGTAAACTCCCATTAAAAGTAATAAGATGTCTGACCAACGAGGACTTTGGTGATTTCAGGCTCTGACTGATCGGTACCCAAGAGACGCAAGGTGGGTTGTACAACGTCTTTGATAAGCGAACCGCTGTATCCTACTAGCGAGACACCGGCCATGACTGTCAAGAGAGAGACCCATCTATGGCGAAGTTAGGACTATGCGACGGGAGAAGCAAAGGACGTACTGATAGAGCCATAAACGACGGTGTAGGAAGATGACACTAAGGGTGCCGACAAAAAGAACGAGAGCTCCACGTGTCATCTGATAAATGGAAACGGGAGTATAGAGGAGACCGACATTCATAAGCTGTTAATATCCATTACGAATGGAATTTGTTGTCAGCACATTAATCGATAATGAGGACGAGACTAAAACCAACGGATTGCAAGGCGAAATGGAAAAGATAGAAGATCGACGGACCGTTGTTCCGGTGAGATCGCAAGCAGCGGGTAACCACAAAAGAAGAATTTTCCAGCCTCGTAGCTCTTCACAAGTTTCCTCGATTTTGCCGGACTCATGAACGTCTTCTTCTAAATCTGACGGGAGAAATACGGGTGCAGTACGCTGACGTGCACGGAGCCACGTATAAATTACAGGGAGAAAGCCTAGATGCAAAAAGTGAGATATGAATAGACGGACTGCCTATTGGGTACTGACAAAGCATTTCGCCGACTAGCTCGGACAGTTAGCTTAGAACGTGGTACAAACAAACACAAGGGCTACGGACGGAACATCTGCAGAGTTTGCCATACAGGCTGCTCGTAAAGAACGTGCTTTGCAGGGTTGGAGTCGCTACAGTTCTCCACGCATTGCATGTCCTACCCTGGAGGTGAATGCTGTGTCTCTGAACGCGAGGCTGAACATACCTGCCACTTGGTCCACAAAGAATTACTCGACCCCTGCAACGCATGAGCTGGTACACGTTTGGGGCAGTAGGATACATACCGTGATTATCATACCCGCAAGGAGAATGGGGATGTAGAACGACGAAGGCATGGCTGGTCGGTCGTCGAAGGCTCTGCCAAAGAGCTGCAGGTTTCTAAAACGAAGGGGTGTGACAAGTAGCCGGCGTGACGATACCATATGCAGTAATAGGATGCCGGTGCTCCGTAGATCTGGATCAGAGATCGGGAGATCGTGTCGCGATGCTCTTGCTTCTCGCTCGCTGTCATGAATATTAATTCTGGTATCAGTTATTGGCCACTTATTTATCCCAATTGCTTCTGGGCGTCTTTAAATTCTTCCTCCATCACTCTCTTTTCTTTCACTCTTTAAATTGCTCATCGTCGTAGTCAACCTCAACACCAACCTCAACGTCGTCCCAATCGCCCTTCATGGTGAAGCTCACACTTCTCTCTCCAAAAGGCAACAATGGCGTCCGCTTCTTTCCCTGCAGTGGCTATCTCGGCTTGACACCTCTCAAGTTTGAAGGAGGTCCGTATACCTTCCTGTGAATTCATATCGTCCTCTAATATCCATTCATTCAGTCGTCCGAACTGAAATCGAGCAGGATGGAAAACATCTCCCTGCCAAAGATATAACAGTCTTTGTTCGCTGTTATGAGTTTCGTCACGGCCGCTTGGGCACAGTACAATCCAATATTTTGGTAGAGCACTCCGTCTCGTTATGGAGGAAACCAGACAGCCAAGACTGGGCAGATATAGGAAATGCGGAATATCCATTCCGCCTGTCCATGCCACTTCATACTACTGGACCTAGCACAGCTCTTTACTTTCAAGAGTATCGAATATGTTGGCGAATCGAGGCCGGTATGTGCTTTCAGCCATTCAATGATTCGTCTCTTACGTTGTTTAGTCGTCAATCACGCTCCCATTCCGGGTGTCGGTTCTCGCTTGCTTAAACATTATGATCTCTATTTGATCCGCCATAACTTACCAGGAAATGTATCTCCTCATTCTCCGGTAACCCCGCCCCCAACATCTTATCTATCCACCAAGTCTAAAGGTCCTTCACTCCGCTATCGTATCATACTACCTACTAAACCCGTCGGCCCCCTCGACATCGTTTCTTTACAAGTCACCGTCCAACCACTCGATCAAGCAGTATCCATTCGCAGTGCGACTGCCGTCGTTGAAAGAAGAATACAATTCTCCGAGTTCCCGACATCGCCTTCTGGTACTTTGACACCATCGGCCCCTACATTATCGTCACACTCATATCCCACATCAAACCAAGAATCAAACTCTCATGATCGTCACTCTGTCGCAGCGAACTCCTACGACATTACATCCGCAGCGTCATCCTCCAATGATCTTCACTACCTTTCCTCAACCTCTTCCTTGGTATCTGACACGCGACCTCTTCTGCCACAACAACAATCATCAGTGCCTAGTACCTCATCAGTGACTCACACAAGCGAACGAACAACGACACATATTTTTGCTCATCTTGAATCTTCCCATCGCTTCACTCGGGATTCTACTGGAACCTGGCGTCAGACTCTCACATTTTCTTGGCCCGATACCAGTCCCAGTAGCCGATGGACGGTTGGAGAAACGCTTCAGACCGGCATGGCTTCTATCAGGTTTTTTATTCGCGTAAAGGTATATTGCATATTTTCCCCTTGTTGTTTGCCTAATCATGCGTTTCAGTTGATCGTCTCCTCCCCTAACTCGAGCGCTGAAACGGTCGAGCTTGATGACCAAGAAATTATTGTAGTCTCGACCAACGAGGCTCAGCGTCAATTGGCTCTCTCACGCTATTCCGCCGCAGGGCAGTCCAAGTCTAGGTCCCCCAAACGATCAAAGCGAGAACGTCCAAATACAAATACTCAACTACCATCACCGCCTCGTAGCCCTCCTGCAGTCGCCGAAGTACCAGAAAAAGCGCCCATTGCACCTAAAGGCGGCCATGAGCATGAAATACCACATGGACATAGTCACAAGTTTTCTTCTGTATCATCCCCACAATCCGGAAGCAAGTACAAGCTGAAGTCCATACGCAGACCCCACACTTCTGCCGGGCCCCGTGACACGCCACATGGGTACGATTCACGGGGATATAACCCTCCTCACAATCATAACAATCGACACCCTGTCCCTCTGCGCCCCGAAACTGCATACAGTGGACCCACCACTAATGGACGCGGTACTCATGGTGCTTTCAACCAGAAGTGGGTGGAAGCTCCACGGCTTGGTCATTCTAGTTCAAGCGCAAGCTCGGAAGGAGCCCACTCGCCAATACCTGAAAGTACTGCTCGTGCAGATGGTAGCTTGTTGTTCGAGAAAGTCGGACAAGTAGAGATGCGTGCGTGGGAGGAAGAACTAGCAAGAATAGAATTGGTGAGCCGCAGAAGTACTGCGGATATGATGGATTTTGTGTCCCAGCGGAGGAAGCTGAACGGCCAACAAGTCATACGGACTTTTCTGCAAGCGGAAGGCTAGTACACGGATTCTCTGCATTCTACATTATTTATTGCCACCGCTTTCCGCTGTCATGCTTTCCTTCTCTAGCATAGGTTCTCTCTGCATAGTCCTTTTTTCAACCATCAATACTATCATCGACTTCATAGTCTAGTAGCACGACTCACTGTAGAACGTCCAACTCTACTATCACTGCATACTTATCAAATTCGTTGGCGCATATCCTCGGATACTGTTTGATGGATATCGCAACCTCGGTTTTCCAAGGCAGTTGATGGGTATACTTGTGTGAGTGCGGTGGTCCAGGTCCCGGAGTTCCAGGTATGATGCGCCAATGATGCTAAGATACAAATAAGTAAATACTGGGCTTGCACCTGGCCATGCCTTCGGACCTTACTTGATAACTTACCAATCGCAAGAATCTCACACAATGAGTTTTCCGTGGTTCAGGATGACATTACTAGGAGGCAGTCGTGAGTCTTATCTCGAACTGGCAAATACAGAAGCTGATTGTAGTTGGGATCTCGGCGCAATGTGGACTGTTTTCGACGCACATGATGCACGGCACTTCGCTGCGCCAGTGATGGGTCTTGGTTATCTTTTGATGAGCGGTTCGTATTCTACTACCATCACCCGGGGACCTTCACCATCTGATTCGCCCATTTTTTTTGGACGACTCTGTCCTGTTCCTCCTGATTGATTGAACGTCACTGCCTTGTTCTTAATTTGTAGCGACCGTGCCTACACCTGAACAGACATATGCCGTGAGTTCTTTCCCTGTCTTTCGCCGTTGGCCATGCTGCACCATTCCAATTGTTCCGAGGCTACGGCATACTTTGCATTCGCGTTCAGTAGAACCATGTCTCACCATATGCGCAGGCGATGTCACCTGATTTGCGGCGAAAGGTCGACGCAAACCGTGCAGCCAGACTCGTCCAAGAGCAAATCATAAAACGTCAAATAGATGCTCAGGTTAGTATTCTACCGCATGCTGTGGAGTGACAACCGTCTTATTCAATTTCTATACAACTAGAGCAATCCAGATGCGGGAAAACCTATTTGGGCCGACCAACAAAATCGGCGGTAACTTTGATTTTCCTTCGGCATCTCTGCTCGTCAGAGCTGAGCTCTCTTTCTTATTGGACAGTATGCCACGTATTCATTCACCGCATCATTTGTAATGTCTATTGATTTCGGTACCGCTTGACGACTTCTTTGGTTGTTCTCCAGACCCGCCGTGAGACGACATGTACACTGGACAAGGGAAGATGCCGGCAAGATATAGAGCCCTAGACTCGTGACCAGTCCGTCTATGAGGCAAACACGAGTCTCATTGCACCCGCCCATGAAGTCCTTTCGCCGCAATAGTGAGAAACATCTCACCATCATTCCTCGGGCCGCAGATACATAGATGAACCCAGGTATACGCCATCACCGAGTTTAGCCCACATGATATTAGGATCTTCCACGAAGGTTGACCGTTGTCGACTTCCGCGGCAATTATGCCATAGTATGAGAGCGGCAAACAAAATCAAATTCATGAAATGACATGTCAGATAGATACAGTGTGATGTATTCAACAGGCTGAAATGTCAAGCTCAAAAAGTATGCAAACATTAAGAATTACGAAAGATGCTCCCCCAGGATCTATAAACGACGAATGACACGATAGCTAACACCACCCCCTGGTACCACGCAATTGGTGATCATCAATTAGCGGCCTTTGCGGCAGCCCTGGCTAAAACCGAGTCCGTGTTCAACAACGGTTGCTCCATTGACGATTCTGGTGAAGATGGAAGTGCGTCATAAAATGGCTGTCCTAGAGTATTTGAACTGGAAATGGAGGACGATATGGAGGTCGCACCAGGCGTCCCTGCGGATGACTGCATGCTGTCAATATACATGGAAGCATTCTGACTTGAAAGCTCGGTTACTCCATCGGGCACGGCCGATGTTGTGGAATCAACAGTTCCATCACCAATTATCGGGGATGAAGTGCCCGGTATCAGGCATTGTGGGTGGGCTGAAATCGAGATTGCCCCATCACTGCGAGTAGCGCTGGTATCAACGGGTGTCTGCGAGTGAGATGAAGAGGTTGGTTGACCTGCTACAGGGGTCATTGCCCGACCACCACCGCGATTCGCTTCGGCTATTGTCTCTCCCGACTCCAAGCTCCGGGCGGCCAATGGGATATTGGAAGTGCTGTTCCCTACTGTGTCTGTGGTCGTCTGATCCTCACTCGACCGACCGGGAGTATCTCCCTCTGCATGCCCCCCTGAAACAACAGCAGCAGCTTCCTTCCTTCGCTTCTCTTCTTCTTTTCTCTGCTGTTCTTCATGCTCCAAGAGTGAGAGGCGCATAGCCTCCATGACCATTAACTGAAAAGGGATATCAGTTGAAATACATCAGGGTACAAAGCTAATACCTCTTCCAAATCTTGGCCACCAAGCCCCATCTGACCCAACAACTGGCTAATATCCGGTTGACCACCATTATTTCTATGTCGCCGACTTCTTCGACTTGAACCGCCGTCTACTTCACCCCCGTCCTGACCCTCACCGGTCGGTAGGGGATGAACACGGCCACTGGTCACACCAACTGGGATGAGTCTGTCTCCTACTTGACGCATGATTATTCGCCTATTTGCACGGCGCGTAACCGCAGCTCGAACAGCGGCAAGTTTAGCCTCCCAGTCTGGCCTTATAGAATCTATGGCACAGGAAGACATGATGATATGTGACATTTGAACATGAGTCACTTACCTGTAGTGACCACTTCCGGACTATCGTGACCAAAGCTCTTACGACGTTTTTGAGCTGCACTGGGTATATTCTGCTGCAAGCCTTTGGGAATGTCCGGCCATACCGGCAGTGACTGAATAACAATGAGCAAAAAATGAAGTTACCTCGTCAGTTATAATCAGGAATATGTCTGAGGAAAACGAACCGTTCCATCGCTCCCGATTCCAGTACGCCATGGAGGAGGTGTATATACGACACCAAAATTCTCCTGCACACAATATGGGCATGCTGCTGGCTCAGATACGAGATGTGTAGCCGTAGGTTCGGTCCTCTTTATCTGAACAAAACATTCTGTGCATATTGCCTGATCGCAGCACCTTGAATGGTTCATGTTAGGGGGGTAATACTGAGGCACAAGTTACTCAGTGGTTGCGTGACGCACGTGAGAGATAACGCACAAGGAAACATATTGGACATTCTACAGCACCTCTGTAAATGGCAGCCTCTGGATAACGGGAGGGCTCCTTCAATGCACCAGGCCGCTTAGACTGATGAGCTGGCTTTGTGCAATCTCGCGAGTCGACCCTTGTAGGGGGAGTGTCGGAATTGCCGCTGTCAGTATCTGGAAGGACCCTCCTAGCTGACATGATCTGGTCATCATCCCAGTTTTCATTGTAATCTTCTAGAGGTCGATAGAAAGGGGCAAGCCTGCGATCTACGATGAGCTGGGTGACGATCCCATGATTCCAGTCTTTGGGCCCAGTGTAGACGCCCTGAGGAGCGAGATGACCATAGTCAACGGTGTCGTCGTGATGGCCGCGTGAAGACGACGAGCTGGTGTTGCCCATGGCTTCAATTCCAAGGACGATAGCGTGTTGGCAAGTTCAGAGAGACCAGCGAAATTGAACGGCGAGACCGTTGTATGCGCGACTGTTCACTGCCAATTAGGTCACCGTAGTGTATTTACTTGTGTTTGTGTTTGGTGGCAGGTTGACGGCCCGAAATCGTTATCTCATGAGCTGGCCATAGCCAGCCAAGCCTAGTAAGTAGCTGAGCTGCTGGCCATTAGGCTTTTCTGTGAGGACATATATGCATAAGGCCTAGCAGATTCATAAATCTAGAAGATGATGCTGACAAGTAATATTAGAGTTGCGCCTTTAATACTAGAGTTCTGGCCCTGCCGACTTTCACCTTGCTCCATGGCACGCGGTTTTTCTACACCCCCATTTCACACATATATTGCGAACGTACTAGCTAGAGTCTGGAAAACTACAGGATGATGTTGACATACAAAAGTGTCAGCCATTTTGGTGACCGGTGATACCATTACTTAGTAGAGATACTCGAGTCATGATCAGAGACGAGACTTTGTTCACGCCTTGGAAGAGTTGGCACATATGTTATGCATATGGCAAGTGGGGAATGTCAGACTCTGGGTGTGCACAACATGCATTATATTCGGGAATAATTACGATCACAACATTTGAATATGACCTTACCCCGCAAGGTGATTTGTGCGATGGCGTGCTTGTTTATATGTATTACATGTATCATCAACTTCTTGCTACCGTGTAATGTAACATATGAACCTAATCGACAGATGATGCCGCCCGCGTTAGAGATTTCGAGCGCGCAACTCACAACGTTCGTGAGTCCAGCGGTCCTCGTGGTCGACAACTTGCGCAAACAAATGGGACACGTCAGCAAATTTCACAGCGACATAGCAAAGCAAATTCCTGTGCTTAAAGGTGTTGGGTCGTGTCTGTACTATCTTTTCTTTTCGTTATGACGGTCATGGAGCACCCTTGGACTAGTACCCCGGAGCATGTCCTGGAGCACTTTGGTGTTGACAGTTCTCGCGGATTAACTGCAGCTCGCGCCGCAAAGCATGCCGAAGTGTATGGAAAGAACGGTCAGTCTGCGTTGTTCATGCATTTTGTTTTGGAAGCTAACATCTTGTGCAGAGCTTCCAGAAGAACCTCCGACTCCACTATGGGAACTTATTCTAGAACAGTTCAAGGACCAGCTAGTGATGATCCTCCTTGCGTCAGCAGTTATATCCTTCGTTTTGGCATTGCTAGATGACTCTGAGGATACCACCTTATTTGGAGCATTCGTTGAACCCACTGTTATATTGCTCATTCTTATCGCGAATGCAACTGTTGGGGTAATACAGGAAACAAACGCGGACAAAGCCATAGAGGTAAGTTATATTGTGTGATCTCGTGGCGCACCAATATTTAACTGTGTTCGTGTAGGCTTTGAAGGAATATTCACCAGATGAGGCTAAAGTCCTCAGGTCTGGCCAATTGGCCCACATTCATGCCTCTGAACTCGTTCCAGGTGACATCGTTTCGGTTTCAGTTGGCGACAAAATTCCAGCAGATTGCAGAATCTTGTCCATATCCTCTAGTAGCTTCAAGGTGGACCAAGCCATCCTCACTGGCGAGAGTGTTAGCGTGAACAAGTCGGTCGACGTTGTCTCTGACACAGGCGCCGTGAAACAGGACATGACAAACATGTTGTTCTCTGTAAGCGCTCTCCTTACCTTGACGTTTAACGAGGTATTCATCATTATCTAGGGTACTACAGTAGTCAATGGGAGTGCGCGAGCCGTCGTCACTTTCATTGGCCAGAAGACCGCTATCGGCCACATCCATCATTCAATCTCACAGCAAATCAGTGAAAAGACTCCGCTCAAACGCAAACTTGACGATTTCGGTGACATGTTGGCCAAAGTAATCTCCGTGATTTGTGTCCTGGTATGGTTGGTCAATTTCCAGCACTTCTGGGACCCTGCACACCATGGTGTAATGAAGGGCGCTATCTATTACTTCAAAATTGCCGTGGCTCTTGCTGTGGCTGCTATCCCAGAAGGTCTTGCTGCTGTCATTACAGCATGCTTGGCTCTAGGAACGAAGAAGATGGCGCAGAAGAACGCGATTGTCAGGAATTTACCAAGTGTAGAGACCCTCGGATGTACCAATGTCATTTGCTCGGACAAAACAGGCACTCTTACCACCAACCAGATGAGTGTTTCAAAGGTAACGTACGATTCACTGCCGTATGAGATGCATCTCACCCAATCTTGCTACTCAAGTTCCTCATCATCAATGCGCAAAGTGGCCTTCCACAAGACCATAATGTTGAAGGTACAACTTATTCCCCACAAGGCTCGATCACTTCTACCAAAGGAAAGGCCGTGAGTCTGCAGTCTGATCCCATCAGACGTCTCGCGGAGATTAGCGCTATCTGCAATGATGCGAACATCGTCTACAATTCTGTAAGCTCTACCACACTGCCGATCGGTGTTCTCTATCCTTATTGGTGTTCCTAGGACAAGGCCTCGTATAGTAATGTGGGGGAGCCGACTGAAGCTGCATTGAAAGTCCTCGTAGAGAAGATTGGTTGTCCGGACAAAGAAATATCCGAGTCCCTCTCCACACTTTCGCCGTCCGTAAGGGCGAGTGTAGTGAATGAGTACTATGAGCGCTCCATCCCGAAGCTACTCACCATGGAATTTTCACGTGACCGCAAGATGATGTCTGTCCTTGTACGACTGAATGGAAAGGGTGCCCTTTTTGTCAAAGGAGCCCCCGAGTCTGTATTGGACCGGTGTACTTCAGTCATGGTGCACGGCAAGGTTATTCCATTAACTGCAGAGCTACGTAAAATACTCCTCGCGCAAACGGTTTCTTACGGGTCCATCGGTCTCCGCACTCTGGCTTTCGCCTACGCAGACGTTCAAGACGTTGATCCCGCTCACTATCAAAGTCAAAACACTAGTGATTATTCTCGTTTTGAACAGGACCTGGTGTTCGTTTCTCTGGTTGGAATGCTCGATCCTCCAAGACCGGAGGTCCGTCTCGCTGTTGCGAACTGTAGAGCCGCTGGTATTCGTGTTATCTGCATCACTGGCGACAATAAGGGCACTGCAGAAACGATCTGCAGGCAGATTGGGATCTTCGGGGAGAATGAGGACTTGACTGGGAAGAGCTACACTGGCCGGGAACTAGATATGCTCAGTGCTGAGGAAAAGATCAAGGCTGTACAACGTGCTAGTCTCTTTACTCGAACAGAACCAGCACACAAGAGCCAACTTGTTGATATCCTCCAAGGTCTCGGGCTGGTTGTAGCGATGGTTGGTCAGCGTACTTGACATCTCCGACACTAACTAACACATCTCTTTCTAGACTGGTGATGGTGTAAACGACGCTCCAGCGCTGAAAAAGGCAGATATCGGGGTCGCCATGGGAAGCGGTACTGATGTTGCTAAACTGGCTGCCGATATGGTGCTCGCGGACTCCAACTTTGCGACTATAGAGCTTGCGGTAGAAGAAGGTAGACTAATATACAACAACACTAAGCAGTTCATCCGATACCTAAGTACGAGCAATCCACTTTGTCCCAGTCGTTCTTGCTGACCATTTCTAGTCTCGTCGAATATTGGCGAAGTCGTCAGGTAGGACCATATACTGTTATCGTCTCGAGTAGATACTGACAGTTTACCATAGCATATTTCTGACTGTTCTGCTCGGCATGCCAGAAGCCCTTATCCCAGTACAACTCCTGTGGGTCAACCTTGTTACAGACAGCTTGCCTGCCACCGCCCTTGGGTTCAACCCATCAGATCATTCTATTATGCGGGTTCCTCCAAGAAACAGTCGAGAGCCTCTTATTGGAAAATGGCTGTTCTTCCGTTACATGGTCATTGGCATTTACGTCGGGTGTGCTACCGTGTTCGGATATGCGTGGTGGTTCGTCTTCTACTCAGAAGGGCCGCAGATCACATTCCATCAACTTGTATGTATTGCCCTCACTCAAACATCCGTTCCATACTGATGAGTCCGACAGACACATTTCCACCAATGCTCTACGCTCTTTCCAGAAATTGGGTGCGAGATGTTCACGAACGTTATGGCGCATCGAGCTACAACCATGAGTCTGTCGATTCTGGTAACGGTAGAGATGTTTAACGCAATGAACTCGCTATCTGAAAACGAGAGTCTACTGCGTTTACCCGTGTGGAAGAACCCGTTCCTTGTTGGGGCAATAACTCTCAGCATGGCACTTCATTTTGCTATTTTGTATATTCCATTCTTCACGGTCAGTCTTCCACGTTAATCTCACTAAATTTGGCAAGTTAAATAGTTTGTTCTTAGGTGCTATTTCAAATAACGCCACTGAACTGGGCTGAATGGCAAATGGTTTTGTATCTCAGCTTTCCTGTGATTGCCATCGACGAGGTCCTAAAATTTGTGACAGTGAGTATTAACAGTTTGTCGTGTTTTTTTCCCATACCAAGCTCATTTGTTCATAGACGATGTTTATCGACCCTCCCACCCAAGTGGAGCTCAAATGATGGGATCATATGTCGAATTACGAATGTATCAGTGTAGTAAGAATGAGGGCGGCTAGAACCCTAGAACTTACTAGTAATTTGAGAAAGATAGTTGTGCTATATATCGCTGGGCAGGTACTGAGTCTCGAATTGCGACATATTGAAGGGCATAGCAATTGATATAGTACTCGTGGACATCATGGTAAATCACACGCTTGCCATTGTTGCAGCCCGTTGCGACTCGAACATCGGAACAATCGGCAGTGCCCTCATTCTATTTTAAGGGCCAATCAAGCTAGTTCTTGGCTGGGGCCGCTGGGCGTCTGAAAGCCGTAAGTGAAACTGTGTGATAGTGACTCCGTATAATATATTGTATTTCAAGCGTCGGCTCGCGTTTACTTTCTGACCATCACCTTCTGTGTTCAAAGTTTTCACAGCAACGACTAGTCACTCTTTTTTCGGTTTTCCTGCTTGTCGAGTCTCGACCCTCACGCTCTCTACTTGTTTTCTAGGCTGACTGCATGCGCTTCTTTGCTCAGTTGTCAGTGTTATTGTCGTTCGTGCTATCATGGTACTCGGTGTCAGCCAGTAGTGCTCACCAAGTCAACCGACGCCATGGAAAGCGTCTGGATTTAGACCTCGCCGTTCGGGCGCCAGGAGATGTTGATATGTACAAACGCGATTACGCCAATTCCCGTTTCACATACTATGCGGTCGGTCTAGGTGCTTGTGGTACGACAAACCAACCTGGTGACTTTGTATGTGGCCAATTGAAATTATACAATTACTTGAGGCTAACTTTGATTGCCTAGATTGTTGCACTGAATTCAGCGGTAAGAATTTCAAATTTCCGCGTTGTTGTAATGCAATTCAGTGAAATTTTCTAGCAATTCGGCAGTGGTTCATATTGCTACCAAATGATCACGATCACTGTCAACGGGTTGACAGCGCAGGCTCAGATTACTGACGAGGTAAAGACAACGAGCCCATCACGATACTAGTTAGATCAGTCTGACACCCAACATAGTGTCCTGGATGCCCCTATGCCGGCCTTGATTTTTCGCAAGGCCTTTTCCAGTTTTTCGCTCCACTTGGTGACGGGGTGATTTATGGTACATGGTCCTTCGGTAGTTCCCCTGCTCCGGCACCGTCACCCACATCCACCTCGCAACCGCCCCCACCGCCAACCACTACTTCGCAGCCACCGCCACCGCCAACTACAACCTGGACCCCGCCTCCCCCACCTTCGACAACCTCGAGTCCCAGCCCTACACCATCCCCATCTTCGACAAGCTCAAGTTCATTCAGCTCCAGCTCCAGCTCCTCAACCTCAAGCACTTTTAGTTCTTCGCTGTCTTCAGCGTCGAGCACAACAAGTGCTGATTCTGTAGTGCAGACCGCTGGGTCTGTTCCTGCATCTGTCGGAAGCTCTTCCGTTCTCATGAACCTCAACTTGGCAATGGTGTACCTTGGCGAATTTCTTGGTGTCGCTCAGACGTAATATTAGCTATTTCAGATTCGCAGTCTGCTGCGGATTTATTGACAACAGTATGGCGTTGCTATATCTACTTTGCGGACATTTCTCGAGCTCGTTAAGATCCAAAGGACTTATTCTTCAGCCAGACGCTGCTATACCCACATAATACCGTACATCCCATTGCCTATCCAAATTTTTCGGGGGCGGTTTTAGGCAAGTACTACTCGATGGTACTGTTATTACTCTTGAATATTGAATACCAGACTGGTTTGGTAGTAACTTGCGGGTGTCCCCGGGGTCCTAGTGTGATAGCGGTTGGTATGAAGAGATTTAACTATTTTCCGTTGTAACATAGACCACTCCCTTCTCTAGGCTGCTTCAACTCAAGTAACAAAGCTGTAATCTTACGAGCTAGTCATTCCCTTGTGTATACGCTCTTTCAACTTCAGGTCCAACGCAGATCACCCGCACCGGGAACTTGTGCCATTCCTGCCTTACAAATCGCGCAATGCGGGTCACTACGATTCTCGGTTTTTTCTCTGCAATCATTCCTTTCAGTTTCGCTAACACTCATGGCAACCACTGGAGCAGGCGTCACCAAGAAGTTGCAATCCGCGCCCGTGGTGATGTAGATGTCCATAAGCGTTCCTTCGATAATGCTCGGTTCACCTTCTATGATGTCGGCTTGTGAGTCCCATCGATGTGCCTTATTTGAAAATTGCTCATCACTTCCTTTTTTCAAAGGGGTGCTTGCGGAGACTACAGTGCTCCCAGTGACTTTGTCTGTATCGATAAGATGTCTGAATGGCGTCCTCTTCTCATATCATGTGTCATTTCTAGATTGTGGCGTTAAATGTCGACCAGTACGGCAGTGGATATCCTGGCCCAATGTGTTTCTTGTCAATTACAATTTCTTATGGTGGAAAAACAGCCCAAGCTGTTATCATGGATGAGGTCTGTATTTGACTATGTAATTCAATGCTGTGACCTCACCCAAAGACGGCTAGTGTATGGGCTGCCCTTACGGTGGACTTGACTTCTCTACCGGTCTTTTCGACTACTTTGCATCCGAGTCGGAGGGTGTGCTCTACGGGTCATGGTGGTTCAATAGCGATAGTCCTACTACGTCTACCAGTTGGACCCCTACTACCACCTCAACGTCCTGGACTCCTCCTGCAACGACCTGGACCCCAGCGACAACATCGACTCCTGATCCTACCACCTCCTCGACTTCAACGTCATCATGGACGCCCCCTACGTCTTCATACACTCCCACCACCACTTCTACTTCCACTTTCATTTCCACTTCCAACTTCAGCTCCTTGGCCTCTACCACCTTTTCGGCCTCATCTACGTCCATCAATTACAGCTCAGGTGTGGCCAGTGGGATTGCTGTCCCCACTGGGTCCCCTGTCGCTGCGCCAAACAGCGCTAACCCCCAGAATCTCCTGGTCTTGAATCAAGCCATAATCGATATTGGGATCATGCTAGCAGCTGCAGAGGACGGAATTTAAGGTTGCCCTCTTGGACATTTCATCTGGACACAGATTGCAGGACTGCAGTGTCTATTTTTATTACAATATTTTGCTCGGTTGCTTCTTCATATTTCCAACAGCTCTTCTGCACATATCGAGCTCGTAGATCTGTTGCAGTGCTGTTTATACCCTCAACGTTTCATTGCATAAATATGCCGACTGTGAACTTGCTAGTTATATGTTCCCGTAGTCATATGTAAAAGTCATGTTGTTGTCCTTTGAGTTGAACTCAAATCATGAAGTACAGTGGAAACAAGAGAATGATGCCATTTGTCGTCGTAAAATACAGGTCCATGCAACACTGAATGGATGGGAACCCCCCGCAAATTAGTTGGAAAAGCCGATTAGAAGGACGTTTAGTCCATGTTCCTTCACCCACTTCAAAGAGCTCCTCCGGTTGCTTCGCCGAATATCCTTACGTAGGGCGCTCTTGCTGGGCTGCATGATCTGCTGCAACTCACCCTGGTCTTTTCCCCGTCTCGCTATATAATCTTTGATATTGACGTGTACAGAGGCCTTCAGCAGTTTTGTGGCTGATGATATGCTGGCGGGTAGCTGTTTGGAAATACCAAATTCTACAACGAGAGCCTGCAGAAATAGGAGCTTCGTGCTAGGATCATTCTCCTTGACAGGAGCATCCAGGTACCTGCCCGCAATAAAGATAAATTATTTCAAGAAGTGGGAGCAAATACGCACTGTGTAATATACGCTGCAGCATCTTCATAACCATTGGGAGTCTTCGCTCCACTGTTATGATGGAGAGAGGGGCTCGTAGACGATGAACATGTAAGTCCGGAATTACCAGCATTGGCCTGTCTGGCCTCGTGCTTTGCTGGCTTGCGGGTCTTTTGGATTGGTTTGTTGACTTTATTCGCATATGGTTCATGCTCTGCTTTGTTGACTGATAATAGATTGAATGCAGTTAACAGCATATCCTCTTGGGCGCTATCGTCGGAAGCGTCGTCAGGAAAGTCCTCCGCTGAGATACGGGGCAACAAGACATAGTCAGCGTCACTGTCGGTAACGCTACTCTCTGACGAATATTCATCACTGACGCTCCAGACAACTTCATCTTCAGAAACTCCTGTAGCACAACAGGAAATGCTGCTTATAATTTCGATGGAAGAATCGCTGTGATGAGAGTCTGTCATTTTCAATCCTAGTGCGATTGAATAGGGGTTTCGATGCCTAGCGTTTGCACAATCAACGCACCTTACGTGCTGCAGCATTTTTCACTTACCTAGAACAATTTGGGTCAAATGATTCAAGAAAATTCTTGCTATTGGTTTGAGTAGGTGGAAGTTACAGAAAGACGAACAGGACGAGCAGATCTTGGGCTGAAGCCAGCGCTGAAGATCTATCTAAACTGTCGCGGAGTTTGTAATCTAATGTTGATGTCACTTGCTGCCGCGGTTCTTTTTGGCCTGAGGATGCTCGAAATCCCAGGCCTAGTCAATGTTTCATCAGGAAAAAACAAGCTGACTACAAGTCAGAGTAGCACGCGTGGCTCCGTAGTCAAGTCCCTCTATGTGGTCAGTGCTGTACTATGTAGAATCACGTAGTAGCTGCCAAGTACGCCATCAGCAAACTATTAATTTGGTGGCAATTCCCACGTTATTGCTAAATCCGCACCTTGAGGACACAATTCTGTTTCAATCACATGGTCGTTCAACCTCGTAAGGAGTTGTATGTGATATCTATGCTAAGGATTCTGTGTTGAAGTAGCTAGAAATACGAGTTTAGTGAAAGTGCCGACGTCTGTGGGGTGCCGATTGCAGGAGGATAGTATATGTTGTAGATACATAACGTCATGTATAGGAAATCGGAAACAGGTACAATATTCGAGTCTCACCGGTTTACTGATGCGGCCAGCCATGTAGCACTGCATATATAACTACCATCGTCTATCAATATCTGAGTCTCACCGGTTTACTGATGGGCCCCTCATAGTCATCACCACAATTTTTGTTTATGAAGCCTGGTTGGCCGCACATCTAAGTTCAAACTCAAGTTTGCGACGCCATGAGCATTGATCCAATTCCAAATCTCCCAAAGACACAGCGAGCTTGGAGAGCTGTGAAGCGAGGCAAACCTTCCGAATCTCTTGTTTTCCAGACAGACGTAGCTATCCCTCCCCTTTCACCTGGGGAAGTGCTTGTAAAGGTTCATGCGGCAGCACTTAATCCGGTGTAGGTGGCCTTCCAAGACATTCATCGAACTCCTTCTAATTTCGAATTTCATTAGAGGATGGAAGATCATGTCTACTACGCCCAATATCCTTGCCAAGAGACCAATCACACCAGAACATGATTTCGCCGGCGTGGTCGTGAATGCAAATGGCACCGAGTTCTCTGCAGGAGATGAGGTTATCGGTTTTATACCAGTTCGTGAGTATTGGTATTCTCGTACGCATACCATGTTGATGCAGGTTGTCTGATAGCATTGCAGTTGAAGACGGGGCAAGGGGCGCTGTCAGAGTACACAAAGCTTCCTGCTACTCATTTAGTCTTGAAGCCACCCAATGTCTCTGCGATCGAGGCTTGCGGTCTTCCTGTAGCTGGGGAGACTGCCTTTCAGGCCCTAGTCAGCATTGGAAAGCTTCAAGCTGGCCAGAGCGTGTTCGTCAATGGTGGTAGTTCAGCAGTTGGCATGAATGCTATTTATATTGCAAAGGCTCTTGGGGCGAAGGTTGTTACCAGTGCTTCGTCAAGAAATGAACAATTTTGTCGTAACGCAGGGGCAGATGAAGTAAGCGCTTTTCTCTGTGGTGACTCCTTTGCTAACACCTCACCAGTTTCTCGATTATACAAGCAAGCCTCTTCATGAGCAATTGGTGGAAAATCCTCCCTTACCTAAATTTGACATCATCTTTGATGCCGTTGCTTTGGTTGACCCCGCTCTTTACAAGCACTCGAATGCCTATATGAAGCCAGAAGGCGTATTCATATCGACCGGACCTTGGCCAGACCTGAAATGGGGGGGATCTACCGGCGTTTCAAAGTTACTTTCTCTGGGCTACGAAATCATGAGCCATCGTACCTCTGCGGTGTTAATGCAAAGTGGACGTCAGTGCATTCTTCTCCCAAATCATTACGCGTAACTGACATCTAGCTTACAGCATGGTAAGCGTAACTCACAATCCACAAGATCTTGCAAAACTGCGCGACTTGATGGCAGAAGGTATCGTACTGGATTTTTCGTGTGTTCGGCATCTTAAGTTTACCGCGTTTCAAGGCAAGCTCAAACTGGTGGTAGACTCCGTGTATGGATTCAAGGACGTTCTCAGTGCATACGAGCGCATCATGACATCACGAGCTACTGGCAAAGTTGTAGTCAAAGTAGATGGCAGCTTGTGAGAATATTATTCAAGTACTGTATTGGTCTGCTGCAGATACATTCCTACCCCGTGCAAATGTATTACTGCTGGCTGGTGGTGATTCTACCTTGAAATTGATATCGAATCGGGATCGCCGAAGAAGTTGATCACCAGATAGAAAGTGATGGCATCCGGTTCCGACGAACTCGTCATGGTATTATAGTTAAAATGTATATCAACTTGCAACACTGGCCATTTTTGTAGCCTAGGGAGGTCTGTACACGCGTCCAACACGCGTCTGCACTTTAATAAATGTTTATATTAATTATCTACGGATCCTAGAGCCACAGCCCACAGGAGCTGATTATGAAGCGATATTATGTCAGCAGATTAGATGTAGGGGGAGGACCCTGTGCCCAATGCCCATTGCCCAGCATCCCTTCCTTGCTGTTCGTAGTCTTCCTTCATCATCGCTTCAACGAAGGCGGAACCTGGAATAATTGACCGCCATATCGTAGCAGCTTAGGTGTAGTGCATTCTTGCAACCATGGAGGTAAGCTCTTCGCGCTTTATCATCGTTTATTCTTGTTCAAGTTACCATCCAGGGCTTGCTCGATTTCTCGAGGGAGTTCGATGTATCCCTGCTGGATAAAGTCGTCATGGCATTTTACACCGGCTCTGGCCAGGAAGTGAGCAGCGGAGATATCGTTCGCCATTTGCGATGAACTTACATTCATTTGTACAGCAACAAATGGCTCAACACGTGCTTACACAGTTTGAAGAACATCCCGATGCATGGACCAGGGTTCCTGACGTTTTGGAGAGATCCTCGTTTCCGCAGTCCAAGGTACTGTGCCGTACGAAAGGTGGTTCATGATGGCTGATTCCGTACTCGCAGTACATCGGCTTGCAAATTCTAGAAAAGCTCATTGTGACGCGATGGAAAACACTACCAGAGGGACAGAGATTAGGTAGGTTATTCTTTTAGATAACTGACTGTGGCTAACGTCGCGTGTAGGAATCCGTAATTTCGTTGTTGGAGTCACCGTCAAGGTGGCATCTGACGAGACTACCATGCGGAAAGAGAAGACATACATCAACAAACTGAACCTCGCTCTCGTCCAAGTGAGTGGTACACCATACACGAGTATAGATGATCTTATGGATTAAACATTTCAGATTCTGAAACAGGAGTGGCCACACAACTGGCCGACTTTCATTACTGAACTCGTGGAGTCCTCAAAAACCAATCTTTCCTTGTGCGAGAACAATATGGTCATATTGCGATTGCTTTCAGAAGAAGTCTTTGATTTCTCTGCTGAGCAGATGACGCAAACCAAAATCAAGAATCTCAAGAATCAGATGTGCGGCGAATTCAGCGAGATCTTCAAGCTCTGTTCAGAAGTCTTGGAAGAGGCTCAGAAGTCAAGTTTGATCAAGGCAACTCTTGAAACATTGCTGCGTTTCTTGAATTGGATACCTCTGGGATATATATTCGAGACCATGATAATCGATACACTTCTGAATCGCGTAAGATCGTCATTACTCCTCCTCGAACTAAGTTGACTGTTCTGCAGTTCCTGGAAGCTCCCGACTTCAGGAATGTGACGCTCAAATGTCTAGCAGAGATTGCAGGATTGAACGTGGGCCCAGAATACGATCCCAAATTTGTCATTTTGTTCGCCATGGTCATGACCTCCGTCAACCGCATGATTCCTCCTTCCACCAACATTGCTGCGGCATATTCTTCAGCATCAGACGCCGGTCAGGAGCTCGTTCTTAACCTGGCCCTCTTCCTTTCCAATTTCTTGTCCACCCATTTGCGCGCTGTTGAGACCGAGGCGAACCGTGATGTTCTGTTAAATGCACATCTTTACATGGTCAAGATCTCCCAAGTCGACGAGCGCGAGATTTTCAAGATCACTCTTGAGTACTGGTCGAAACTCGTGGCAGAACTCTACGACGAGATCCAAGCTCTCCCTATCGGCGAGAGCGGACTACTCATGGGCTTGAGCCTCGGGAGCAGCGGTGGAAACATGCTTAACGGCATGTCTCTGAGGAAGAACATCTACAGCGACGTCTTGAGTAATTTGAGACTTGTTGTCATCGAGCGGATGGTCAAGCCAGAGGAGGTGCGGTTAACTTTTCCTCTCTTGTCTCTTCGATATAACGGTGGCTCCAGGTGCTAATTGTCGAAAATGACGAGGGTGAAATCGTTCGTGAATTCATGAAGGAATCGGATACAATCGTCCTCTATAAGCAGATGCGGGAGTTGCTGGTCTATCTTACGCATCTTGACGTTGTGGACACCGAAAATATACTGACAGAAAAGCTTGCAAAGCAAGTCGATGGTTCGGAATGGAGTTGGCAGAACTTGAACACGCTCTGCTGGGCCATAGGAAGCATATCAGGAGCTATGAGCAAGTGCTATTTTCTTAGCCGTCGGATCTGCTCTAATCCCCTCCCCCGATCTACAGATGAGGAGACCTGAAAAACGCTTCCTTGTTACCGTCATCAAGGATCTATTGGGATTGTGCGAAATCAAACGAGGCAAAGACAATAAAGCTGTCGTCGCCTCAGATATCATGTACATTGTCGGCCAGTATCCGCGCTTCTTGAAGGCACATTGGAAATTTCTGAAGACAGTCGTCAATAAATTGTTCGAGTTCATGCACGAGACCCATGAAGGTAAGGAGCCCATTGCCGAAATACTCTTGTCACTCTGACCATGTCTGCACGACACCTCCAGGTGTTCAAGACATGGCATGCGACACGTTCATCAAGATTGCTCAGAAGTGTAGGAGGCATTTTGTCATGCAACAATCGGGAGAACAGGAGCCATTCGTAGACGAAATATTGCGGCTACTCCATCGTATCACTGTCGACCTGTCGCCTCAGCAGGTATGCCGCGTGATTTCATTTGGGTATACCTTCTTATTTCTTCCAACAGGTACACACCTTCTACGAGGCGGTCGGTTACATGATTTCCGCGCAGCCCAATAAACCTCAGCAGGAGAAGCTCATTGCTAAGCTGATGGAACTACCGAATAACGCTGTGTGTACCATGTTTTTATTAGCGAGAAGTCCCTTGCTCATAATTTCATTAAGTGGGATTCACTCATGGCTCAAGCGGCGCAGAATATGGATGTCCTAAGCAACCTTGATAATATCAAGATTTTATCCAATGTCCTCAAAACGAACGTGTCTGCTTGTACATCTATCGGCAGCTTCTACCTGCCTCAGGTGGGACGGGTCTTTTTAGATATGCTGGGTCTCTATAAGGCGGTCAGTGGCATTATCAGCGAGACGGTAGCTCGGGAAGGTCCGTGGTTCAGCCCTCCCAATTCCTTCCTGTGTCGTATCTCATCCACAATCATTAGGCACCATCGCCACTAAGACGCCAAAGATACGGCAGTTGCGCACAGTTAAGAAAGAGATCTTGAAACTGATGGAGACGTATATCAAGAAGGCTGAGGATCTTGAAGCCGTGAATACGAATTTCATGCCCCCACTACTGGACGCGATTCTTGGTGACTACAACCGCAATGTGCCGACTGCACGAGATGCTGAGGTGTTGAACGTAATGGCCACAATTACAAGTCGTCTCGGGGTAAGTGCATAGCATGCCCGATACCGTGCTTGCTTGCTCACCCCGTCCTACAATCACAGCCTTTGTTAACTCCCCAAGTCCCTGCCATTCTTGACGCAGTCTTCGAGCCTACATTGACCATGATCAACCAAGACTTCTCTGAGTTCCCAGAACATCGCGTTGGGTTCTTCAAGCTCCTCCGAGCAATTAACCTTAATTGTTTCCCTGGTATGCGTCTCTTGATTTTAGAATTATGACCTTGCACTAATGACTTACAGCTCTGCTTGGCATCCCACCGCCACAGTTCAAGTTGTTTATGGACAGTATAATCTGGGCAATTAAACATACGATGCGCGACATTGCTGACACCGGACTCAACTGTGAGCACGTACTTCACGTACATGGAGATGGCATGCTTACTGTTTCTTTTAGTGTGCCTTGAGGTGGTCAACAATTTTGCAGGCGCAGAGACTGCCGTCAGCAACGCATTTTTCCAACAGTACTTCCTGAGTATTGTGCAAGATATATTCTTTGTACTCACGGACACGGACCACAAGAGTGGTTTCAAACTTCAAAGTCTTCTGCTCGCACGCATGTTCCAGCTGGTTGAGACGAACCAGATCCAGGCACCCCTGTTTGATCCTGCGCAGATGGCAGATCCTACCGTTTCAAATTCCGTGTTCCTTAAGGAATATTGTGCCAATCTATTAAAGACAGCATTCCCACATGTGCAGAAGTGCGTCCCTTTTTTCACCTTTCTGCTGGCATCTCTGAATGATTTCTGCAGCTCGCAAGTTCAAGTCTTCGTCTCGGGTCTTGGCGAGTTCCACGGCGATATCAACCGCTTTAAGCTCGCTCTACGTGACTTCCTCATCCAGCTTAAAGAGTTCTCCTCTGGCGATAATGCCGAGTTATACTTGGAAGAAAAGGAAGCAGAAGCGCAGATGAAGGCCCAAGCAGAACGAGAGATGGCCATGCGTATTCCTGGCATGCTCAAACCTTCGCAGCTCGAGGACAAAGACGAGGATATCTCATGAGAAGTCCCGGTCCTTCTGCCACGTACTGTAGCTCCTCGCGCCCCATCTCACCCTGCATGCACTTTACGTCTCACTTCCCTTTCCTCGAAAAGTGGACGGATCTCATTTTATCATCCTTTGTCGTAGCAACTCATTCTGCTATCGAAGATTTCTTGTGTTCTCGATATCTAATGTATTAGTGTGTAGGCCAGGCAATACAAGAAAGTAGTATATATCTGTTAAAGACGGGCTCTTGGACGGGGCGAGATAATATCCAAGGCTTTAATACGCAGCTAACTCGCAGTTACACGGTCATTGAACCTGGCAGGCAATACATTACGAGCTTGTACCGGTTGGGCGATTGGCTGATGGACCAGTCTTCTTCCTTGATCTTCCTCAGTTCGATCTGTATCGCGGGATGTGCTCGTGGTATGATTTGTACCCATCGGTGTGTCTGTCTGTCTCTCTGAACTGACTGCATTGTTTTAAAGACAGTAGTACAGAAATTATTGGAACAATGCCGCCGGGAAGGTGGTAGTCGACATTGAGCCATGGCGGAGTACGTATATATGACGTCGTTTGTGACGGGAACTAGCTCACGTGCTCCATCAAATCAGACAATACAAGAGGTTGGCTTTGCTCACCTCGATGCAAATTTGCAGAACTTCAGAAGCAATCATTGCATATGTAAACGTTCGCACTTTCGGACCGTATCAGCCCCCTGGAACGGAGATTCAAAGCAAACCATCTTAAGTCCTAGCGCGGGTGACGCAGTAGCCACGGCAAGGTATACCCTTGATCAGTTCTGAAACTACTGTGTGCATGTCGCTGATGTGCGCTGGGGAAAGCAGCTCCGACAAAAGTCACTGGATTGCGAAACTGGGTAAGCTGCTACGCAGAATACTGCATGTAAGAACATACTTCAAGAACGCCTGTATCACCTAGGGCTTTGAATAACACTGGACAAGAAGGTCAACAATGGATGGCATCTCAACGTGTTGTAAGAGGCGTTCCACGACAAATGGTTGGGATCGGATGAAGGCGGGCATCTGAGCACAGCTCTGGGCTCGTCAAAGGACTCGACGGCGATGAAAAGATAGGCATTCACCTCCGCCGATTTCTTGGTGAAGAAGATAGCATTAATCTTAAGAAGTCGTGACTATCACCATCCTCACCTCTTCAGAAGATTTGTCAAGAACCATTTCAGTCAGCAGCTGGTTTGATGAATCGACGCAGGTTTCTACTATCGGCCGTATTTCATTTCACTGCAGAGAACTTCTGTAGCGACATATGGGTACCTATGACTGATCAGTGAAGAGGCCCATGAGGCAGAGTACCGGAGATATGGCGTACTTGGACTATCTCTTGTTATCTTCGTCATCAATCTGACCAGTCATATACTCCAGAAGTCTTTTCAGGACGTCTACACGTTGAAAGCAGTCGATGAGCCGTGTGTTCTGCGAATTGCATTTCTGCAGTTGATTATCTTCATCTAGACATGCCACTGTCGTTGTCCACTAGTATACTGTCGATCAAGGAAGGGTTGCGAAATCCGAATCTACGCAAGAGAAGAGTTCACACTGTATTTGAAAACCACGATATGAAGGGAAGGAAACTACTTCCAGAACATAGAAGCAGAGCGATATTGAAACTGAGGAACAGGGCTGATGCGAGCGTAGGTTGTCGAGATCAGTGTATAGTTGTTACTAAGATTGCAATGATACGTATACGTACTGTTTGGTAGTGTGCGCGGTGAAGGAAGTTCCAAGCTTTATTCATTACCATCACGATGTTCAAAAAGTATATACTAGCATTCTATTCACACAGCAGCTCGCTCACGATTGCATCGCAGATTTACGCCTTCCACAGATATCGCAGGTCAAACGCCGCCCAAGTCCTCTGTACAACGATCGATAAGGGCTGCTGTGCTTCAGCAGTGGAAGATCGGACCAGAAACACTCGAAGAGATCTGGCCCAAGAAGGAGAGTTTGATCCATGTAAAATGGTACGTCCTTCCAGGTATCCAAATCTGACGAGTCTGACGTCTGATGTACTTGGTCTCCATGACAAGAAGCAGAGAACACATCTCAATATACTCCGTCCAAAGCGTACCCCTCTTTTTCCAGCATTTTGATGGGCCGTTCTACCCCACCCTTCGATTGCTTCACCGGTGTAAGTCAATATTCCTCGGGTCTGACAGTGTGACACATATGTGAAATGCACCGCCTATAGATCCGTCCATTCTACCCAAAGTTGGCGTCGACAGGGGCGCAATTCGCTTTCTGCTAGCAGGTGCTCCCATGATGTGTCCCGGATTGACTTCAGCTGGAGGTTACCTTCCGCCATCTGAGGAAGCATTACCAAAAGGTACCGCTGTTGCTGTACATGCCGAGGGAAAAGAGCACGCTGTTGGAATTGGGATCACCGAGCTCAGCACAGAAGACATGCGGAAATTGAACAAAGATGTGGCTGTCGAGATTGTCACGTATCTGGGAGATGATTTGTGGGCTCTGCAGAATCTGTAGTTTCAATGTACCTCTACAGCACTAGACTGTATTGTAACAGATCAATATGCAACCTTATCTACAAATTGATAAATCAAACCAACCATGCGGTATCTTTCTTTGCTGCTGGCACTTGCCAATATTGGTGATCAATGAAATAGTACTAGTGTTCTCCAGGCTTCTGTACAAGCCGATAGTCTTGCATCATTCCAGTGGCGCAACACTGATGGGATCAATGCTAGCGAACTCCGGCCCACTTCTGCCATTGTGCGAGCCGGTGGGGGAGCTTTTCTGAGACATCTAAACAGAAGCCGCATCGCGCATTCGCTCGTTCCGAATCTTTCACACCACCTGTCACGGTCTTGTTCGGCAATGGAAGATACCTCATTCGCGTATTCGCAGGCTACGACTCGTGCTCGTACTCGAAAGAAGAATAGGAGAGGTAATGACAGACACGAACCGCCCCTGCTGAAAGATCTCGTAGATCGTTGCAAAACGGATATTGAATCTAATGGCTGGATAACGACTTGTCTAGGTCGGGGGCGGGCTTTCATTGTCTGAGCATCTTGTTAATTGGTATCAGGTCTCGTCCAAGACGCCCTGAGGAAGACTAATATGTCATGTCCTGACGTGCTGTGTCTCGGTCTGGGGAGTCCCTCATCGTCGCGTGAGGCCCGAGCGCAACTGGCTTTCCTCATCAGTTCATGCACAGTCTTGGGAATAGTAAGTTACATTTTGTCACGGCGCTACTCCTTCTGACGCCGGTTCTTTGTATAGGCTCCATCAGACGTGTCCGTATACGATCCAGTGTTTACGGATGCAGATAAGGTACTATTCCAGAGCTTTGGGATGCGATGCTTGCCAGACACAGCAAGTCTTTTGTTCTGTTATGTATGACACTGTCCGACGGGTGTCTATTTTATTCCAGGATGGAAAGCACGGGGTAGAACGTCCAACAATCCTGTATATGCCGCATTGTGACCTAAAGCTGTACGAAAACATTATTGGTGCTAATTGGTCAGAAGAGCAACTGGCGCGTATCATCTTTGTTGCAAACCGGTTCAGCGATTACACAGACAAGTACGTGTGCACTATCATTTGATAGGCTGAGTTTTATGGACCCTCCCTGCAGCTACCCCCAGTCGAAGCTAGAAGTCGAATCTCCATATTTGATGCGTCTAGGTGGGATTGATCGTCGTAACAACGAATGCAGGCTGATCTCACGATGTACAGTACCGCACCTTGAGTGCCATCCTCTTCCCACGTTAGAATGCTTCTCTTCGGCATTCAATAACATTTCGGTTCAACATGTGAGGCACCCCATTCCGCTGTCATTGGTGCCATTATCCCGCTCTTCGCAATAAGGTAACTAGGACGTTTAGTGCCAACCCTGTCAATTAAATCCCGTTCCTCCCACAGCGGTAGCGTAATATCGTGAGAGGACGGGATTCTGGGCTCTGACACGGAAGCGAGAACCATATTCCCAAAATGAGACGTAACATACATGAACAAATTGACGCATATGTACACTACTTACTATAGAGCAGAAGAGCAGAATCTAGGTTAAGAAAGGCTAAACTAACATTCATGATAGACAGCATTATACGAAGTGGAGTGATCTTCATCGGGAAATGGAAGGGGGTCGAGCGCATAACGATCAAAATAAGAATCCGGGTGTCGGATGTACACATGAGGCTGTGACCGTCGCCTCCTCCGTTGCCCTGGAAGAGGGAGGGACGTCGGGTCCACGAAGTCAAGTTCTGACGAGCGCCCTAGGGAAGGTGTAGAAAGGGCGTCGGACTCGTCGTCGGAGGTGTCCTCTATAGCTTCTGGGACCGATAGATCGTCTAACTCATCGGCATCATAGTACGGCAAAGCGTCATACGCTGGAAATGGTGAAACAGGAGACTCAATGATGGGACCAAGGTCATATGGATGAACAAGTGGTGGATGGAATGGCGGATATGGCACAGGATATGGCACAACATATGCTTGATGGCTGAGTAGGTCGTCCGACGAAGACATTGGTGACGTTAAGGGGCTAAGTGGGGGATCTTCATCATCTCGGCTGCTAGGACGGATATGCGAACGTCGGTATCCGATGCGTCCCCTCCACCTTCGACTAGGGATTCTAAAAGTGAGTCGAGCCACTCAGCTTCGGATGTACTGGCTCCGACCCCCACAAGTTTGGAAGCATCAGGGAACATGAACGAATCCAACTCGTCTTCATCATCATCGTCTTCGTTATCCCTATCATCGCTTGAAATATAAATATGTTTCGAATAGGAAGAACTGGTCGCCACACTGGGCTCATAGGAGGCACGAGGTGGCCGAAATATGGAATTTTTGAGAAGTACCCAGCGGTGGAGGCTGCCTCCCATAGCTGAATGTAACTTGGAACGGGCCATGGTGGAAAGGTCTACGGGTTCTGCTGACATGTGGGAGGTGGTGAATTCCAAGACGTATGATGGAGTGGCGTCTAACGCGTCCAAAACAGAACGTTAGCATATGATTCCTTGCTGGCATACTTATATATTATAACATACCCGAATCGAAGATTGTTCTACCAGGGTTGAAACTGGTTTGACCGGTGTATACGATAGACGATGAAGGGTTCGAACAAAATCGTGCCGTTGTTGGATTTACGGGCAAGTTTGTTAACCATACTTCAGTAGAATGATGGGCCTACGCTCTTTAAAGGGACGCGGCAATGATGAATCGGAGAGGGGGCTCTGTTTAAAGACGAAGAGCTTGTTATGCAGACATGGTGATGGACGGGGAGGGAAAAGTGGGGACGGCAGGGGGCGAAGACGGTCTTATATAGGAATTTTCAAATAGAGAAATCGTGACAATGACTCAAAATGATACACTTCGGAAAGAAGCATTTACCCGGCTCACCGCCGATAAAACAAACATACCCAAACAACCTCCTTTGCGATAACGCCACCACGCAAATGATAAAAAAAAAGTTATATGCACCGACTCGCTATCTACACGACTTGAACACCGTTCCGACAGATACGGCCCCCTCAACCTTCATCCATCTGGTCATCCCTGCCTTCTTCGTCCTTAACGGTATCGATAAGTTTCTTCAGTTTGTTGACGCTCTTTGGGGATGTATCGCGTGCTATGGCGAGCCAGTGCGCCGATTTTACCTCATCACCCGTCAACCGATATACTTTCGCAATCTGGAACACCACATTTGACTCCTCGGGAGATGAGTCACGAAGCTGAAGTAGATCTTCCAGCGCTTCCTGTGAGCGTGGGAGAAAAGTTATGTAAAAAAAATGGAGGTCAACGTCCCGATCATAGCCTGGTAACTAGGTGTTCACTTACAGCGTATCTTTTCATGGAGATAAGGATTTTTGCTCGACGATAACGAACGAGCGCGTTGTCTGGTGCTACGCGAACTGCCTGATCAAATAATGAGTGCGCAGCCACCTTGTCTCCCCGACGTTCGACAGCCTGAGAAGCCGATAGCCACAGCAAGGGTGGATTAGAGTCAGGAAAGTCATATCAAACAAGCGACACACCATGCCCACACAACCTAGTAAAACTGCATTATTTGGATGAATTTCAACCGCCTTGCGATAGTGATACTCAGCAAGGCGTATTTTACTCATCCGCAAATAGCAGGTGCCGAGACCATACCTGCGGCGAAGTCAATCAGTATGAGAAGCCACTTAATGTGTTACATGAACCTAACCAAGCATTGTAGTGTCGCGGATCTGCGCGGAGGGCAGTTTGGAAGAATCCGATAGCTTTATCCAGATCTTCATCAATAGACTCATGTCCGCTAAGGGTGTACGCGTAAGCACAGGTCGGATCCATTTCAGCAGCTCGTCGAAAACACGTAAGTGCCTGAGACCGCTCTTTCTGTAAGGAAAAAAGATTGCCAACTGCAATCCACGCCTGCGGAGAGCGTGGGTTTATGTTCATAAGTTCTTGCGCAAGATATGAAAGCTGCACGTTCTGCTGAAGGTGCCATAGAAGAGTTGAGTAAACCTCCATATCGCCCAACCGATAAGGCTCCAGAGCTCGAGCTGCCCTGAACGCTCGTTCTGCCTATAATAAAAATAACGTAAATGGAAAGGAGTATATGGTGATGCCAATGATAATTACGTACTGGCGCATACTCGAGTCGTTCATAGTGGGCTCGGCCCACCATCGCCAATACCCACGATGATTGCTGGTGTGCAAGTGGTATCTGGTCGAGTTCCATAAGACAGGAGTAACAATCATATTTGGATAGAGCTCGAGTAGCACGTGCAAATCGCCGGAGCAGATCATAGATGTATTGGTCTGCCATCTCTGAATCGTACGCCTCTTGAGCAGCAAGTTCATGCGCTGCGGTCCAATTGCTTGGCGCAGGAGATGTCTCAGAGGGAGGTGACTGAGCATTCGAAGTTGGCGAGGTCGAGGACGCGACCTCTCCGTGCAGATTGGCATCATCCTCGCCATCCGAGTCTATTGATCGTGATCGCGAGGTAGTTAACTGTCGGCGACGATCTCGTGGAGGTGGATGCTTCAAGAAACAAGTCAGTGATTGATATTAGACTAAAACACGACCAGGTAAACAGGCTCGAAATCCAACCACTAACCTTGAGAGGCTTGCTAGTAGTGCCACTCAAGAGCCGCGTGCTTCGCCGCGGCGCAACAGCAGCACTCCCTCTCTCATTCTTAGTAATTCCTCCACCAGCAACTGGCCTGGATGACATGACGGGCTGAGAACGACGACCCGGTGATGAGAAGATATTAGCAAATTTTAGGGCCGGGCGTGCGCGTGCCTTTTTCGAGGTTTCGTCCACAGTCAGCTTGGATGGCTTGGATGCGACAGTCTCAGTGCTCTTTTGTCGAATCGTTGATCGAAGTCTCTTCTGCACGGGACCAGTCTCATCTGCTGAAGATAGTGGTCGAGCGGCGGGCTGAGACGGGCCAGGCCCTACAATCTCGAATTTAGAATTACGGGGTGGAGGGTGAAGAAATGAGTTCTCCGTATGAAAAAACGGTTCGTTAGTAGCGCTAAAAATGATGCAGAAGACCATGTCAGACATATTGCATCATGAGAGGGTCGTAACCGCTTTACATGGAGTCGTGTGGATCTAGTGGAGGATCCATTCGGAAAGCTTGAGGGACGTTCTTGCGCCCACGAAATAGAGTGGTATTGGCAGTGATATCAGGCGTAAAAAATCCAACTCCAGTAGTAATCGGGCCAGAGAGGGCCTTGACTGGTGGGGGCTCTTCTGGCGGACCCTGTTTCACTGGAACGGGGCGCATTGGAAAGATCTCGTCTACATCAGGAGACGTACCTAAGAATGGAAGTCAACTAGGTTAGTTGCAGGATGGGATAATAAGTTCAAGATGGTCACCAAGAGAGCACAAGCCCTCAAATGCTTCCCACAACATGGGGTTGAGTGCGAGAGCTTGTCGGAAACTACGAGTAGCCTGCTCAGGAAGATTGCCTTTCATTGCCATCGTTCCAGATCGACATCGTGTTGCAGCTTCCTCCGGAAACGCGCGCGAGGTTCGGGGGCCCATAGAAGCTGCAGAGAAGGTCAGTAAGTGTACGGCGATATGGAATGGAATTGCGTACCCGTTGGGGTATAGGTGGGATCCTGTAAACTAGCGTCAAAAGCTTCATGTGCTAACCTATGCCGACCGAGAGCAGCACAACACTTTCCCTTGATCTCCAAGCATCCGCTACATCTCGACTGATGAACACCAGTGACTAATTGTAGCCCTGAATGTGGCTGACCGGATCGAAGAAGTACTGTGGCATAAAGATGACGCGCATCGTGGTTGTTCTCGTCCATGACAAGGTAAAGTTCCGCATAGAAAGCTGCAGATCTGACGAGGTCGAAATCAAGACAAGTCCATATGAGGGTCTGGAAACGCTGTCTGATCTGTGGGAGAAATGCAGGCCTGGTAACAGCTTTCGAATCTTCCAGTGGCATTAGCACAGGCCTAAAGCATGAGAATATAAGTCAGGCAGAAATATGATTAAATCCAGTCCCCCGTAGAATAGCGTTTCTGTCCAAGAAGGCAGTATTTGGAATTTAAGATGACTTTGCAAATGCAGCGCAGTGAGGAGAAGGTTAAGCAGTGCAACGCGAGTCCCCACAAACAAACCGCGCGTGGAACAATCACGTGACAATCGCGTAGATGTTTATTACGTGCATTTCCGGTCATTCTCAAGGACAATTGCATACTTTTCAATGTAAGTAAGCATTATAGGCGTATGAATTACACGTAAGACTGTCAACGCAAGGCTGTCTTTGTTTAATGGCCATGTGAGTCTGCTTCCGGCTTTGGCTCTGTTAGGATCAGTGAGACAGACTTCCGGGTGGGTGGCAATCACTTACCCGGTACGCACTGAATAGCGTCATCAATCCGCAAAAGCGAAATGGCAGCCTCGTACGCCGACTTCAAACTCCGGACTTTACTCATCGTCGGCTCCAGCACACCAGCCACAACATTGTCACGGACATCTCCGTTCATAAGGTCTAGGCCGTAGCGAAGTAGCACCTTTTTCGGATCACCCGCAGGCGCGTTCTGCGCGGCGTGATGGTAAGCACGCAGTTTGGCGACAAGATCGGTGGAATCCTTCGCAGCGTTGACGGCAAGCTGTTTTGGGATTGAAAGCAGAGCTGCAGCGAATTCGGCGATCGCCAGCTGTTCCCGCGATCCCTGATGTGTAATCATAAACTCACCGAGGGGAATGCCGACAAGTATGAAACTCACCAAGGTTGTCGCAAAGTTTTCCAAGTAAATGCTGAGGGCAGATTCAACCGCACCACCTCCAGGAACAACAGCTCCGCTTTCTAAAGTACGCTTGATGATGGAAAGGGTATCATGCAACGCTCTCTCCATCTCATCTAGCATGTAGTCATTCGCTCCACGCAGAACAATGGATGCAGAGTTGACCACCTTGGTGCCCTGATGAGGATCAATTCGTCATCGGAGATGCGCTCCTGGACAACTTCGTCCGCTGAACCGAGGTAGCTGGCCTCATATGTCTCCTCACCTTCCAAGTTCGCGAGACTTGAGATGAGCGTACCACCTGTTGCCTTTGCGATGCGTCGGAGGTCCTCCTTTCTGCACCTTCTAACTGCCATCGCGCCAGCTTCAACAAACTCTTTCAGACATAAGTCGTCAATGCCCTTTGTGGTCAGAACAACGTTGGCTCCTGATGCCAAAATTTTGCGAATTCGTTCCAGCGTGATTTCTGCTTCACTACAAAAGCACATTCAAACAAGGACCAAATGAACAATTACTTTGAAACTAACCGTTTCCTGATCTCCTCTAGTTGATTTGGATCTTCGACCAGGATCTGCACACCCAGCTGCATGCGGGCTTTCTGAAGATTGATGTCTAAACACGCAATTTTTGCATTGGTTACGCGTTTTTTCATTGCTAGATATCCTACTTCAGTGATTAATTCGCGCAAGAAAAAAGTATGTGGACCTTGACTAGCAACCGTGCAGTTCAGTGCATAACCTTGGACGTACAGGGATTCTCTGGCACTTTTGCCGTGAGCCTTGAGCACGTTGACAGCCTTGACCGGATACTTGATGTCACCGCGCAAGTTAATAGTCTTGACAGCAAGCATGGCGTCCACAGCCATAGGGGCAAATAGATCATCATCACTTCAAATGGATTTGAGGGAATGTACTGCGAAAAGTTTCCAAACAACATACTTTCCGATTATCTTGCTAGACATGCTAGTCTTGGCAGCATTTACAAGTGCATCACGACCGAGAGAATCAACTTTGATGCTGAGTTGATCCTGCATGAACTTGACAGCCTCCCTGCAAGCAAGTCGGTAGCCTGTGATGATCGTGGTCGGATGTATTTTCGCTTTTACGAGCTCGTTCGCGCGTCGAAGAAGCTCAGATGCAATGATGACCACAGAGGTTGTACCATCTCCAACCTCCTTATCCTGCTTTTGCGCGAGATCGACGAAAATCTTTCCAGCTGGGTGCTCCACAGACAGAAGAGACAGGATAGTTGCGCCATCATTCGAGATGGTCACTTCCTAATGAAAGTAAGAAAGAAAAGCTTGGACCTAAAGCAAAAGATGCGCACTCCAATGTTGTCAACGAGCATTTTATCGAGCCCGAGTGGACCCAGAGAACTTTTGACAATATTTGCGATGGCCAGGGCCGCGGTCACTGATCCGACGCACCATTTGAGCTGAAGACTAATGACTACCAAACCACATACCATTCTGATCCCGTATATCTTGGCCTGACACGCGGTCACCACCGAGAAACGCGCCAGCTCGAGGATCGCGTTGGAACATCTTGTGTCTAGATGATCTTCCAACTCAAGGACAGTTGCTGACATTTGTGCCGCTGCAGTCTGCTTACGCAAGATTGCCTCCTATGGTTCACGTCGTTCGAACTGTGCATAACTCCAAGCTTCCAGTGGAAGTGACTTGAGTACTTGCGGCAAAAAACTCTGTGATTTGTACAAGCGCATCTTAAATATCACAGCGGGTGTTAACTTAAATGTCACTTTACCGTTTGAAAGGTATAGCAGGCAAGCCCCCGTACAGCTTCAACGTTCATCAGTATCTCCGAGTCAGATGTACTTCTAGCGACATGAATAATTATGATTTTGCTGGGGAATAGCTGCCCTGACCTTGGTGCGTGTTGGATAGAGAACCTCAATCACACTTTGCTAGCGATCAGCCAAGCACGTTGACTCGTGATAGACCAGGCATAATAACTTCTACAATAGCTTCCTCCACTGGTGCGAAGCTATGCAATAACATGTCCATAACGAAAAATATTGCCAACGAATATGAATGAAAGATTTTGAACAAAAAGTGAATAGAAAATCGTGGTTATCTGCACGCTCTCACAAGCCAACTGTCCATCGATAACCATGTTCAGCAGAAACAGAATCGAAGCTCATGTTGTACTCAGCAGGCCGGGAGGTAAGGGTGAATAAATGTTTAACATTTGATGATTGAAAGATGCCAAGGGATGAATCCTAGCGGATAAATACTGAGGCGAAAGGAAACGGACAAGACCACAAAGGACATAAATAGCTATCGATAGTCTTAGATGCGAGGCAAATAAAGAATCAAAGTGAGAGGAAAGAGATGTTGAACATATATAAGAGATGCAGCGAAAATTGTCTATGGCACATGAAACAGTTGTAGGAGAGTTGAGCAGCCACGACCAGAAGATAGGACATGACTAATGCAATATTCAAACAAATGGAGTGTCCAATGGATCAGATGGTTGGTGAAGGGGCTTTGTATGACTGGTGAAAAGATGCTTGGCGGGACGTATCGCGGAAGGCTTCACCGTGAGTTCGAAAATATACCTTACAGGCCTGAGCAGCATAGAGCATAACGAGCGTGGAGATCAGCGTGCGGTAACATGACATGACAAATGGTTGTTTCTGAGGTTGTCGGAGAGAATATTTGGACGAAACGGGGAAGCGTAATGGGGTTCCAGCCGTTCGACAGGTATGGGGGTAGAGAAAGACTAGGGAGATATCAGGCTGATCACGAAATCGCTGGACATGCAAAATGCAAACGCGCTAAACGGCACTTTGGATGTGCAGGAAATGGAGCAATGGCGGAGAGGTCGGGTTAAAATTAATGCGCAGCCATGCGAGTCGCATCAAAAGTTTCAGAGCGGGTCATACCGACACGACCCAGTCTTTTCGCCTTTGATAACAGCATGGTACCTTTATTGGGAGGGGGGCAGGGGCTGTCGCCGATGTCGGTCTCCTCGTCGTCTGTCTGGGTGATATTACCGATCTCAGTCACAGTTGAGAGACCATTACGGCGTGTACGAGCGGCGTTTGCGGCAGCAAATAGCTGGGGAGCACCAGCAGGCGCTGTGTTCCTCTTGGATGACTGTTGAGTCATGCCAGTAACCTTCGAAGCCAGGTCACCGTAAGCGTATGACTTGGTGCGTCCAAATCTGCCCTTGCGGAACTGATCCAAGTCCTCTTTGCGGGAAAGTGCAAAGTTGGGGTCGTCCATCGTGACGTAGCCCCGAGGACGACAGCGAGAAGCACACTGTTTGTAATATTCGCAGTACCCGCCTTCCAAGATGTAAATCTCCGGATAATGAATCTTTGGATATATGTGGTTATTCATCGCGCGGTCTTTGGCACGGAGATGTTTAGCACTGAAGGGCATCGCAAAATTAGTGTCAGGAGGGAAAACGGCGAGGCATTTTCGGCTTACAATGTTGGAGCTCTCTTTGCACTGAATTCACAGTGGAAAACCAGGATAGTCTTTTTCTGGGAGTCGCCACTAACAGATGGTTTAGGCTTCTGCACGCCAAGCAAGAATTCTTCCACGCCAGTGGTGGTGTTGATGTTGACGGCGCCGGGAATATGTCCACCATTGTACTCATAGTCAAAGCGGCAGTCGATAACGTGGAAACTTGCGATGCGGGAATTATAGGCACCGTCAAGAAGGTCATCCAGCTAAATGGAAACAAGGCGTTAAGTGTTGTCACCAACATTGCAGATAAAAACAATCACAGTTTTCGGTACGACCCTCATCAAGCCATCCTCGCGCACGCGGTGACATGGTAAGACTTTGCCCAGTGTCTCATTATCACCAAATCCTGGCAATCCTGCAGCCATGAATTTCGCAGAGGGACTCTCAAACATATCGCGCTGAACCATAGCGATCGCGCCAGTCAGAGGTCTGAAATCCTCCGTTCCGTCGCGTCTGCGGATGGCCTTGACCTGCTGTCGCTTGGCGTATGCCTGGGCGGGAGAGGACATGTCAGGATCGTCGAAAGAAGAACCCTCATCAGAGAAGTGTTCGAGGACAGTGGATGGCACCATAGAAAAGGCACGTCGCGAAGGAGGCAATTCGAGTGATGACTGCTTCTCTGACGAAGCGTTTGAATCAAGCGTGGGGTATGCGGATTGTGGCGAAGGAACACCGGGTTGTACCAAGGCTGAGAAGACAATACGCCGGGCTCGTTTGCTTGCGTTAGGAGGGACTCCCAGGCCCTGAAGTGCAGGTTTGGCGAAGGTAGCCATGCGATCTAGCTTGTGCTGCGAAGGGGACGAAGGAGCAGGCGATGACGAAGCTTCATGATCAACCCGCGAAATGGTCTCCGGAGATAAAGAACGACGCTTTTTTGGCTGCAGCCCTCCAGGGGTGTCTAAGTAAGATTGGGACATAGCCCCATAAAACAGATTGTTAAACTCAGTCACAGCGGGTGCTGCAGAAAGAGGCGGAGAGGGCAACAGGTCCTGCGCAGAAACCTCGGGAACAGGATCCACGTCCATGGCGTCATCAGCCGCTAAAGAAATAGACACATCCGGCGGCTGCCCGTGCAGTCATGTAAGCAACAAGCCTGCTGGTCTAAACTAAAAGGATCACTCACCGGAGCAAACATGTTTCCACCCATTGTCTGAGAGGTTCTTAAAGGCTTAGAGGCGACTATCCACTCCATAGGAAGCGCACTGCGCTGGGTTCGTTTGAAGTTTGCTTGAGAGCCAGTTTTTGTGCTGACGGAGTCATTGGAGAAATTGCTGTTGCTCATGTCCTGACCGAAAATGCGAGCGGCACTGGTGGATGCACGGGGGCGCGTGGTAGGCCTGTTCGTCTTCTCATTCTCCTTCTGAAGGGGGCGGTACGCAGGCGAGATATCCATTGGGACATCGTGATCTTGCGCGAGCGTCATTGTGTCACGTGGAGGAGAGTTGAGAGACATGGTAGAAGCAAACGACAGCTCAAGGTCAGAAGACAAGAAATCATCAATATCATCACGTTTAGGATTGAGCATCTGGCTGCGCTTGCGAGAAGGAGCAGGTGGCGCGTGTAGGTATTGCATCGAAGCCGAAGCCGAAGAAAGGGTAGAGAAGAAGGTCATGTCGCGAGAAACCGTAGTGGAAGATTGGAATTGAGCTTTTTTTGGAAGCTTGTTCGAATGATAATCTGTGAGTCGTTTCAAGAATGAATCAGACATGGTTCGTGAGAGGTTAATGTGAAACAAGTCAAATAATCGAGCCAATAAACAGCGTTTGAGTGCCAGATGGTAGTTGGAGAGGTTGAGCACAAGATGGTAGTTGGAGAGGTTGAGCACAAGATGTTACAAGAGAAAGGAGTGTCCAAGAAGAGAGGAAATAGTCAATGGACAACATCCACGGTCCACAGACATTTGATTATGAGAAGAAACACATACCGAACGAAGATGTGGCCCAAAGAAACGGATTGTGGCCGGTGGATTTACCGAAAGTAGTGGCTGTCAACGATAAAATCAGCGATCTTATATGGCTTAGGGTACGAAAAGAGCTGAACAAAGAAAAGCATCAATAGAAAATGAGCAACATCCACTTGGCCATATAAGCTGAACCACTGGGAGTTTCGCGTAAATGAATTTCCTCATGGTTTGCTTATGCCGGCGCGTTGGTCATCCAAAGATGAAGCATAGCTCACCTTGAACGTAATGATAGTGTTAACGGAGGAGGCCGCGCCTGGGTAGTGCGTACAGAATAAGAGTGAGCTATCGTTGCTAAATGACTTAACCAACTTGGCTTCAGCCAGAGTATTGCTCACAGTGCAACGAACTTGAACAGAATAGAAAACGTAAGCGAATTTTGATGCGGACTGTAGGTCCAACAAATTTGGATCCTGTCCTAAAACGGTCAGCGACGCGCTCAATTAAGCGGTATAACTAGGCAAGAAGCAAGAATATCGCGTGCTGAGGGTATGAGGTGTCCTGCCTCCGCAACTGATTCGGTCCTACGCACTATTTCGCCCCAGTGGTATGTGCTGATGAGAAGACTGGCCAAAAGAACAATTGTTTGCCCCTTCTTTGGCGTATGTTGATATTCGTCACGTGCATTTTGTCTTTTGTTTCTTGATCAGGCAGGTATGTACGAAATTATAATTTATACATAATAATGCATACAAGTCAGAGACGGTCTTGGATTCTGTAAACATACTTGGTCCCAGCTGCACATAAACACATCAGTGATGAACGCTAGCGTCCGACTGCAGTAGAAATAATTTCAGAGAGGACGCACCGTCACGGTATGAACACATTTTGACTATGTGATGATTCAGTAGAATGATTCAGTTCAGGATACATTCATTCTACGATATCGACGATAGCCTTGGAGACAATCTTTGGCGAAAGTCAGCAAACTTGACAGACCCTCAGAATCCCAGGTTATGCGTACTTCGCAATCATCGCTGTTAAGATGCAGCCCATCGATCAAACATCTTTTGCATCCCTCCTCGCCTCGATTGGCGCCATCAAATATTTGCGTCCAGATGTCCGACGGGCACATTCTCTCTTGCACCTACTTTCTTGACAGCCTCCGTGTATGGCATCGTAGTCTCAAACACATTGACTTAGGCTTACCCCGTTGCTTCTTATTCATTGGTGACGGGGTAATCAAGATTATACGGGAAGTAGTAAGCTGATGTCGGCAATTTTACCATCTGACCAAGTTTGCTTTGTATCTGTCTCTCGGGACGTGTCATGAATTGGAAGCTGGTGCCATACCAAATTGTGACTAGCTTGGCCTTTGGGACCTGATGCTGCTCAGGCTGCTTGGCAAAGATCTGTTAAAAATCCACCGAGCACCTGTCTTCGTCCCCAACAAAGGCATGTCTTTGACCTGCTCGCATACAGGAATTGCCTAATCCGTTTGATAATCTGCAAGGCCGCGGTTGGTAACATCAGTTTTATCTCTAGATGTCGTGGCCGCAGATTCTAGTTCCCGAAATGTATGTTGTCTACATACCCGCAAGTAACAGCGCAAAGCCTCCTTGTTCCCATCCACGTTGAGTGATGGAGTCACTGATGAGCATAATAACATCTTGTACATTGGCAGCCATACATTTCCTTGTTTTATGACCGATTGATCAGGATAGGATTTGACGGAAGTTTGAACTCAGTAAGCATTCGCCCAGTACCCAGCTTGTGCTGTTCGACGGGTTGCTATTATTTGAAATGAGAACTTTGGAATGGGTATGTGGGTATGTATGTAGGAGCAGGAGCAGGAGCGGGAATAGTTGCTGATCTCTCTCAACAGCAACCTATGAATTCGAAGTGGCATCCAGCAAACTAATCATGTGGTCGGGATTGTGTGGCCGATATGAAAGTCAGCCGCGTCCTTGTCAAGTTACACCTACAGTTCCAAATCCTCCCTCTCATCTCGTTTCATGCATGAACACGATCTAATATGCCACAAATCTAAGAAAAAGACATTCAATATTCAGGACTAAAGTTGCGCTTTTCGTTTCATCAGAGATGGTCTTGGATTCTGTACGTTTACTTGGTCCCAGCTGCACATAAATGCATTAGTGTTCTGCAGCAAAAATAGGTTCAAAGAGAACGCACGGTACAAACACAGTTTGCATCCTCGCATGTGCTTCCCAAGTAGGATCTAATTCAGGATACACGCGCTCCACAATGTCCATGATGGCTTGGAAGACGATCTTTAATCTTGAAAGTTAGCAAGCCTGACGAGTTAGAATTCAAGTTCGCGCATACGTTGTAACCATCACTGGTTAGATGTAGCCCGTCGTTCAGGTATTTTTCGCATGCCTCTTCACTTCGACCAGCAGCATCGAATATCTTTGTCCAGATATCTGCGACGGGAACACACTCTTTCTCACCTACTTCCTTGACAGCCCCCGCGTACGACCTCGTCGTCTCGAATACACGTGGACTGTCAAGCCTGTCCCATTGCTTCGTATTTACTGGCGGCGGTGTGATCAAGATTATACGAGTCTCGGGGGAGTAGTATGCTGAAGTCGGCGATTTCACCATTTGGATGATATGGCTTAAATTCGATTTGTATCTGTCTATCGGGACGTGCTGTGGGCTGGGAGCAGGTGCGGCGTCGTTGGCGCCGTACCAAATTGTGAGTAACTTGACCTGCGGAACGTGATGTTGCTCATGCTGTTTGGCAAATATCTACGAATACGCTCAGCACAATTCATAAGTGGCAACATTGAATTTCACCTGCTCGCAAATTGGAATTGCCCAGTCCGTTTGATAACCCCCGAGGCCACGGTTGATAACATCGAGCTTCCGATTGTAGGCTTCTATACGTCGCAGCCTCAGATTATAATTCGTACAAAATGCTTGTGATATACGTACCTGCAAGTAACTGCGCGAAGCCTCCTTTTTCCCATCCTTGTTGAGTGAGGGAGTCACCGACGAGCATGACGACATCTTGTACATTGGCGGCCATACTACTATCTAGACTTATCCTCGCCTTTCGACCGACCGATCAGTGTTCGATAGATGTCCGTAGACATTTACCCATGTTACTCACCCGATTGCTCTAGTCGATGGTTGATTTGAAATGAAGGGGTATCAGGTTGTAGAAACAGAGCACGATGATCTTATAAACACATCTTTGACTTGTACTACGGCATTCCGCGTTGGGAGTCATGTGGTCGGGGTTATGGTTATGTTGTTGTCGGAAAATTCTAATTTTGGTTGGAGGCCTCAATTTACCGGCGGCATTGCGGTCCGGTTGCGAGAGTCCTATGGGATTTTTCGTTACACTTCGACTTCCCGAGAAGCCACACGGATTTTCAATGTCTGATTAGTGTTTGGTTTGAGTATCATAAATGATAAAGCTCAAACCAAACACTCATCAGACATTGAAAATCTGTGTGGCTTCCCTGGAAGTCATTGAAGCATAACCAGAAATCTACTGTAGGAATTTCCCCACAACTCTCAAAAATTGATTGCTCCTCATAATATTAGAGCCTTCCCATAAGCTGTAGTGCCATCTAAAGTGGCAAAACCTGCTACCTGATCTGTCTTGTTCTCTGGATTTTTCTAGTAGGACTTATGTTGGTCCTCTTACCATACATTTGGTTTTCAATATGTTATACTCACAAACTATCCTATTGTTACTGATAAGTTATACAAGTAATACCATTCTTCATATATTGTACAAGATTTCAATGACAGATTGTTGTGTCATTACCTGAGCTGACTGAGGCTGTTATAACCATATCACTCTTCACTCTTCCCTCACTCTCTTTCCCAATTGGACTCTGGCCATAGCATACAATGCTCATGATTTAGAAGCTAACAACACCAGGTAACTGACCTGAAAATGATAAAACCATGTGAAGCTTTATTTATTCTAAAATACATATAATATATATCACAATTGTAGTCCAAATGAGAAAGCTTTAAATACCTGGACTAAGTTGGATGGAAACTACCAAAGGTACAATCTTGATAGTCAGTTTGCAATTACCTATCAAGTTGGCAAATATACACAAAGCTTTAGAGGCCTAGAGGGCTTTGGACAAACTCACCAAAGACTCAAAGGTGCTGAATACTGTAGATGATTATGATAGTTTATCTTCAAAAACCAAATTTATTGACAAATGTGTACATGTGCTACATACTGTATAGACACGCACTTAGGTTCAGCCCTATTTAGGTGTGACCAAATGAGCATTAGGTTCGAAGGTTCGCAGGGGGGGTGTGATGTGTGACATGCTGTGATTAGGTTCATTTGGTAAGCAACCAACATTAGGCAGACAATATCCTTCGTATACATGTGCAGTGCTACGTGCTGATCCTCATGCTCAACCTGGAAGTGCTCGCTCTACAAACATTGTCTCTAATTTTATTTCTGCCTGGCAACACAATATCTTCTCTATATACAACAAGTTGGAGAGCTATGAGCAAGTGGTGGATGGCATGGAGCTTCAATCCACAGTGAATGGGTCTGAGGAAGTTGAGGCTGAGGGTCATGGTAAGTGCAGACATGTCGCAAACACTCAGTACAAGGACTTTTGGCTGCACTAGTTATTTTTTTAATGTTTTTACTGCATGTCACAATTTAGGTTCAATGGTCTCAAAATTGGTGTGACCATCAC